ACGTGGCTTGCCCAGTAAGACAAACGACCTCCAAGGCGTCGAAATCAAGTCGGTTGGCGATGATACCACGATTGGCATTCCTGACAACTTCCCCCCTGGAAGTATCGCTCTCTTTGAGACCTGGGTACCCAGTGCAGAGCACGACGATGGTCTCGACAAGTTCATCACTAGCGGAGCGCGTGCAGCTTTCAGTGGTGTCAATCTGATCGATCTGAACTACATTTTGTACAGGTGTGAAGAAGAAGAGCGAGATGCCACGGATCACAAGGATGGAACCTACAATATTCCAGGTCACGGCAATCTAGTATACGCTGGTCTGCAAGGCTGGTGGAGTGTACTACGTGATATTGTAAACGACAACAATCTCGGCCACCCGCTCTGCAACCATCTTCGTGATGGTCAATGGGCGCTCGACTATTGCCTTGGTCGCCTCCAGAAGATTTCTCAAAAGAAGGAGTACGTCAACATCAAGGGTCCCGCCAAGTGGCTGGAGGCAAAGTTCGCTGCTATTCGCAAGGTTCCTAGCTACATGCTTCCACGATACTTTGCTATGGTCATCCAGACTGCATACAACGCTGCAGTGGAGCGAGCAATTGAGCTCATGGGCGAGAACGTCCGAGAGGGCAACCAGTTTCTGAAGAGCCTCGCCCTAGTCAGCTGCCAGGTCACTGGCTACATAAACAATGCCTCGTTGTGGCCAGAGAAGAGCGTGCCCAGTATGGCCGCTGGTCTTCCTCATTTCGCCTACGACTGGGCGCGATGCTGGGGACGTGATATTACTATCTCAGCTCGTGGTCTTTACATGGGAACTGGCCGGTTTGCTGATGCCAAGGAGCACATCTTTGCCTTCGCCAGCGTTCTCAAGCATGGAATGGTACCTAACCTCCTAGGCAGTGGCAAGAACCCGCGTTACAACTCCCGCGACTCAGTCTGGTTCTTCCTTCAGAACTGCCAGGACTACACCAAGATCGTGCCGAATGGCATAGAGCTTCTTCATGAGAAAGTTAAACGGCGATTCCTACCATACGACGACACATGGTTTGCTCATACCGACAAGCGCGCATACTCCCAGTCCTCCACCATTGAGGATGTCATCCAGGAAGCTCTGCAGCGACACGCTTCCGGCATAGAGTTCCGCGAGTACGACGCGGGCCCGAACATTGATAGTCAGATGAAGTCTGAAGGCTTCAACATCAAGATCTGGACTGATTGGGAGACTGGTATGATCTTTGGTGGCAATCAATGGAACTGCGGTACATGGATGGACAAGATGGGTGAGAGCGAGAAGGCCGGCAGCAAGGGTCACCCAGGTACGCCACGAGATGGTGCTCCGGTCGAGATCATCGGCATGTTGTACAGCACAGTACGCTGGTGTGCCAACATGTACGATGCAGGCCAATTCAAGTACCAGGGTGTAAATCTGGAGGATGGCAAGAAGACTGTTACCTACAAGGAGTGGGCCGACCTTATCAAAGCCAATTTCGAGCGTTGCTTCTACGTTCCGCGTTCCGCAGACGAGGACAGCAAGTACGACGTCAACCCGAGCATCATCAACCGTCGCGGTATCTACAAGGACTTGTACCGTTCGGGCAAGGAGTACGAAGACTACCAGTTGAGGCCAAACTTCCCTATCATGATGACGGTTGCGCCAGATCTTTGCGACCCCGAGCACGCTTTGCATGCCCTCCAGATGGCCGACAGGGTCCTGCTTGGTCCACAGGGCATGAAGACTCTCGATCCCTCTGATCTCAACTACCGTGGCTACTACATCAACAGCGAAGATTCGACTGATTTCCACACTTCCAAGGGCCGCAACTACCACCAAGGACCTGAGTGGCTTTGGCCCACAGGGTTCTTCCTACGAGCCATGCTCAAGTTCGATCTACAACGCCGCAAGACGCCCGATGAACGCGTCGAGAGCTACCAGCAAGTCACTCGCCGTCTCGCCGGGTGCATGAAGGCCATTCAGGAGTCACCCTGGGCTGGTCTCACGGAGCTCACCAACAAGGATGGTGCATTCTGTGGCGACTCATGTCCCACGCAGAGTTGGAGTGCTAGCTGCATCATCGACTTGTTCCAGGACGCGCGCGAGTACGAGATGGGTGAGACTGCTCAGAAATCTTCGTCGTAGGTCGACAGGGCTGGCAGGGTCAAGAAATTCGTAGCCAAGATGACCTAGAAATGAGTAAACATAATGAGTCCTGGTTGTAGTAGTAGAGTAGGATGGGAGACTGTTGTTGTAGATACCTGAATTAATTCGTTGATGACTTTGAACTCGCGTCTTCCCACTGTCACTCCTATCGAATCATGACTTCCTTCTTGTTCATCTGCTGCCAGGCAAGCTTGCTACAAGCCTGTTATCCGCAAATCTCTGACAGCTGTAATGATTGTGCGTCGCCCTTGCTGACCAGCAAGCACCCGTGGGGTTGTATAGCATACCGACCGGGCTACAGTGGAGCTGCATGTCGTGCGGCGAATAGTTATAGGGCTGGCAGAGGCTTTCAACGCCGCTATCGAGAGCGTTCTACTCATCGAGGAGTGTTTGAGCGACGGCGGGTGACGAGATGGTAGGAATGGCTCTACGAGGGGGAGAAGGGCATACTGTTATCGCGCTCAATGTTAGCACATAAGAAGAAGCTCGCTGTGTGGATGATACCTAGATAGATTGTAGCCTGGAGGCACTCTCTATGCTTTGCAGTGATATGTCCATCATGCAATACATGGCGGGTATCCCTAGAGTGCCTTGCGTGGATAGAATTTGGAACCCACAGGCTTATTGTTCCTTGCTACGCATATTGTACAGAGCGATTATTGATATTGCAACAGTGTGTTATCGGGTAGACCAAATCATCGATTGAGTGACTGGAAACTCTACATGGGATCATCCCTTGTGTTCTATCGGAAAGGGTGGGTGGAGGGTGCACGCAGTGAAAGTCATCAATCTATGACTAGGGGTGAAACAGCTTGCGAAGAGCGGCATGACTGAGTGTAATCCACAAAATCATTTACCGCCTTTAGGGCGCAGAGCATTGTGAATCTCGGGATCTTCCTCGTCTATTCAGTCTCTTCAGTCTTAGTCTCATCGCCACGTCGCTCCTCCTTCTCCCTATCTCAACAACAACCCCTAAATCTAATTACGCCCGACAATCAGCTCACCAATGGCGAATCACCACCCATCGTACGATCCTCTCGATCCGCTGATGCGCCCTTACCCAGAAGGTCACTTCTACGCCACCACATCTCAACAGACTCTCTCTACGCCAATGTCCACAACCAGCGTTGCTGCATCATCGCCAGCCACCAGTATGTCACAAGAGGACGCCATCTCCGCGCGCTTCCTGATTGCAGTTGTTCGGAGCGACACTAGGGCCATGCAACAAGAGTTCCACCAGATGTTGTCGGTTGCACAGAGCCGAAACCAAGACTGTCTATTTCTGAAACAGTTACAGAAGCAGGAGGTTGAGGCGAATCACGGCGAAATGGATTGGATGCGCAAGCGGATCCAGGACTTGGAGGCTGAGGTAAGGCGCATAGAAGGGAGGTCAGGTGGATGAAAGATAGGCCGTGAGTGTGTGTTCAAGACAAGGTCCTTCCTGGCGAAGATGCTGTAGCCGTGTGATCCTTCTTCTACATCAGCGCGTAAACGCTCATCTTGGGCAGATTGAGTATAGACAGAAGCACCTTCAGGGTAGTCGCAAGCTCTCCTATCGACAATGAGCATGCAGATTGTAATTCTCCATGTCTTCGGTTATTTTGGCTCTGTACTGCCATAGTGCCAATAGGCTACATCAGGGGTTAATTGCTTTTTCCCGGGATGATCTGGCGTGATCAACCTGCTCGTTCCTTGAGTAGAAAGGGTTCCCATTGCGCCATCTTCAACTGACAGGCAGTGAAGGAAACATCGCTTGCTTTTGTATCTCTACCGATCAGAATGTCGTGCATAAAGAAGCACTGTGGCTACCCGTGTCTTTACTCGATCTGGACACGCGGCTGTGCACGCCGGCTCCAACCAGCCGAAAAGCAAAATGGGGATACCGAAGACGTGTTAGTACTCTCTACCAGCGAGTTGATACCTACGAGAACTGCCTTATTCGGACGCTTATCATCCCTACGATCACCCTTGGGATAACTTCGTGGTGTTGTGCTACTACACCGTTGGATGCATCCATCAACTTTGCCGTCGGAAGCCGACGGCAAATGTTTGAGTCAGCACAGACGACCACGAATCATCTTCCCTTCACTTTTGCCACGAGGCCCTGCTCGGTTTCAGGAACGATGAGCAACATCGCTTCTCGCATGAAGTTTAGATGTTGGTTTAAGGTACGGATGCGGCCCGTATGGCGCCCCACAGCTCAGGATAAATGCCTTGAAACGCTTGGTCAATGCTCAGGATGAAGCAAGAGACCGTTACGAAGGGTTGAGGGGCTGTCTTCGTATCGAGGCTGTCGCCACAATAGACTTCCTACGCAGTGAATATCGGTGTAGGTGATCAAAATGGCATTGCGCAGCAGACGCCATTGCCTGGATGATCCTAGGACGTAAGCACTCCTGTGTAAGCGTAAGCGGCACTGGCGTGATATTGTCTCTAACCGTCTATTATCATGCGACTATGAGCCGAGGCATGGTGGTTTGTCACTTGAAAAGGAAGGGTGAGTGCGGTACCTCCGAGAGAAGGGCCGATGGTGTGCAGAGTGACAGTCTTTCAGCTGTCAAGTTCGCAGTCTGAGGCTGCAGCGACTAATTGGCCATCACTTGGACGGGGTCCATATATTGCAGGCTATGCAGTGTCACAGGCCAATCGCCTTCTCGGTGGCTCGGCATGGTGCTATTCGCGTATATGCAAAGTGTTGGCAAACCACCACCAGTACGCTGACTGGCAAATGAGGTATGGATGTTCGCACCAATAAGGCTAGCTGCACTGTCTGCCAGATAACGCATGCGAGCCATCGCCAGGCACGAACAGGCGAGATCTGAACATGATGTTGAGGGTGGCAATTCTGCCGTCTCGCCCAAGACATGGTATCTGCTATTGAGCATCCTCGAAGCGTGAGTCAGTTGCGTCAAGGCCAGCAGGCACTTGACCTTTTGTGAGATTAGCAGGCTCGAGCTTCCAGTGTCTTCCGACGACTACATTTGAGCGGATTGCTTCGACCTAGCCAGGTCGGGAGTGTTGTGCATCTCAAAGCTTCGATCCTTCGATGTCGTGCAGGCACGCGTACATGCCTAAGCGAACAACTGACGGCGAAACTCGCCACAGGGACGTGAGGAAGCTTGCAAGAGACAGGTGGGTCAAAGCTGCCGCCCGCTGCGAGCCAAACATTGCGAATGCAGCACCTGGGCTGATTGGCGCAACGTTTCTTCAACGTCGATCTTTGTGAGGTGATTAGCGTGGATGAGGTGGTGCACGCGAGGCGGGGAAGGACTCCCGTGGCAGGGATTAGCGTGAGTGTGAGTCTAGGGCTTAGCACTTTAGATGGCTCAACCGCATTGATGGACTCGCTAGCTACGACGTCCCCATGCGAGCAACGTACGTGTCCTATACAGACGTCCGTGATGAGCATGGCTACATGCGACAAGTGATGAGAGTCCACTAGGTGGATTTGTCCGTGATAAGACGTGCCGCTATGCAAGCAAAGAGTGAATGCAAGCAAGGCAGCGGTTCCATGGTCTGCAGATGGAGCAATCAGTCGATGGCGAGGCAACAGACTTGGATCCGGGCCTAGGCGAATGATGAGCGGCTTGGCTTGTGGTGCAACTCCTCAGGAGAATGACTTTGTACCACAGCAGGAAACACTCGTGAAACTTGGGGGAAAGCTGAGCAGGCAGATGATAGACTCATGTACTCGGGCCGTGGGTAAACCGCGGTGTCGTCCCGTAGTGGCTCTTGGTTCTTCGAGAAGTGGAGAGACTCGCCTGGCGATGTCCGGATGTGCAGAGCAGCCATTTTGGCTAGAGCTGTGAAGGACTTGCATTATCGCCCGCAGGTTCAGGGAGGCATGTTCTGTTGATTGTCCAGGACACGCTTTGTGGTAGGCGTATAGTCGCGGATGAATGATACCCCATATATGGAGCTATTTTGATAATGGTAGAAGGATCTTCCTTTGCGGCGTAGTAGGCTGACAGCACCGTAGGATCGCCACGCAGCTACCCGATGGTCACGACGGGCAAGTCCTAATCAGGCAATGTCGGCGTACGATGCGATGGAAGATAGTTTGATGACTGACTTGGTCGTTGTTCTTGCACACCGCTTAGTGTGTCTCGAGATATTTCCGGGTGGTCAAGCTTGTAGACAAGGTCCTTTGAAAGTGTGGTCATCGGTCAAGCTTGGAAGCAGGGACTAAATGGGCCAATCAGACGGCGGTCGGTATACCGAGACAGGCACTTCTGGCTTTGGTCGAAGAGGCGCGAGCGCGGGACGAATCCCATTCGGTCCGGTAAATGAGGGTCGCCCATGTCCCATCGGTGAAGCAAATGGGGTCAGAGTCGGGTTGCAGGGCACTAGATGGCCGTTGAATGCGTCAGGAGGGTGCAGCTGAAGCTTGCCGTCAAGCGCCACAAACACCGTTGGGTGCTAGCCGAAACAGCAAATGGCTAGGAGAGTGCGAGGCGCTAACGGCTTTGGGAGTCCGAGGAGGACTTTCTGATATGGCGGGCAAGTTGAGGAGGTGTAATGAGGCCATGGACGGCTGGAGGCGGCACAGTCATGGTCAACAGGTGTGGTTAGCGATGGCAACGATGGCTCTGGTCTGGTCTGGCCATTGCGCGCGCGTTTGGCAGCGTCGTGTTTGCAGCATCGCATTTCCCGTTGCAGAGCCTCGTTGTCGCGGCGCGTCGGTCCCTGAGACGGGAAGCCCACAGTTGCGTTCATTCGGCTGCAGCCGCACGCGTCCAAACAAGCAAAGGGACACGCTGGCGGAGAGAGGCAGATTGGACAGTGGCACAGGCAGGCAGGCCGGCAGGCAGGCAGCGTCTAAGATTGTCGGGAGAGTACGGGAGGAGTCACGTGGGGCAGGGCAAGGTAAGGTAAGCAGCTAGCCGCAGTGGGCACACACGGCCGGACAGGTGGCTGCACAGGTGGGCTGCACAGGTGAGGTGCACACAACAGGCCCCATGGCCGAGGACGTTGTGCGCTGCACTCGTGTTGCGTGCTGGTGCTGGTGCTGATGCTGGAGTCGCTCGTTACTCGGATCCGGAGCGTGGTGTCTGGTGTCGGCCACGGCCACGGCCATGTCCTGTGCTCGCCCGAGGGGGGGGGGGAGGCTCGAGTCTGGCAAGATTGGCATGCCACAAGCGGATCTCCAGCCGCCTGCCCCGAGCCCCTTAGCGCCTTTGCACGCATCCGCGTCTGGCGTCCCGCCGTGCGAGGTCCATGCTGGCAGCATGGGTGGCTCTGGTCGCGACATGGGTGGCTGTGGGTGGGCGACATGGGAGGACGTGGGAAGACATGGGTTCGTCGACGGCATCAGGTCCCCGCTGCATGCCATCTCAAGTGGGCCCCAGAGCTCTCTTTCACAGTGCAGCAGCGCCTTCCCCCGCAGCCTGCGCAAACCAGTGACATGCCCTTGTTGCAAGCCCCCCAACTAGGGCCTCCAGCCGCTTCTTCCTGAGCGGAGCTGCACAAGAAGTCGCTGCAAATGCTAGACCCTTTCCACTCTTCCCGTGAGACCCTACTCCTTGTGCGACCCTGCCCTTCTTCCTCAACTCCCACTCAAGCCGCCGCTTGACCGCCAGATAACAACTTAAGACGACCGAATGCCATGATGGGGAGCGACTGGCATCCACGCAGGCACCCGCAGCCCGACCCCAACCGCTTTCCCCAGCGAACCCTCCCCAGCTTTGCTGAGCTGACCTCGTCGTCGTCCGACTCAGTCCTGCACCGCCCGCGTGACTCTGTCCCGCCGCCGCCTGCTGCAAACACCGCCGACCGGCCTGTCTCACAATCCACGCCGCCCACGACGCTCGCCGCGCTCGACTTTGCCAGTTCCGCACAGCAAGCCTCGTTCACCGCAATCAATCACACGAGCCCGCACGTCAGGTAAGTAGCCGTAACAGAGCCTGCCGCAAGCGTGCTGACTTGTTGGGCAGCCCCACCAACACCAGAATCCCGCCCCTTGCACCAGAACAACAGCAACATCATCATCATCAACCACAAAGGTTTTCTCTTTCATTACCCCAGCCAACTGCTGGCCCGTACAGTCCCCAGGAAGTCGCTGCACCATCGCAACCACCGCCAATTGCTAGCCTGCGCCAAGACTCGGCCATCTCCCAGCACCGTTTCGACACCTCAAAAGAAGCCGAGCCCACTGTTCCTTCCTCTGTTCTTGCCTTTTCCTATTTTCACCCTGCTGTAGGGGGTAATGGTCGTCAGCCAAACGCTCCCCGGCCAATCTCACATCCTGCTGGGCCCGCTTCTCCCCATTCCCCAGCGAGTGAATATCGCTTAAATCAACCATCTGTAGAGACAGGAACCCGCAACCAAAACGGAGCAACCTCACCATCGTCATCCTCCAACCCTCACACTTTTGCCGAATCTTCCAGGTCGCCAGAGCAAGTGCGAGACGCCAACACAGACTCCGGATCCAAGAGACCACTACCATCTCCAACGTTAGATCAAACAAACGGCAGTGGACGACATCAACGCTACAACGTAAGATTCAACACCGTCTACACCTCGGAAAACATGCCGCCAAATCAAAGACCCCGGCCAGACCCCCATCCGACAGCCCCTGTGCCAGTGGAGACTCCCGAAGAACAGCCATCGCCTGAGCACACTATCAAGCCTTCTGTGGAGCAGGCCATCTTGGCCATCACCACTGCAGCTCCTCCCCCTATGGAGGATCCGGCGCAACTTCAGCAGCAAAACACGCCCCAAGTGGAGCGGTGCAAGAACTGCGGTGTTCGCTGGAAGCGGCCTTTACCCGGAGAAAACCAGTTCCGACTGAGCTCACCTGCGCAGAACATACGCGAACAGACGAGATTAACCGAGGATTACATCAAACGACTGGAAAATCACACCAAATATGCCGACGAAGCGTACGCGCATTGGGTACGCCAACACCAGATGTGCCCCGCGGCTGCAACCAGCCCGCCCGAGACAGAAGCAGCGCATAAGTCACGGAGTAGAAGCATAGAAGACCCTTCACCTCCCAGTCCTCCGGCCCATCCTGTTTCCGCCAAGCGAAAGTCCGAGATACCTCACGAAGCCTCAAAGTACCGAAAAGTAGTAACATTTGACCCTCCATCCAACCCAACACCACCTGTCCGTTCCACAGCTCCGGCCTAGGTCATTAATGTCTACATTACACCGTTCACGATTACGCTTCCGCACACGAAAGTTATCATTCGATTCACGTCCGCATTTGCATTTGGGTTGGTGTTCATGACAGCAAAAGAAGATCGTCCGCTATACCCCCATCCGGTCGTCTTCACGCTCTTGCCTTGGCTGCTATTTTTGGTATTTGGTACTGTAAGGGTTTACTGCTTGAAAGAGATGGTTAAGAAAAAGGATCGGCGTTATCATTCTCGACAGTGTTACCCTCTTCACGGCGTTATCTATTCTACGCCACCATAGCTCTCTACGATGAGAAGCGTTTGTCATGTTGCTGCTCAGATCTGCCCACGTCATGATGCTGCTATGTATCACCTGATGTACGTGGTACGCCTCCACATCTACGTTTCACACCTCCTTCGTCCGCGCTCCGTCTCCGGTGCCGACAGCATGTGCCTATCACACCAGCTATCACTCGACGATGTTGCTACTATACCCAATCTGATCTCTTCTTCACAACTGCTGGACTACTGCATGAGTCGAGTCCCCACTAACGACCCTGTTACCAAAGCGCGAAACTCACAAACCTTATCCAAACATTAGGGGCCCAGCATTCCGTGCTCGGACAAGGATGCACCAAGCCCCGCACAAGCGACGAGCGTCAAAGCGGTTCGGTACGAAACCCAAAGTATCAATCAATATGGATCCGCTGAAACAGAGTTCTGGTATCCCGATCGATCTCTGGGCCACCCTTGCAACTTGGATGCAGTCTTTATTGACGCAGTCTCGACTTTCACATGTACAACAGCCGGTAAATTCAATCGCAACAACGTTCTAGCGTGTCGACATCATTCAAAGCCTCCCACTGGGCGAAGCAGCGAATCAGGCGCCCGGGGCATGTTCCAGCTCACGCTATCCGAATTACCTGCATGACTAGCCACACCCTTACATTGCTACTCGCAAAAACGGGATAGGGTGACACGGCTGACGGCTGCCGAGCGGGGCTTCCCGAGTCGCCAACGCTGTTGAACTCGCTATCGCGGCTAATCATAATTCGTCGCTCAACTTCCCCATTCCGGTACAGCGGAGTCTTTCGGTGCTGTTCGAGTTTGGCCGAGTCCGGTATACTCTCGAATATCGATTTTGAGTTGGATCATCGTGGATTTGAGATGTGGCTGAAAAGCGGCCATACTGCGCAACGGCGACGCAGGCAAAAGATTTTCTTTTTCTTTTCTTTTTATCCGTTTTCGTAAGCTGATGTTATGTGTGTATCTAGCAGATGGTAGATTTTGTATTGCGCAGCAGATTACACACGGTTTTCCCTGGTGCGGGGAGCATATGAAGGTCTAGACATGGAACGCATACAATTGAGCCACAGTTGATAATGACCTCATCAGCAGTGTCGACCTGGGCGGCGTCATCAGCCTCGCCAATCATGACCGTTTCGATGTGGTTCTTACAGGCTTCGGCACGCCTCTCTCACGCGACTGCCTGCTGATCTTTGATGTTAGCCTCACGAAGAAATCCATGCAAACCCAATCGGTCGCTTAGAATTCACCAAATTGAACGAAATGCACCCGCAACAATTCCGAATCACTGGGTTCAAAGACCTCGGAACGCCCTTGCAACGTTCTTGTATAAATAGTCAGCGTCGATCGCTCGGAGCACGCAGCGCCTTCGGGAAACGCTGGGTGTCGATTGCAGATCTAGGCTCTAGCGCAGGCAAAACTCTCTCGGGGCGTGCTAACGGCTTACGTCGCTGGCTGGGGGCGCGAGGCTACGGGAACGCTCGTCGAGTCACAACGCCTGGACGGTCGTTTGAGAATGTGGGTATACAATCGGTCCGCAACGTGATTGCAAACTTGCTGTACCCGGACCTAAAACCTGGCTCACATGCCGAAAACAATGCTCAAGTGCCGCTTAATATGCTTCGGCAGTATGCGGCATCGACATGGCTGCATGATATACGTCATAGTACGTTCAGTGTGCTAGGGAGCTGAGGAGTTTGGGCCCCAAGACCTTTTTGCTCAGGCTGTGTAGAGCTATCCGCCCACGACGCAAAACGCACGATGAAGCCACGTAGCCGTCGGACCTGACCCAGAATTAAGGCCCCATTTGTTAGCAGGTTTTCTGTACAAGGCAATCTTCCATGCATGAACTTGGATGCTCTAGACAAACCATTGTACCCACGCGTCAATTCCTTCCTGATACAGCGGCAGTGTGCAAGTGCCATTCATATCCTTTTCCGCTTCCCCCGCTTGGCGATACATCATCGGCCGCGGGAATGCACAGACAGCAATCGCAACCGTCCTCCGTCAGTTCCAGCGAAACACTAGCCGCAAGAGCGTAGCCTTGGGGTGGAGTCGCCCCAGCTGGCGCCGCAGGTTAATACAACACAGGCCGCCGTTCGAGTCGCGGGCTCTCCCTGAAGCTCGACCCATCCATTGTTTGATTGGCGCATCAACCACTGAGGGCCGGCACCAAACACACCAGTTCCTTCGCTTCGCGCGCGACACACCATTATTGCTGACTCGTCATCCGTTATGGAATCACTGGGGTGTCTTGTGCGCATCTTACCTCACGTAAGAAAACTGCCGTTGGGCGTGCCGGCGGAATTTCCCCGTTGCCTCCTGGTATGCGTGCGGCCTGACTCGTCGCGTAGTAAATCCGTCCCCTCATAGTTAGCAGCGGACTGAATAGACGGACCTGAAAGGAACCCCTGCCGTGATCACAAGACAAGCCGCGTCTGCAAGACGACGGTTCTCATCACGACCGTGGCAATGACAGCTGTCAAAAGACAGGGCCCTTTATGCAGCCAGGTCGTAAGAGGCAAGAGACGGGCTGCGGTTGCATTGGGCCGACCGACGGTTTTTCTTGCAAGTGGAGCTTCGCGCGGAAGGATCCTCCCTCACGACGTATTGTCTATACCTGAGGTTCGATATAACCTTCTACGGTTTGCACCACACTTCGCCTACAAGCGCGATGCATCGCTTGCAACTCATAATGGCAAATTCCACCGCAATCAAGTGCAGCAGGGGTGGACAAAATATCTTATGAACTGGGATATGTAGCGAATCGGAAGTCCCGGCAGCAAAACATTTCGTTGGAGTTGGCATACTGTACACTGGCAGCATCTTCGGCAGTTGGACCTGGAAATTCGCGAGTAATGCTATCAAGAACGTTGCGGTTAGCATACCGACGACAATATTGCTGCACTAAATTGCATTCAATATTAGACGCAGCTGATTGGCTACTTTGTACTATGGTCCAGGAACGCACCAGATACAGCAGTCAGGCTGGAGATAAAACTTGGCTCCGGCCACCATACCGCTTCAATACACATCCATCCCGTGCATACCGGCTCTGAAACCTCATCTTCAGCCGCTATCGCCGCAACTGTGCCACACAGGAGATGCGCGGACGGACGACCGCGCAGTCACCAAGGGCATCGCAATCAAATCGCGGTAGAACAATCCAGCCAAGATTTCAATACTGATATAGAAGCCTTGCACGCGATTACATGTGGCAACGCTCACGGCATGACGCAAGGGGCCTGCTTCATGGAGTACATGCTGCGATGTTAAATTTACCGATGGTGTGCAGATGGTATGCTGTAGCGCGCGCCGAATCTGCGGTTGCAACGCCCTCCTCCGATCGGAGAGCAAACTTGGTAAGGGCTTTCAATGTTGTGACTGGCTGGACTCCAACGCCGACGTATATGCAGGTTTTCCAAGGTTGTATCACGCTGCAAGAGCGATGACGCCCCTGCGTTCCCTTTTGTGGTGTCGACACCCTGCGTGTTCACACCGTCTCCCTTGCATGGGCCTCTTGCTTCACTCCGAGAGGTGCGGGTCAGGATCCCACAGTCATAAGTACACAGAAAAGGCCAAGTTCGTATCGTGTTCGGGGGGCCAAGAAAGTTTAGAGATCGATCATCGAGATCTCGTCCGAGTGCGCAATCCCCCTCTTTTTACCCACGCTAAATGCCCCGGCCCGCATGAACAACCAGCAAACGACTACGACAACTACCCACAATCCACGCGTCGTCGTCGCGATCTAGATCAAAGGATGCCTTATCCTGAAATGTCAGATCTGCCCGTGAACATACGATGCGGAAACTCACATGCATGAGTTCCTTGTCTACACTCACACCCCTGATATTTTCTTTTTCTTCCCGCAAGCCACCTTCCAAGCTTAGCACAAGATATCATTGTCATCGGAAAAAGCACATGCAAGAAGTCTGTTCTCGTGCCATCGGACATTATGCCGAGCATTGAGCCTTCTAGGTAACATAAACATTTCCATTGGCTAGGGACAAGGATGTGTGTCCGCAGACCGAGACATCTGATGCGTGACAGATTTCGCTTATCGTACTCCGATCTATTGTTGCATTTCGTGAATAGATACTGTATGCTTTCTTAGGAATTTTGTCCGTATGTGTGGGTGTAGTTATGGGTGTGTGGGGTATAGGGCGTGACAAGAGAGGCAGGAGTAGCTGTCAAGTACAAGGCTGTTTTTGCATTGCCGGGTATCGTTTGGGCTCTGTTTTCAATTGCCGGTACCCTTTCTCCTTTCACACCAATCCGATTGTCTCCTGTTTCGTCCACTGTCGAGTTGAGTTGTGTCTAGAGTAGAAGCGAAAGTCCATTACAAATTGGGGAAATAGGTGCGAATCCATCACAAGGTGCCGGTTTAGTAACGCCGAGCGGGTAAATGTAACAGGTGAGCAGAATTGTCGACAGCCACCACCACATCTGAATTACTTTCATGGCCGCATCTGTGTCCAACCTCTCGAAGGATTGGGCAGAATTGGAGATAACAACCTTGGAAGTAAGCCGGTGGCGTGGAACTGGAAATGATTCCCGGTTAATTCGCAAGGATGGAAAACGTCACGAATGGCGTCAAGATGGAAGACCCGTGCACATGTACTTGGAAAATTAGTAGACGGTTGGAAGCGAGAGAAAGTAGTGCATCTTAGTACGACTCGTACGAATGGAATGAAGGGGTGATGGGGGGCGTGGTCGTGGCGTAGCGGCTAACCCGTTAGACGCCTTACTGTGGAAGTGCATTAGCATAAACGAAAGTCAATATGTAAAAGATGCACATTTTTTTTGTTTTATTTTATTTTTTGCGTTCCCAAAACCTTGGATTGCGGGGCGTCTGTGTAATACCGACAGTTTCTTTTCGCCCAAGACTTTTACTCGTGGTCATCACGTCGCTGTCGGAAATGGTCTGTCAAAAACGGTGACACGCGACTATGTGAAGGCGTTGAAACATGTAAATTGCCATCCTCCTATCGAAAATCAGTTCAATTATGCATATTGTCTTATTCTGGCAGCTTGCTGCTCATGCCCGTGGTCCCACCGTTATCTTTCGCCTTCTAGGACACCTCTGAATCTCCATCCTAAGGATGTCTTCAGTCATAAGTGGTATTAATGCAATAGGTCGAGCTTGATGAGCAGGATACAGCGGATATAAAAACACACACACATATAGAGCAGGGTCTATTGATATCTTCGACCACGATCATCGGTTTCCCCTCCCTCTAATAGGTTTACAGCTTGTTGCCCATGTTAATATGTACTGCCTTCACCTGTGAGTAAGCCTCCAGTCCTGCCTCCCCAAGCTCTCTTCCAATACCGCTTTGTTTCACGCCGCCAAAAGGTATCCTGTAGTCGCAATCTTGACTGCTGTTTACCCATACCATGCCCGATTCAATCTCCGCAGCCACCCTGTGAGCTCTTTCGAGATCCTTTGTGAAGATAGCACTACCAAGACCGAAAATTGAATCGTTGGCCATGTTCACCGCCTCCTCTTCTCTTGAGAAAGTGGCAATCACTACGAAGGGGCCGAAGATTTCCTCTCGGTAGATGCGCATGTTGGGCGAGACCTTTGTAAATACTGTCGGCTTGACATAGTAGCCGTTGCCTTCGCAAGCCTCTCCGCCTTCTATCAGCTCTGCCCCTTCAGATTTACCGATGTCGACATACGATAGCACTCGCTCATATTGCTGCTTCGTGACTTGAGGGCCCTGGAAAGTGTTTTCGCTCCATTGATTACCGATGATGGAAACATTTTTAATCTGCTGACGGAATTGAGAGACGAATGTATCAAACACTGATTCCTGGACAAGTATTCGAGACGTGGCTGTGCATATCTGCCCTTGGTTCGACATGATACCCACGTGCGACCATCGTACCGCCTGGTCCATATCGGCATCTTCAAAGACGATCAACGGGGACTTGCCTCCAGTCTCTAGAGTAATGTTCTTCAGCCCTACTGCGGCCATCTTCATGATTTGGGTAGCTGTAGTCGTAGAGCCTGTGAAAGCGACTTTGTCGACGAGGGGATGTTGTACCAACGCTGCACCTGCTTCCCGTCCAAGCCCATTCAAGATATTTACGACGCCAGGTGGGAACCCAGCCTGCTTGATAAGTTTGGCCAGAATGAGAATTGATAGTGGGGTCTGCTCCGCTGCTTTTAATACAACCGTATTACCGCACGCTAGCGCAGGTCCAAGTTTCCAGCAAGCCATGGATAAAGGGTAGTTCCAAGGGATGATCTGGGCGACGACACCGATGGGCTGGCGTAGGGTATATGCAAACTTTTGGGGGGTCGTACTGATGGTCTGTCCGGAAATCTTGTCTGCCCAACCAGCGTAGTAGCGAATGGTAGAAAACGCTTCAGGGAGGTCTTCGGTAAGGGCTACATTATAAGGCTTGCCTAACGACTATTAGTGTTTTCAACTCATGTATTCGGTGAGGCTCACCATTATCCCAAGCATCGATAGTGGCAAGAAGCGTTTTGTTCTCTTCCATCAAGTCTGCAAGCTTTGCCATGAGTCGCCCACGTTGAGTAACGCAAAGTTGCTTCCATTCTGGATTCTTCAGTGCTTTCTTCGCTGCTTGGACTGCACGATCAACGTCTTGCTCTGACGCAGCCTGTACTACAGCAATCTGCTTTTCCGTGGCGGGGTCGATTGATGCTATTGTGTTTGCTGGGGATGATGAATCCACGAATTCGTTGTCGATGAAGAGGCCCGTCGGCTGCTCCCACTCTTGACCATTCGGTGCTTTTAGCTTGATGGCTTGAGGCATGGTTACTGATTTCGATTTTATATCTGGTCTTCGCAGTCTTGCTTGGTTTACTGAACGTCTTAAGTAGTGATATTGACTCTGTACAAAGTGCGAGTATGGTCATATATCGCATGGTGGGGTTGGTCGAACCCACACTAGGTTATCACAGCAAGGTTAGTGGCTTTGACGACTGGGGCTAGGAGTCTCCTGCCGAATCTAGTAATCTTCTCCCTCCGTTTCCGCTCGCAGGTTCCACGAGAGGGACAATGTAGAGGCCTTCTCTCACTGTAGGACTGGTGACAGAAGCCGGTTTTCGATTGCATCGTGCGGGTCCGCAACAGCCTTAGAAGCGCGAATACAATATCTAGGACCAGCGTGACGATCTTGAGCAAAAAGTGGGTTGACACAGTATAACACAGCCTTTGCTATGTTTTCTTTTTTTAAAGTGCTCGTGATAAAGAGGGGATGATATAGTACCGTCCAGTGCCGTCGCCCGGGGCGCGCTCGGCAGGTGTCAGGCGCTAGGCGTCAACCTCATTACCAACACTTGATCATACCCTAACATCCGTCACCAAGATAGCATAACTCCTCGTCAGGCCACCATACCCCAATCGTGGTACTATGTAACTTGACTACCCACTGTATACGCTTACAGATGGCCCTCCGTACTTGTTTCATTTTTGCCCTCCGCCTCGCGGCCGTCTACCTATGTGGGTCGACTTCAACGCTGGAAAGATCGGGCGCTCAGATACAGCAAATCGTATAGGACCTTTGTTTGTGCTTTCACTGTTCAATCGAAGATGTTCAGAATGCAAAAGGATAGGAGGTGCAGGATTAAAGGTAGGCCTGTCAACAAGTATACTTACATTGTACCCAGGAAGAACTACTATAGCATAGCGCAGTAGACGATACACGAGATGCTGTCAATAAAGAACTCACCCAATGATGGAAACGAATCCAGAATCAAGAGGTATGGAACAATTCTAAGACTGACAAATACAAACACACACACACACACACACACACACACACACACACACACACACACACACACACACACACACAAAAGGATACCCATCGTAGACTTGTGCGCCCGCTCACTGCAAATACACAAAGCATGAGAGAGTCTAGCTACTCGTAGCTACAAACTCCTTCCAACTCACGCACTGGGAGCATATCCAAATGTCCGCCTCATTTGTCGTACTCTAGTAGGGTCAGCTCTGACTCTGACGCATTTGGACTAATATCGCCCTTCTTCAACATCAGTTTGGTGAGCTATCCGTCTCGAAGGTAGATATAAGAAGATATTGAAATTTACAAGAGGTTAAATAGTCTCTCATTCGACACCCATGAATGCAATATGACTGACTCCGTCACAGACAACGCGATCATCTGCATCGTAACGTAAAGATTGGCTTGTCTGGCTTGTTCGCATCAGTTCACTTCTCTTGCGGTACCCGAGGAGATGGCAGATGGGACGGTTTCATGGATCGAGCCTAACACAAATTCTTAGCAGGTTGCCTTTAAAAGACATCAGTCATGTTTATTTCATTTGGACCCCCTCCAAAATGTGAGCAGTACCGACAAGCGCCCTTGGTGTTTTTCATCTCGTTTCACAAGTTTTTCTGGGGCTACTCTTTGACGAGGGTATAAGCTAAATACGGGGTGTCGGCATCCTGTTTTGTAAGAGCTGCGATAGACGACATGTACCAACATAGTTGTCTTCTTCCACCCTAACCCCATCCGTTATTTCATTACTCTGCTACTATCAGAGCCTGTCCGGGCGTAGGCGTTCATGGGTAGCAATTCTAGCTACGAAACTCTAGAGGATTGTGGACCGCGGCGTCTATATACTCCAGGCGTATACGTTGATGTAACATTATCGTGTCGGGATTCTGACTTGAGTCATACAATGACATTCATTGTTCCCGTACTAAAGTCGCAACACAGCTCTTCAGCAGTCCCATCAATCGCATCTGTATGTTCCGCCCCGCGGGCGTATCCGCATGTTTACCAGCACCCCAACCGAACGGTAGCACCAGCCTTCTTCTACTCTGCTTGTCCAGCACGACCAGTGCATCTAATGGGAATTTACCTCCACCGAGAGGATGTAGAAGGCCTAGGCGGACGAAGTGGTTGTTCGAAGGGGTTGCGGCTTGTATGACGGGGAGCGAAAAGGGCGCGGAAGAGGATAGTCTATGTGTCGAGGGGTCGTGGCAGAGTACGAGGGCCTGGAGCGAGGGAGAGAGAGCGTAGAGGTCAGGGAGTGCGGAGCTGTTGCAAGTCAGTAAGAATAGTGCGGATGGAATAAATCGGATTTACCATAGCAGCTCGTAGTGTATTTGAACGTTTCCTTGGACGCACAAAACTATTATTGATTCTTGTTTTGAGTATCTTGCCCAATTGTTATGCGCTTCTAGCTTGCTGCTTGGTAGAGTCGCGAGTGTGTTGCTGGCAAGTATTGCGTCGACATCCACACTCCAAGCCTCTTCCGGACTGATCATGTCTAGTTCTTCCAGTTCACATTGTGTCTTGGACCTCTTCAGGGCATCGCCCAATGTTGGCAGAGTGGGCGACGGCTCTCTGCGGTGCTGCACCTCGTCCTCGTCCTCGTCAATGGTCAGGCGCGAACGTTTGCGGCTGAGTGCCACGCTCATGGTCCAGCTGTTGTGCGTAAGTAGATGGCCCATTTACGGCATCACATGATACGTGCGTTGTGGATGAAGGAGGCACGACCAGCGCACATGTTCCTACAGTAGTTTGACGAGTTCGCGGTTGTCGCAGAGACGCACGAGCAAAACGTCGGTGGTTCCTGCACGCCAGGCCCAAGCTTCCTGCATACCCCGCCTTGCCTTGCCTTGCCTGCCTACCCCACTATCGATCAGCTGCGCCTAGGCTACCAGAACGGCGGCTGGCGACCTGCGTCTTGGATGCTTCGCTTCCATGGCCTCAAGAGACGTCACGAGTAGGCTGCGGCAGAGCACTTGGAATGGGAGTATTCCGCTCGAGATACGGTTGCACAAGGGTGACTGTAGAACGTACGATGAGTCGGATCCTTACTTAGTACGCGCAAACTCAATACTCGCATGGTCATGGTACAGCTTGATCAAGTAGGAGCTGACCAGAGGTAGATACAATTCCCACGAATATCCTATCTTGGCTTACTCATACACAAACTACATGCCTTCTTCTCACGCAGCCTCATCTACCCGGACGTCTCACCCAAAGACGCATGGCTATCCTACGAAGACGTGCCGCTCAAATGGCATTACCCCTTGGGTCTCCTCTATGACCTCTACTCAGGTGCTGAGCCAGCGTATCCTTCAGACACAGATACAGAAGCTGTGCAAGCTCACAAGGTTGAGAATACAGAGGAAGACGGCCAACATTTACCCTGGCGTCTCACACTGCATTTCTCTGGCTTCCCTTCCGAGCAGCTTGTTCAACTCGATAATGACGATAGGCACATGCATGATCTATTCATTCATAGCGTGAAGGAGGCGGATTACCTGAGAACAGGAACGGGGAAAACAGTCATGTTCTTGAGCAAAGAGGACAGCACACAGCTCTGGAACGGAGTGAAGAAGCACGACTTTGCGCTGTACAATCCCATCAACCAGAAGTTGCTGAATCCGCAAGGGGTCAATCTGAGACATCTGCCGGTCAGGCTGTATCTCCCGCATGCGTCGTCAGAAGGGGTGCAAGAGGAAACGGCGCCAGGGAGTTTGAGAATTGTGCAGAGGCTGGTCACGCCGAACCTGTCGTCTAGTAAGTGTAATTGCGGTGTAGGTCTGGATGCAGCTGACAACAAACAGGGCAACCACAGACCATCGGGACTGCCTTGAACCAGATATTGCCGACACTATTTCCGAGCAGACGAAGTCCGCTACTGGCACAGGCAGTGCTGCACGGTGCCGTCTTGCCGCTGAGCGCGAGTGTGGAGGAGTTGGTTCGGGCGACAGCATATCTTGATGGCTGGCTGCACATAGCTGTTGTTATGATGGCGTGAATAAGTATTTTATGCCCAGACAAGTCGGTCACATGGCGACCGAGTCATGAGCAACACTATACGACCATGGTTGATAACGACGATATTGGCTGTTTGGGAGACGTCATTATAGCGGACACGGAAACACGCCCCAGATGCTAGCCCCCAGCTCTCTCGCGACACTTGCTACGGCTGGTGATGTGTGCGTGACATGGTGATGCTCCTCAGCGTTTCAAAGCGCCTCCTGTGTGCCATGCTTCGCCAAGATGCGGGGGCACAGGCACAACAGAAGCTTAGTGATGATCCCGGCAGCTCGTACCAAGGCCACCCCACGCGTCTCCGTTGTGCGCAGGCGCTATCGGCGTAGCGCGTCGCCCTGTTGACGGCAGAGCGAGCGTCTGGAAATGAGGCATTATTGACATGCGTTGTTTTTGTCTCCGGTGCGCTAGGCGTGCTTTTGCCTGCCAGCCCACGGTTCGACTTGTGTCAAACGGCCAAGGCGCTCGGTCGGAGCGTGGGCTCGCTGCGTCTCCATCAGTCACTGCAGATAAGCAATAGGCGATGACATCGTTGCTGCTTCTGCGGCACAAGAACGGTTAATAGGTGGCAGGGGTCGAGGTCGAGTGGAGCCGACGAGTAGCGTCAGCGGCGGCTTGCAGCAACCAGACGCAACTGTGGAGGCGCGAGAGGAGAGTCCATGGGGAGTCGCTGGCGTCGAAAGCACCACGAGAAGGACCGGTGAAGCTGCGCAGAGGCTTTCTTATCGTCCCAACAAGGGAAACAAGTTGCAAAATAGCGAGCCAACACGTGCAAACACTCGACCGCTGCCGAATATGAGGCTGGCGATCGTCGGCTCATCTACGACGAAATGATGGCATGTCGCGCCATTGGCTGCATTGAGTAGCTCCCTCCTAGCTCCCTCAACCCTCGCGTTGCTAGGTCCCAGCCATTCATCTACTCTTCACGCTGCTCTTCGCCCCGAATCTCCAGCATCCCCAAAAGCCCACCACCAACTGCCCACCGCAACGCGCATTCGCGATTCACTGTAAGTTCACTAATTCCATGACCGCTCCCATCCCCGGCCGAAGCGCGCGCACCTACCCTTGCAAGCTTGGAGGCTCCCGGCCAACCCGCTAGGACCCGGGGCCAAACAAAATGCCTCATCAACTGCAGAAATTTTCGGCGAGCCGGCGCATTTAAAAGCGGACTATCAGCCTCTTGTTATTAAGGCTTTTGATTTCACTCTTTGATGCTGCATCGCTGTCGACCTGCGCCATTCAATTAACATCGCCGAGTCCCTCTGCCGTCGCGACCGTTCCGTGGGTTTGATCCGATCGCGCTGACAAGCTTCCGTCACCATCAACAGCTGCCAACCAAAGCTTCAACCAGCTCGACAATTCAAAAGAGGTCCGATTCAATTCGTAAATGTAAGCTTAATGCCGCTTTCTTCTGGAGCTGTCCACAAGCGTGCGCGCCGCGTTATCGCATCTACGCCATCGGGACGAGTCTCGCGACAAGCCTTGGCCGAAGATCCTTTTGCTCGATAGCTCTCTTGGACTGAATCGCGTTCGCCCAATGCCTCTGGCCTGTGCTTCTCCAGCTCCAGGAATCTCTCCAGCTACCTAATCGAACATCCTCTCTAACATCTTCACCCCAGAAACCCACAAACACAATGGCCGCCATCTCTATGCCCATCGCCGCTCGCGCCGAGTACGCTCTCCACCAGCTGGCCAAGCGTGACAAGAACTGGGCTCAGCGTGAGCCCGGTGTCATCGTCGTCTTTGTCATTGTTTTCCTCGTCGCCGTCCTGGTCATTGCCATGTTCATCAACAAGAAGGTACGTCACAGCTTCACCAGCCACCTAACTTTACACATCTCTAACATCCATCACAGAGGCAAGCCGCCAAAGGCGTCGCATAAGATACCCCCTTGATTCGAGTTGGAGCGCAGCCGAGCAGTACGATATGAAGGAGGACAAGACATGACCCCCGATACGAAGTCATAAAGCTGTATGTTGGACGGGCACGAGCTTGTGTATAATGTGTTTCAATATTTGCGTATAGGATAACGCGGGCTTTCCTTGATGGGACTGCACTGTGGTGCGAACGCCTATATTCCTAGGCTTCGTAGTAATAATGAACAAGTCAAATACCCATTGAGCAGTTGTCGCATCGAATATTTGAGGTCCACAGGAGATTGCTGAAGCCTAAATGATGGCTTCTGAAAGCTGTATAATCGTAACATGCAGCTCCCTAACCGACTCACCTGACATTGATTAGTTCGACCCAATTTCTTCGTCGCTCTGGACTTCATTCTATCTTTGGGTGTCGCCTTTGCTGCCATCCGGGACAGTCGTAAACAAATACGTTCTCACCGCCGTCGTTCCTTTTCTAGCTTGGCTCGCTAAATCAATCGCCTGCAAACGCAAGTTCAGACTTGCTGCACGCTCTATGGCAGAACAGGCTAGCACAAACCGGTCCCAATCGCTTCCTTGCGAGACTTTGAAACTTTCTTCTTTCTATTTGTCTTCGCTTGACACAACTCATCCTCATATGCTGATCAAGACCAAGATCACTCGCGGAGTTAGCAGATAGGCGTCAGTTCGTCAAATGTTAGAGTGATGCCATGTAGCGATGTGGATAGCGACCCCAGAGACTGTAGTGTCCTTAACCCGTCTGCTATGTTTGATGATACCTTGAGATCGAATCCTTCACATCATAGTGCGACGTTCTGGTTCGAGGAACCCCAGCAGTGGTTGAGAGCCTGATAGGGCATATGGTCTTCGGCGAAACTATTGTCATGTCACATTTTATGCACCTGATAGGCCTTTGTCGTTGCGAGTTTTCTCGGATCAGAATAAGAAGTCGAGATGATTCTATTGAACTACGTACAGGTGCCCTATCTATAGGCATATCTAACAAAGAGAGAGGAACAAATAGTTATACTGCTTGTTCCGTACAAACTGATTGTACATGAGATGGAAGCTGATAGAATCCAACAAGTTTTGGTATTGTAGAGCGGAGACGCGATTACCCCGCAACCCCATGGAGCAACTGCGTGTTTGTGCATGGGCAGGCACCAATCCACAACCGTAGGCTGCTCTAGCCATAGGCAGCAACGGCAGCAACCTTGGGCGCCTCGAAACCACGGCGCAGATATATATAGTAGTTAGTCATACTCTTACTACGAGAACCACAATTCTCGTCTCAAAACAATTCAGACTTCCTCTATTCTGTTACAACCCATCTTTCAACAACACACGTCAACAAACATGCCGGTCACAATCACAGTCGCGGATCATAAATCCGAAAGCTACCATAACAGAAACGCCAAAATCGCCTCGAATGACGCACTGCTCAGAGGCACTAGTCCATCAGATTCCAAAAACTGCAAATGGATAATTCAGAGCTCCGTCTCCGAGGACGAGTTCAGCAAATCCCACATCGTCGAGTCGAACAATGGGTTCGTCCACGCAGCATTCACAGCATATAGCAGGCACCACCACCTTGTTATTCGCCCCGAAGATGTCTGGTTCGCCATACTATCGCAGCTGAATGTTTACATCAACGCCAACGCCGAAGCACTGCGCGACCACTTCGTCTCGCACCAAGGGCAAAAAGAGCTCAGAGTCAAAGAGGTTGGTAATATCCATACCGTAGATTTTGGCATGCTCGCACGACGCATGACAGCGTTGATTCAAGAGAACGTCAAAGACCCTGATCTACGAGACTGGATCATGCCAGCGTTCAGCACAACTACGGTTACCGATCGCACGACAGCTGCAGTGCTCATGATGGGCAGCATGAAGGCGTATTTCAAGTATAGATGTTGTCTTATGTGCGGAATTCCTACAGTCACTCTGTTAGGCGAACGCGCAGATTACGAAGATATTCTTAAGAGACTCGAAAAGTTGCCAGAATTAGGCCCTGAAGCAAGTACATTTGCCGACCTCCTCCGCCCTGTTCTGCGCAACTTTATCGCAACTTTTGATCCAGAGCAGTCTACTGTCTCGCACGATTTCTGGTCCAAGATCGCACATCATCTTGGTGGAGGTAGTGGGCCGTCATACCTGGGAGGCTGGTTGACAGCATTCTGCTTCTGGAACGACAAAGGAGAGTGTATGTACGATCAGCAGACAGAATCCCGGAATCCATGGGAAACCGATTCGGATAGGTTGGAATTGGATGGCGTATCTTACCATGACGTTGATATCTCCGATATCCCCAATGGCTTTGCTTCCGTGCCAGTCTTGGTGGACGATAATGGCAAAGAGTACAAGACGAAGATGATTGCCGGATCGCTGGGTATCAAGGTCACAGGAAAAGACAATTCACAGGCTGGAACAGAGGAGAAGCTGGATTCACTCCAGTCACTGAGTGGGTGGATGATGTATGAGATCAAGGAGTAAAGCGATAGGGGTCCGTTTTGTTGAGCAGTAGCTTCGACGACGAGAGCGTGCAGCTCTGAGATATGAGCGGAAAAAAACACTGTGTCAGTCAAGTGAGTTTTGCAGACTAGTCTTCTCAGTCAATGTTAGATTGGCACAGGGAACAATGATATAATTGCTTAGATTTGTTTGCATTTACATCTCAAAAAAGTACGAATGTGGCTCGAAGAAAATCAACTTCTGCGCAAAATCGCAGATACATACAGTGAACATAATCCAGTGACTCTCCTCCTGCCGCGATAATCAAGACTACTCTAAGTGAAGGCCATGCTCTTCTTGATCTCCGCAATGGCTAGCGCAGGGTTCAGTCCCTTGGGGCATGTCCTTGAGCAGTTTAGAATGGTGTGGCATCGGTATAAGCTCATGCTGTTGTTAAGAGCATCCTGGCGCTCAGCCTTCTTCTCGTCTCGTGAATCGGCGATCCATCGGTAGGATTGGAGAAGAACGGCAGGGCCAAGGTACTCCTCCTGGTTCCACCAGTACGATGGGCATGATGTTGAGCAGCAAGCGCAGAGAATGCATTCGTAGAGTCCGTCGAGCTTCTTGCGATCTTCCTTGGACTGGCGGAACTCACGACCCTGGAGCACTGTTAGCATTCATGCTTGGAATGATCTCGTTATATGCACGTACATCTGGTGCGGCAGTGGTGCGCTGCAGGTATGGCTTGACCGATCGATATTGCTTGTAGAAGAGAGTCATGTCCGGTACGAGGTCCTTGACAACGTACATGTGGGGGAGCGGGTAGATGCGAGATTCCTTGGTGGTGTCGGTGGGAATGCGGCCTATTGTGTCCTGTTAGCCTAGCCTCCAACTCCCATATGCAATGCGATTCCACATACAAAGGCATGCCAGGGTGTTGACTCCGTCGATGTTCATGGCACAACTTCCACAAATGCCCTCGCGACAACTCCGCCTGAAAGTCAGGGTCGGGTCCACCTCGTTCTTGATCCTGATGAGCGCATCCAGCATCATGGGTCCGGTCTTGTTCAAGTCGAGTGTGTAGGACTGCATCTTGGGCTTTGACGTGGGCTCATCTGGGTTCCATCGGTAAATGTGGAAAGTCTTGGTCTTCGCATCTTTGCTGGGCTCGGGCTCCTGGATTGTCGACGTCTTGCTCTCTGGGATGGGCGAGCGCGAAGCATCAGGTGCGATCTTCTCGGCGGTCTTGGAGATTGGGTCCCGGGCATGGACGTCGTTTACGGAGGCAAAGCCACGAGAGAAAACTGCCGGGCGTACGGCTGCCGTGGAGCGTTAGCAGTGCTCAATTGATGCTGTGATACTAGGCGCTATACGTACCAGTTCGCTGGGTAGCCAGACGAGTGAAAGCGCGTATGGAGGCCATTGTGTCTAGGGTGGAGTGGAGAGTGCGGGCTGAGGCTTAAAGGTCAAAGTGTTGCTATCATCGAAGTTGTAGCGCCAGGGCGCCACTCAAGCTTCCTCGGTTATGACAACTGCTATTCTCTGATTGGTGGCGCCCGTTCATCGGACGATTCCGGCTTCTTCGGTCCTTCGACGCCACTACATCATCGTCGAAAACGTCAACACTTGCTACCAACATCTCACATTGTATTTCACAACATAACGACCATTCGCGCACCAATTCCTGTGTCAACATGTTGTTCTGGACTCTTCCTGTGCATACCGTCGGCCTTGTAGAAACCGGCGCAACCGAGTCGGCGTCTTGGGTACATTGTCGGCTTTATGCAATTTCTTTGAGCTCGTGTGACCATTTTCGCGAGTTAAATATACCGAACTTGCTGACTGCAGAAAAAATAGTATTGTTGTGGTGGCTTGATGTTGTTCCTATCATGCCCATAGTGAACGTCTCTGTGCTCGTACTACCGATCTTACGAAGGCAGTATTTACCTGAAGGTTTCGTGTCCGCAGCAACACTAAGTACTCAAACCTCTGCACTTCTGGCATGTCATTTTGAATCCTCTCTTGTTACTTAGGTCTTGCAAATTCTATTCTCTATCGCCCACACACTTCTTTGCAGTTCCTGTTACTCCTCTCATCACATTGCACATCTCACTCGTGGCCTACCTTCGCTTACCTGGGATCCTAATGAGCCGAATCTTGTATACACAAACTGATCTTTCGCTATGTTTGTCTTCTCCACTTATGTTCACATTAATGCCCAAGCTCATGGACTGCTATTCAATGTCGTCGCGTCCTTTTCCCCGGTATTATAAATCCTCATAGTTTCGACGCCGTTCTGATGACACGGTATCTGGCTAATCTTGCATTCTTGTTTAACTATCCAGCACTATCTCTGGATGCTGTGCGCCATGTTCTCGCTCTTTCCTCGTTTGCATGTCGACTCACCTTCACCACCCATATCACTAGAACAGCAGGCGCGACGAAGATCGCGTGTCTTAGCTCCACTTTGAGCTCTCGTTCACACCTCATAGCGGTTGAACACGAAGACGGTCCCTTCAAGTCACCTGTTTGTTCCAGCTATCAGCTTGGCGGGAGCTTTTATCGCCAAATCACCGCACCCTTCTCGCTCTCTCCACCACTGCCCTACGCTCATACGGTCGCGTCGCACACACAGTCGTATCCACCACCAACTCATCATTGTTGCTAGAATTGTACAAACAATGTCTTCGTCACCTCAGGTCAGTCGTCTGCTCTTGCATTTGCTTTTGTGTCTTGTTGTTGACAGTCCTCGAGAGGCACACGCCCAGCAAGGGCAGATTCATTGAAGGTAACATGGCAAGCAACTATGGCAGTCCTCATCGAAGTGGTCGAAACGCCCGCTTTCATAAAAGTGATCAGTTCACTGTTTTGCCGAGCGTGGTAGAGGATAGCTCCCATGGAAGTGCTTCCACCGATTCATTCTCTTCTTCTGGAGGATCGCTGTCGCAGCTGGGCCCCGATGATCCCGCAGACCATGCCATAAGTGCACCTCGAGGACAAGTCAACAATCAAGCGTTACAGGCCAAGCAGCTTGTGAGCCTTGCTTAATCCCAGAGTGCTGTATAGAGACTAGCCCTAACATTAATATAGCCAACAACTCCTCAACGAGCTCGTCGGATGACAGCCAACGGAAGCGGCATGACTTTCATTGTCTCACCGACTTCCGCTTCTCCGCAGACTTCTCAACAGCACGGTGATTCTGGTCAGAAGAAGTTCGGCAAAGTCGACCATCTCAACGACTCCGGCATGCAACGTCGCACTTCTCATGCTAGCCAAGTTTCTGATAACTGGCGCTCGTCCGGTCGTCGACCATCCACCACGGCCAATCCCTTCGACACATCTCCGCCTTCGATGACTGATGTCCCTGAGTATCTAGCTGTGCAAGAGATGGCTTTCCGCCAGGGTCAGCATGCCTCAGATGACTCTCGAAACTGGGTCCCACCGAGTCCTTTCGCGAAGCACTTCGACCATGTCTGGGCTCAGTATTTCAAGATGGGTGCGGCCTATGGAGGATTGCCTGCTGTACCGCTCATAACATCATCTTACTCACGCGGTAACTTTCCCTGGTCAGTCTTGATCAACCCCGCTACGCAGGATCTAGAGCACCCCAACGGCTCGTTCGACATGGAGTGGGCTCGTAAGATGTGTCTCATGTCGTTGAACTGCATGAAGGAGCTCATCCATGTCGTGCGCGAGCGCCACAACGATTGGCGCAAGATCGTCTGCGACATCCCTCTCCCGGTTCAGCAGGCCATTCTAGCCTTCCCTGACCTCTGCGAGTACTATGCGGCTCTTCAGCACGAGGCTCGTCAGGCGTTTGGTAACGGGCTGTAAAGCGTGCAACGAGCATCAGCTACACAATCAGTGAAGCGGGAGCACTTGCCACAACAGCAGGTTCCAAGCCGCTTCTGATGACAAGTACGAAACACGCCTAAGGTTTACTAAAGGCTCCACTCTGCCTAACGTTCACATGGCTATCTGGGGTTTGCTTGTACAATGTTTCCTTCAAGGAGGCTCAATAATTACTTTTTGTTGTCATGGCGTTTCGTGGTGGGTGTTGGTGGGGTTTCGGCGCGTTCTTGTTAAGGAGCATCCCAGTAGGATCGTCCTGTTTGTATCTATGTTCACGCCTACCAATCTCACGACGTCATGTAACGACCCATGTACAAAATGTGGAACCGGCATAGAAGCCTCAGGCATACTGTAGCACAGATACGCATCAGCGAAGGGTAGCAAAAATAAGTTCCCCCTACAATGGCTCAAAAGCAACGACACATGCCTCAAGTGTTCGCGTGGTGATACTGCCACGCCATATCACGTGGAGACGCGAATACGGGAGGAAATGGCTCCGGGCCTTCTGGGATTCCAGGATTTGCGAATATCCGCGTCATTCACATCATATCAGATTTTCATCTCCATCTAATATAGCCGCGTCAAGTCGCGCAAACAGCAACCCTGAAAATGACAACAACAGCTCCAGCACGTTCACACGGCTTTGATCGCCAGCACAGCCTTTTGCAGCTCGACTGCAGCGCCGACCTGCGACACTATTCGCGCAACCTCGGTCCAGGCGTCCAGGAGCGCATCTTTCAAACAACGAGCGACGCACTGAGGAAACAACTGGATGAGCATCGCGATTTCCTACTTCGGCATCAACAGCAACAGCCGCGCTTGGCTCCTGCCCCCGTAGTCAGCGGCCCAGCGCCCGGTACTCCTCACGCATACACGCAACCTCATCCCTATCCACAAGTTTCTCAGCCTCCGCTACAGGCCGCCGCACCCCAGCAGCTGGTCCATCGCCGCGCCGAACCTGCCATCGTCCCAGGTGACATTAACACATACCCCCTCGCCCTGCGCGATGCCCTGTATGCACAGAAGCTGATCCCACGGGCGCACGACGGCAGAACCGCATTTCATGTTGTGACCAGCAGCAAAAACCGCGATATGGGCGAAGATACAAAGGTTGTAGGGACTTGTGGAACTATGCTGGCAGCGAACGAACTCGCGGCGTGGTACTTTGTCGAGCACTGTATGGGCGACGTTGCTGAAGCCAAGTTTACACAGCTGGCGAGCGGCGCATTACATTGCGGTGCCGGACCTCACAACGTGTATGTGCAAGAGGGCAGGATGGAATGATGGGAGTATATATACAACAGGCCGCGGACCCGAGGATATGGTCTGTCTCAGGTTCCGCGGTACCCTTTACCATCTGCAGGGTCCGCTGCCGTACCCAATCCCGTCGTTATGCCTTGCCCTTCGGGAACGTCAGATTTACCAATGTTGGAAGCAGGAAGCGTATCGTCACGACCTAGTCGACAGCTCGCGGTCAGTTTCCAGAGCTTAGCGCTATCCCGCAACCAGCGAGCAGCATGACATTATGCCGAGCTGTGTCATGGGAATGGCCGATTCAAAGGTGATTATCTACAACCTGCGCCGGGTGACCGGATTCAAACGAGTGCTTTATTTCGCCGGCAGTTGCCAGAGAATTAATGTACGTGCGGCAAGACCAGAGGGGGGAAGGAAAGGGGCTTCACAGTTCTGGAGATGATGTTGAATTTGGCGAATATGTATTGTTATAATCTTTGTAGATTTTATATGCACACTGTTGCTGGAACAACTACGACCTGAAGGGGTCAATAAGTTCTCAACCGTCTCACCACGTATTTTACCGTGCATACGACGCTCTCCGCACCGAAGTCATCAATACATACGTGTACAGCCTCCTTTACGTATCGTGGTACATGTCGGTCATACCTCGCGCGCGTGGCATAACTACCTAGTTCCCCTCCGTCCCCCGAACCAACCGCCTTGATATGGGAAACAAGTCAGCAAGAGGGACACGGAAAAAACGTAGTCATCTGCTTGTCTATACCGGAGGTCCGTTCCCTGCTCACACTTCCCAACAGGGCAGTTTGTAGAATACTTGTCGATCGTGGTGGGCATGTTCCGCCAGTAATAGTCTTGTCCGCCCGCTACCCGCCGGCAGGGCAACTAACAAACTTGGCATGCCCTTGCGACTTGTCCCTCACTTTGTGGGAATACAGACTACGTCATAGATTGCGATTGGTGTCGCATAAGTCTTGGACCGGTTCGAGCATAAGAAAGTACAGTCAAGGCCTGGTATTTTGTGTGTACATCACCTGGACATTTGTCGCATTGCGGAGATCACAGAACCTACCCTATGCAACGGGACAAGCGATCCCATTTCATAACCTCACACGCTTACCTCGCAACCACGCCGCAAACGCGCAACCATGGCGCCTCCAAACACGCCCTTCATCTATCGCCTCTGGCATCTCTACCTCGAACCCTTCTTCGCCCTCGGCGGCGTATACCATCTCCACTGGGCACCGGCGCAATACTTCGCCTTCATGCCGGCAACGTCGGCCTACCACCCCGATTCACAAATCGCCTACGACCAGCTCGCTTCAGCATACCTATTCTTTGCATTCACAGAGGGTGTTCTGATGCGGGTTGTGGACGACAGGAGGACGTGGTGGTGGATAGTGTTGGGGCTGGTGCTGTGTGACTTGGGGCATTGCTATGCGGCTTGGTGTGAGATGGGGACGAGCGGGATACTAGACTTTGGGGGCTGGAGCGACAAGGATGTAGTTACCAACACGTTGAATGTGCTGCCGGTATTGGTAAGGACGGGGTATCTGTTGGGAATTGGGGTATCTGGGGACAAGGGTGTGAGTGAGAAAAGGAAGAAGAGGGTCTGATCTGGAGAAATGAATAGGTCATCAATGTGTCACTAGTACGGTCAATATGTACAGTTTGTCAAGAAGACATGATGGTTTCGCATACACCGCAACCGGTTACTTACGAGGGCTGCATATGTACAGGGTGAAGCGAGAAGTCCTTGTAATGTTTCGGTCTCAGTTGGAGGATGCATGATATCTCCCGACGAACTACTGAGGGGAAGGAACACGCAATGGACTTGTCCGACCTTGTCGTCAGCTCTCAGGCATGCATGCAACACAAGCGACTTGCAGAGTCTCTGCAGTCCGCATGCATGGAAAATACAGTAGCATGTGGGGGTAGGGAGCCGTGGGAGGGTCTTGATGCAGGTGAACATCGGATTCTTCGCGCAATATCGGATTCTGTGCAAATGCCATGACGGCGCAAGGTGCCGAAGCGCTACTAAAAGACTCAACATTTTCCCCGCCAGCCCTCATCGAGATGCGCCCTCGTCGCATCCAGGCTGCAAACTGCCCGGGCTGAACGGACGGGGCGACTGGCATCGGGACATTGAACGCGCGCACAGGATCGAAGCAAGCTATGATTGATAGCCCCAACGGTTGCACGCGCCGTAGCCTCTCTGATTGGTGTGCGGGGCCGTGTGATTGGCGACTAAATTGGAAGCTCCCGCAGCTGTCAGGTTTTAGCAGAGGATGCGTCGGCGTAGATTCGTCTGACGACTTGTTTCCGTGGTACTTGCGTAAATATGACAATCCTCGAGTCAAGGTTCTGTGAGACGGTGGAGAGGCCCACCAACGCGCTGTGCTCGTCCGGTGTGGCCGTACGTCATACCGCGGGGCTGAAATCTTGCAATTTGCGGCCATGGACATGAAAGTATCAAGTATACCCCTTGCCGTAAGCCGCACGCCTCGTCCAGGAACAACAGCCAGATATCTTGAATTTTTCCTTTTCACCCCCTTACACCTCCGGTAGCTCTTTCTTGCTTGGGCGCCAACTTTACACGCGGCAGTAAGCCCTGCTTTCCCTGGGACGGGCTTCATCACGATCCATCGAATCTACCGGAAATTTCACTGCGCGCTCCCACCGCCTCTATAACTTCACCTCGTCTTCCCCGAGCCCTTGTACAGGACCCGCCTCTCTCACCTATATCTGTTCGCAATCTTGACGCCATTTCTACAACCACAATCTCTGACCAGCCGGCGTCGACGCCAAACTGCTGCCCAACATGACCACCCACGTCGTCTCCCTGTAGGTAACCGCCTTGTGCTCATCCTGCCTGTAGATAGCGCGTTGTAGTCATCACTTGCAGCGTTGCGCCTTCAATCCATCTAACGCAGCTAGTTTCCTTCCGTATACTGTCGATTTCCACGAGTCCAAGTCCAACCCCGCAAGCCCACCACAACCAGCTCCCCCAAAGCTGAACGAGACTGCCCGCGAGTCCTCCTCTACCAGCATAGGCAGTGCACGACCGCTTAGCAAAAATGCAGCCGACGAACAGCCTCAAAGCCTCCTTAAGCGGGCGCCGCCATCGCATATTCAGCTGCCCAAGACCCCCATGAGAATGGCTGAGCACGAAGACTTCTTTACTCCTGGTCAGCCCAGCGCTGCTACTCATTTCCCAAAACCAGCAGACCCCCGGGGCTTGGTACGTAGCGATGCCCACGTCCCCGAATGGGGTACTACCGGTCTGTTCTTCAACCAGCCCATGTCGAGGGCCGAGCCAGCACCTCCTGACACAATTCTCGAATACGCAAAGGCGCAGGAGCGCGCGCAAGCACAGAAGGAGCGCATGAAGGGCTCACACGCCGGCAAGCCTACAACAGACCCGCGATGGGCCACTGAGTACACCGTTGTGCCTGCTGTCCAGGGCAACGGCGGACTTACCAACGCTCTGCGTTGTGCAGTCGACAACAAGTGCATCAGCGACACGATAACTGTGGGCTTGATCGGCTTCCCCACAGACAGCTTGAATGAGGAGAAGAAGACGGAGATTTATGAGAAACTCGAGGAGGAGCATGACGCCCTTACCGTCTTCGTCAGCGACAAGGACTTCGACGGTCACTATGCTCACTACTGCAAGACTATCCTGTGGCCAGTCTTCCATTACATCATTCCCGATCACCCCAAGAGCAAGGCTTTCCTTGATCACTCATGGGTCTTCTATGTCAAGGTCAACCAAGCCTTCGCAGACAAGGTTGTCAAGAACTACAAGCGCGGAGACGTCATCTGGATCCACGATTACCATCTGTGTCTTGTTCCCCAGATGATCCGCCAGAAGCTCCCAGATGCGCAGATTGGCTTCTTCCTCCACACCGCCTTCCCATCGTCTGAGGTGTTCCGCTGCTTGGCTGCGCGGAAGGAGCTGCTGGACGGTATGCTCGGAGCCAACCTAGTTGCATTCCAGACACCAGAATACGCCCACCATTTCCTACAGACATGTAGCAGGATTCTCTCAGTCGAGGCGACCGAAGATGGTGTCCAGCTAGAAAACCGCTTCGTCAACGTGCACTCATCACCGATCGGCATTGACCCTCGAGCTCTTGCCCTGGCGCGGGAAGAGCCCGAGGTTCTGGAGTGGATCACGACTATGCAGAAGAGATACGAGGGCAAAAAGGTCATCGTTGCTCGTGACAAGCTCGACAACATCCGCGGTGTCCGACAGAAGCTGTTGGCATTTGAGCTATTCTTGAACAAGAACCCAGAATGGAGAGATAAGGTTGTCATGATCCAAGTCGCCACATCCACCACTGAGGATACTGAGCTCGCTGCCACTGTCTCCGAGATTGTCACTCGTATCGATGCCGTCCACTCGACCTTGACGCACAACCCTCTCATCTTTTTAAGACAAGATATTGCTTTCTCGCAATACCTTGCACTGCTCTCCATCGCTGACGCTCTCGCCATCACGAGTCTCCGTGAAGGCATGAACCTCACTTGCCATGAGTTCGTCATCTGCCAAGATGGGCGTGCGAGCGACAAGAAGTACAGCCCCGTCATTCTCAGTGAGTTTACCGGAAGTGCCTCAGTTTTCAACGGGGCCGATCTAGCCGTAAACCCATGGGATTACAACAGCATCGCGGAAGCATTCCGGGTTGCATTGGAGATGACCGACTCCGAAAAGGAAAGGAGATACACCAAGTTGCGCAACACAGTTATGCACCAAACTGGCGATTTCTGGGTGAAAAACCTGAGTACCCATCTAGCCAAGGTCCACGAGGAACAGTTCAAGCGCGACACCATGTCGATTCCTCGTCTCTCTTCCAGCAATCTTGCTCGTACTTATCAGGAATCTCAGCGACGACTCTTTGTCCTTGATTACGAAGGTACCCTCGCTTCTTATGGATCTGTGAACAACACCATCTTGGCAAACACCGAGCGTGTCATCGTCGTTCTCAACGACCTTGTCGCTGATGAGAAGAACGTCGTCTACGTTATGACCGGTCGGACTGTTCGCGAGACCGAGCTCATCTTTAACCGCGTGCGAGGTCTCGGTCTCATCGCCGAGAACGGTTGTTTCTTGCGCGAGCCCAGTGCGAGTGAATGGATCCAATTCCCTGAAGAAGAGAAGACTGTAAAATGGAAGGACTCGGTCAAGCCTATCTTACAGTACTATCTCGAGCGTGTGGAAGGCAGCTGGGTTGAGGAGCGTCACTGCTCTATTATCTTCCACTACAACAAACCGACCGACAAGGACGACTCCGCAAGCCGACATGCCGGCGACTGTGCGAACCACATTAACGATGCATGTGAACAGCAACGCATCAAGGCGGTTCCCACCAAAGACTCCGTTGTCATTGAGCCCATCGACTTCGATAAGGCCTCTGCTTCGCAGTACATCTTCAGCAAGTACCCAGAGACAGCTCGACCCGACTTTGTGTTTGCGGCTGGAAATGACCGGAGCGATGAGGGTGTCTTCCGATGGGCAGAGAAGTTAAAGGAAGAGTGGAAGGTTCCCAATGTCCAGACCGTCACCGTGGGTGACCGCAACTCAATTGCCATGTCGACACTACCCAACGGTGCAACTGGTAGGTTTTTTTCTCTCATCATAATAGCCGACATTTCACTGACAAGCACTACAGGTTTGCTTGGCGCTCTAAGCAAACTCTCAAAGAACCCTCGCTCGACTTGAGATGATGGTATGAATGCTTTCAGCAAGTTGATTGAACATGATCTCATGAAAGGAATACGTCTCACGCGTTCTATACCCCTCTTACGACCTGACGATTGGTGATGACGACGAATGTATGGAGGCAAGGGCATTGGAATGGCGAGTCACGGAAAGGGTTCTACGCATGAATAAACGACTAGCAGTGCATAGGTGGAGTCCAGTTGGTCTTTTCCTATAATAGATCTTTTCTACTCTCAGCACGGAACCTAGAATCTTCTTGTTAGTCCTGATATAAACATGCATAACTTTACTGTTGGATCGCCGTGAAATATACACCACTTTGGTGATTGCATTTTCTGTCACAGATACAGCAAGTCTGTCTATACTGATTTGTTGTAAGGAATGTTAGTCATTATTTATATGTTGTGACGTCTAAGCCTCTTCCGAAGCGCTTGTTGAGGTGCAAGCACTCCAGGGCTCTAGTGGGAAGGAGTAGTGTTCGAGTACTTGCGCAAATGCGTCGTGCGATAAATCGAAATCTATTGAATGAAGTTCTCTAAGTCTAAATGTTGGGCAAGGTAGATCGAGACACCAACGCCCACCACTCAGGCTATCCTTTCCACTATCAACGAATCCTCGACACCGCCTTGTAATGCGATCAGCCCACTTGATTCGATTTGTTTCTTCCACTTAATTGACTCATATCTCGCAGTAATTACTGTCAATCTTAGTGCGGGCTCGTCGTCAATGGAGCTTTCGCTGGCTGGCAATGGCACAGCCGTAAAGGTCCAACGTCCGAACGCCCAGTTCAAAATATATCTTGCTCTTCCCTCTGGTATCTTTTGATGTACATCCGCCTCAGCATCTGAAGACTTTGGTGGAGTAGAAGTGTACATGATGCCTTTGATGCGGTATACTTCGTCTTTGGTTGGATCCTCCAGGAATTTGGCGAGTTTCGCCATGTCCACACTGCCCTGCCTATCCTGGCTCTTTAGCGTAACAGTGAGCACTTCGACCTCGCTGGAGTGGTCATGATCATGGCCATGATCGTGTGCATGCGCGCTTCCATCTTCCTCTTTGACTCCCGCCAACCGGGCATCCAGCCCAAAGACGATATCCTTGTCCACCCACCCTTTCCTGCTCTTTGTCCTAGGTATTTGTGGCTCAACCTCGAGCGCTAGCACTGCATCTTCCACGTCCTCCAACCTTCGTTCGCTGACCAGTTCATGCTTGTTGAGTACGATAAGGTCTGTGTACCTTGCCTGCATCTTGGCTGTGTAACTCGTGTCCTCGTAACCCTTCCAATTCTCTACATCAATGACGCTCATGACACCATCCAAGACATATTTCCCCGTCTCCCTGCTCAGCCTATTGACCTCCATGGCCAATGTTGCAGGAAACGCAGAGCCTGAGGTCTCGATGACGATGCGGTCGGGTTTTACATCGTTGGCGAGTGTTTCAAGGGCGTCGGAAAGCTGCCCGACGAGGTTGCAGCATATGCATCCGTTGAGAAGTTCTTGTACACCAGATATAGCAGCCGAGGAGGCGAGTGCTGTGTCGACTTTGATGTCACCGTATTCGTTTTTCAGGAGCGCAAGTTTGTAGGTTTTAGGGAGTTGAGGAATCAAGTTCAGGATGAGTGCTGTAAGGTTGTTAGTTTAAATCAACACAACGCGCTCATTTCGTGTTGTGGGGTATCGGAAGAATTGTGACTGAATTTTACAACTTACTTGTTTTACCCGAGCCTAGGAAGCCTGTGATGATGGTGATGGGTATCATGGTGATGACGACAGTGATGCAGACGCGCGGACGCGGTTTGATTCTCAAAAACAAGCAATGCAAACACGCAATGGCAATATTTCCCGCACGTGCAAGTCGTGATAGCGGAACCTCCCTCGCGATAGCACTAGTTTCAGCCTCCGCGTTGGCGGGGTCTCCGAGCTTCGAATGACGTAGACGCGCAGCAAGCGGGGCAGTGCTACCAAGACCAGCTACATATCAGGTACACTACCTGGAGCTTCATACCCCAGCTTGCAATATGCGCCTATCAGAACAACTTAGCTCCAATACCAAGAGTCTGTCACCAGGGACTGATCTTGATTGACCCGTCGCTGCTCCCGCTTCCAAGATCACACATCCTTGCCAGCCAACCAGCTGCATAAATAGCTCTCTCCTCCATTGCACTCGGCTTGTATCTCACAACAACCTCGCACACTCATCTACAACTTGTACTGCTATACTGTCCTCGCCTACTTTACCTAATTCCAATTTAACGCCAAACAAACATCATGGACTTCATCAACAAGGTTACCGGCAGCGGCAACACCCAGGGCAACTCTGTCAACGAGCAGGTCGTCCAAGGCCAAAACTCTGAGCAACAGTCCTCTGGCTCAGGTGGCTTCCTCGGCGGAATCGGCGACAAGCTCAACTCGGCTGCTGGTGGCGGCCGGGAGAGCGAGAAGAACGAGGACTACCTTGACAAGGGTATGTCAGCACTCCGTCATCGTCTATCATGAGGTGTTCCCATCGTGTGACAGACGCTAACTTTTATTCTAGGTGTCGACTTCGTCCAAGAGAAGTTCATGGGTCAAGGTCCTCAAGACAACGAGTCTGCCGTCGAACAAGCCAAGGACGAACAGATCAGCGACTTCATCCGTGGCCAGTACAAGAGCACCACCGGCTCCGATATCCCCATCAAGGACAAGGAGACTCGTCTCGGTTAAGCTGTTGAGCTAGAGCTCCGGCATGATCAAGATTATGCTATAAGCTGGGAGGATACGAGATCCGCCGGCTATGGACCATCATGACAATGATGGTGGCATGAATACAATTATGATAATCACAGAATGAAACAAGAATAATACCCCACAATCAAGCTCATTTTTTGCTTTACGTGATCCCGTCCCTCCTCAGCTATGTAATATATGTCCACATCGGCACGTTACAGCTGCTCAATGCCTTCGACAAGCCTATCAAGACTTGCTTCTGATTCGTCAGTCAACAAACCCTTCATCATGCGCGACCTAGTCATTGTTAGCACGTTCTGTCGTCCGTCGCATCCTTTTCTCTAGGTTCGACTTACAGGTTCCCCAGCTTACAAGCCCCCATGCTTTCTTCTAGCTCCGTACTCTTTACTTCCGCCACATCGATGACCTTCTCAGGTACCCTTGCCAATCGCGCTACGTTCAAGCCGTAAGATCGATGACTTATACCCTCTGTGGCTTCATATAGAAACACGACCTCCTTTCCACCATTCTGCTCTTCAAAGCGCATATGGACGTTCTTCAGCTCACCATTGGAGAAGCGACCTGAGAGTTTGGCCAGATGCTGGTAATGCGTGATGAACAGCGTGAGCGACTGCAGGTCCCGGATAACGTAATCAAGCACTGCTTCCGCAATGGCGACACCGTCAAAGGTTGATGTGCCACGACCCAGCTCATCCAGGATAATGAGGGAACGCGGTGTCGCGGATTTGAGGATATCCGAGGTTTCGTTGAGCTCGACCATGAAAGTTGATTCGCCTTTGAGCATGTTGTCAAAGGCGCCCATACGGGTGAAAACCGCGTCTAGCATACCTAGTCGCGCTTCGGTAGCCGGGATGTAGGAACCGATTTGACCCATGATTGCGATCAAAGCTGCAGATCGTACGTACGAGGATTTGCCGCCCATATTGGGGCCAGTAATGAGGAGAGCTCGCGTGGAGTTGTGGGAGAGGGAAAGGTCATTGGGAACGTAGTTTTCGAGGAGTAGTTGCTCGACCATGGGGTGCCGACCACCGGTGATGTTGAGCTCGATATCGTCTGTGAAAGTAGGCTTCACATAGCCCGGCTGATTCGCCAACGTGGCCAAGGAAAGGAGGGCGTCGAGTGTTGCCAAAGAGGCTACACAGTCTCGGAGCTGTTGATACTTGGATGAAATGTCTTCTAACAAGCCTATGTAGGCTTTTTCGCATGCTGCAGCGAGCGACTCTTTGTACTGGTCTCGTTCTTGGAGCATACGTTTGACTTCTGGAGTGTGGAAACGCAGGGTCGTCTTTGTGGCTGAGATCTGTTGCCATGAAGCAGGTACTTTCTTCTCTTCGGGTGCCTTCCTCTTGACCTCGATCAAGTACTCGATTCCAGCAACTGTGACGTAGACTACTTGGCTTTTCCCCAGCTTCGCAGCCGCATCCTTTCGATGCGTATTGAGGTCGTCTTCCACAGAGGCGATGCTCAGCTTCAGGTCGTTGATATCTTCTGCCTCATGCTCTTCACGGAAGAACGAATATTTGTCATCGTCTTTTGCAGCTTGAGCGTTGATCTTCTCCAAAAAGCTGTTCAAGTCATCGTATATCTTTGGAACATTCGAAACTGCTTCGCTCAGGAGTGAGGAGGAGAAGCCACTCTGTTCGGGTGTCTTCGCCGACAGGTACTGGCTCGATATCTCCTGCAGACTCTGCAAAGCTGCCAATAGCTCCGGCCTTGTACACTTCTTGTAGTATATGCGAATGAGTACCTTTTCCAGATCGGTTCTGATTTTTCCGAGCACGAATTTCAGTTTATCCACAGGTATGGTGTTATCGCCTTCCTTGAGTTCCTCCACCGCCGCTATGCGCTCTTCTAATCTCTCTTTGTCTATCAGTGGCCGGCCGACCCACTTTCTCAGCAACCGCTGTCCAAAGCGAGTCTTCGTCCGATTCATGGTCCAGAACAAGCTGCCTTTCGAAGTGTAGTCTGTTTGATTCTGGTAGATCTCCAGACTGGATAGAGTGTTGCCGTTCAGCAACATGTACGACCTGGCGCTGAAGGGTTGGAAGTACTTTGTGAGATCGAAAACATGTTCTAGCCCATACTCGCTAAGATATGTGATCATTGATGAGAGACATATAGTCACATGCTCTGATAGCTGATGTACTTTGTCGAGGATTGCGCCTTGCTTGTCGGAGTCGGCTTCCTGGCTGGACTTCATTTTACCTGCATAGAAGTTTGAGATGTGACTGTAGGCTTGCGCAGCCATGGTCTTTGGCTTTTCTACCCTCTCGACCCGCGATCTGTCTCCGAAGACGTTGGTCTTGCTAGCTGACAGGTGTTGTATAAGCTTTTCTGTGGCTTTAGACAGGTCGCCTACGACCAAGAACTCGGCTGGCGCAATGTGGAGTAACCGTGTCTCAATCTCGCTGCGCATAAAACTATCTTCGAAATCATCGTAGATTATGTCGCCGGTCGCCGGCTGAACAGCCACTAAGCCGACATGAACTTTCTCGTCCGTACCCCATCCTTTCGCATTGCTCTCGGTGATGCAAAGGAGATATCCAGTCGACTGTACGCTAGCGCCAGAGCCTTCGGTGGGGGCTTCCAGGCCCTCAACGTCGTCCACATACGTACCCTTGGTATAAAGATTTGTGAGTTTCCGTACAAAGGGGGCATTTCTGTTGGTACCTGCCGCTTTAAGCGCGGCCGTCTCTAGCTGTCGTACTACACCAACCTTGTGATTCGCCTGTACGAGACGTTTAACATGGACCTGTAGACGATGTGTAGGAAAACTGGCAGATGCGAATCGATCGAGGTGTGCTTCGGAAGGGTGCTCGTCGTATCTGAATTTTCCTAGAATGTTGGAGCATAACGTTACTATACGTGTCATACGCAGTTTATAATTCAGAGTTCTCACCTGGTATACAGACGATGCCCAGCGCTTTGGACGCGGTTCTTGCGTCCTCGCCAAAGAACTTGTACTTGTAGCCAACCTCCATGACGATGATTGTGTCAAGATGCTTGCGCTTGATGTCCAAATATTGTATTTCCATGGGTGTCAGCTTGCTCGCCTTCTTGGTCACAGCGCCCTTCTTTCCCTTGGTGGGCTTCTGGGCAGGCTCATCCTCTTCATCCTCGTCTCCATCGCCTTCCTCGCCATTGGCATTGGGACTGTCGTCGGATATAATCTTGTTGCGCCTCCTGAGTTCGGCAAAGCTATCTGGTCGACCCAGCTTCTTGACGAACTTGTCGTGTAGCCTCTCCTTCTGCCTCTGCGAGAGCGCGGCTTCCTCTTCGTCATCTTGACGGCTCTCGTCCCGTGCGGGAGGTGACGAGGAGAAGAGAAACTTGGAAGTTCGATCAGTGATTTTTTGGGGTTTAGGTGCAGACGCCTGTCGCGGCGAATCGCCCTTGTCGAATCTAACGCGCTTGGAGGGGGAAGAGCGTCGGGTTTCCTGAACATTGTCCTCGTCTATCGCGCGCTTGCGGACGGGGATGGTCTGTGAGACGGGTAAACCATCCTCGTCGTCACCGTTGTCGTCGTCTTGGTTTGGGTCGGTAATGGGGGGTGGAGCAGGCGCCTTTGGAGCAGGCTTGGGTGCCGACTCGGGCGTTTGCGACGGTTTCTTTGTGAAGAAGCTCGAGATGGTCGGTTGCGTGGCTTTCTGCGACGACTTTGGCTGCGACGATTGACTGTTTTTTGGCGCCATTGGGTGATTCGCGGGGTTGTGACGATACTCGACGTGCCTGTGGAGAAAGCTGGAGACGCGTGAGGCCGGCAACGCGACCAGCTCCAGATTACATCACGGTGTCACGTTATGCAGCTCTCACCCCCAAACTTGGCAACTACCTCGCCCGCAAGGCTGGCACAAGCCTGGCGTCTTTTCCGCATTGGGATCGATTCCGAACCAACAACGACTTGAGTCGCAGAGACACTTCCCATCAGTATTTCTCTTTGCTTATACAAACTCTCTGATGCGACGGCCGTTATCAACCGCGGCTATCTCCGACCAACAACGGCCCGGCTTCGTTATCTCAACTACTTCGATAGGCCAAACCTGCCCGTTCGACGACTACATTATTACCTGACCGCGTCCACTCGGCCCGCCCGCGATGGTGCATTTCGACTGCTGCGCACGCAATCCCAGCCTTGGGCTTTTGCAGCTTCCCAATTCGTCGCAGCGCTTACCATTACAAGCTATTACCGTCGCAACTCGGGGATCCACCAAGCCGACTTCGGCTAGTATATAACCTGCACCATGAGCCCGTGGTTCGCCTCTCGTAGTCTTGGTGAGCTTGTTCTTCCTCCCTCCTTTCGTCAATACTGTGCTGCTGCAAATATGGCGCGCGGATCGCTGGTCAAGTGTTTCACCGGTCTCTTGACGTTGCAAAGTGCCTTGGGTACTCCTGTCAAGAGTGGGGAATCATGGTCGTCAGACTACCCTTCCAAGCCCATTCTGAAGGAGGGGGAGTTGGGTGCTGTCGCCTCGGAGAGTGATATCTGCAGTCATATCGGTATTGAGTTACTGAAGTTGGGTGGAAATGCTGCAGATGCCATGGTCGGTACTGTAGCATGTGTAGGCGTTGTCGGCATGTACCATTCTGGTAAGATTTCCATATATACATTCGCCTGGCTACTTGCTAATCAGACACAGGTATCGGCGGAGGAGGTTTCATGCTTGTACGCGCACCAAACGGCACATATGAGTTCATCGACTTCCGCGAGACAGCACCAGCCGCTGCATTTGAAGACATGTACAAGAACAATGAGGACGCCAGCATCAATGGCGGTCTCGCTTCTGGAGTTCCAGGTGAATTGCGTGGGCTTCAACATCTTCACGAAAATTACGGTGTCTTGCCATGGGCCACTGTGCTCACCCCAGCTGTAAAGGTGGCCAGAAATGGCTGGCGAGTGAACGAAGATCTGGTCAAGTACATGGCCTCTGCCACCTCATCGTCCAACTTCTTGGTCGACGACGTCGAGTTTGCCCTTGATTTTGCGCCGAAAGGACGTCTGCTCAAGCTCAATGAGACCATTACGCGAAAACGTTATGCCGACACACTCGAGACCATTGCAAACGACGGTCCAGATGCATTCTACAGTGGTCCTATTGCAGAAGCCACTATCCGGGCACTCCAAGCTGCCAACGGAACTATGACCCTCGATGACCTCTCCAATTACACTGTGGCCATTCGCAAGCCATCTACCATAAACTACCGCGACTACAAGCTCACAGCCTGTAGCGCACCCTCAGGAGGAGAAGTCGCCCTCGCCACACTTAAGATTATGGAAGGCTATTCCGAAGTCGGCAACCCAGAAAACATCAACCTAACTACCCACCGCCTTGACGAAAGTATGAGATTCGCCTACGGCATGCGCGCTGAACTAGGCGACCCTCTGTTCCTCGACGGAATAGACGCATATCAAGAGCAAATGCTCTCTGAAGCTACAGCTAAAGAGATCCGCTCCAAGATTTCCGACTCAAAGACTTTCGACGTGGCCTACTACGACCCCGCTGGTCTCGAATCCCTCGAAACACCCGGAACTAGCCATATTGTAACTGCAGACAAGAGCGGCATGGCCGTCACACTAACGACAACCGTGAACCTACTCTTTGGAAGCAAGCTTGTCGTCCCAGAAACTGGTGTCATCATGAACAATGAGATGAACGACTTCAGTATCCCAAACACGACAAATGCTTTTGGATACATTCCGTCGCCTGCGAACTTCATTCGCCCTGGAAAACGCCCTCTTTCATCCATCTCCCCTGTAATCGTTGAACATCTAAACTCGTCATCCATCGCGAGCGCTTTTTACGTCGCTATTGGTGCTGCGGGTGGCAGTCGTATCATCACAGCTACCATCCAGAACCTGATCCATATCTTGGATGGAAAGCTGACAACGGCAGAGGCGCTAGCTGAACCAAGAATTCATGATCAGTTGGTGCCTGCCCAAGTGAGCTTTGAGTATGGATTCAACAATGGAACCACGGCTTTCTTGAAGGAGCTGGGAAGTAATGTTACCTGGGTCGCGCCTGGTTCAAGTACAGCACAGGGTTTGAGACGCTTGACAAATGGAACGTTCGAAGCTGCTGGTGAGCCTAGACAGAAGAATAGCGGTGGATTTGCTGTTTAGATAAGTAAGGTGGGAATAACTATAGTGCCATAGCCTCATAGTGCCCGTAGATTGAGTCGTGAATGAGATTTCGACTACTGATAACGTGCACACATGAAACTTGGTTGTGCATAACTTCATTTTGGATATTTGGTAAATTGTTGATAATCTATTGTACAAATGCAACTCGATACGAGCAGCCTAGCGATCTGACGCTACCCAAGCAAATTCAACGTCTCTTACAAGTATCTCCTCTCGTGTCACCGAAATCTTATCAGAAGGAATACAACGCCGGAAATTTTACAGTGTAAACAAAACAAGCAAAGGAAGGGTGCAAGGTGTTTTACCTATGAAATGGCATGGACTGCGCGGGTCTATCCAGGTTTGAAGCATACCCTTCAGAAGGGCATCTGCCTCGATATGGCATAGCATCAGGTCATTTCGCATCGATGTGGTTCATGGCGCAGCTGATCAGACATTATTTTGGAGCGCAATATTCGCACATAGCGAAAGGCTCAAGCAATTGGGGATAAGCACACCTCATCTGGGCATCACCGTCAGTATATCAATGAGTACGAGAATCGGAGAGGTGCGTACCAAGATACTATCGCACTCCTAGAAGCGGGTTCGGTGACTAGGCTTCGAAGGTGCAACAGGAGCTGCAGCGACGTCTTCGATCTGCTTTGCACTGTAACGAAAACATAATGTTAGCAAGCACAACAATGTGACAAGAAGTGTGGTGTATTACGTTTTGCTAGTGGTCGTGTGGTGCAGAAAAATGGTAAATACTAAAAGTTCAAGAAGGGGGTATGATGAACACTAGAATGCTGTCATGAGACGACTCGCAACTCGCGTCGCAGCCTTGTGCTGAGGAGACCTAATGCACAACTATTTGCGCTGACGTTTGTTTGCTGCGTTGTGAGGCTGGCTTTTCCGTTTCTTCTGGGGAGGGATTTGGGAGGAGTCGCTCTTAGCAGATGATACATACCCGTTGACATCCTTATCCAGCTGCATGTACTCCTCGGCTGCGCCCTTGCCTCCACGATCCAGAAGATAAGCCATGTAGTAGTGCGAGAGTTCCTTGGAGACGTCTGGTGAGAAGCGTCCTTTAGTGCGCATGAGCTCGTGAACTGCCTTTATCCGAGTATGAGCCTCTTCCTGATCGGGCGAGGGTTGAGCGACTTCAAACTCAAGGTACTTGACCCAGAACTCGCGCGAGTCTGGGAATCGTTCGTGCTTGTCCTTGAACACTTGGCGGGCCTCGTCGACGCTGCCCTTGCATTGCCAGAGTATACGCGCCTGCTCGGCAGACAATATGCCACCGATGTGGTTGTTTGCACGGCCAATGTGCTCCTCCAAAAGACGGACCGCAGCGTCGTTGCCTTCGTGGCGCCGCTCTACACCCGCCAGAGCAATGAGGGTCTCGGTGTGCTCGGGGGCCTCGTCCAGCATGGACAAGTAGATATCGCGAGCGACAGAGATACGACCAAGCTTTTCTTCGAAGCGAGCCCAGTTCAGGCGTATTGCAGGGGCCGAGATAGGTACAAATATGCAACTGGCTCGCATATAGATGATCCTCGCATTCTCCTCTTTGCCCTGCGAGAACATCCAACGGGCATATCGTAGCCAGAACTCGTCGTAGAGCGCGCAAGCAACAAGACAGCGCTCGTACAGGAAGGAGGTGCGCTCGAAGTCGCCTTGCTTCTCCTCGTACTCCAGATACTTTCGCCAGTTTTCGAGCTCCGCATCTTCAAGCTCTGTGACATGGAAGTAAGCCCTCTTGATGGTTTGTTCAAAGGTCCAACGGTTCGTCACGTCCTGCTGCGTCTTTGTGTATTCGGCGTAGTAGTACTCGTGAATCTTGGTACGCAGTTGTCGCTCCACCTCAAGCACTGGCTTCTCGGGCTGTCCCTGGTTCTCCAGCTCAACGGCGTTCTTCATCGTCTCAAGGGTATCTGGATCGACCAACTCATCGACTGGTCGGTTGTTAAGCAGGACGGAGAACTTTTCGTAGTATCGGGCGAACTGATAGATGGGAAGATGTAGCACGCGGCTGTAGATCTTGGAGACATTGGTTGGCTCTCCGATGCGCTCTTCAAACTCGATATACTTGTCCCAGAATGGGTGGCTCTGGAAGTCGAGACCAACAAAGTGGGCACCGCGCTCGAATAAACTGCGAGGTCAGTATTTCGAAAGCAAGCAACGGGGAGGGATAGGAGGGGGTGATGTTGCAAAGTAACCTATCATGCCAACGAGGGGGAAGGCAAGGCCATCGACTTTAGGCTCGTAGCGTACCATATCGCTCTTTCGTGGGGCATGGTACAATGGGGCAATGAGGAGGTGCATCAGACGGTATGCAGTGAGACTGTGTCATATCTGAAAACGCAGCGCCAAAATGCGCACGACTTCCCGCTGGCTACGGCGAGATTGAGCCTCGGAATCGGGGAGGGGGGATGGGGAGGAAAGGCAAGACTTACTCTCGGATAATGTCGTTGTCGTGCGATGTGTCCATCTTGAAGGTGCAGTAGTTGGCCCACAGGTCTACTGAGGGTGTGATGCACGAGACGCCACGCTCGTAGACCATCTCAGCAGTCTCGGTGCCGCCGATAGAGAACTCGAGATCAGCATACTTTTTCCAGTATCCGAAGAACAGTGGGAACTTGGTCAGAAAGCAGTCGTATACGTTGCGCACGAGTTCGATGGCGGACGGGCTGGAATTGCGGGTGACGCCACCCTCGAGGTCAGAGGCACGAGTGACGAGCGCCTCCCATCTCTCGAAGTCATCTTCGTTCTCTACCTGTACGCGGGTCAGCACGAGTTTCGCGATCACGTGGCATAGTACGTACGACTGCGCTGAGGAGCTTGTTGATCTCACCCGCAGCTTCTTCTCCAGTGTAATGGATCTGGGCAATGCTGCCGCGTCCGGTGGTCAACATTCTGTCGCGCGTCGACTTTGTGGTAGCGGTACGTGTCTCGTGGTCGAAGGAGTGTGGAGTGCGACGGAGGAGGATGGATGGATGGATGGGTGTAGGTGTTGAGAGCTTTGCGACTCGTACCGTGGAAGTTGCGCCCGAGTTCGCGTCGGGAACTTTCGTCAGCGATGCACTCTAGCGCCTTCCAAGGTCGGTAAGGCTGGCCTAGCACGTGCAACCATCTCTTTAGTCTGCAACCAACACGTGCAATCACATCTGCAAGTCACTCGAGAGCAAGAGCAAAAAAGAATCGTTTTGTGAATGCGTCTCGTGAGATGTGTGAGATTGCTGCTAGTGCTTCAACGGCGGCTGGGCACACTCTTGACCAAATATTGATCAGACTGCTTTCATGCCACATCAATGCAATTGTGATAACGTAAATCTCGCTCTTGTTGATTCCAACTACGATAAAAACTCGCAGGGGCAAAAAATCCACCAAGGTATCACTTTCATAGTAGGGCTACATGGTCCCTTCGACTAACACAGCGCATCCATACCACACTCTGACGCAGAAGCGAACCCATGTACGACGGTATCAAACAGTACTCTCCTTTTTCAAGAAAGGGGCTGTCTCATTTACCGCAAACGAAAACGGACTTTTCCCCACCTCAGGACTTCTCGGACTTATAGGTAGGGCGAAGAGCCCATCGTCCTTGTCGTCCTCGTCTGCAGGTCCAGATGAGCCTCGCGATTGAAAGACAGGCGCAGGGCTGGATAGAGCGTTCAAAGAGCCCATCATACCAGCGCCTTGCTGTTCTGTAATGAACTGCGGAGGGGCTTGTGCAGCGACCTTGCGAGGCGGCGCGGCTGGTTGAGACTGTGGTTGCTGTGGAGGTTTCGCAGCAAGTGCCGATGGATTTGCTCCTTTGAACACGGAAAATGAACTAATAGCGATATCCGATGACTCGGGCGAGAGAGGATTTGAGAAGCCTGGCGCGCTGCTGGTGGGTGTGAGGTCTTTGTCGCTCGTACCTAGTCGCAGGCCAGCCAGCTTGTCCATCAGCCGCCCTCCGCCTGGTGATCGTGGACTAGCTGGGCCCTTCATTGGGGCCAACGTGGCCTCTCCCAGCGAGATGCTGAGACCAGCTGGTTTGGCATTTACACCAAAAGTCGATTCGATCCATTCCTTTTCTTGCACCACCATGAGCAGACCAACGCCTTCGACATTGTTCCGCGATTCGGCTTCGATTTCTCTCTGCAGCACCTGTAGCCTCTTCTTGGCCCAAATAGTGTGCAGGACGCCCTTCTTGCCCGCTGCACGCGCGGATGCTCCTAATTCAGGAGGGAACAAGGCGGGCAGAGGATTTGTATGCCAGACCACAGGCGATATACTAGCGTCTTGTGGTCGTAGCGTGAGTGTAACGCTTGTAGGTACTGCGACACCCGGGGGCAGCAGGAAATACATGCGGTTCACGTCGTTGGCAGGCTGGTCGTTGGCGGGCAGAACACGCGTGCTGCCGTCCCACGATATGTGCCAGTCTCCCCGCACTCCCCGCGTTGTGTCGTCGTCCTCCCACTCCACCATCAGGATCTTGGTGCCGGTTGTGGCATTGCCATGGCCCGCCTCGTATTCGTAGCGGGCAAGCGCATTAGTGCTCGAGATGCTCGGCGACTCGACCTCATCCTTAGCTGGCTGCCGCGTGGTGGTGTCGACTGAGGTGAAGGGAACCGTGGCTGGAGACGCCATTGGGAAGGTGGAGTTCGGACGTCGAGAGCGCGATGCAGGCGGGACGGTACGTCTATACAAATGGGTGGGGGCGGAATACGAGTCTAGGTGTTAATAACGGCGACGGCAAAATGATAGTCATGTACGGGCCCGTATTCGACGGCGTGAGACGCGATGCAGTCGACACAAAGGCTAGATGCACCCACCGCTACCTTGTTCCGACTTGGATGGCGATCTGGAAACGTCGTGCTGGTCGTCTGTTGCTGTACGCGTCGACTTGCAGCTTCGCAGTCCGCCCCATGTTCCTCGCTAAAATTAGAAAGGCATCTCTTCAGCAACGGGCACGAGCGACTGTCGCGCCACACCTACAGTAGATATGCGAATTGCCCTCTCCAACTGTGGCAGCCAATCATCTTCACATATGCACAATTGAGGCGTTGCAACAGTGAGCGATACGCTTGTTTCATCTCCATTCCTTCTCCTCCATCTATGGGCGCTCGCACTGGAACCCCATCCAACTTTACTGTACATGTAGGCGCCTGGGTGCTGCGCTAGCTTCCCTTGCACTTTCTGTGCCCCTTTCCACCTCCGACCTACCAGGGCAAGCAGACCCCGAGTTCTACCGTGATATCGTCAGCCGTAAAGTCCCTTCCAACGCCATCCAATCCATGCTACTCCGCCCTATGAATGCTACCTTGCTCTCGTTGAGCCAATGGTATCCGAATTACAAAAGTGGGTATCGTGGTGAAGAAAATATATGCAAAGAAATAAGCAAAATGCTTTTCAGGTCATCGCAAGAAGAGGCATGGTGAGCATCATCAGACACTGAGAGAATGTAGTTTGCGAAGAGAGACAACAGACCAGGATGCATACCAGCAGAAGATCCAGGCTTTTTAGATGAGCAAAAAGTCCCAGTTCTTCTGTCGCATCATGTCCCGCCAGTGGACACTCTGTGTGTTGCCCTTCGCAAGGTTGTCGTCGTTGACACGCCACACCTCTTCAAGGAGGTTCTTGACTCTTCCGTAAGAGCCAAAGTTTGCAGCTTCTCCCAAGAGGGCGGAGCGCTCCGCAAACATGCTGCGGAAGCCTGATTGCTGCACTGAGATTGAGCCAGCGACCAAAAGTGGCCATACTAGAGATCGGTCGAATCCGTCAGGACCGGCAGGAATATACTCCATAGCCTTACAAAGAGCGCTAACCAGGTTGACGAACGTGGGAGATGTGCGGTCAAAGTCCGGCACCAGGCTGCACAAGTAGATGCGAGCGGCTAAACGGTAGACTGCCGTCATGTTGCGTCGAAGCTGCCTTGGAAGAATTTCGCCGGTAGACGTGTAGGCGCTGTTGAGTGATCCCTGAGGGGGCTCAGTCAAACTGATTTGCTCACCAAGGAGCTTGATGTGCGCGCAGAGCTGCACGACATCCATGTTCTCGTTCTTTAGCGCCTCGAGACAAGCGATCTCCGAAATCAGATACATGATGCGGTCTTCACAGCCCATGAGTTCGGCAAGGCCAGAAGATGCGTCGGCGATGAGCTTCTCGCGGTAAGTGTCAGCGAAAGAGGGTGTCCTGCCCAACATAGTAGCACCGAGAATGTCGATCCAAGAAGCTAGTGTCATGTTGAATGGAGGCTGAGCATGTACTTGTCCGTTCATCGCAATCATCTGTGCAGGCAGCTCGAGCCTGTGAACAAGGTTTTGGACTGCTTCGAAATGGCCATGCCATGGAATATCCATTAGGCCGTCGTTGAAGCGGCCAACTGAACACTGGAAAAAGATCATACCAAGCGCAGCCTCGAGAGTATGGCCATGTTGGCTATCGCTGTAGAGCGCCGCAGTAAGCTGCTGGACTGTTTCACCGCGATGTCTTTGGATGTCCTGGTCGATCTGCTCTCCTGCAAGGTTCTGGGTGGTCTTCATATGTAACGCGGATATGCTCATGCAGCAGTGCAGGTATGCCTTGTTAGACTCAAGTGCGGGTATGATGACATCGCGTTGTGCCGCTCCGGGCTGGTTTGTCTCGAGGACCGGGAAGGCTGTGGGCATGATGTTCTCAAGAAAATGGCTAAGAAGGTGGCGATCGCAGTCCTCGACCTGAATGGACGGTTGGTGGGATGGGCTGAAAGTACCACAGGTGTTGTAATCGAAGATGGGGAATTCGAGGGGCTCCTCAATGTAGGATTCGCGGCGCTCGAAGTAGTCTTTCTGTATCCAGTCATCAGATGGGTAGATGTTACCAGCAGCTGGTGGGGTTTGGTAGTGACTGTAGGATGATAGTGTGGAATCGCGACGGGTTGGAATGTCGTTGATGAACATTTGGCTTTCGGTCTTGATGTCAATGTCGTAGGGCACGTAGTGTCCTGGATGGGCGAAAGCTGGGGCGAACATTGGGGGAGGCATTGTCGAGTTATAAAAGTCAGGTGTAACAGTAGGGTTGAAGTTGTAGTCCAGCGAGTTTTGTGAGTCCACAGAGGGTGCCCGGGTGCAGCTGACGCCGTCCGAGAATGTGTCGGCGGTTTGCATTGAATGACAAAGGCTTGGTGGTGTGTTGGTGCCCATCGCGCCGCTCTGTGCTGTCTTCTCGTTGAGTTTGGTGCGCTTGATGATGTTTTTGATGACTTCTTTTTGCGTCCGCCTTTGTTCATTGTTACTCCACCACATTGGCCTCTTGTATTCGCACTTGAGACCAAGGTGTCTGCAAGCACGGCAAGACGGTTTTCCTTCATCACACTTCTTCCGTCGCAGGCGACATGTGAAGCACCCTGCAAAGCTCCCGTTAGTCGATTGTCCATGCGCGGGATCCCTGCATCCACATCTGAAGGGTGGTCCTTACCTGATCGTGAACGACGGTGCATTTTTGCGGCTTGTTGTTGTTGTTTTGCTGCGTTAGCAGCATTTGTGGTCCCTACCATGGTTGAGGACTGTTTGGTAGCGGATGGGGGAGCGGACGAGGAGGACATGGACGCTTGATGTACCCAGAGCTGTGGTATATGAGGAAAGCCAGTAAACAATGCGGCAATAACGACTAACGCGCGACGGGACGATTCGTAAGGGACAGGATGGCAGGGCTCGACCGGGCTGCTCGTAATTAAAGATGGGTATTCAAAGCCTGACCAGCGGGCTTGATGTGAAGGAAGGAGCGGAACCAAATTATGCGGTCTACCTGTTGCGTGGAGATGTATTAGTGAGAGACAAGTACCTTATATCTACCACGAACGGCACATTTGTTCACAAATATTGCTGAATCTATTCTTGGAGACCCTGCTATCTGGCCAGGTGGTCGTCCAACGGGAGGGAGATGCGAACGCCATGCAGCATGTCGACACGGCACATTGATTGGACGACTAGTCTCTGGCGTGCAGCCTGATGTCGACATTTGGGGTCATTCTGTGCTCCTTGCTATTTTGGGGCACTCTTACCCGCCGCGCTAAAGCCAACTGCAGTACTTAGCGCGCATCTCTCCACGGCTATCGATCGGCTTACTGGTCCCCGCAACGACTTTAGCAAGTTAAATGACCCATTTAGTACTGGAAGCATATTACCATGTCGACTTGAGAGTTTTCGCTGACTGGGGCCGTGTGCCTTGATCCCCCTCTTGACCCAACCTCCTTGCGGGGCACTATCGAGCTGTATCCAGGAAGGGCCTAGGAAACACATGCAGCGGCTGCGATAAGTGGCCGGCCCGGACGTTGCTGGTGGCCTTGTGCAGATGTGCAGATCCGGACTGCAGTGTGCCAAGTCTGTATGTAGATGATAGCATAGCATCTGCAAGTCTCGTATACGTGGTGTGTCGGTACCTGCCCTCGTGTCGACCCCAAGGAATGTACAGTGACTCGTGGTACGGCGAGATGCGGCTGTTGTTGGAATCTATTCGCTTGTGCCACATTGAGCCAGAACGTTCGGGCACTGAGGACAGAGTCACGCAGACTCGAGGCGGCCCAATTCGCGTCCACACTGTCGTGATCATTTCCACAGCGGGACTTGACCAGCTAGTAGCTAGGCGAACGAAAACGTAGACCGCATTGTCGACCAAACACGGCAGGTCGGTTGATGGTGTTTTCCCGAGCTATGCGGGAGGGGGCAGGTTGAGTGGGTGAGCCTTCGAGTAACGCGGCGAGTTGGCATAGCACGACAGGCTGTGGCATCCAGTCAGCGTGCACTCCCACGCGAATCAAGTCGCTTGTGCATGTCGATGGGGTTGGAATTTGCATGACAAGCTTTTTCTAGCGAACTCGTGTGTCCAATGACAGCATTCATCGTCCTAGCTTACACTGCGGGGCAAGCCACCGGCTCGGAGAGCTCGGAGGGTGACAGGGAAGGGCCGGTGCTAAACATAGGCCCTTAATTATTCTTTCAACGTTCAGTAAATGCCCATAATTAGTGAGCGTACATCATGCCTGCAAGACGTGTGAAGCGAGGCCCTTTCGGGATGTGATACCACTTGCTAAGCACGCGATTGGTTACCGACAATTGCAATCAATACTTGGTAGTCCACGAATGGCCCTCGAGTAACTAGGTACCTCCTCGGACGGCTGGGCTTCGCAGGATGGCTCACCTGACAATGCGGATTCATGCTCATGGCCATGTTCCCGCTACAAGCCGCTATTCTTCCCCGGTATTTGGAAATGATGCTGCCTTGTATGCATCCTGTTGGACGCTCAAGGTGGTGGATGAAGCGAGATAGATTGAGACGCCAAATCTGGCTAATGAACACGACTCAACAGCCTCTGCGCTCGCTTCCTGGTCATTACTTTGGGACCGCAGTGAATAGTAAACTAGACAAATCTTCAGCGCCATAAGCAGAACTTTCAGAGCCAGAAGCTCGCCAGAGCAGTGTGACTCCTCGTAATGCATGCAAATGTGGACCGGTTGCCGTTCTGCTGGAAATCCACGAACTATGCAGCGTGTAGCATAAGAGACGGAAATTCTGTTCTGCTTGGCGCGGTTTATTCAAGTTGCTGGGGACCATGCTTGCACAAGTTGCGGTCTGGTAGTCCGGTCGTGGGAAGCCGTCTTCGCACGCTGATTCGCCTTGGACAACCACGCTTCAACGAGACCATTGTGATGATGGGACACACAATAGGCAAAAGACGCGGCTGGCCGCAGGACCTTACAGTCACGGGCTCGTGGTGTAGGAGCTTTCTGAGCGACCGTTGGTCGGCATGTTGATGAGGGTCCCATGGCGAGCCGTCACGAGAAAGAGCCGTCGGTGGGCTAGATGGTAGTATGCAACGGTCGGAGCAGCGGTCTGCCATGGCATCGCAACGGTAGCAGATAGCCGGTGGGACGCTTGCTGTGGGATGAGTCAAGCTTGTGCCCGCTATCGGGGTTTGTGCCAGCCCGCCAGGTCGCACGACAACGCAAAAGACATCGAGGTAGGTCCGGCGAGCATGAAAGGTTCGGATCCGCGATTACAGCGATGACGACAAGGTCCGGCGTGCGCGAGTCGTCGGTGGCTTGCAGGGCTGCACGCAGCCGTCGAGCACGGAACGCATCCGCATGTGATATGTTTGTGCCAATATCGCTTGCTGCATATCGCTGATGAGGCTGTCGGCTAGCGACCTCAACCAGCCACAGCCTTGGAACGCTCCGAACCGAAGCTTCACCGACACAGCACAGCAAGGTCGACAAGTCACCAAAGGTCATTTCCAATGTCACTTGACCGTGGCCACGGTGGCGGTGGTGACGCGACTGGATGAAAGAAATCCCGAGGTACGTACTTTGGGGCTGCGCAGGAACAACGAAGCGACCAACAGCAAGCGTGCACGGCATGGCCAACTCAGATCTTCGTCGCATCTGCCCTCGACAAGCGGCGACACGATCCGCTGCCGTCGACCCTGATCATGAGTGGACCCGCGACGACCCTGGCCTTTTCATGCGTCTGGCCTGCGCTGCGAGATATTAATGGCATTTAAGTGTCCTCATCGAGCAGAATTAGCCTGCAAGCCAATCTGCACTCCAGCGAATGGCGGCCGTCTCCTGCCCTCTCAACGCTCGAGTCTAAGCGCCAGCCTAAACCTCGACCAGCATGCGGGCGGGAAAGGCCCGGATTCACATTGGCCGAAGAGCGGTGTCTCTCCAGGACTCGAATGCCTCAGTGGCCGGCTTAAGCAGGCATGCGCTGTCTCGTGCAGCAGCTCCAATGTGATATTGTCGAACCACACACCCCCACCGTCAACGGCGCCCAAGCAACCTCTACAAAAGACTCTCAAGCGCTCTCCACCCGAAGGGTCCCTTTCTCCGTTTTCGATCGTTGTGCTGTTACCGTGTGTATGCCATGCTCGCGACATTCGCTCGGAATAGTTGTTAGCAGTCTTCCGAACAACCATATTCCCTACTACAGAGCGTGTACACTGCAAACTCGTGATCATGGTAAGCTACATTCACTTCCCGCTCCATGCGCGATTCTAACACGTCCATCAGCAGGCCATGACACCCATCACCCCGCTGGAGCCGGGCGTGGAAATGTTCGAACGAGGAAAGGCGCAGTCGTTCTTTTCTAGTGCTCTAACGGTCCGGTCATCGCTGGAACGTCCACTTTCGCATATCAGTGTCGCATATACAGATATCGAAGATGATTCTAGCGAATTTGAGGAGTTCAGTGGCTCGTCTGTATGTTTTCCTTGCTCTAACTGCATATGCGACACTGACCCCACAAAGAGCGACAACAGGCGAAGTCAAACAACGATATCGACATTCGAGGAAGTACAGACTCCTGGGGAAGAGGTACGGCCACAGTTCGCCTATTGGCCGGAGCGAAAGTCAGTAGAAGGTCCTAAAGGGCCACACCTCTTCCGTGCTTCAGTATCATCCAACGACTTTCTATACGACGACGCCCAAGTAATGCAAATGTCGCCTTTACTGCCAAAAGAAACTCCACTCCGTCATCCGACCTCGTTCCGAGAAGCGACTCCCGAAACCATCGTCCCTCAGAGAGAGTACAACAACATCGCTCTGGCAGTTGCCCACTTGGACAATGCCGAAGTGCGTGCCTGGACTTCCAAGGATGTGGCCACCTGGATGTATCAAAATGGGTTTGAAGACGATGTAATTGACAAGTTCATCCAGCACGATATCTCAGGTGCTGTTTTGCTAGATTTGCAATTCGACGATCTGAAGGAATTGGAAATTCAGTCCTTCGGCAAGAGGCATCAATTGTGGAACCAAATCGACTCGCTGCGCACCGCGGATGGCCTAATGTCGCCAACTGCTCCAGCAGCCATCCCAACTCCATTCGAGGACATCGAACGGCCGTGCACAGAGGCAAGGAACAGGTCCAAGAGCAAGGGCCGAAAGGCTAGTCGGCGCGACAAGTCGCGAGGGCGTCACTTAACAGACGATGTTATTACTCCTGCACATTCCGTCTCGATCGTAGCAATCGAACAACTACTACCTAAGCCGCACGTATGCGCAAAGGGTGAACGATGCGCCAAATGGAGGAAACAACAAAGGCAGCTTGCCCGACTTCAACAGGAACACGGCTTTCCTATTTCGCCCGAGAAGGGTGGTCATATCTTCATTGCTGGCGACCCAGGCAACCCCCAGACAGCATCTCACGTAGTGGAGAACGTCCACCGCCCGAATTCAGAAGCTACTCCTTCCGTTGTGGTACCGTCCGTGGTAGCATCATCCGATGTGTTGGGGCCTGGCCAGCTACCTGACTTTACTCTTCAGGACCTACAAAAGTTCGAGCAACGCGACCCGCAAGACAACGTACGACAGTTTCTTACCCTACAGGGTCAGCAGCAGCCCTTCGTCAGCGCTACTCCAATTGAGGCTCCCCCAACGCCACCTACAGAATCATACCCACCTCGGCCCTTCTTGGTGATACCACAGCAACAGCACTACCCGCAGGTTTCAGCCTTTTCTGCATCTACGTCGGCGCATACCACAAAGTCTTTCGATCCTTTTAGCCAGACACCTTCAACTCCAGCTCTGCATCCCCCAGAGTTTATGCCGGCTCCTCACTCGAACCTCAAGAGCCTCCCCAAATTGACGATCCCCCCGGCACGTTCAATGTCTGCCCAGCCTGCTGGTAACCCACGCAGTGGAATCCCAACACACCAGTACCTTGCACCCGACACCGCTTTCTCGCCATGTAGGACGGCGTCACCGGGCGGGGTCTACCGGTTCGGTACGCCGTTCTCTGAGATGGACGTCCCTGTGACTGCTGTGCAACACGAGCCACTAAGTCGTGACACAAGCCAGTCCGTGCCTCCGAATATGCAATACCAACCCCAAATTCAAAGGGTTGGATCGCGTCATGACCGTCGACGCCCTTCGTTGCCCATGCCCGTTCTTGCTGAAGATCGCGTATTCAGCCCAACAGCCCACTCGGACGACGACACCCTGCGGGAGACCATCTTCGACGATTCCATCAGTACTAGTGATAGCGCTAGCTCGTCGCCACTCAAAGCCACTAAGCCGTTCGATAGCGAAGCTGGCGACACTATTGCGCCTTTGCCCAAGGGAGGCTTCGTGTACAAGGGTGTGAATCACCACGGCTGGATGAAGAAGCGACGTACCAAGCTTCTGCGTCACGAATGGCAAGACCACCACTTCCGCCTCCAGGGCACGATGCTAGCTATGCATCCCAACGAGCTGCCGTCTTCCTCCGCGTTGCAGACCATTGATGTGGATGATTATGCCGTAGCATGCTCATCACTCGCTTCCAACAAACTTTCCGCCAAATTCAAGGCTCTGAAACTTTCTTCCGGTCACCACAAGGAGAAGTCTTCCGCTTCCACTCCCGCATTCGAGTTTCAGCTTGTACCTGCTGCACCTGGAAAGGGCGACGTCAAGAAGGTTATGCCGAATGGCAAGGTGCAGCACTTTGCCGTAACCACCAAAGACCAGAGGATCGACTGGATGCGCGAGCTCATGTTGGCAAAGGCCTTGAAGGCTAAGAGCGATGGCTACGAAGTCAACGTCAACGGGGCCAACATGTGATCGCTGCACCAGCGTGCACCTCATCTCTTCCTTATTGTTTTCAGGTATCTTTTTTTGTCTAGCAAGCGAGCGTGTTTTCTGTCCGTTGTTGATTTTGCGCAATCTCCTCTTCCTTAGTCCGATCATGACCCGCTATTATACCCTTTCCGTTGACGCTTTTTGCTATACGCCGCATGTTACTGTTCATTGTGTCTTGTCCCAATCTCTTGGAGACAGCGTATATTTATTTTCATTACTACATACATCTAAAGACTTGGAACGCTGAGCGGGGCCGCAAGGCATGGAACGTTATTGGCTACTTATGGCTTGAACTTGGTAATGTTTGGGGGGTTGAATCAGTTATTTGCTCGAGCGTGGAAGTCCTACAATCACTCATTGACTAGGGTGGTATTATGCTGTTATGCTGTTGGTCAAAAGCTGTCGTTACGTTGAGATTGAGCGGGATGGGTGTATGAGTGGGGCGGAATGGTGGACGAAAATATGGTACTATCAATGAATACGATGAACGTCATACAATATACCCCTTCCATGTCCACCGTCTTGGCATGTCCACGTACAGCTACCAATCCACCGTCGCTCTCCGAAACATCTGTGCTTTTCGCGCCGTTCGAAACACTCGGTTTCCGATATGACACTCGGGGGCCGGCCGGCGGTGTGTGTTGTACACTCCCGGCCGACACAGCCCCATCACGAAACCACGTCGCCCCTAAACACGTCAATCATATATGTTGTCAACATACACACAAAATATTGTTAATTATGCTCTATTATTCTGCTTGCTTATTTCGAGTCATTTCGTTACAAACACACGCCTTAATGCCTAAAGCACACGTCTCGCATCATGCGTTCGCATGATTTTCTGCATGAACGGCTATCACCTGCTTTTCAAACGACACCTCATATGTGATATGCTAAGCGAGAACCGCGATAGTGGTAACTAAGACTATTCGTTCAGAACGTGTCTTGTGAAATGCATTGGATGGTTTTTTCTACCAAAGGGGCGGTTTGGGTTGTGAACATGACAAACGTTCAATATTACGATATTCAATGAGTGACAAATTGTTACTGGAGGCATGTAGGATTCGTGATACAATAGCTTGGACACTTGTCAGTCTCTCGAACCTTAGTGTATAGTTATGTGGCTTTATGTAGATACTTCATTCTGGAATTATGGTAAGCAAATATACGCTACATCAACGTATTGGAAAATGGAAGAAGCAATCAATGATCACATCCGAAGCCGTAGACCAACCCAAGCTATTATTTAGAATGCGCTGTAAATCTGAGATAATATCACTCTCGAGTCACCTATCAGCAAATTGAATGTCTATTTCGTGTCGCACAGTCTCCGATTCGCATTCTAGCCTAAACGTTTGATAGTACAAATCCTGTATCCTCCACCGTCATCGCGCAGTTTCATTCCTGTGGCCCAACATTCTGGTAAAGTTACCTCTCTTTTGAGAGATATGGGTGAACACGAACATGTGAATGAACTAGGTTACTTGTATAGGGCCACTTCTTCCAACAAGATGACGCACGTTGCGAAGCAAGGTCGCACTGACAGCTGTCAAGATCGCCTGTGAGTCGTGACATGAATGTGAAGTGACAGACGGATCATAATGATGGGTTATAGACGTGGAGACTGATATCGCAATAATAGTACCGTTTATTGGCTATTTCTGAGAGGAGCACGAGTGATGTCAAGCCGGAGATGAAGCGGCAAATGGATAACAGCTGGACTTGAACACACCAGCAATATTTTTTTAGGTTAGTATGTGAGATTGACCTGAAGAATGCTCCCTTGTGAGTCGATGATGAGAGAACCATCACCAGCGGTGCTCTCGAGGGCATGCGAAGTATGTATCAAAGTAGTAGTATGGGAAAGGCGCACCAAAGCAGGAAGAAATCTTTTCGTCAGATACAAATATGATTAAATTAATAGAACCAGCGAGGCATTCAAGCAGGCCGATGTCGTTCGATCAGTTATTTACACGAGAAATTAGAAAATAGACCAGCTGTCCTCCTACTGTGGTACATATCGTTTGATACAGGGAATGTAACCCAAGAGGCGAGAGACCGGTCACGCTCTGTGTATGTTTCAGTACTGGAGCATGCCTGTAATAGAGACAACATAATGTAGAGCCTTCGAGATGACTGTACAAGGCTCGTCGCGTAGTAGTTGATGACCAAATTGCAAGTATAAAATTGCGTATATATGGCTTGCGAATGATCAGGTGTGCGTCGAGTGTTCCGAAGTGAAATAATGAGATGTTCTCATCGGTGTGATGGAAATGGTCGTTGTGATCCGTATAGACGGCAGGTAAGGTATCGATGGTTGAGAGGTTTATTCCTCATCAGCCTCATGCTTGCCGCCGATTGGTAGACCGTAAGGACGCCATGGAGCATCAGCTTCGGGAGCAGCCTCACGCTTGCCCCCATTGCCCCCAATGGGTAGACCGTAAGGACGCCATGGTGCATCAGCTTCAGGAGCAGCTTCACGCTTTCCACCGACGGGTAGACCGTAAGGACGTTTTGGAGGTTTCCACGCAGCCACAGGAGCAGCTTCACGCTTACCACCAATAGGCAGGCCGTAAGGACGCTTCGGGGCGCCAGCCTCGGCTTCAGCTTCGGGGGCAGCCTCACGCTTGCCGCCAATGGGTAGACCGTAAGGACGCCAAGTGGCCATTGAGCCGGCCTCAGCCTTAGCTTCACGCTGGCCGATAGTGGCAGGGACAGCGGTGGCAGCAGGTAGTGGCAGAGCGGCACCGGAGACGGTGGCAGCCAGGATGGCAGAGGCGATGATCGCGTTGATTCTCATAGTGTCGAATTATATGTCGGGTGATAATGAACGGTAGAGGTCGGGACAGATCGACTATTGACCAAGTGATTGATAGTGGTCCTTAAAGTTGTAGTCGGTGACGAAAGATATTGGTGCAGGAGTAGAGGAGTATTTAAGTACGATAGACATAGACACACAAAGGCATCAGTTGAAGGCGTTCCACCTCGCTACTGATTCCGAATTGCATGAATAGACCACTCCATTGCTCAATAGGTTTGTGGGGTGAAGGTCAATGGGCATTCGTCCAATAGCGCAGTGGCTACTCAGGTGAATGCGGGTTCCTCAAGGGATCACTCCGAACAGAGTAGGTCAAGGCCGTACCGATATCTTCCAGCGTAAACGAGCTCTTCCAGACCATCAAAGGCTCAATAGTTCACGGTTGAGTTGCTCCTAGAAGGCTTTTAGCTTCCTACGCCGGACGGCACAATGCCTAGAACACAAAGCACATACGTTTTCCTTGGAGACTCAACAAGGGATTGCTTTACTGTTGAAAGAGGGCGTCAGGGTGGAGGTCTGGTGTTGAGGTTACCTCTTTTGGGTCTGAATAGCTTCAATAGAAATTGGAGGCTTGGCGTGGATTGCGTGCGTTCGGCTTCAGAGTGATGATGCGCCACCCGTTTGGACTGAGCGAGTTATTGGACTGAGCGATATCGTTTGCAAGATAAGCTAATAGAGGATTTAAGGCTGAGGTATTGACGAATGTCCCAGTGGCTTGCATGAAGACGAGCCACCCATGGAGATATGGGCGAGCAGTATGACGCACATCAGTGCACATGGAGATTGATACTATCTGAGCAATAAAAATGAACAGATTCCTCGTGCATTGATGATTTTGACTCTTTCCGACTATGTGATCTGTAAGGTGGGATTATGTCCGCTTTGTGTTGTAGGACAACACCGCGAGCGATTTTGCGAAAGGTCCAAACGAAACACTTCTTAGAGTGAAAAAGTTAGCCTATGTGCTTCCTCCAGTCTTCGGCTTGGGGCAGAGTGAGGCGATGCTGCCGGAAAGGCGACAGCGTTTCTGTTGCCCCCATGCATGCGTTTGCGAGCGTCAAATATGATGTGCATCTCCGGAACGAAGCTCATGCATACGTACTCCTTGCTGTATGCCGCGTGCTGGCTTACCGGTTCGAGGTTCTCAGGTCGCAAATTGTGCTTGTTGGGCTGTGGATATGTTAGATCTGCTTGCAAGATGAGTCTCTGTTAGAGAATCGTCAACATTGGGTCGCCTGCATTATGAAGATTAGTGTATATAGACTGTTTGAGATCTATTCTATATCGACTGCCACATCTTGCGACGTCAATGTGAGGGTGATGGAATGGCACGATGTGGTGAGATCTTGCCCATGTACTTGGGCAGCTGGCTGATTAAGCTAGCGCCACACGTGGCTTCGCGCCAACTTTTGGCGCGGGGGATTGTCGCGAATTAACGTGAGACGCCCATGGAAGCATGTATTCTAGAATAGCCAATTCAACGGCGCCTGCTATCAGAAGAGCGTTTTCGAGCTTCTCGAGACGATCACTATGGGCTTCGTCGTCTTGCCATAATGGTAGCGGTTGTGGTCGACGACATATCACCACACAGACTTCCGAAAAGCCCTACTACATCACCACACCAATATTTTACGTCAATGCTGCCCCTCATGTCGGCCACTTGTATACCATGGTCCTCACGGACGTCATCAAGCGGTGGCATGTGCTCAAAGGAGAGACAGCATTGCTATGTACTGGGACAGATGAACATGGCCTGAAGGTAGCTTTACCTGACAATGTGAAGGTATTGCACTAACACTACAGTAGGTCCAACGAGCAGCTGCCAAGGCTGGCATTGATCCGAAACTTTTTTGTGATAAAGGCGCCGAGATCTTCAGGGTACGCACACACGCATAGCGGACCTACACCATTGTTGCTTACCTGCAAAAGGAACTTGCACGGAAAGCCGAGATCACGAACGATCATTTCGTCCGGACGACGGATAGAGAACACAAGGAAGCTGTCGAGTATGCATGGGTACGAGACTCCGGAGCAGCTGATGTAAAGCCACGGTAGCTGATGGCAGACAGTTCCTGTTGCAAGAGAAGGGTCTCATATACGAGCAGAAGCATGAAGGGTGGTACTCAGTCACCGACGAATGCTTCTACCCACAGTCAGCTGTACAACTGTACCTCGACCCACCGACAGGAAGGAAGATTATGGTATGCGCTGCCTAGTAAACGGTAGTCGTCTGAGCTGATCAACCTGCAGACATCCATTGAAACGGGCAGCGAAGTAGAATGGTCTTCGGAGATCAACTATCATTTCCGGCTCTCGGCATTCCAGGACAAACTGCTGGAGTTCTACAAGAATAATCCCGAGTGGATAGCACCAGAATATCGCATGAAGGAGGTTGTGCAGGCCGTTGAATCGGGATTGGAGGACTTGTCTATATCTCGACCATATGAACGACTCGCGTGGGGTATCCGAGTCCCTGGAGACGACTCACAAACCATTTATGTATGGCTTGACGCGCTCATGAACTATGCGACCAAGGCAGGATACCCATGGGCACCGGGCCGTGAACAAGCTGGAGGCTGGCCCGCAGACTGTCATGTCATTGGTAAAGACATTGTTCGATTCCACTGCATTTACTGGCCGGCCTTCCTCATGGCGCTTGGACTTCCCCTTCCGAAGAAGATTTTGACACACGCTCACTGGACACTTGGGGGGTCTAAGATGTCCAAATCAACTGGAAGGGTTGTCGATCCGTTCAATGCCCTTAATCGATATGGATCGGATGTTATGCGCTTCTACATGGTTCGTGAAGGCGGTATACAGGACGATGCAAACTACGATAATCGTCGCATCATCGGATTGTACAATACGTTCTTGAACCAGCAGCTTGGCAACCTAGCTTCTCGTGTTACACGAGGCAAGAAATGGAGCGTCCGAGGCGCAGTCGAACGTGTTGGTGGAACGCCAACGGAGGAGTGGGCTGAAGGACCCGGCTCCAGATTCTGGAATAATTCTCTCGCCAAGATTGCCTGGCAAGTAGACGCATCTTTTGATGCCTACGATCCGCGCAAAGCTGTGTCTCAAATTGCTGAATTTATTCGAGGAGTAAGTCTGACTTTTTTTCGGATTGCCACTCTACTGACAAAGCTTAGTCAAACTGGTTCTTTCAGATGTCGAAACCCTGGGACAAGGTTCTAGTCTACGGCCCCGGCGAGCCTGGCGAAGATGTCGACAGGATTGTCTATCTTGCTGCTGAAGCACTTCGCATTACAGGCATCTTACTACTGCCATACATGCCGAACAAGGCAAGAATGCTACTAGACCAGTTGGGCGTACATCACGATCGGAGAACCTTTGAATACTGCAAGCCTGGCGCTGATCTAGACTATGGAACTCCATTCGTAGAGCTGGGCACAGCACACAAGGGCGTGCTGTTCCCGCCACTGCCAAGTGAAGAGTAGGAAATGTATATTAGTGTGATTATCCTAGAGCTGAACAAATGTATATTATTTCGCTTATTACAGGCGATGCAACTGTCAAATCCGATTTTGCTTTGACATCCTAGACGCTCTGGCTTAACTACCAGAGTCATTGTTGTCTGCAGCTATTATCTTCGCAAAGCATAGCCTTTAATAGAGAGACCAGGTTACAATCTAAGATGAAAGCGACCGAGGCTTGCTGATCACATGTTGCTGAGGCCTAATGCCAAGACTACATCATCGCGCGAACTTTTGGATTTCCGCGCGAACATTTCCCACGGCAGCGCAATCACCAACTTCTCTCTACCTTTCACGCTGTTCGCCACCCCTCTTCGCGCCGGAACTGTCGGAATTCTGCGAATTCTCTCACAACGACTGTAAAGATACGATAAAGCATCGCGCGCGTTTCCACACGAGATCAGCCCATCATGGCCGCCCCCAAATCGGGCGGCTTCAAGATGTCACTGGGGGCACTGAAGACAAAGCCAGGGCTTAAATCTTCTCCCGCGCAGAAAGACACAAAAAAAACCAAGCTTCTACTTGGTGACGACGAACCAGACGATTCGAATACGCAACAAGAGATCACAGGATGGGACGCAGCGGAGGGCGGCGCGCTTGATGCCAATGAGAAGAAGGAGAAGGAGGGACCTCGCATTATTCCAGCTCTACCGAACCGCGATTGGCGCGCAGAGGCACGGCGAAAACACCTTGCGAAAGCGCCACACCAACAATCGCAGACCGAGACTAAGATTGTCGATGAGAGCAAGATGGAGGAGCCGAAGGTGCAATATGGACTTACAATTATCAAGAAGGATGAATCACAAGAGATCGGAGCTGCGGAGGCTGGAGCGCCAGAGCCTATGGAGATGAAGCAGGACAACCTTACAGAGGAGCAGCGACTTGAGAAGAAAGCTCTCGATGCGCTGATTAGCGGTAAATCCACCGATAATGACCTCGTCATTCCCGTACAGACGGAAGAAGATGCGTTCTTGAATGACGTTCACAATGCGCCTGACGCTCCCACCCTCGAAGCCTATGAAGCTACACCCATTGAAGGATTTGGCGCGGCGCTGCTTCGTGGTATGGGCTGGAAAGATGGAGAAGAAATTGGCAAGAACGGCGTTGCTGCGAAACCGAAAGAAATCAAGCGGCGGCCAGCGCTACTTGGCATAGGCGCAAAGGAGGAGGCTGCTGTAGGCGTTGAGCTTGGTGAATGGAGTGGTGGGAAAAGCAAAGGGAAGAAGGTCACGCAGATCTATAATCCCGTTACGTTGCGGAACAAGCACACTGGCGAGGTTATAACAGAAGAGGAGCTCAAGGCAAAACTTGAGCGACAGAGCATGATCCCGGACGAGAAGGCACCAAGAAGCAAGAGCAGATACCACGATGACAGCGAGGACGATGAGCGAAGGCGTGAAAAGCGGAGAGAGAAACGAGATGACCGCGACCGCGACCGCGACCGCGACCGTCGACGAGATGGCGATTACGATAGCGAACGGAGGAAAGATAAGGACCGTCGACGAGATAAGGACGATTACTATGATAGCGATCGCCGCCGAGACAATCGTAAAGATCGAGCCCGGGAGGACGACTACGACAGCGAGCGTAGACGCGAAAAACGAAGAGAACGCAGTCGTAGCCCCGACGACCGAAGAGACAAACGCCGTGATCGATACCGCAGTAGAAGTCGGGACTCGAAACGGAAGAGCGATAGAAAAGATCGTAGTAGGAGTCGTGATCCCGATGATCGCAAGAAACGGAGAAGGGACAAGGAATATGACGATGAGGACAGGTACGAGAAGAAGAGGCATAGGGATAATAAATATTACAAGTAGTTCCCACCGAGCTCAGGAACAGCAATAGAGGGTATGGTTATGCATGTATCTGGCGTTCTGGACTGGAACCACACCGAAAATGGCATATGCATGAACGAGCTATCATATTACCAACATACAATCCAAGACGTCATACCACAATAATATATCATCTGTATTCTCTAGAAGTGACCTGGATATGGACATGTGATGTATACAGCACGTTTGTCTCAGTCGATAGCTGTTGTGAACATATCTCAATATAGTCTGGTTGATAGTAAAGTGAGAACAGTGACGTAGTATTATCTTATTTCATTATATGCCAGTTTAATTGTCATTTACTCGTACACAAGTCCTCCGCCGGGACACTCTTCATGCATGCGTCATTACAAAACCGTCACTATGCAGTACGATTGAGAACGATAAAAAAAAACGCTAGTGGTATATCTGTTTGCCAAAAGCTCAACGCAAAAACAACATGTACAAAATAGGGTATACAGGGAGAATTTAGAAATTATGCGAAGGAAGTGGGGATGGGTCCACTGCGGGCTTCGGGTATCCATTCGCAGTATGCGATACATAACCGTTAGAGTTCCCGTTGGTGTAGGTGTTGCCATTTGTGTATCCATTTGTGTAGCCGTTGGTCTGAGGTACGGCCATCTGCGAGTTGCCACGGTAGTATTGCTGGCTATCGGCAGCGCCATCGCCCATGTGGTTCCGTTCTGTCTCGCCGCTTTCCTCGAACACTTGCATCTCGGTCTGCTTGGACTGGTGGTGCTTTGAACGTGTGGCGGGTAGGAAATCGATGAAGAAGCTGAACACGTAGAAGCAGTAGATGAAGGATACACACCATTCAAGAACAGCGGCTACGTTCCAAATGTCCTGCTTGGAGCAGACTGCAAAGGCGATAGCGAGGCAAACCTCGGTGATGATGAAAAAGAGCTTGATCCAGAAGGAGATTCTGAGGATGGAATGTTCCCGGTAGTGAATACCTAGGCGTTGGTACTCCCAGCAAATGAAGATTGCTGAGACGATGTAACCAATGATGAATACACCAAGGAAGATATTGTGCAGTCTGTTGTGGTTCTTGCAATCGAAGATGGTGAGCAGTATCAGACCGGCCGCACCGACAATGGCGGCAATAGTAGCGCACAGGGAGTAAATTTTCTGCCAGTGAGATGTGTTTGGTGCAAGTTTGTTCGTGTGTCGTAGCCAGCGCTCGAAAATGAAGGCGAGATCAAAAGTGACAACTGTCACGGCTGACATGGCGATGAACATAGCTTTCAGGTAGTCCGCACCAATATCTTCATATCGTTAGCATGTGTGCTTGATTGTGTGTATCGTGCAACTCACCAGATATGTAAGGAATGTTTTGCCCTGGGCTCATTGTAGAATAGTGAGGTTTGCCGGTCGCCGCCCAATAGACCAACATGGTGATAAGCATGGCGGTCCATACTACTGCGGAGAAGATGGGAACGACCCAATACGAGAGTCCCAACATGGCGAGTGAGTTTCCTTGGGCGTTGCTCTGAGGTATGTGGATGTTGTAACAATGAGCCCTCTGGTGTGACTGCTAGGGAGGTTCAATGCGCCTGCGACGGAAAGCTGCGGAATTGGGTAGCACGACACGCGACCAGATGGTAAGGTGATGAAAATGAAGCAGACAACAGACGACAGCGCGATCAGCAACAGGGAGCAGGGCTATGATAAAGAGGAGGGACCAAGGCAAAGATGAATAATGGGTAGTCCGCGGCGCGACGAAAGTCTCATACAAACTATGTTGTTGCTAGGCGCGACTATGATGTCACGTCTCCAAGACTAAGCCAGCTTGCGTAAGATGCCGCCGGGTCCGATTCGATCGCCCTATTCAACGTCACCAGGCAAGGCGCAGAGTCTTCGATTGCGTCGAATTGAAGATCATGGACGCGTCCGAATACCTTCGGACGAAATTTGATATCGAAGCAATGATGATGTTGGGACAGTGAGCCTCTGCGGGTGTGGCTTCTGCAAAGCCGCGATGCGGACTAACGCTGTGTTTGTGCCGCTGACGCCCTGTCTCTCACGCGTCCAGGACCGCCACATGCATCACCGATGGCAGATTTCCAAGCGAAGCGTCGCAAAACTCGACCTCGCTCAAACACAACACAGAGTTTCAACGTCGACGCTATGGTGGAACCCCCATGGACCAGGCTGGTGTCGTAACAAGAAACCGGACATCAACTGGTCCATGTGATCTGCAATGTTCGGCAGTACTGCGCGGCCTGTTCGCGGCTGTCACTCCGTCGCCAGGTGGAGCGCTGCTAAGCATGTGCAACATCCAGGCCTTCAGCGCTTCGGCCTTGAAAAGCCCTATAAGACCATGCCGAACTCCAACATGGCCTGTTGCTGGCGCAAGTGTATACCAGCATGCAATATGGTTTCGAGGCCAGTCAACGGATCCGGGCTTTTATCCAGAGCCTTGGTAGGTGCGCTGCGCAATTGTATCGTGTCTGTCGCGCTCCGGACGTCCAACCTAATCAGCCTACTTACTGCTATTTTTCGTCCAACAAAAGTATGCTGCCAGTTGTCCCATGGCCGGTAGGGGAATAGCGGTGACTACTTGTCCTGCAGGTACGTGGCGACGGTGATAATGTGCGTGGCCAGGATCCTAGGGCAATCACGATGCGACGCTGAAATGAAGATGGGACTGTTGATCGGAGATTACCCACGGTTTGCTCAACCCGAGATCGACAGGTTCATGTGTCCGCAACAAGAGTTGCAGCAAAAGGAAGGACGACGGTACCGCGCGAACTGTTCATGCATGGACCAGGGAACACCAGCAAACTGGCAATAGCATGGCCAGGCACTGTCGGGGCGCACAGCCACTCTATATATCGCGGGACGCGTATATCGGCACGGCCACAGCAGGCCACTTCGGTCAGGTTTTCCTGGTGTGGATCATGCAAAGTCATGGCACGACTTGTGGATGCTGGACTTTTCACTTTGCCATGGCCTGAGACTTGCAGAGGTCCGATAGCCGTTAGGTTCACCGATACGGCAAAAAGCAGCTGGGATCCAGCCTTCGCGTTGCGCATGCAGCACGACGCCCCGCCTTGATTGGCTTCGGTGCTCGTGCGTTGAGCGATCTTGATTGGCAGATCACTTCAATCCTCGATGTAGCCTGCATTGTCCGGTTTCATGTCGAGCTTCTTCCAAGTTTGTTGTTACTTAGACCAGCTCTGTCTTTGCCTGCTACATGCAGCACTCGTAATTCCAGGCCCAGCATCCTTGACACTTGTAGCCGACTGCACTAGACGCCTGTTCGCGCGGGGACATATTACTTATTCTTCGATATCCCTCCACATGGTCCGCCAGTCCTAGTGTACCACCGGACTACGCTTTCATATCTTCACGCCAGCCTCCGGATAGATAACGTTGCATGCTCATAGAGCTTTATAAAGGTATGCCGCGGGACTGACATTCTGTCCAGCAGGCACGAACTACCATTAACTCGTTCTTTAGCTATCACAATCCCGATGCATCGTTCCCAATAGTCTTGAGCGCCGTCGCTCTCTAACCCCACTACCACCTGTCAACATGGGGAACCAACCCAGTAGCACGAATCACAACAAGCTTTCCAAACCGAAGACCAACACCAATTCCGCAAGTGGAGGTGCAAAGGTCGACTCACCGCAGCCCATAACTTCGCGACCGGCAGACCTCAGCCCTGAGGGGCGCCAGCAAATCAAAGACGCCCTGCTTTCACCTACTGCCACCGAATTCGACCCCAACATCTGGATGCACAACGATGATGGTTTAGGGGAGATTGCGAAGACGCGTGGTCGTGCATCGACAGTCGCTTCAAGATCAAACTCGCGAACCAACTCCAGGACCAATTCACGATCGAATTCATTGTCGTGTTTTGGAAGTAAACAAGGCTCCGCAGCTCAGCTTGCTGGTCTGGCGGATTCAAAGCTGTCTTTGGCTTCTGTGTCACATGTCGATATCGCTGAGGCAATTCGACTTCTACAACAAGTCAAAAAGAATGGTACGCCAGAAGAACTTGCGGCGCTGCAAGAAGTGTTAGAAGCACCTGAAGAGCATGCACTGCCAGTGGCTGAGGCACCCGTAAGTCGAAGAACTTCGTTAGTTGACAGGTCTTCTTCTTCGCTCACACGTCGACAATCAATCATCCAGACGCCTGGAGTAGGCACCAGACATTCACCAGTTGAAGGGCGCCGCAGGACGTGGAACTCGTGGAAAGCTCCCAAGCTCGATGCCGAAGAAGAGGCAAAATGGCAGTCCAAGCCAAAGGGAAACTCTCACTTGGCCCCTCAGACAGTGCTTCGTTTGTCTGACGAAGCTCGTGAGTCCACTACTGCTCGAGCCGTTACACCCTCGGAGCAGGACTATGCGCATCTGGGAAGCTTGAAGCTAGGAACTCTTGTAGTCACGAATGGTGCAGCATCGCCCGTACCCAGCACAAGAGCTCTTGAAGGGCAAAAGTCAGTGGACGATGACTACTTCTCAGCAACGGAGGCCAGCTCCAGTCCACTGATTATGAAGTCCACACGTCGACGGGCCCATACAAGGAGCAAGTCAGCTGTTGTCCCAACGCCTTCCCCGCTCTACGAACTGGAAGCAAACGAAATGCCCACTCCTTACGATCCAGAAATTACGGCTAGTGGTGTTGCAGCTGAGTCGGTCTCTTGTCCAAGGGAGCCAAACCCGGTTACCGAAGACGAGTCTCAGAAGTCCCATCAACATTCGCACCAGCGCAAGCAGAGCGCATCTGAAATTGCAGAGAGCTACCAAGCTGACATACCATTAAGTCCTTTCTTCGCATCCGAGGAAACTGCTATGTTCTTCCGGCCAGAAAACAGTGATTCGGCTGATATAATGAGAACTCCTCGCAGTGTCAGGGAGACTGCCGTTGAAGAACCCAAGCCTCAGCCTGAGATCAAAGTTTCGAATCCTTCTGCAACATCAAATGCGCTCACTGCGCCGAAACCAAAGAGCAAGGCTAATCAGAGACCACCACCACGAACAACTGATTCTGGTTACTCATCCGCTGTGAGTCTCAGGAAAATGGGTCAAGAACAATCGGAGAACGCTACCTCGATCCTATGTCATCGGTGTAGCGATTCTCCCCAGATGGTCGATGCAAGCCAGGAACAAGGAACTCGACGTTCTGTCCTTGCAAAGAAGAGTCACCAGGACGCCGACCTGTCGTCTGCGAACAGTGACTCTGATGGACACTCACCAGCTCGAGCTACACAGCACGCACAGATGGCCCGACATGTACCAGCGCTGAACAGCCCAGTTCCGTCTACGAGTTCTTCTGCCAGGTCTTCGGCGTCGGAGTCTCTGGACTCACCCAACACGCCTAGATCTCTTGGTTCGCGAGCATCGTTCGACAGTGCATCTTCGAAGTCGCAGAAGCGTTTCCGTAAGCGACGTCAGTCACAGCCGGAGCACCCAGTTGTTCAGTCCTGCCAGCCAATTCCAGAAGGGACAATCCCTGAGGTGCCAACCAAGGTGCGTGCCAAGTTTGAACGACGCGTATCGAACACTCCAGGAATCGATTGCTTGACGCACACGTATCCAACAAAGGAACACGTTGTCGCAGACGAGCCTGCTGATCACGGCCCTGATCACGGCCAAACCGAATTCAAGCAGTTGGCTGAGTTGGAGCCAGAGCGACCACCTACGCCCCCTGCTCATGGTCGTCGAAGGAGTCTATCATTCTTCCGGAGAAAGTCTTCATCTGGAAAGAACCAGGTTGAGAAAGAACCCGAGCATGCCGCACTCGACGTGGTTCATCTGGGTACTATCACCACGTCTCTTGGTAATTCCCCGTATGATATTGCCATGCCCGACACTCGCAGGGAGAGCGTGAGTTCTCCTACCCACCCGCACCAACTTGGCAATTCCTTGCCCCGAGCAAAGTCTATGGTGAGCATGGATAGCAAGGCTGCGGCGGAGTTTGCGCGCCTTCATAGCAAGGATCTATCAGTCGCTGGACGGAAGCCACCTCCCCAGCAACGACGAAAAAGCTACCACAGTCTGCACAGGGAATCCGGCGAGGCCACTGCTTCGAAGCTTCGCCCGCAGAGCGTCGATGTGCCACCGGTGCCCTCCATCGACACTACCAGGCTTACCGTTCCGAAACCTGTTAAGCCTCAGGGACCCCGGGCTGCTCCCAGCATGAGTTCTCGCAGCCAGAGAATGTCCCAGCCTGTGGGCAAATACGACTCACCCCCGCAGAGGCTTTCGCAGACTCCCGTGAACTGGGAGACGCACTCGCAGATCTGGAAGCAGCGCCGTAGGACTTTGGGAGAACGTTTGTACTCAGACGTCAACTTGGACATGGGATCAGAATCGGATCTCACAGCCGACAATGGAACCCCAGTCGAGACGACTCCTCAAAGAAGCCCCCAGACAACTCCACCAAAACAAGCCAAGGCTCCCAACAACATATCGAAATGGGATCGGTTCAGTGGGGGGTTGGAGTACAACTACGAACGCGGGGCAGGCATCGGAGGCAGCGCAGGTACGCGATCTCTCCACAGCCACGCATCGGTCAAGTCGCTGCACTACCAGCACCAATACGGCGTGGACCTTTCCGATGTCCCAATCATGATTCACTACCAGTCCTGATCTCGCGCATGTAGAAGCAGCTACTCATTGCTGCATTGTCTTTGTTACGAATGTTTTCCACTTTCATATATATTCACGCGTACAGAGCGGCATTTCGGTACTGGGATGGAGGGGATTATGGAGTTCTTGCTGTTTTGAGTTGATATTGCATGGACCCGCATTGTATTTACGACTCCACAAATCAAGTAACGAAATAATATAGACATATCGCATCCGACAGTTGGCCTTGTAGTTGCCGTGCGCCATTTGACATGTGCTCGTGAACTAACCTGGGGTGTTGAGTGAGCCAGTCGGCCCACAACGCAGGCGAGTCGCATTGGGCATACACGGGATGCGCGGTTTTTTGCGCAAAACAAGCGCTCAGCCTCGCTGCGTGCCATCGAGCCGATCAGGCACCACTGGGCTACATGCACGAGCCTCGGTGATGTCAGACTGAAATGCTAGTGGCTGCAGGTCGAGGACGGCGCAGGGATGTTAAGTAATGTTCGGTCCAAGACTCCAGGACCACAACCGAACTGCGCGAAAATTGTCACTCCAGCTCCCCGCCATCGCCTCCCTTTCTCCTACACTTCACCCATTCCCCATATTCACCGCCTGCCAGACGTCGCCCTCTATAAAGCGACCGTCTGCCCGTTCGCTGCTGCCCAGCCCCTGCATCCGACAGCCTTTGGTCGCGTCAAAGGCTCCCGTCTCACTACGGCTTCGGCCCTGATCCTGCTCAACCTTCAAGTTGTCTCTGCTCGACCAGCGCCACACGTTTTCAACAACATCCCCCCTCCGCGTCTTGTCGCCGTCTAAGAAGGAGCTTGAGCGTCTTTTCTTTCTGTCTCCAACCCAGACACTCGAGCAGCCCGAACTTCAGCTGCCGCATAGGACGCCATCAGCGGTTCTTCCTCTCGCAGAGGAAGCGGCCAGACCTCGCCCAACACCAAGCCTCGGCTTCACACCCTTCAAGCCACCTTAACACGGCCTAACGCTCCGGCACAATAACCCACTCAACCACCAGACTGTCAGCACCCATCACCAAGGGCATGGCACCTTCTGCTCTCACGACTACCGAAGAATACCAGTTCCCGTTGAAAGACATACAGTCGTTCAGCACCTATCCCGCTGGTAGTGTTGACAATCATGGCGCCTGGAAATCCAAGCAGCTGATTGCCGACGCTCTCAAGAGCCGTGTCGAGGCTATTGATCCTGATACCTGCAGTGTGGGCGAGGAAGATGCTTTCTTCGTCGCCGACCTGGGCGAGGTCTACCGCCAGCATTTGCGCTGGAAGAAGAATCTAGGCCGTGTCAAGCCGCACTATGGTAAGTCGGCCGCATTCCATGTCGTCTTGGGACGCCGCTAACATGTCGCAGCCGTCAAGTGCAACCCTGACCCCCAAGTGCTGCGCCTTATGACTGCGCTGGGCCTCGGCTTCGACTGTGCCTCGAAGAACGAGATTGAGACTGTGCTCAAGTTGGGCGTCGACCCTTCGCGCATCATCTACGCGCAGCCCTGCAAGACCAAGTCTTATGTTCGCTACGCCGCTCAGTCTGGTGTTAAGCAGATGACATTCGATAATGCTGATGAGCTCTACAAGACCAAGCAGCTCTTCCCTGACGCCGAGCTGTACCTGCGCATCTTGACTGATGACTCGGCCAGCTTGTGCCGACTCAGCCAGAAATTCGGCGCTGCTTTGGACACGACTGCAGAGCTCTTGGAGCTAGCCAAGAAGTTGGAGCTCAATGTTGTTGGAGTTGCGTTCCACGTTGGCTCTGGCGCATCGGACCCCAAGGCTTTCATCAAGGCTGTTCAGGACGCTCGGTTTGTCTTCGACCAGGCGTCTGCGCTCGGCTTCAACATGCATACCCTGGATGTGGGCGGCGGCTTTACCGGCGATGTCACCTTCGAGCCCATGGCCGCAGTCTTGTCTACTGCCTTGGATGAGTACTTCCCGCCCCACATCCGCGTCATTGGGGAGCCTGGACGCTACTATGTCTCCACGGCCTTCACCATCGCGTGCCACGTCATCGCTCGTCGCACTGTTACTGATGCTACCCTCGGCACTACTTCGTACATGCTGTACCTCAACGACGGTGTCTACGGCAACTTCTCCAGCATCATCTTCGATCACCAGCACCCTGTGCCGCGTGTACTGAAGAACGGCAACGACGTCCTGTACGATGTGCGTCGTTCTGGATATGACACTCCATCCCAGGTCGAGTACTCCATCTGGGGTCCGACATGCGACGGTATCGACGTCATCTCATCCTCATGCACCTTCCCCGAGCTACTCGATGTCGGTGACTGGCTCTACTTTGAAGAAATGGGCGCATACACCAAGTGCTCTGCTACTCGCTTCAACGGCTTCAGCGACAGCCACGAGGTTGTTTACGTGTGCAGCGAGTCTGGTGCTGCCGCTCTTATGGACATGTAGATGTTCTAGTGGAGTGTTGTTCTTTGCGAATGTATCTTGCAGACGTGTAATGGCGGGCATGCAGAAAGGAGAGAAGGGCGGGAAACGTTTGATCAAAAGTTTGATAGATTCTATAGATGTTGCGTATTTCATAATCCTAAACAACGTATATTGCGGAATATGGTGCGCTGAGCCTCCGTTGGTGTCGTATCTGGCGTGTTTACTCTTAACCGTGTTCTTACTTGCGCAGAGATGGCTGGGATGTCTGGAGAGATGAAACTGCCGAGCAGTGAAAACTCGTGCCTCGCGGATGTTGACAGAGATTTCGGCCCGCTGCACTGCGCGGCCCGCCATGCGTCGATGATCGTGGAGGTCACCAGCCACAGACAGCTTGAGGGGATAGAGGGTTTGATTCGCTGGGACAAGGTGGTAGCGCGTGCCACATCAGGTACTGGATGCTGCTCGTATGCGCCGCCAAGTGTGATCAGGAGTGGCCGCAAATTCGGTCGCCAGCGCGTAAAGTCGACATGCCCAATCACATGGGACAGCGCTCAGAGGCCCAGGGTGATGGGTATAGAGAGACCCGCCGCAGCCCAACTCTTGGAGGGGGCCATGGTCGACAGGCTACGTAAGTCAGCAGTATCGCGTAGAAACAAGCAGGCGACAGGCGTATTTGCCGTGGTCCGTCTTTTTCTCGCATATAAACCTAGGGGTCCGGATTCATGTACCATTGATGCACCCCTCGCCCGGCAGCGTCATATGTATTGAGCCACGAGCCACGAGCCACTACCCCACCCACAGCAGCAGCCATCCACACCCACACCCTGCGCACGTCGAGCTATCCGCACCCGTAGCCAAAAATAAGTTTACGCCTGCCATCGCCGGCGATCAGGTACTGTCGCTGTAAACCCACACAGTCGCGCGTTCCACCACCATGGACGGGCGCAAGCAGGGCCGGCCGGACGAGGAGCTCTTCTTGCGATACGACAACAGCAACAACAACAACCCTGACACGCCCATCATTCCCACGGTTGGTCCTCTGAGGATACAAAAGGGTCGCGATGGCAAGAGCCCGCCCCCGCGAACAGACTCGGCCGGCAGCTCGAGCCAGCCCGCCTTCTCGCGCCCTCCGCCCATGCCCTCGTTCCCCGCGCCGCCTACAAGTCCGCCCAACGCCCCTCTTCCCTACCCCGACACGGATCGGCCGCCAAACGTACAGCCTACCCTAGGCACAGGCAGATATACGCCGCTCAGCGAGAGGGAGCGCCGTGCGAAGAATGCCACGCCCCCTGAGAGCGCCGATGGGCGAAGGAGAGGTTCCAGTGCGACAGGACCAAGTCCCACGTCGCCCAGCCAGCGCGCTCGCTTCGACGCCAACGACCCAAACCGACCGACGATAAGTGGTTATGGCGCAAGGAATCCAGATGGCTCCATCCAGCCTTCACGCCTGGCAGAGCGAAGAGGAACAGCGCCAAAGCCACTCCCAGACTCGCCAGGCCCAGAGACTCCTGACAAAGAGGGTCTGTTCCAGAAGGCGCCACAGAGAAAGGGCAGTGAAGATGTAGGCGCGAACAACCCTTATCCCGAATACCACCAGCAGTACTTCCCCCCGCCCGCTGCCGGCCCCAGCGCGGCTCCTGCTGCTCCCGCTGCTCCAGTCGTATACACAGGTCCTAACCAGAATGAGCCGGTGCTCAAGGTGCCTACGCCCATGGACGTCAATCGCATGAGTTCCACTGCTTCGACGTCCACTGTAAGAGCACAGAGAGGCTCTCCACCACCCCCCGAGACACCCATTATTCCTCCCTCTGGCGGTGGCATAGAAGCGCGCTTTGCCGCAGCTGGCATTGCAGGAACCTCCACCCTCACCAACCTCCAAGCGCAAAGTGCCCAGAACGCGGCAGCTGCTCAGCGCAACCAGATCTATGCCAACCAGCAGCCCAGACCCGCTCTCTCAACCCCACAGCCGAGCCAGCAACAACCAGTGAGGAGACCATGGACACCCACCGAGCAACCCGGAGGCAATCCACATGGTCCACCGGCGGTATACCAGGGTATGGATCAGGTTCCTCCCTCGAGCACCCCTCCACAGGGTCCTCTTCCACAGGCACCAAACACTCGATTTTCGCCTCCTCCTACAAATGTTCCGCACACGAACGTACCCCCAGAACACCCACTCAATCACGAGATGGGACGTATGAACCTGAATGAAGAGCCACCACCAGCGTACTCAAGTATCACAACCCCGCCAACAGGACAAGCCAACAGCTATCCCAACGAGAAGGGCCAACAACCAGTAGCTCAAGGCGTTAGTTTCTCTGACCCCAACCAAGGTCATCCTGCGTTTGCCAACGATACGCGCCCGCAACCTGGACCCTCACAACCTGCTACCGTGGTCGCACCAACGCCTACGCAAAACCAATTCCCTCCTCAAATACAAACTGCCCAGCCCACCCACACACCAAGTCCGGCTCCTGGTCCAGGACCCGGGCCTGCCTCGCCTCCACCGCTTCCTGAGGGCTGGATAGCACATCTGGACCCCAGCTCCGGCCAGTATTACTATATTCATTTGCCCACACAATCTACACAGTGGGAATTTCCCAAAGGCCCGACACCTTTGAACTTGAACGAGCCCATGTCTCCAACAGGTACATTCGTCGGCGGTCCTTTGGCATCTCCATCCTTTGGCAAGGCCCCTATCGCATCGCCTGGTTTTGCTCCACAAACTGCTACTTTTCCTGGAGACTTTGGCATGGCACCGCTTGCAACTCCAACCACTACCGCCGGCTTCACTGGGCCACCTCCGGTGGCTGGTGTGGATCAATACAAGGTCGCTCCTACCAATGGCGTCTACTTTGGACCCTACCTCAGATACACCAACATGGACATTGAACGGGGTCTGTGGCTAGGTTCAATCCTGCTTATCACAAACACGCCCCATCCACCTACAATTCACATTCATCAGAGCACAGATTTGTCCCCTAATCCACGACAACTCAAAGCCAATCCTATCTACACACATCAAACATGGATCTTTTATCGATATGATATCGACCTGAGGATGGAAGAAGAGCATGCAGCGAAGTGGACCTATGCCATCACTTCCCACCTGGGCTGCACTCGCTTTGAGTTCTTGGTAGCAGGACGACATGAGACAAGCTGGCGATTCATCGCTCATTCTGGCAACGACTTTGCATTGAACGTCAATGCTAACGAGAGAGCGAAGCTCGGCGGTGTGGGTCTGATGTGGAAGGATATCCTACAGAAGAATGCCGAGTGTGGTGGCTTCCATGTACAGCTGGGTCTTGGTGGCCAAATTTACGCCGACCGACTATGGAAAGAACTTCCTCTACTAAAGCAATGGACGGCGACAAGTGGGAAAGAGATCCGGAAGAATGCGCCGTGGACTGCGAAGCATGAAGAAGATGTTTGCCACGCATACTTCCATTACTACACAAGTCACTTCGATCAGCCACATTTGCGTGAAGCGTTCGCACAGATACCTCACATCCTTGCTCTGGATGACCATGACATGTAAGTGCATTTTAAGTGTGAAACAGCAAGCAGTTCTAACGATGTCTAGTTTCGATGGCTTTGGATCATATCCTGAGTACATGCAGTTCTCGAACATGTTCAAGAACATCGGAAGATTGGGTATTGAGATGTACCTGCTCTTCCAACACCACACGACGCTGGAGATCCTCCGAAATGTCAACAACGACATGGACCTTTTCACTGTTACAGGTACAGGCTGGCATTTTATCAAGTACCTGGGTCCTTGTGTCACAGTTGTTGGGCCTGATTGTCGCTCTGAGCGCAACCCGCATCAAGTCATGGCAGGGCCGACGTATCAAGGTATCTTCCCTAAAGTTGCGACATTGCCGCCGAGTGTTCAGCACTGCATCTGGATGGTTCCTGTTCCTATTGTCTATCCTCGCCTGGAGTCTGTGGAACATCTCGCTCACTCAATGGCCACTGGTAAGAAAGCCGTCACTGGCACTTTCAACATGCTTGGAAAGGTGACGGCTGGTGTCGCTGGTGTCGTTGGTGCTAAGAGTGTCGTTGGCGATGGCTTCAATTCTGTCAAGAAAGCTATTGGCAAGTCCGGTCTGATGAGTGGAGTCTTGAGTCCTTTTGGAGAAATTGATCTGCTTGACGAGCTAAGAGATCAGTGGACGCACGATTCAAAGGTTGGTAGCTCCTAACTACTGTGATCCAATCTACTAACATGTCGTAGGACCTTGAACGAACGTACTTGATCCGTACACTCCAAGGCATCGCCCACAACAAGTCGTTACGGATGACGTTCTTCTCTGGTGCGGTCGACTGTTGTGGTGCTGGTCTTGTTCACGACCCGTCGAGACCTCAAGACCACAAGACAATGTACCAAATCATCTCATCATCAGTGGTCAACGGTCCGCCTGGAAACTATGTATTGCGACTACTCCATAACAACCGTGCCCTCTACGTACCCCAGAACGGACATCGCAGCAACAATCAACCGAGCGACACCAAGGAAGACATGATGGAAATCTTCACTCAAGATGTCAACGGTCAGCCACGAGAGTACAAGAGACTAATGGGAAGAAGGAACTACGTTGCATGCGTCATTTATGATCCAGAGATCGTCAATGGGACGTTTGGTCAGGCGGTCCCTGGGCATGGTAGTGGCAAGTTGAGCCTGGCAGTCGACTTTATGGTGCAAAACGATGGTGGATATAGTGCGCCCATGAAGTACGGACCAGTCATCGTGCCCAGCTTGGAGTATGGTAGATAGACGGATGGTTGATTTTCTGTTTTCTTCTTATTCAGCGATAGGATGCATAGCAAGCGTTGTATATGCTTTCAGGGTGGAATGTTGGGCGAACTCTTTCAATATGATATCAAGCAATGATGAACAGCTTTTCTATGCATCCACCAACGACACATGACCAAGCTCCTCTAATGATAATCTCAACAGAAATCTCGTAAGCTCGAAACTTTGTAGAGTCTTGGAGGCGTGGAATGGTTTTCCCAATTCGGCAATGACATCTGCAAGGCTTGGCTATGGCTATCCGCGGCCTTTGAATTCTCGACAGCGAGACGGGACCGAAACCACAACATCCACAACATGGCAGCTCCTGCAAGACAAGCGACAGCGATACCACGATTCCTTCTACCGCAGATATCATGGCCCGCCAGGGTGTCACGGCCAGCAGCGCTGGGTGCACTGGAGCAGGGTCGGCATAGGTCCTGTATAGCTTCCGAGAGTCGCGCTGCCTTTCCGAAGTCATTACCACTCCAAGCACGAACACGTACACTGTGGCCAAAGACATCACCACAATATGCAAGCGGTCATGCATCGGCTCTGGAGTTTCGGCGCAACTTCAGCGCAACTGCACAGCATTCCAAGGACCATCACTTCGACACGCTCAAGTTTGTGCAGCGATTGAAGGAGGAAGGTTTCACAGAAGAGCAAGCCGAGGGCATGATGAGGGTTCTCGGCGATGTAATCGAGGAGAGGCAAGTCACTGCACTACTTTTCAAAAATGGCCAACTAACTTGTACAGCATCCAAAACCTCACACGCACCATGGTCCTTCGTGAAGACCAAGAGAAAGCCACCTACACGCAGAAAGTCGACTTTGCCAAACTCCGCTCCGAACTCATGACGGCCGACTCGACTGAATCCAGCCTCACGCGCGCATCGCATGAGCGTCTTACAAACGAGCTCGCAAAGCTGAATTCGCGCTTACGGGACGAGATACAACGGACACAGGCATCGGTGAGGCTAGACTTGAACCTGGAGAAGGGGCGCATTAGAGAAGAGGCAAACGTGCAGGAACTGAAGCTCAAGGAGACGGAGACAAGGATTGAGCAGGAGACGGCGCAGCTGAGGGAGAGACTAGAGGCCGTCAAATTCTCAACGCTACAGTGGCTGATGGGAGTCTGCACTGGTACTGCGGCGTTGATGTTGGGTGTGTGGCGGTTGTTAATGTGAAGCACGATGCAATGGCAGTTATGAAACTGCTTCAAAGAGCTACAAAAGCTCCAGTGTACAGCCATGGCCCTGCGCCGCGCCATAAATGTGCTACAGTACCCGTCAATGCAGTTCACGGGTGCAACGGACGAAGGGCCCCATGGCAGCCGTGCACGATGAGGTGATGCCGAGATGAAAACGGTTGGTTTTAGATAAGACGTTGTGGCGTGCATATGCAGCGGGCGGGAACAACGCTGCCCGTGTGAACAGTTAGATACAAACGACTGCCTTGGTATTCAGGCAAATTCACAACATGCGCGCCGATATTGAGTAGCGTGCAGCTGCTGTGTGGATACATGTGCATCAGCCACATGTGACACGGAGAGCTAGCGGCTCTGGTCTCTGGGATTTGGCCGTGGTACTTGACCGCAACGTGACACGAATCATGGCGCAGAGAGGTCGCAACGCAACAGCTTCCGTCCAGGTTTTCTAGCTGTTTCCAAGGTGCACTGATTGGCCCCCACTTGGACATGGGACGGCAGTCTAGGAGCCAGCCTCTCGCTGGCGGCCGCGCTTCAGAGCTCGACTGGTGTGGCGGGTGGATGTAGACGTTGAAGGCAAACTGGAGTAAGATGAGTGCAGGACGACGCAATGGCACAAGCCGCGAATCAAGACTTTAGGGAGCGAGTGAGGTAGCTGAAGGGGGTGGCCGGTGAAAGGGCAGACCCTGGAGCTGCTCACGTGCCCGTGTACCCCTCATTGCCAGCTCCCTCCCACGAACATGGCATGGAGGGCTGACATTGGGGCGCAACTGTAGGGGCGATAGAGGGACACTTGATAGTGGTGAGGAGCATGAAGGGTGTCAAGGAAGCTGTGCCAGCGTGTAAACGGGGCAAGACATCATGTGAATGGCAGCCCAGGCGCCAATTGGGGGAAGGCGCAGTCGACGGGGTGGTGTTGTTCGCTCTGCGCACGGCCCCCCGGTCTGTCTTAGGGCAGACGCTCGCTTCCTCAAAACAACTTCGATCCTCTTCTGTTCGTTGATCCACACAAACACCTCAACAAGTCCGCCCACCGTCTATCCTTCCATACGCATCTGCACCCACCCCCACAGTCTCCCGATTACCCAAACACACATCAACTCAACCATCACAATGGCGACTGAGGTACGTGGTGCTGATTCTGCCCCATCCCCCCCCGCTGTTGTCCCCCGGCGGGATGCCCCTCTGAGCCCCGATAAACTACAAGCCAGCGACATGGACTAACGCCAGACAGCGTGAGAGGTACGAGACAGCTGCTGCTTCCAGCGCCCGCCCGTAATTGACGTCGCAATAGCAAGACTTTCCTCGCCCGGCTGTGCGAACAGGCTGAGCGTTACGATGGTAAGTCTCCGCGCGCTCCCAGCTACGGCCGCGCAAGCTAACCGCAGTCTGCAGAGATGGTCACATACATGAAGGTCAGTTGTTCTGCCATCGCTGCTCATTTGTACTCATATGCTGATATTCTCGCAGGAAGTCGCCAAGGTATGCCCGACCGCATCCGCTCCCACGCGAGCAGGCGCTCGCCACAGCGGGCTCTCCGCTGACGCAGGCTAACAAACGAGACAGGTCGCCGGTGAGCTCACCGTTGACGAGCGCAACCTTCTGTCCGTCGCCTACAAGAACGTTGTCGGTACCCGACGCGCGTCGTGGCGCATCATTTCCTCGATCGAGCAGAAGGAGGAGTCCAAGGGCTCTGAGAAGCACGTCGGCACCATCCGCGACTACCGCCAGAAGATCGAGACCGAGCTTGAGCAGGTCTGCCAGGATGTCCTCAACGTCCTCGACGACTCCCTCATCCCTAAGGCCGAGTCTGGCGAGTCCAAGGTCTTCTACCACAAGATGTGCGTCCACACCGCTACATCTGCGGCAAACAAGGCTAACACCGGCACAGGAAGGGAGACTACCACCGCTACCTCGCCGAATTCGCTTCCGGTGAGAAGCGCAAGGTTGCTGCGACTGCTGCACACGAGGCCTACAAGGTATGACGCAATCAATACAGAGTGCAATAACAGCCACCTAACCCCACTACACAGACGGCCACCGACGTTGCCCAGACTGAGCTCACACCTACCCACCCCATCCGTCTCGGCCTTGCGCTGAACTTCTCGGTCTTCTACTACGAGATCCTGAACTCGCCCGACCGTGCTTGCCACCTTGCCAAGCAGGCTTTCGACGACGCCATTGCTGAGCTTGACTCTCTCTCCGAGGAGTCCTACCGCGACAGCACCCTCATCATGCAGCTCCTCCGTGACAACCTCACTCTCTGGACGTCATCAGACGGCAACGAGGGCGAGGCCGCCGGTGCCACTGACGCACCCAAGGAGGAGGCCAAGACCACTGAGGATGCACCGGCTGCATCTGAGCCCAAGGCCGACGAGCAGCCACCTGCTGCCGCCCCTGCTCCTGCCGCTTAAGCACACTCTCTCTATCTCGACCTTGTGTATCCTAAGCCATCGTCATCTGTTCTCGAATAGACGAAGAGGGCCGGCAGCGAGTGTCCTACGGAGTTGTACGTGTTCTGTGTGATTTCAAAAATTGGCTTTGGCAGCAAGCGGTTCGGTACGGTCGAATTCCCCATGACTGAATGTATTTCCCTTTACTCTCCTATCGCCGGCGCTGTCCTATCGAGCACGCAGTGTGCTGAGGTCGCGTTTCCCACACGACCACAGTACTCCTGAGCTTTCCCTCGTGAGAGTCTCGGGCTGCTACCGGCAAGATACGGCTGCGTTTGGTACGTCGGATGCTACCCTCAATTCCCCCATGTTTTCGTTTTGGCAGCACATAAACACCTCGATCCTATACCGGCAGAGATGTTTGACATCCTCTTGGTGATTCTAGGAGTCAGGACATCCGTTTCGATGGCCGGTAGAGCAGTACGAAAGGCTCAGTGGGCTTAATGTCATCATACTGCACTCTTAGCTAGCCAAAGGAATCGCTACTTCAATATCTCGCTCCTATGCCGTGACTCTCAAACCTTGACGTACGTTGACTTCTGGCTCACTGCAAGGAGCATATATGTCGTCGATCTTAGGACTTTGGTCGGTCCTTTTTCCATGTGCCAGACCCTGTGGAATGGGCAGCCGCTGCCCCACCATTTGGAGCCGAACAGCCCTCCCCGCCCAGCTTTTTTGTCTCCAATGTCGCGTCGCGTATGGCAAAAAATCCGAACAAGCCCTCCAAGGGCGAGCGTCGCGCATAATTCCGTATAGCAGTTTCTATTCATTTGGATCCCTACCTTCATGCCATCAGAGCAACCTACGACTGTCGCGCAAAGACAAAAGCCATGGCATACTCCAAAGATTACTACCACATCCTGCAACTGCCTGCGCCAGTTTGGTCCTCATCGAAACAGCAAACATCGCCAGCGGAATTACGTCGAGCGTACAAAGTCGCGTTGTTAGCAGCGCACCCAGATAAGGCGAGCGCCGTCTCCGCGACGGCAAGGACGAAGCCCGCATACACAGTCGACGACGTGAAAGAAGCCTACACAACCCTCGCAACCGAAACAACGAAGACGGAATACGAGAACTGGTTCTTGCATCATCGGGATAGCCTTGCGTCGTCGAAGACTGCGGATCCGCATGCGCACGCGAATACACAACCGTCAAGCGATTTCATACTTGGGCTCGAGTTGCTTGATCTTGGGGACTTTGAGGTCTGGGAACCAGAGGATGGGGATACGTCTGCAGACACGAATAGTCCGGAACAAACGACATGGACAAGAGCTTGTCGGTGTGGTGCGGAAAAGGGTTTTAGTATACTCGAAGAAGAGCTAGAGGATGCGGAGGCAAGGGATGAGAAAGAGGTTCTGGTGGGGTGTTTAGGGTGCAGTCTGTGGGTTAGGGTTGCGTTCGATGTCGAGGTAGGTTGAGGAATGGGGGAAAGACATGTGGACGCAGCATCTCATCAAAGGCAGCCAGTGACACAGACTGTTACTGAGCCTGGCTTATCAACTGATGGCCAGAGTGCAGAACCATATGATGTGGGATCGCTCCGCTTTTACTCACCCACTCACCTACCTGCTCTTTGGGTGCAAGAGGATCTGGAACCAGCTATGTTACTCGACATGCCCAGACAGGTGTTTCCATGGCTTGCAAAGGTTCCTTGTTCAAGCTTTCGAGCAAGTTTTCGAGATGCGTAGCGAGTAGTCCGTGATACGTATCCGCCCAATATCTTGACCTATTGGGGAACTGAATGGGAATAAAGGTCTCGAGATTTCGTCAGATCGTTGAAGCAAATACACCGTTTTCATGGTCTAGTATTTGACGATGAGGCACAAGAAGAGAACGAAAAGGGTATCGGTGTAATTCGACTATCATTTATCTTATCTTCATAATAGGCAGTTAGAAGGGGTGCGGAAACCCCGGACATCGAGACGTATACTCATGGATTAGACAGAGACAAAGTTATAAAAAGACTAGACCAACAATCGACATATCCGCCCAAGCCACTTGGTATCAAACATGCACAGATATCCGCCAACGCCAGTAGGACCAAGGGCACCGCAGCCATCTAAGATTATGTCTTGATCACATCTTAGGCTGTGCCGCCAGCTTAGCTAGCAGATCATCCACTTGCTTCTGCAACTCAGCTTTCTCTGCCTCGAGCTGTGTTTTCTTCTTCGGCTTTTCTTTGGGTACGTGCACGTTTTCTCCGATCAAGTCGCCCTTGTTGTCAAGCTCCATGCCCTTCTTCTTGAGCATCTCCTCAACCAAGGGTACCAATTCTGTGAAGTTTTTGACACATGGGACATCGTATCTCTCGCATGTGAGGTGGACGTTTCCTGATTTCCAGTATGCATCGCCGCAGCAAACGATAACCTTATCGGACGCAGCCCAGACACCTAGCTCAAGCAGGGACACTGGGCTCTTGGTCTCGGTATCGAAGAAGAAACAGATGACATCTGCTTGTTCTAGCGCACCTAGCTCCCATACAACTTGCTGTTTGAAGAGTTCATCCTTGGCTTGCTGCTTAATGCTTTGATCCCAGGAGCCTTTTCGAGGATTGCACACGGTGATAGGCAAGTGATTAAGCATGGTTGCCATCAAGGGCTGCCAGTTGACTGCATCACCCATCTCTATGCTTCCAGCGGTAAAGACAGTAAACTTGCGGTATTTAGGTGGTTCCGGAGGATTAGAGTGCACAAAATCTTTGTGTGGTGTTGGTACTGGTGATGGCCAAGGCGGAAGTTGATTCTTTTTGTCTTCAACCACCTTATCAATACTCGTCATACCGGGAGATTTGACCATATCAGCAGCCAGCTCCTTTGTTGCTTCTTCGGGCATGTTCGCCTTGGTAGGTTCGCTACCGGTTTTCTCGTCCTTGCCTACGAACTTCTCGACGATCTTAGACCAGGTTGTATGGCTCCTCATGAGGTGACCGGTCAGCTGCTGAAGTCGATCTTTAGCAATAGAAACCTCGGATTTTGTCGGAAGAGTAGCTGCTCGGGCCAGAGTGGTGCAGGAAAAAGGCTGATGAAGAGAGTGGAAGCTGCGAATAGATGTTAGTTGGGTGCCTTGGTTGTTTGATGGTCGTTTGGTGGGGCTAAGTCATACTTGACCAATGACATAACTGGACCCCTTGACTGCTTATGTCTTGGGTCTTTGAGCACTCGTGGAACGATGCAAACGGACACAGACAATGTTGGCAAGCGTCGCAGATGAGTGTTTGAACGGTGAAACTCTGACTTCAATCGACGGGCACACACGTTACAAAGAGCATAAGTGTGCGCATCTTATTTGCGATTTCTTGAGGCTGCAGCTTGAATGTTTGGCGCCAGGCTGCGACATGGGTCCACAAACTGCGCCTCCAAGGGCGCCTGATAGTTCGCGCCGGTAATTAAGATCGGTCATAATACACGTGCTAATATGTATACACCGACTCTGTTCTTTAGGATGTTGCTTGTACACTAGACTGATTCATGTGTGGCGAAGTGTGGCTGGTTCCTGTTCCCCTCTTTTGTGCCCTCGGTGCTAGTGGTGAGGCTGTCTTTAAGGCTGTCATTCAAGGCAGTAACCAGATCACTCACAGCCGTCGTCTCGATCATAGAAATCCGTGATAATTTATGAGGTAAGTGATACGGCGATCTCAACGTTGGTATTCAAGGTCTCGGAGATGTCCGAAGGAGCTATCACGATAAATTACGGCGGCTGAGGTTGGAGCTGAAGCACATGTGAGCGCGGAGGAGCTGAACAACACGAGTCACATCAACCATCATCAGTCACGCTTACAAAGTGTCAGTTTGACTTCAAAAACGTCATGAGAATTTTCCATGTTCATTGTATGAAACATGGGGTCACGAACGACGGCATATTGTGGCGATGTTGTCACAGGCACAACACCAAGATTGATCAAAAGACTGAGGATTGGCCTGAATATTACCTCCCTCATGATAATCTCATCACTTACGATCGACAGGCTCAGGAAACCCGATGAACTGTCAGGTCACATCTGCCTACAAGTTCAAACGACGTATGACCAACGTCCGCTTATGTGAATCTTTCAGGTAAGAGGTGGACATGCTAATCCTACTGCGCCTGAGCAATTCATCCACGACCCCTGAAGAAAACACTCAAGGTACGGAGATGGAGCATGGACGGCCTTACGAGATCCTAGACCTTGGCGGCCTCAAATTCGGCTCAATACATGCGAACCCCAGACGCTACCTTGCGACCCCATCCTTCCTTTGACCGAATCCATACTCCCAGTATTACAGCAGAAATACTACCACTACTTGATTCAGTGTCGTTTTACTCCACAGGGTTGCTCCTGAGGGGATTCGGGTGGCGCCCTCCCTTCAACGTCAAGGTCGGCGTACCATGTCCTCTCGCCCTATCTTCCGGTGTACTGCCAAACCCAGCCACATTGCGCGCGACCACTTGCTTTGCACACTGAACCTCGCGAAAGTCTTTCGGCGGATCCACGATCTGGAAACAGAGAGAAGAAGCTTCAGTAATCATGCCGCAGGTACACTTGATACGGGTGAACTTGACAAAAACAGATTCGGCCTGCTCTCCATATTCTTTCTTCATCTCGCGAGAGAGAGATCGGAAGCTGAGGAGACTTGTGACGGACCTGGAAGAGGCGATCGATACATCAGAAGGCTCCCTCTCTGCGTGATCGTTAAGGTTGTTCATCGACCGACTAGGTCGGAGGCGCTCCAGAGGGTGTGCACCACCGCGTATCGCTAGTCGCCTAGGAATTGCAGCCACACGTAGCAGTGCCGACTTGTACATTTTCGTCTTTTTGACCTTGTCCTGGGCTTTCTCTGCGCGCCAGGATAAACCACAGCCTTCGCAGAATACACCGAACCGTATAGCTTTACTATCATCTTCGGACAACGGGATTAACTCCGGCTCGCTCATCGGTACGAATTGCTTGACCAGGCCTTCTAGCTTGCACTTCGAACAAGATCGATGTGTGCATTCGCAGCTCAAGACGCTGACTGGATGTTGGCCTTGTGCGAAGCTGTGAATCTCGTGACCGCGGTGACACTTGCAACAGCGCCACTTGCTGTCGGATTTTGGTACCACGTTCTCATCGTTAGAGAAAGCCATGACATTTGAGACTGTTTGTTTGTCACTACTGGAGTAGGCGGAAGTGAAAGACTGGTTGTTAGGCGCGGATGTAGCAGGCCCGTTGTGGCGATCTCGGACAGTCTTCTCCATCGTGGCCAGCGAGTCTCCGGTATACTTCGGTGTAAAGCTTGTGGGCGGAGTGGTATTGTTCTGCTGTATCTTGCTCTCTTGTAGTCGACGCTCTGCTTGAGCTCGTGCGCGTGCGACACTACCAGGGAGTTTCCTCGTCAGCCCTAGTCCTGCATATTTGTAGCTTCCTCCAGTCATGTCGATTGAATACCTTAGACCCTCATACCGAGCTCTCTGAGCAGATTCTCCAGATTCTGCCAACTGACTCATCTTATCGCCATCCGGGTTACTGATTGAGATGTTTGGTAGGCTCATCACCAGGTGCTGTTGGTCTTTGGATTTTGCGAGGGAGTCCACTCGCTCCGGGCGCGAGACTTCAGAGTGTTCGCCTGATTGATGACCGTCAGACATTGTACCCGCGGAGATGACTGCGAAAGGCTTGCGCGGTATTGACAGTAAAGCGTTCACCAGTGCAAAAGATGGACTCGCGGCAAAGCTGAGCGAAACAACAGGTCAAGCTGGCAGTAATAGTTTGACCTGAAGCAACTTTCAGTGAACAATATGTTAATGGCAGTAGAGCTAAAAATGAGGTGAACGTGGGTTGCGTGTGGGAATACAGCGTTTGCGTCTTCACTGTGGAGCCAGAAGATTCGACAAAGTGAACGACATCTAAACAATCACCGCTAACACGTGCACATGGTCCAACCTGGAAACCAAGATGCAGGCGATGGCTGCAGCTGAGTGATAAGCGTGAAAGTGCGAGGATGTGCAGCCTTTACTTCCTCATTCAGTCGCCGCTGACTATGATGAAACAACGTCTAGATGACACAAAAACTACTTGCTGCAGTATCGATAGATATTGGATGAGCTAAGAACATGGCAACACGATTCTACTCGTTGTCGGATGCCATCCCCAGCCATATTGTCTATCAAAACAATTTTATCGTCCAACGTAGCTCTCCAACGTCCCATTCGTAGGCCACTTCCTCGGCATTTGCAATCCTTGTCTTTATGAACACTAGCATTTAGCAACGGTGCCATCTGGATCTCGCATTCACTGTTCATGCGATTCATGGTGGCATATGCAGCAGCAGACGACAACAGGCCTGTATTCCTTATGAAGAAGGCAGAAATATCTCAATGTAACCTCGATGGCAGTTACCAGTAGCGTGGGATCGCTGCAATCATGACGGTGCTTGTGTGGAAAGGCGACCAAGTTTCTAGAGCGAGTTATTTTTTGTTCATGATTTCTTGAGCAAATGTAGAAAGGGTTAGTATTGGATCGACTGAACCGTATGAGGAGGCGTATAGAATGGTGCTGATACCTACAGATGAACCAGATAACGACACTTATATATACACTGGTGGTTTGGTTGTCAAGCTGATATCAAAGGCGGAGTATTTGTATGCTTTGTCGTTAAACTTACGATGAAAACTAGAACACCTTCGTGAACGGAAAAGCTGCTGACCAATGTCTATTCGTCCCGTTGGAACCTCTTTACAGAAAGCCGCATAGGAAAGAAGCATATGGAAGACAAGTGTGGTTGCATTCGCAGTCTGTCTGTCTACTTAAGCTTAACCTGCAGCACACCTTTCCAAGCTTGCAGAGCACTGTCAACGTATTCGGCGGCGTAGAAGTCGACATCGTCGTCATTTAGCACTTCTTTCAAAATCTCGCCCGTCTTGCCCCACCGTATCTGCGCCTTGATTGCAGCTTGGCCCTTCGTCTCGATAAGCTTGATATAGCTCTGCGCGACATCACGTATCGCCTCGAAGCAGATCTTTGTCTTGCTCTCTATGTCATTGACCCAGTCTTTCGACAACTTGGCCTTCATGTTATGAGTCTTCGAGTTGATGACTTTCTCGCGTATGTGCTCGACCAGCTTGATGAGCGCGCGAAGAACTTCGAACTTGGTGTAGCAAGAGATGAGCATGTTCTCGTGGAACATAGTAGGCTCGTCTTCGAGTTTCAAGTTGGTAGCGCCGGGCATACGTAGTTTTTCCATTGCGACTCGCATCGCATGTATTTCTTCCGGTAGTACTTTTATTATGGAAGAGAGCAGCTCTGGGGACGCAAGTCGGGGGGAATCTTCCAACAGCATCATCTCAACGATAGAGTTGATATAGTCCCAGATTCCGTGAGCTGTGGATTCCGCAGGTGTCATGTTATGTTCAGTTTCTTTGATGTGACTCTGAGGTGTGGCAGCCGAGCGTATCCATGCACCCTGAAGTTCCCGCGTTTGTGTCTCTCTATAGAGTAGTCTACTGCTCGCATCCCAGGTATCAAGGCTTTCACATAGCCAGTTGATATTAGGAATCGTGTTGGGCATGATGTATGGAAGTGGTCCAGGAGAACGAGAGTGCTCGTAGTTGGGGAATACGGACCTATCCACGTTGTCGGATATGTGTCGGTAGCCTACGTGAATTAGCCGGCGATCAACTACAACTTGAAAGACACTTACTACCCGGGTCCACAACCGGCAAATTATCAATCGGCTCGCCCTTTAATCGTGATATGCGGCGGCGCTCGACGTTGCATATGTGCTTTGTCAAGCTCGATTTGAATTTCCGCTTCATACCCAGAAGTTCCATAGCTTGGTCCCAAGGAAGCGATTGCAAATCAGCATATAAAGTATCGTCAATCTTGCGTTCCATTCTCTCCATAGTGCCAACAGCTTTGCCAAGTTCTTCTTCCGCCGAGAATCCTTGATAACCTTTAGCACCAAATGGGTGTGTCAATGAGATCCGAGACAGAACATAGGGCGACAATGTGTGCACCAGCATTTCCTTGCACTTGGTATGGCTGTACAATTGGAAGGCACATTTCCCCAGGCCGAGGTTCAGGTGCATTCGTGCAGCAAGTAGTGCTAGTGGCCTGTCCTGCTTCTCTTTATCGCAAGCCACCAGATGACGTGCGAGCATCGTAGCTTGAAGGAGGAGTCGCGAGTTTGGCGTTGTTCCGAAAGGATGAGCATCTTCTTTGTTATGCATAGCGTTACGATGCATCTGGAGGAGGATGTAGATCCCGACGATACCTTCTGAAGACTTAGGAGAGCGTAACCAGGGGGCTGTCAATGCGATGGACAAAGGCACTTCCATATAATCCTGCCATTTCGAACTCGGCTTTGTCGTCAGTGATATCCACAGGAGATAGGATAGCTTCAGGCGGTTTCCGTGATAGGTAACCACGTCTTGGTACGGATATTTGTTTTCCGCTGACAACTTGAATATCTCATTCCATTCCGCGTCCACAAAATTTGAAAACGCGTGACGGTCCTCTCTACTCAATGCTTCCACAAACGGACGGATGTCCGCATAACAAGTGATGAGATTCGCATGGGCTTTCCAGTAAGCCTCACAGTCGGCTAACATCGTAGTTCCTGGGACAACAGTCTGACGAAGTTTCATGTACGCCAATCTTAGGCTACGGTCCTGGGTTTGGAATTCATCCGGCTTGAAAGTGCGGCGTATGACATCGGAGATAAGGCGAATGCTATCGTCTTTGACACGTGTTGCTCGAGCGGCTTGTAGCAAACTTGTCCAAACATCTTGCCTCCAGGCGCAAGTTTCTCGAAGGCTAATCATGTTAGCGACTGTCTTGAGGAATGGCAGAGATCCGTAGCTGCCGTTGTGAGCTGTAGCCTCTCCTCTACAATAACATACCTTTCTTGGTGCGATATCACACGCTCAATATACGCAAGACACTGGCTTTCAAGCAGAGACCACTCTCCACTGTTTTTTGGAAGTCTGATTCTCATATCCCACAAATCACCCTGATGCCTGGTCATTAGGTCCTGGAGGGCTGCAGGCGGCTGATCCCAGTGCTCTAACAGCTCATTACATTTGCCTTGCCGCGCGAAAATCTCACCCATGAAGCGTAGATCGCGTATGTCTTTGAATGCGATCGGGTCATCAGGAGCCGCCTCGTATGCTTGCTTCATGAGTCTACGAGCCAGGTCGGATTGTAGCTTACTTTTCATCTCGCCTGATGGAAGTCCGCGCTGCTGTTCGGCAGCGAGTTGAATAGCAAGTATTTGCGTGAAGTGAGCATGCTTCTTCGCTGACACTGATCCAGTGCTATCCTTAGTCTCCTTGCTGTAGTGAAAGACAGCCTGTCGTATGTTAGCAAGTGGCATCAAAGATATGTCCAATAGTATCATGTAATTCTCCGTTGTAAGAAGAAGGCACTAGGAGAATTATGTCTCCTGATGGCCCCGAGTCACTCATATGAGGGGCCAGTTTCGACTTCTTACGTACCAGGCGGAAGTCCTCCCAGCATTCCTCAGCCAATGCTACTTTGCCCAAGGCAGACCAGAGTTCTTGACGATCTTCTTTACGGCCCAACGCTTTCGCAGCACGTTGCCAAATTTTGAGGTTGCCGTCGCCCACTCCGCTGATGTTAAGGTTGTTACCCTGGTCTCTCCGCGTTGCTTCCGCTAGGATTTGGTATAGGTAAGAAAGCAACCGAACATCATCTACTCCTGGCTGTTCCCAGGCCTGTTGGACTAGATTTACAACATCGTTGTGTCCATGGTTGAGTGTGAGACCTAGACGAGCTTTCCATGCCTGCTCAAAATTTAGCGTGGCAACGTAATATCAAGCTCAGAATAGCTTACCAGGAGAAATGGGTTTTTGGGTGTCTTCTTGAGCGACTTTTGCACGAAGGAATCTGCGAACTTCGGTTTGGGGTAATCGCGCTGAGCCTTGCACAATTTCTCCCAGCTGTTGCACGCCATGAGAACAGGTACTTGAGCGCGATTGGGTATCGCAGAAACAAGAGAGATAAACCAGAGACTAGCGATGCTCGAACAATGGCAAATATGTGGTGATTGGCTGGGGAATTATATGTTGCTGGCGGGGACGTGTAGAGACGGAAAATGATGTTGGGGGCGTTCGGGCGGAAGTCGGAGGAAAGTCCCGACTGCAAATTCACTACACGCAGCAAATGAGGCAGCCTCTCACTTGCCAGTTGCCTGAACGATTGATATTTCCATATCCTGACTGTGTTTACGGAACCTTCCTCCGCCAGCACAGTGATGTGAATCATAGCGAATACTCTCTGAGTAGATTCTGCCTACCGCAACTTACGAAATATATGCTCCTCATTGAGCACGTACGGGTGATGTCAAAGTTCATTCAAAGTGGCGGAACCTTGGACATGTCTGCGATGGAGAAGCTCGTTGTTATCAATTTGCATCCTCAAGACAAACTCTGCTACCATTTAAATATGTTTTAGACGTAAAATACTACGTATGCCTTTAGACTTAGCTTTTACCTAGATAACTTTCAGGATACAACTCAGACACCACGAGCTGCAACATCATGACGATAGAGTAGCATACGAACATAACAGCTCAAATTGGCGTAATCTGACTATGAAATCTGGTTATGCACAGTTGGTGACTTTCAATTTCAGGTATAACATATACCTCATTCATGGATTACTATACTAGATACTTGATCGCGAAAGAATGCTTCCAAGTTCGATCATATCTGAGAGGACCAAACGCCGCATTGATGGCTAAAGAATCTGACCCTATGAAAGTACTAAGCCCGCCGCAATATCGTCTCGGGAGTTCAGTCGCAAGATGACCAGACTAAGAAAGGTATGTGACAGTGATATGCACAAGTATATGCTGCCTCGATATTAGGACAGCCTAGTCAACCTCCATATCCATGTCTCCGTCTTTATCCGCCTTTGCAGACCTAGCAACACCACGCTTCGCTTCATACCTTTGTTTGAACTTGTCTTTCGATGGTATGGGACGTGCACCTAAGGCGCCCATGGGCGAGCCATCGCTCCCAAAGATCCTGTTCTTACCGTCGTTGCCACGCTTAGAGTTAGCCGCCTTCCTACGTTCCCGGTCCTTCTTGCGCTCTGCCGCCAAATGCTTCGCGATAGCGGCCTGCTTGATGAGGTCCTCAGTGTCTTCCTTGACGGTAGTATAGATCTTACGGAAATCCCCATATGCTGGATCTTGGATACTGTCGAGAAAACCTGTAAGCTGTACTTCCGTCCAATGCTTAGCCTCTTGTGCAAGGACAGCCGCGACGACAAGTTGCTGCAACGCACCATCCTCGTCTTTGCAGATGCGCTCCGCGGTCCCGGTCGGGGCTAAGATAGTCTTGATGGCCTCTTTGAGAACTTCGGGATTGGAAGAACGGAATACCAATAGTTCGACGAGCTTCGCGTGCGCAGCTGATCTCAGTGTATTGTAGTCCAATTCCTCTGCCAGGGCGTAGATGTGGAGATGGTATGCATATTCGGCAATACCGACGAGGGCAACTGTGGCAGGTGAGGGTGGAATCTCGTTCGGGATGAGAGTTGCATGATAGAATTTGAAGGTGGTCTGCTTGAGTTGGCCGCCTTCTGAGCCTGGAAGGAACCTATAGTCTGATGTGTAGACTATGCTATGGATCAGTATGTTTTTCAAATTCACCAACGTACGCGACACTTACTGAAATTGACAATGCGGTCTACGAGGATAGGATGAAAGTGAGCCGGCAAATTTACACAACCTGGTCGGTTAGGGCTCATCGCCTGGTCATGTCAGCCTTCAATCTACGACGCCTGAGGTCCCAGTAGCAGCTCATCAACCCAAGGATATGATCCTAACTAGGTTGGAGGCGAACAAAAAAGAGGTAATCTTACACCACCTGGAAATAGCCCCTCCTGCAACGCCTTCGAGCCGCCAATCAACATGATGGAATGTACCTGAAACTCCACACCAGCAACAGTGATCAGAGTAAAGTCGCGACCAATTGGCGTATCAAGCAACAACTCAGCGTGCCTGAATATTATCGTTAGTCACTGCAAGCACCTTCCTGGAGTGAGGTGTTATTTACTCGGTATGTAACTTTTGCGCTGTGGGCAGAGGATCCCAGCCCTTCTTGAAAACCTTACGCAAAAGATTGGAAGCATTACGCGGATCAACCGGTGGCTGTCGGAGAGAGGCAGTACCGCGCTGCAGCTGTGGCGGCTTGACCTGGGACATCGGAGCGGCCATGGGTGTGGGTAAAGAGAGCGGGCTATCCATTACGAATGCTGACTGAGGAACGATCGCTTCAAACAAACCAAAACTTTGACATGGTGCGAAGGCAGCAGAGGCAGAAAACGGTGTGGAGAAACTTGTGACCTGCTCGTTTGTTTGCGGGTCTCGTGTGCGATATCGTCTTTCTCTTTTTCAGAGTAGGACGCGAATTGTGGGGATTTCAGGGAGGCAAATGCAAACGCATGTAGGAACTCGACCGATCCGCAGAGAGCTGTTGTATTATAAACCCGTGTTACTCGTACAATCGTATTCCCTAGAGACCCAGCTCTTAAAATGTTGGCCTCGTTCTCTCACCCTTCCACAGTCCCATAACCTCTCCTGTCTCTCCGACCCACTCCCTGACGCCAGTGACAACGGCCTTCGCCATGCCCGCGTTTGTTCCACTTCTTGCCCTCCTCTTGCCCTCCATCCCACTGCTCACTCCGCCAACTCCAATACCCGTCCCGCTGCCAAACGACTCTGGTGCTTTCCCTGGCATGATGTAGCTGCTACCGTCTCCAGTCGCGTACTCGGAGCCCATTGAGGGAAGAACGTTCTCGCCAGCGGACAAGGAGACGAACAAGGCAAATGGAACTAGCCAGACGCATAGGCCAAAGTAAGAGGCGATCTCGGTAAAGGTGGGAATGTTGACGTCGCGGGAGTATGAGTACGAAGAGTATGTGTTCGCTGGCGGAGCGCTGAAGTGACGAAACCAAAGATAGTGGTTTGCGATGACGAGGGCTAGAAAGATGCTTAGTACAGACATGAAACGGACTCAGGATAAGGTACAACATACCGCAAGAGACCAAGAACAGTGGGTCCGTGAGCTTGACAATGGGAAATCGCCTGAGGTTCTGCGCATAAATGACATGCGACACAACACTTAACGCGCTGAGTCCGACTGGAAACCGATCGACGACTAGAAGCAAGATTTGGATGCCGACCACGCCATAGATGAGTCGGTACAGTAGCTTCTTTGCGAATACGGTATGCTCTTCCACAAGCTCAGAGAGGTAGTACAGGCCGGAAGCTATGTTGCGTCAGCTCCGTGAACCAAAGACTATGTGCATGGCTGCAAAGTACCTATGGCAAGCGTCAAGAAGGCGAAGCCCAAAATGACACCCACATATCCAAGCAACGGCAGTATCCACATGTTGACTTGTGACACTTCAGGGGGATGTGAAGAAGGATGGAGTCTGGAAGTTTGGCGGGCGCACGATGAGGTCAGTCCAAAGGTGGCATCAAGGCTAGCGGAGAAACCCGTGGACCCGCGGCAAAGTGTGGGGTGCAACACCAAAAAGTCGTCGAACTCTTGGCTTGAGTGAATCGACCAACCGACACATCACGCTCGCTTCCCACAGTTCCCTTGCAGCCCCCAGTCGCACAAGTCAAAGCGAACCAAAGAGTACTGCGCTTGTTGCAGAGAGAGTCACAGCCCACAACCGCAACCATGTCGCGCCCCGAAGACATCCTGTACGCACGCCTCTTCGCAATATCGCAAGTCGCATAGCGAGGAATTCAGCGCTTACTTTTCTACAGACCCCCCGATCTCTTCTACAATGACTCGGAATCGCGAAAATACACAACCTCTTCGCGTATCCAGAAGATTCAATCCACAATGACCCATCGCGCCCTCTCCCTTCTCGCACTTTCCTCGCCCTCCATGATTCTCGACATTGGCTGCGGCTCCGGTCTTAGTGGCGAGATCCTGTCGCAAACCGCAGAACAAGGCACACCTGGCGGCCCACACGTATGGATTGGCTTTGACATTAGCGCATCCATGCTGGGCGTTGCGTTGGAGAAAGAGGTAGAAGGAGATTTGCTGCTAGCCGACGCAGGCCAAGGTGTACCGTTCAGACCAGGAACCTTCGACGCTGCCATCAGTATCAGTGCAGTCCAATGGCTGTGTAACGCTGAAACTAGTGAGGAGAGTCCTGCGGGCAGATTATCGAGGTTCTTCAACCAGCTCTATGCGAGTCTGAAGAGAGGAGGGAGGGCTGTCTGTCAGTTCTACCCAAAGAACGATGCACAGAAGAAAATGGTGGCGCAGGCAGCCATCAAGGCCGGTTTCGGTGCGGGTCTTCTTGAGGATGACATGGGAACCAAGAGCGCAAAGACATATCTTGTCCTAACTGTGGGCGGAGGAGCGCTCGATGGCGACATCACAGGTGTTGTGAGGGGCATGGAAGGCGTTGACGTCGATGATGCACGAAGAAAGGCAAAGGGCATGAAGAGAGGTGAAGAACGCAAGGGCAGCAAAGCATACATCATGAAGAAGAAGGAGCAGATGGAGAGGCAAGGCAAGGTTGTCAAGGCGTCGTCCAAGTACACTGGCAGGAAGAGGAGGATCCAATTCTAGATATACCCACGACACCATCATCACGATGTTACGCATAGCACGGAGTTCTGGTTTTGGCATTTTCAGGAGGGTATAAGAATGGTCAATTCAATCATGCAGCATGCTATATACCACCTACAAGTACAGCTCTATTCACATTCCAGCTGGTAGTTGTACAAGTGCCATTGCGTCCAATCGTTAAGAAAATGTGTTATTGCTCCCTATCATAGGTTAACCCAATGTGAGCCGAGGCCTAGATTTGACGGTATCATCGCGCTAGATCAAAGCTTAGCAAACACGAAGACCATGATGGTTAAATCATGCCTTCTCCATCTGGTTCAGAACTGCGCGGGTGAACTCGTGGGTGGTGGTGTTGCCTCCCATGTCGCGTGTGCGGGCAGTGCTAGAGAATGTTAGTCATGGATTACTTTCTGACTTGACAAAGAAAACTCACCCGTCAGCGATAACCTTGTAGACGGACTGCGAGATGCGGTTGGCGTGGTCATCGAGACCAATGTGACGGAGCATCATGGCAGCGGACAGGATCAGAGCGGTGGGGTTGGCCTGGTCCTTGCCCTTGATGTCGAGACCGACGTGACGGCATCCAGGCTCGAAAACGGCGACGTTGCGGCCCATGTTGCAACCGGGGACGATACCAGGGCCACCGACAAGACCGGCACCGATGTTGGACAGGATACCTCCGTACAAGTTGGGCATGACCATGACGTCGAATTGCTGTGGCCTTGAGACACACTGCATGGAGGCGTTGTCGACGATCATGTCGTTGGTCTCGAGAGTGGGGTAGTCCTCACCAACACGCTTGACAGTGTTGCGGAACAGACCATCGGCAAGCTTCATGATGTTGGCCTTGTGGATGCAGGTAACCTTCTTGCGGTTGTTGGCGAGCGCAAAGGCGAAGGCAAACTTGGCGATGCGCTCCGACTTCTCACGGGTGATGATCTTGAGCGACTCAACGACGCCGTTGACCGACTGGTGCTCGAGACCGGAGTATTCACCCTCGGTGTTCTCACGGATAATGCAGAAGTCGATGTCCTTGTGGCGCGTCTCGTAGCCGGGGATGTTCTTGAGGAGGACGATGGAGGCGTAGATGTCGAGCTCTTGACGGAGAGCAACGTTGAAGGAACGGTGGCCGGAGCGCTCGACGGGAGTGTGGAGGATACCCTTAAGACCGAGCTTGTTGCGCTTGAGCGAAGCAATCGACTCGCGGAGGAGCTCCTCGGAGTGGACGTTGCCCGAGTCGACACCAGACACGTCGACCTGCTCCCACTCAATGGGGACGTTGTCCGCCTTGAAGATCTCCTTGACCGACTCGGAGACCTCAGCACCGATACCGTCACCTGCGCATGTTCAGAAAGTAGATCGGGTTTATGGGCGGCTATCGCGCGTACCAGGAATCAAGGTGACAGTGTATTTGCCGCCGAACTTGGTGGGCTTGAAGATGTCCTGGGTGACCGTGGCCATTGCTGTCGCCGCGTTAGACTCTGCATTGCTCCGAATACTTCAGGGCGTCTTCGTACATCGAGTAGCCATTGGGGATGCCCATCGAGCGGCAGGCTTCGCGCCCCGCAGGAGCGTCTGTATGGGCGCATTAGCACTCGAATTTCCGCCATGACCGCCAATTGCAAGCGCATCGACATGTCCGTACCTGCGCTGTTCGTTGAGAGGTCCTCGACAACATGGTGGAGTTGCGGCGTTGGGCTGGTGGTGAGGGATTTGAGGTAGAGAGAAACCAGCTCGAGCTGCCGTCCCCCGAAAATGCATCCGAACCGAAGGAAGAAACCGCGCTTGGCAAATGACCGCATCCGTCCTTCCGCCGCGGCTCGCTCTGTCTGTTGCCTCCGGCGCAGCCCTGTTCGTGCCTTTCACTCTCTATGCTACTTGCTTTTTCCTATTTTTGCTCGTGTCCTAGTCGGCATATACTCCGATTTTCCACAACTGCCCAGCCATTTGTGCGCAATCCACCACGGCCTCATTTGCATGTGATAGTACCGACCATGGTTCGCGTAGTGCATGCGTGTTTCATCCGTACCAGGTTTCAGGTGATAAGCAGTCAGAACGGCAGTTGGCCCTCTTCATAGTATCTTGCAACTGTTCTTACGATGCGCAATGGCAGTCTGAGACTACTTTGCCTTGTAGGTTTTGCCAGATATCCTCACCATGTCTTGTCATTTCGTCGGATGGTAAAGAAAATCCATCTTTCACACGTATTTAGCAAAAGTCGTATTCCAGATACTTGGGTTACCGAGAATGCCAGACGTCGAAAGAGCAGGAAGAAATAATCATATAGAACGACGGCGACTACCGTGGTCTTCAGCTATTGAACGTGTGCTGCTCCACGGAACCACATCTTTGTTCGAACAATCGAGGGGCATCTTCCAGCACGATATAAGGATGATTACGGCATACATCGGTTTTCATGTATAGCTGAGCTCCAGATACCTCTCAGGTGACTCTCACTTGAGCCTTGGTAGACATGGTGGTCGCGATGCCAGCGACACTCCTTCAGCACACGTCACGCACGAGGCTGGCTTTACTTTCACCTTACCTCTCATCTGTCTTCGCTTGCTACTAGCATATAAGACGGCCTTTCATCTCTTCACCATTTCCCCTACCTATCACTTCTACTCCTCTTTTGTTTGGGCATGCACTGGACTCTCTTGTGACATCCGTACTATGAATAGCGATCCAGCCGATACACGAACATAACCCGCGGTTTGTAGCTCACCCAGTCAGCGAAAAAAAAAAAGTGCTCTAGCTACGACGATTTCCTTGCTTCCAGCGCTACAGGCACTGTACTTCAGAAGCCCTATCAGCCCTCAACGACCTACTCGCTAGCTTGTATAGTTCCGTCTAGTCGTCTAGGCAGTCCTACTACAGTCACCATTTCATGATCGCTTACCATTGTCATCCAGCTGTTATCAAAGATATATTGATCGTCCCACGATAAAGCTCTGAAAATGAAAGTCACTGAGAAGGACACCGACAGAACAGCCGAGGTCAACGTCTTCATCGAAGGCCAAGTTCCGGCATTGAAAGAGTACGGTGAATATATCGATCCAAGGGACAAAGCAATATGTTGCTACGTGGCTCTGTATGAGGGCGATAAACCTCGCATCAGAGGCCAGTTCTCTGGCACGGTAAGTCCTACTTGTACATGCTCAACAGGCTTATCTGACCAATTCTCAGACTCTGGCCGTGGCCTGGGATACTATCGTGGACGGAGTACTTCGTAAGGCAAACTCGTACGCAGCCAAAGCGGTAAGCTTTCAGAACAAGAGGAAGATAGAAACAGTAAAGTTTCTGTACAAGACTACGAAGGGGATCATTGATACCGACATCACCGTGGCACCACTGCTAGGTTTCGCTACGACACAAAATAATGACCCCGAGACAATCGGAACTTTGGAACTGCGCCTGTACATTACCCGACAGCTAGGAACTTGGCACGATGTAGGTGAAGTTAAAAAGTACTTCACAGTCGGAGGTAGCATCGGAGATAAGCAAACAGGTAGTATGGAACAGAAGGCGAGTTACAAGGTCATCCCTCCGACTTTCAGGATGTCGTTCGAGACGAACGCTGCTCTTCTAGAGGACAGACAGCCAAGTCTTCAACAGCGCAAGGTGGACGCGAAACGTCCAGGCACAGAGCCCTGGGCCATATTTCGTTTCCACTATCGAAGTCAAGGTGAGTTTGTCAGGCATCTTTCTCGAATATTGTGTTTACACGGTTGTTCAGAAGACATTTTAAAGCGAGAAATGGAGATGACTCATGACCCGAACAGCAAAGAGAAGCCCAAACCGCATACCCTATTCCTAAATCCCGTACCCCCTCTGCTATTGGGCGAAAAACCGTGTAAGAACGACGGGGAGGCCTCGTCCCGATCATCATCATCATCCCCAATGTCTCCTAGCAAACCTTCTACTCCAGCAAGAAGCGCAAAGCCGGGCCTCAAAGTAAGAGTCAAGAAGGCGCTCGACAGTCTCGAGACTGATAGAGACGCTCCTACTATCTCTACTGGCAATGATGGCGATAAGGTTGTTGACAAAATTGCTGTTACGCCTCCTGAGCCGGCAGCCAACTCTATCGCGAAGTTGTCCAATCTTCCAGGTCTCGAGGCCAAGTCCGCAATCTCACATCCAGAGAGACCCGCGGTCGCAGCGGAAGAAACAGTTAGGAAGCCTCCACAGTCGCCCATCACGCAAGGAAAGAAGCCGGTTGAGAGACCAGCGCCAATCAGTGGTATCACGAGTATGGGAAAGAAGCCAGATACCCCGCCCGTCGCAGCTATACCGACCAAGCGTCAGATACGCACCACAAATAGCGCAACGTCCGAGCCAAAGCGCACCAAGGCCGTCCTGACGCCTCCTGCACTCTTAGTTGAGCCTGTAGTTTCAAGTACCCTTCTGCGCTCACCTACCCCAAAGCCCATGTCAATCGAGCGACAGCTTGCGGATCAGCGCAAGAAGCTCGAAGAACTGCGCAAGAAGCGTAGCGATACCGCTCACAAACAAGCTGTGATCGACAAAGAGATGATTCCCTACAAGCAGCGTATGGCCGAGGAGCTGGATCGTCTCCATCAAATCATGACACAAGAGGAGAACGCTTATGCTGAGGAGACTGAACACTACAGTGCTAGTATAGGGATTCTGCAGGCGTTCAAGAAGGCAGAAGGTAGCAACTAGGTTGCTGGTTGAGTGCAAGTTCGACAAAAGTGCGTCGGAAGGAGTATGGCGTTGAGGTATAAAAAAATGAGGCCTGGAGTGATTCGGAGTTTTTGAGGACCTCAGAGGAGTTGGTCAAAGCCCGGCTGGCAACTACCAACGGTATTGAATTCACGAACGGATCGACAAATGCTTAGTGAGGCGACTACCAATGCCGCGAAGGGGAAAAGTGCTTATGATTGCTTAACATCATGTATTCAGTAGCCAACACAAGGTACTGGTGAGCATAGTTTGGGTTGAAGGACTATCCAGTTATGCGACGGCTAATATGATTTATTGCCCTGGCGTCCGCTCTCTTGCTACCCTCATGTTCGCCTTGATCCTCTCCAGCAGTTCAGCTGTCGTTGCGAGTGGAGAGGGGTGTAGATTCCTCTGCCATAGTGTTAGCACAAAACTGCATGATCGAAGTCATCCATAATCTGCATAATGCCACAGCAGTTTGACAGTAGCCAGAACTAGAGTGGATCTTGTCGGATGTGTCAGCCATGAGAGAACTTACGTGCTTGAGCCAAGTAACGCATTGGTCGTGTGTCCATGTCTCTGGGTCTGAAAACGATATTAGCAAAGTCGAAAATGGAGTCATTCGACAATCTAAAGGGCGTGTGTTTGCGTACCTCCAGTAGGGTCTTGACTGGGAAAGATGTCTTGTCCCCAAATACTCCATGCTGCAACACCAGCAACTACTGCAGCAAAAGCGAAGAACGGGCCCTGAATTGTCTTAGTATAGTACAAAAGCAACATGCAGAAGGCCCACTATGTATAGCAGATGCCAGGATAGCCATGAGTAACCTACACGTTGTTGCACCGCGCGATCGATAGGAGTCGGCATGCTGAAGGATGGAAGTGGAAGTCGTGGCTAGGAGAACAGGTGAGATTGAAGAGTTTTGAGCGCAGTTGTGGGGATTGAATGAGATATCTGTCTGAATTTCGCGGGATTTGTAGGATTTAAGTGTAGGCAGCGCTGTCTCACATGCAACGCATCTACATTCCAAGGTTGCCTCGCTCGTTTACGCCACACACGTCGTCACCCCACCAAGCCCGAAGCAGCAACGCTTGCGGCCAGCCCCTTTGTAGCCCGTGCTTTTCAAGCGAGGTCTCCCCGGGGCCAGAGTCCACAACAATATTGCGTTCCCGAACTTCACGATCGATTCCGAATTCCAACGACCCGTCAACACACAAATCGTCAAGATGCCTTCCGAAGTTTCCGACATCAAGCAGTTCATCGAGATCTGCAGGCGCAAGGATGCCAGCTGTACGTCTACCAATTTTGTTAGGGGGAGGTTGCGGTCGCAGTAGGAAGAGGAATTGTGCACAAGAAGCGGGAGATGCAGAAAGCTGCGACAATCGAGGCAGAGAATGTGATGAGAGATCTGGACTGACAGTATTGCAGCCGCCCGCATAAAGAAGAACAAGAAGGTCAACAACATCAAGTTCAAGGTCCGATGCTCCACCAACGTCTACACCCTCGTCCTTAAGGACACCGACAAGGCCGAGAAGCTCAAGCAGAGTCTGCCCCCGGGTACGCACAAACAATCAATAACACGTGGCCAGCGACGTGAGTCTAACATTTGCAGGTCTTACCATCACCGACGTCGGCAAGAAGAACCCCAAGGGCAAGCGCACCGCATAAACGGATCGAACGCATAAGGAACTGAGGACGGAAGTGTGCAAGGACATCAACGCATGATGCGCACGAAGCACGAAGGCATGGCGGGCGGCGTCTCAACGGATAAATTTTGTTCAATGGCAACTACGGAACCCTTCAGATTGGGTTACCACCAGGAATGAAAAAAGTCAAACTTCATTCCGAATCACGACTTGTTTCCGACGTGCACCAAGAATCATCATGTATCATGATCAATATTGCTGAACAGCTAGTTACCGAGTCATTACAGATATGGCTACTAATACAGCGATTGCTTCGGCTGCTTCTGTCCTTGTTTCACGTTGAACTTGTACTGATCCTTGCGGTCTAGATACACAACCTTGCTATCCAATCCAGCCGCATGTACAGCCTTCTTGAAGTCGTCCAAGGGACTCAGGAAAACATCGTAATCGTCGTAGTGGATCGGGATTGTGAGGTCGGGGTTGATAAGCTGCATCAGCTGTACGCCCTGTTCTGCGTCCATTGTGACCATCAGCAACGGCATCTTGGGACCAGGAATTGTGGTGCCTCCCAGATGGACTAGCATCAAGTCGATGTTGTGATCCTTGTACCGCTCAGGGATCTCCTTGAGCTCGTCTACCATCAGCGTGTCGCCAGAGATATAGATTCGGTATCCATTCTCAAAATCGCTACCGTCGCTAGAGGAACCATCGGAGTACCCGAGCTCAACCATCCAGCCGTTTGTAGGCGGTACAGCGCCAAGAATCTCATTTGCAACATTTAACGGGCCAGGAGGTACATGCTTTCCAGGCATTCCTGTGACTTTGATGCTGGGCTTTGGACCGCTACCACTTGTTTGGTCTGACTGCGATACATCGAGAAGCAAACTGTGCCAGAAGTCGAGCGCATGTACGTTCTTGAATGATTCTTCGCCTTTGCCTGTCAAGCATTCCTTGGCGTGTGGCGTAGTGATGATTGGGAGACCCTTTGACAGTTTCTCCTCTACTTCTCGGTCAAAGTGATCTTCATGGTAATGCGAAAGCAGAATCACGTCGATCCTTGGTAGCTCTTCCAAATCGATCGCGGGGTTGGTCTGTCTTGTTGCACCGACACCTGGTCCTAGATGAACATGGTCGCCAGCATGGAGGAAGTTGGGATCTGTGAGAATGCGGATGCCTTCCCACTCTAGAATTGTAGTGGCAGTCCCGACGAAGAAGAGTGAAGCATTTGTTGAAGCGTCTGGGGCGTTTTGGGGATGAATCCTGGTCTCTTTGGCGTCAGGTAAAGAGGCAGGGACGTCAGTGTTGAGTTTTGTAGGTGGACCTGAGCCATCCGGTGTGATTTGTATGCGCTTCATGCTTGCGCCTGACATGGTGTTTTGCTAGGTAAGATGGATGTTGTAGAAGGAGAATCGTGTCGCTCTATCTTCTTCTTCCGTAAAGATTCTCTGGACTGTGACTCTCCGATCTTGGGAGTATCCGACCTCTTTACTGTAGGTGACGAAGTGCGGGCAAGCCGAAAGCAACGATGTAAGGGCAGACAGGAAAAGAGGGCAAAGAATAGGAAGCGCGCTTCGTCTTTGGTGTAAAAAGCCATCACGTAACTCGTAAACAGCAATGACGACAAGACGCGGTAATGGTGTAAATACGGCAGGGTATGCGATGATCATAGGAACAGCTTGTCTAAACGCATCTGAAATGTTCAATCGCTGCATCGCAGCTACTCCTTAAGTACCCATGGCGCAGAGATAAGCCCAAGACTACGGAAGGTGGCTGTGAGCGTGCCTGTGCCCGGACACGCGTATCTCTGACTTGTAGTACGAGGAAGAGCGATGCTTGCGAGTCGCAGAGGCTGAGATGTAGAGGGGTGGAGCTCCCCCGTTGGACTCCGCTGTGGCTGATGGCTCTACGATGCGGGACCCCTGTTGCGCCAAGCCACATACATCGGGGGTGAGCAATGAACACCTGGCGAGTCAGAGGGCGCTTTGAGCATTGCTTCCAGAATCCATTGCGAGTTTGGAGCAAGATGACAGCTTGTCAGACTTTGCAAGGGTGAACTTACACTCGCTCCGCTTGGTCTATCATTTGTTTAGCACTACGCGTCGCGCCGCCTCATGAACTTGACACGCGATCCATTCAACCTCCGAAGCAAAGCAACGTTCAAGACACCCTCCGCCTTCGCCGTCCTCCAGAACGCCGCCAACAAGAAAGCCTCACAAGCCGTCGAATCGACCAAGCAGGCGGTCGAGGCCACGAAACAGGCGATTCAGGACTCAGACATGTCCTTCGCCATCCCGCGCAACGTACCCAACTTCGAGAGCGCGCAACGCAAGTTTGAAGATAATGTTTGGAACAAACTACCGGGAAACGAGAAGGGCTTGCCAATGTATAAGGACAAGCCTTCAGGAAAGGTATACGGATATGGCGGCGGCGGCGGCGCGAGGGGGAGGAGAGGCTTTCTGAAGAGTAAGAGGGGCATGTCATTGATAGCACTGGTCGTGCTCGGGCTTTTCTACTGGTTTGGATGGTCAAGTGGAGGGACAAGTGTGGATGTAGTGCAAGATGAGAAGGACAAGGGGAAGAGCTTACTGTCAAACATGGGCGGAAGCGCTGCCGGAAAGAAGAGCAAAGTTGACTGGGAGAAGCGGAGACAAGCAGTAAAGGATGCCTTTTTATTGAGCTGGAACGCATATGAGGAGCACGGCTGGGGCTACGACGAGTACCATCCCGTTTCGAAGAAGGGTCGATACATGGCAGAGCCCAACGGCCTGGGCTGGATTATCGTGGACGCCCTCGATACGCTCATGATTATGAACCTGACAAAGGAAGTCAACCACGCGCGTCAATGGATTGCAACAAGCCTCGATTACGACAAGAAGCAAGATGTCAATACCTTCGAAACGACTATACGCATGCTTGGTGGTCTGCTGTCTGCGCACTACTTGCAAGAGACACTTCCGGGCCTGAAGCCCGAGAATCAGAACGAAGAGGACCTGTTCTTGGAAAAAGCAACCGATTTGGCAGACCGTCTCATGGGCGCGTACGAGTCACCTTCGGGTGTTCCGTGGGCCAGTGTCATTCTTAGAGATGCCAAAGGCGAAGCCTCGCACGCCGACGGTGGTGCGTCTTCTACAGCTGAAGCAACTACTCTGCAACTTGAGATGAAATACTTGGCCTTCATTACCGGTGAGAAACATTACTGGGATGTAGCTGAAAAGGTGATGCAAGTCGTTGACAACAACGGTGCTAAAGACGGTCTTCTACCTATCTTCATCTACGCAGACAGGGGAACCTTCCGCGGCAACGAGATCCGATGGGGCAGTCGTGGTGACAGTTACTACGAGTACCTTATCAAGCAGTACCTCCAGACCCAGAAGCAAGAACCAATCTATCAAGAGATGTGGAATGAGTCGCTCAACGGCGCAAAGAAGCATCTTCTCACCTATACGAAAAACAGCCACTTTACTGTGTTAGGAGAGCGACCAAACGGAATTGAAGGGAAATTGCACCCCAAGATGGATCACCTAGTCTGTTTCCTGCCTGGTACCATCGCCCTAGCAGCAACCGGTGGCATTCCTCTCGCTGATGCGCGCAAGCTACCCACCTGGGGCAAAGCACAAGAGGAAGACATCACCCTCGCTCGCGAGCTCACAAAGACTTGTATGGGCATGTACAAAGTAACCGCCACAGGTCTCGCGCCTGAGATTGCGTATTTCGAGCTGGACGACCCACCAAAGATGTACCGCACCGAGATCTTAGCATCCAAGTCTGAGCTCGACACCAGTATCCCCGACGGTGAAGGCTGGAAGGGCGATTTTGACCTCAAGCCAGCTGATACACACAACCTCCAGCGACCAGAGACGGTGGAATCTCTGCTATACATGTGGCGTATAACCGGCGACGACATCTACCGCGAATGGGGTTGGGACATGTTCGAAGCTTTTGTCAAACACACTATCGTAGAGGACAATGGTGGTTTCTCTAGTATTGGCGATGTCACAAAGATACCTCCTCCATCGCGAGACAATATGGAGAGTTTCTGGCTTGTAAGTACCTCCCCTCGCTTTTACCCTTCCCTTATACATCAAAATAACTGAATTTATTTACTAACACACAATGCAGGCTGAGACACTGAAGTACATGTACCTTCTCTTTTCCCCCAACGATCTCCTTCCTCTCGATCAAATCGTCCTGAATACTGAGGCTCATCCTTTCCCTCGCTTCGATGCAAGCCACAAGCGATTCAAGACGGGTTGGGAACGTATACCGCGGGATGATCAGGGCAACCTCGTGCCCAAAGAGACCAAGCCCAAAGAGACCAAGCCCAAAGAGACCAAGCCTGACGAGAAGACAATTTAGACGCCATCTACATTTGACTAGAACACTTTGAGACATGTTATCGAGTACGCACTCTTCTAGCTTGTGGAGAGCAAAACCTGGGAGTTGGGTCGGAGCTGGTTGTCATGCATGGATGGCGTTAACACTCATAGAACAGCTAGTGACTGATATGGTATCAACATTGATGTAGACCGAAGTATTGAAAATCGTAGTCTGATTCGCTGTGTACGTCTTTTTCGTGGTATGTATTATGTGCGTCTCCAGTAAAAGTACTCCGGTGCCGATGCTAACCATTCATATATTTGCGTAAACATGAAGCACATAAATCGTAAATCATGACCTACTCCGCCTGCTACCTCATTCAGACAGTATCCGACGCTCGCTTGTGTATTACCGAGGCGACAGGCGTAGCAAAGCACAGCGCCTTCGTGCACACAGGTGCTCATAAAGTCTCCACGTAATGGAGCCAAATCAGGGATATTAGTCTGATGCAAATCTCAGCGGCTACTAGCGCTCCTGCGATTGTTCGTCGCCTATGCGTGGTGGGCTCTTGGAGTGGGCGGAGGGATTTCTAAAGGGTGAATGACTGCCTCTGCACGCGTGTTAGCTTCTCCTTCCCAATGACAATGATGTTTCGGAAACATACGAGCGTCTCCGCTTTCCCTCGTCTCTCCTCTCTTCGATGACCTTGAGCATAGTTCTCCGTCCATCTTTTGCGTTTATGTGTGCATCCCGCATGCTCATGCTGACCTTCTTGCTCGCATCGGCCCGAAGCAGCCTCTTGAGCAGCAAATGCCGCATAAGCACACAGACGAACACACCACAATCACTTCCGTTTTCTTGCTGCGGACTATCACTCATAGGGATAAACCGCAGTCGCTTTCCTAGTAGTTGTTCCAGCTTCATGGTTGTGCTTCGTGCTTCGCGCTCGTTGGACTGAGTCATGGAGTCGTAGTGGAATGAAACGCCATCGATGATGGAAACGAGAAGGAGGGACCAATGTGAGCCGCCTTCGGCTTGTGTGACGTCGGTGTTGTCATTTATGGGCAGGAAGACGTGTGTTGTGTGAGTGAAGTTGGGGAGGACTTCTTTCAAGGAGAGGGGCTCGGCGGATTGCATGAGCATGTAGGACATGGAGGGGCGGAGGAGGACGATGGAGGCTTTGGGGAAGGCATTGAGCTCTTCGCGTTCGAGGTATTCTTGCCAGAAGGCGATGGCCTTGGGTCTATGTTAGCCCTAGTTGTGGTGTGCAGAGGGGTAATGGTGTACGCACATTGTCCGTGAGCCAGTCGTTAGACTTGATGCTGTCTAGATCGGCTCGCGTTACTGTTGGCAGCCGTCAGTACTACCGTCGTGGTTGTCAAAAGCACATGGAAGCGCAAGTCAAAGAACAGGTGACGCATACACACCCCTCACATCATGATCTGCCCTCAGTCAGTTTTTACCCTCTCACAGTCCCTGCGTCCCGACTCACAAGAAAGATAGGCCTCATCCGGACTAGGATCACCCAGGTGGCGCCTGGCCTTGTCCCTGATTCTCGAAAACGATCCAGGCATGCTGTAGGCGTTTGCGCTGTGACTCGGCGTAGGATCGCGTGGCACAGGCGTGCTATTAATTTTGTGCGAGGCTGCAACTACTGGCGGGGTATACCAAGGTTTCGGACCTCGTGGTTATGCGAGAGGGTAGGGATGTTGGGTGTCTGTCTGCCTCGTTGCACGGTTGGATAGACGCGCGCTCAAATGGTGCACCTCGATTATGCGGGTGAAAAGCAGGGATGACGTATGCGTTTTGGCTAGACTGTGTGGGGGTGTCGACCAAGATAGTTCTGGGCCACCTCGGCACTTAAAGTCTCGCGGCGCGAACAGCTTTAAGCCATCGCAAACGTGTACCACGATTGCGAGCTCCGCGTTCCCAGTATCATGTTGCTCTTGTCTGTTTCAACCGTGCTTGGATGTCTGGGTTGTAACAGTCAAGTCTAAGTATAGGACAAAGCAAATCCGGCCATATAGTTGAAGCAGTGTTTTCTTTTTGCATTGCATTATTCATCAGTCTTTTCTGTACAGGCCTGCGTTTACAACCTTGACAAGTTTGTCCTTGCCTTGGTCATCTATAGTCATTTCTGCATGCGTGAAGACCGGAAAGCGCACTCGACCCATCCTCTCAAGGCAGTTGTCCGACAATCTTGGCCCCGTTTGCCTGTTCTTGTTTTCCAAACTGCTCAGGCCTCTCCACCTTGAAAAGCCAGCTCTGCTTGTCTTCAATCTTTCCTTGCTGGATACCTTTCAGTGTCGTAAGAAGCTTCTTGCATACTGGGCCTGGTTCTTGCTGTGCCTCTGCATACGTGAACTTGTCATCCTTCGATGGTAGAGTGATAGATTTGATGGGAACAAGAGCCGCCGCGGTTCCTGCAGCAAGGACTTCGTCGAAGGACTTGAGTTCTTCATACGCGATCTAAAATTGTTAGCTGAGTGTAGCACGTTTGCAAAGCGAATATAGTACCTCTCGGGACTCGGCTTCCCAGCCAAATGATTCCGCAATCCTGAGGACGCTGTCTCCAGTCACACTCTGGATGACGTTTTTGCTGTTAGATGCAACAAGCTTGACCTTGTCGCCATCCTTCTTCACTCCAATGAATGCGGACGTTGAGAACTCGTCAACGACGCTTCTGGTCTTGCTGTCAAGGTGCAGGGTAATGCCGTAGCCTGCCTTGTACGCCTTCTCGCTATGCCGCAATACTGGAGCGTAGTTGCCTCCGACCTTTGCTGATCCAGTTCCCTCCGGCGCGGCGCGGTCAAAGTCCTCAAGGATGACGGCATCTACCGGGTTTGATCCATGGTAGACACCTGTTGGAATACAGTAGACTACGAATGTGTACTCCTGTGGCGGGTTCAGGCCAAGCTGCGCTGAGCTACCGAAGAGCAGTGGTCGGATGTACATGGCCGCCCCGGTCTCATGAGGTGGCACGTATGCCGCGTTCATTCCTACAGCCATACTGCAGCAGGCGAGGAAGTGGTCTGTCGGTACCTCTGGGATGGAAATAAAAGAGGCCGAGTGTTGCATCCTTTCGGCATTCTTGTTGGGCCTGAAGATGTTTATGGTGTTATTTGGTGCTCGGAAGGCCTTCATACCCTCGTAGCACTGCATCCCGTAATTCAGACCGGGTGCCATGCCGTGGATGCGCAGGAATGGATCCTCGACAAAGACTGGGGGGGTCCATTTGCCGGTCTCAACAGAGTAGTGTGATTCAACATGGCCAGCGACTTTGTAAAGTTAGGAAGAGTTCGAAATCGTACTGGTGGGTGACTCCACGGCGGGGTGGATATACGCAGTACAAACACACTTTGGGCGCCCTCTCAATACCTTCTCGTGCATGTCCCAGTTTATGCACTCGCCGAGTTCATTCGTAACAGGATTAAGTCTTACCTTCTCGGATCTTGAAGCCCACATTGCTCCAGTCTGTAGTTGAGTTAGCGTGGGCCTTTGCGCTGCGTGGAACGTGCCGGCAACCCGCTCAGCGATTGACGTACCAATGGTATCGACGGGTGAAGGAGGAAAGTCTGACATGGTTGTGTTATTTGCAGTGAGTTACGGTGTCGTGTGCTGAAGCGCGAGCCAATATGCAGATTGGTCAATGGGCAATTTTGAAGTTTTGAACGCTTTCGGAGGACCAGCAAGCTCAGCCCTACTGCGATATCGGATGACGTAGACCGGTAATATCCCCCGGCACCCGTCGCAGCGTACCAAAAGCTCACCAACTGCACTTTATTGATTTCCCATCGCGGAGAATGCTAATGGCGTTGTCGAATGCGAACTAGCTTCGATTGCACACATGTACCTGCAGATTTACCCGCATGGTGGGACCACTCGGGCGTGATGCTTCGAAGCCGCAAGCTTGGCGCTATCTGAGGCATCGAGTGCGTGGCCATAGATGACAGCCATTCGCATTCCACAGTGAACCATGGAACGCGTCTCACCACCTTGAAATCTCGTTTTCTCACCTCGGAGATCTGACCTAAACACTTCACCATGATGCGCATCAGTGGCCCCAGGGCCCGGTTTGCTCTCCTTGCTCTAGTCGTCTTTGCCCTGTGCTCGTTCGTGCTTGTAGGGCCCTACAAAGTAACGCCATCACATCTAGCACCAACATCGGTCGAGAAGAAGCTGGGTCGTACCAGCGAAGCCGTGCTCACCGGACATGCGATCGCGCCAAAGTTGGAGAATGCGACGGCAAAGTATGTGCATCACAGCCTCTGCGCAGACACCATGTACAGAACACGGGCAGACTGACAAGCAAACGCAGGGCAGAACTCGGTCGCGCCGCGTGGAAAGTCTTACACACAACCTTTGCTCGCTTCCCCGAAAGCCCTACCGACGAGGAGCAAGAGGCACTGCGGTCATACGTACACCTGTTCCAACGCCTGTACCCTTGGTATGTCTTACACCGTGTGGCGCACACAAAGGTCATGCGCAAACTGACTGGAATTGCAGCGGGGAATGCGCAGAGCACTTCGGGCAAGTACTCGCAAAGTATCCTCCTCAAGTATCGTCGCGGACAGCAGCCGCCATGTGGGGTTGCTACGTACACAATATCGTCAACAAGAGGCTGGGCAAGCCCGAGTTCAGTTGTGAAGATATAGGTGATGCATATGATTGTGGTGTAAGTAGTATCCCTGTACGAACTACATATGAGACATAAACTGACTGCGTACACCAACATCTAGTGTGGAGACGAGGAGCCGACAGCATCGAGCAAAGACACAGCTGCATGAGACCCCGGACCATGAAGCGCTAGGGTAGGGGAAGGATCACCAGGCAAAGCGCATAGCTCAAGAGGATACACTTGCCAATGTATCCTTTACGAGAGCCCAAACTCCATCTTGAAACACGTAAGACGGATTCGCATGCAAGGTGGGGTTGGACGGCACAGCGGACTTGAGATGCGAAATGCCCGAGACACTGTGCTGCGCAGAAGGGGGTTGCGACATGGTCACGATATCTCTATTTGCGGGTACTTGCTACGCCGCAAACGATGGCTAACGACTTGGAAGAGGAGCCAATAAGCCAATAGTCAAGACGATAGCTGAAAGGTATCGACGGAGCTCCTCCGGCCTTCCCGGCAGATCGCAGAGTTCGTCAGCCAGGTTTCACACGGCATGTCGAGAAGTGGCTTCGATGGTGGTGGGATGTAAACCGGACTCGAGATTGCCCTAAGCACACCCTAGCGAATGACTGCTCAGTGATCAGCCTTCAGACAGGTGAAGCCCTGTCGTGAAGAGAGCCACGCAAGCAAGATGCGCGCCAAACAGCATGCCCTTATCAAGCCCGATAGAAGGACGATAGAATGAAGCATAGTACTCTACCTGCGACACCGTGCCCCTCTCCAACTTTCCAACCGTGTGTGATGGTCGTGCGTCATGGCAAAGCGATGCTACAGGTCGGCGATCCATTAGGAGATGACCATGGGCAGCCCACCAGTTCGGCGGGCGCGTGGCTTGGGATGGCAGCTATTCGCAGGCGCTAACAGGCTGCATGCAAGATGCGCGGTCGCATGATGTATTTCGGGATGGTCGCGAGGCGCGCATTGTCAGGGGCCTGTTCCCAAAGCAACTTAGCGCCATAACGACTTTTGTTGTATCCCAAACAACTGAAACCTTACCTGGGCCAGCGAGGGGTGATAACGACGCGGCACCCCCTCCATACACCGACTCTTCATCCTCTCCTCCATTGACCGTCTGCCAGCTGTTCACCGCTACTTGTCTATCGACCCTCATCTTTCCACCATGGTGTCCTTCTCCTGCGAGGTACTTACTTGAGCCCCATGTCCATATTCTCCCCACCATTGGCCCCTTCCCTGGAGATGCATTGAAGGCTTACTGTGACGGTCTAGGGCTGTGGAGACGTCCTCACAAAGAAGAAGCTTGACGGGCATCGTAACCAATGCTATGGCGCTTCCTTTACCTGCCTCGACTGCATGGTCCACTTCCCAGGAACCTCGTACAAATCTCATACGGTACGCATCATACCTTTCTTGCCCTACATGGCGACCCGTTGCTGCTAGAACAGCACGCTGCGACTGTTGCAACTTGTGCGCCCGCGTCGCGCATTGCGCCGTATTCAATTTTTCACCCTTCGCAGTCGCTAACTGACACATGGTAGGCCTGCATAACCGAAGACCAAAAGTACCAGGGCAAACTCTACAAAGAGAAGAAGAAGGGCCCGCAACAGAAGAGAGACAGCGCCTACCACGACAACTCTCAAGCCATCACTCCTCACAACGCATCCGTCGAAGAAGCGCGCAATGATGACAACGCCGTCGCAGTCGTGGATGCCCCGCCTCGTGCGCCCACTCCTCCGCCAGCGGCGCACTCTCTAGGCTATCACCAGCAAGAGGCTATTGAGGCTCCTAATGTCTTCGATTTCCTTGACCCCTCGTCGACACCCAATGTTCCGAGAACGAGCGCGCCCATCAACGAAGCGCGCATGCTTGAAGACAGTCAGCCACCTGCATACGAGGAGCAGTACATGCCTACAATCGCCGACGTCATGAAGTTCCAGGTGCCCGACGACGACGAGTCCTTTGCACAAAACGGCTTCTCGTACGGGAACGAGCAAGTTCGTCCTTCCAATGAGCGCTACGACTCGTACACTACACCTGCCTCCAAGTCAAAGCACTCGAGGAACAAGTCGCGCGACACGGATGTTGAAACCACGTCGAAGAAAACCGATCGCAAGCGCAAGCGCAATTCGCCCAGTGAACTCGATATGTCGCTAGTCCGCGCCCAGGAGGAAAGAGACACTATGATGGCAGATGCGCCCGCGACGCTTCACTCTGGTCTCACTGGAGGGCTGAACAGACTGCTTGCCCGACCTGAGTTCCCACCTTCGCCGGATGACTCTGGTGACTATGTCAACTCGCCTCTGAGCCCCATGAAACGCGCCAAGCAGGGTAACTCGAAGGCTCTTATGCGCGCGCAGCGAGAATACGAGGCGGAGCAAGCTAAGCAGCGCAAGGCTGACACCAAGGCTCGTGAGCAAGCAGAGAAGAAGGAAAAGGACAGGGGCCGCGATAAGGAGCGCAAAGAGCGCAAGGCTAGCACTGCTCTCGTCAAGATCAGGCCCAAGAAGAAGCGCGAGGATTCTACAACTGAGGTTCGCCGAGTCCGTCGTCGGCAATACTCGTCTTCTGTGTCGCCACCACCGCGCGAGAGCAAAGCGGTCAAGGCCATTGAGTACCATCGTTCGGCAACAAACTCTCCGGAGCCAGATGGCCAAGGCCAGCTGATTGTGCGGCCCACCGGAGACGTGGCACCTATCTCTTCGCCTGCAGGACTGTTCATGTCCTTCATCACCAAGGGTCCAGACTCCGAGCGCGGCATGAGTGTCAACAAGGCTCTGAAACGGTATCATCGCGAGCGTCACGAGCACCATGCCCGCGCGCCCTCCAAGGCTGATGACGAGAAAGAGCTCTGGAAGGATCTACGTCTCCGAAGAAATGATAGGGGCGAGATTGTTCTATTCTATGCTCCTAACGAGGCTTCGTGACTAGACGGGGATCCGGATCTCGACATTATCGTCCGCATGCGCGCGTGGTCTTGTTCTGATCCGACACCAAGTCAGGGATCTGATGACATGATCGATGTCTGACTACAATGGGGGAAAAGGTAGTTTCGTGGTCGACTCTTGTACGATACCATGCTGCTCCATACGTTTCTTCCTTTTAGATGATACCCGACATCAAGTCAAAGGTTATTTCGGGTGGGCTCGGTGTATCTGTTCCTGTACATGTCTTGCTTAGGATTCGGCTTCTTCTGTTGTATCTCATATTCGCATGTCTTATTGTCCGCATATACGTACTGTCACGGCCATACTTTGTCTGCGTTGCTTGCTTTGGTATCTTTTGGCCAAATTACTTGCCCTAATACTCCTTTGGGCTGGACCCGCTCCGTCATTTCGGCGTTGGGTCCTCAAGTATAATTATGTTGAGTTCTGCAACACAGTCGCATCCGCTCTCGCTTGGTGACTTGATGAAATGGCTGTTGAAGGATCCTATCGTGTCATACCCGAGAAGTCGGGCATGCAGTTGTCTCTGCGCAATTGACGATTTCAAAGCAGAGTACGTCAGTGTATTGTTTGAGCCGAAGGGGAAGTGAGTGCGCAGAGCCGCAAACACATGCAAAGAAAGAGTGAGGCTCGCTAGCTACATATCTGTACGAGTGGAGTGCATGCATACCAGCACGTACTACTGCAGCATCTAGTGCAGGGACAAATTGATGAGCCCACGGCGCAGCTGCTCTGCCGGCTGTAAGGCACTTTGTCAGGCTGCTTCTTGCTTGGCGATGTGTAGGGCGTTGGTCTGAAGGGGTGTCATTTACTCAACACGGCTAGACGTTCGCTTGACCTGATCACCCCATCTACGTGTTCACGGTAATCTGGGGGAGGGCGTCAAGGACAAGCTCCCTCATAGCCGAGGTCAGGGATTCCGCGTAGCAGTCCTGCTATCGCGCGCGAAAGAAAGCAAGACACTGCATCCGAAAGGGTCAAGGTGTTGGTCCAGCTCGGCAAACGTAGGCTTTACCATACCGAAATGCCTCCGCATACCCAGTATAGGCAGCCGTCCTTTCTACACCTTACACAGCGACGTCTAACAGATGTCGAACTGCGCAACGGAAGTGGATTACTCGATTACCTATTGTGGAGGAACATGTGCATGGCCGGAGATTATTCGACTGGCCGCACCGCTCACAGCCACAATGAGGCGAAGTCTTTCCAGAAGCCTGCCTTCTTAGACATGGTGTACCAAAATCGCGCAGATGTGTCGAACCGGCCGACTGGCGCTAGGTTGCACGTCGCTCACGTCTCCCATGCTGATTCGATGTTAATTTGTTAGTATACAGCGGGGAGAACTACCCGGCAAAGCACGGTGACAGGGCTACCACAGATTGAGTTGACCGGCCGCCACGCTGCAGACTCGCGCATGGTCAGATGGCACTGCCGACCAGCCCCAAGACATCATACCTTCGACACAAAGCTTCCAGCACCAACGGCCCGCGGCCATTTACATGCAAGTTCTAGTCATTGACTAATAAGCAGCTACAACGTGATAAGGCCATTGACGACTACTCGTCAATTGCCCTGGCGGCCTCTGATGCAAGGCAGTCAAGTCAGCCGCACCCTGACATTGCCCCAACTTGCGCGTGGAATATAACTTTGGCCACCTTGCAGCCTGGAGAAATTAATTGGTGTTACTCAGACAGCTATCGTCTTCCGGCGCAACATTCCAGCTTCCGTACTCTACACGCTGTCATCGCTCATCGCATGAGACCCTCAGCGAAGGGGTGAACCTTACGGCCTTCATCCACTCTTGGTTGTTCCTTGCCCTTCAGCCTGACACACAACACCGTTGATCCACCTGAAGAATGTCTCGCTTTCCGTATATCAGCTCCCTGAACGAAAGCTGGCAGGAGCTCGTTGATTGGGACGATGAACTGTATGACCCTCTTTTCCAAGGAGAAACCAGTTATACAAGGGCTCAAGAAGGCAGCTACGTTGCGGGCCACCAGCTATCGGAAAGCTACACGTCCGAGCCTACATATTTAGTATCAGCACCTCCTTCGGTCGTTGACGAACCTCCGTCACTCGAGTATACGGTTTCCGGCCCGCCATCAATCCTAGATGGACAGTCATCGTTCGAACATGCAAATGGAACTTCACTGTCCTTTGACACCATATCAACTTCTCCGCTAGCTGTCCAAGCAGATAGTCAGTACTTTGGATCGTTTGGTGCGTGCGACAGCAGCCTCCTATCACCGTTAGGTGCTATCAACGACTCGCCTATCTTGGATACACGCTACGATCGTATCCCGGAAACCTTCACCCCTGGTTCTCTCGAGAGCACAACTGAAACCGTCTTCAACCCCTATGTTACGGACTCTTCCCATTCCTTCAGTGGTCTGGATGTGAGAGCCTCCCGATTGTTCTCGAATCTTGGTACATGGGCAGATCAGCCACGGATCATCGAACCGATCGCAGAAGATGATGGGGGCAGAGCAGAAGTCGAGCCGATTGCCATTCCAAATTCTTTTTCGCAGAACTACAATTCGGCACTGCCGTCTTATCGACGATCAGATGGCGAATATGAGCTACACAATCGCAGCAGAGCCATCACCATTCCTGATGCTACACCTGGACCTACCTACTACAACAACCGAACATCAGCCTCTGCATCAGTACGAAGACCTCCTCCTATACTCTCAGTATCGCCAGTAACTTCACGTTACCCTCGCGGTGTTGCTTTGTCTAGAAGCGCATCGCTTTCTCGACGCAAAGCCTCCACTCCGTCCCCCTCGCCTGACTCCTATGGCTGGGTGTCTTATCACCCGAACCCTTTGACGCACCGATTAGCACCCACGAGCACAGAGGGTATGCCAGGTCGGGCTCCCAAAGGGCGGAAGAGAGCCCTGACTGCTGAGCAGCGCCGCCATGCTGCGTTGATGCGGATTGTTGGCGCTTGCTCGAATTGCCAACGACGGAAGGAAAAGTGTGACCCTGGTACTCCGTGCAGAGCTTGTCTCGAACACTACAAAGGGGATTTAGTCAACCACCCTTGTCGAGACCATACTCTTGTTGACCTTTCTGCGGCATTCCTCTCTGACCGCCTAGGTTGGCATCCAACCACTCGGCCCTTGGAATCCTTCGTTCCGGCTGGTAATTTCGAAATTTCAAAAGAGGCTACCTACACGCTTCCTCTAAACTTTGGCTTCGGACCAACGTTTCCTGTCTCGGTACATGCCGTACAACTCAACGACGACAATCCCCTCGTGCACGAGCACATCATTTACTCCTGGCCACCACAGCCCTACACCGGTCCTTCGCACAAGCACGCCGTTCTCCCGGCTGTGCTAACAGCTGATGCACAATACCATTTGCTGAATACATTAGACTCTCACTTGTCGCTACTAGTAGCGCATCACTTCCGTGCGTTCCCGCTATACTGCTCACCGCTGAGGATCCTACGCGATATCTACGTCTTTTCGCGATCTATTCCAGCAAGCTCCCCTCACTACCGCATACTACACCAGGCACTCAAGCTTCTTGTGCTGGTGCACATTGGCGGTGATATAACGCTTCCATCACGCTCAGAGAGCTCCATGTTGGAGCAGCTCATCCGCAGTACGATGGATATACCCCAGGACCTCACTCCTACACCTTGCTTTATTCGTTCGCAATTTGGTGCGATCATGCCCGGCCTTGCTCTTAGCTTGATGAAGGATGTGCTCACATCATTGGAGCAACTTCTTTTGAACAAGGACTGCGACGAGTGGCCCATCGCTCTGGCTGTTCTTACCACTGTCCTGATGACGGTAGAGTCTATTCACTACCACGCTGCGAAACTGCCATATCATAACCGCTACAACGCCACACGCTCACCTTCTACTGAAGAGGACGTAGAAATCGACGATCATGGTGTGAAATCACTACTCGAATTTTATCGCGCGTGCTTCTCTGGTTGCCACGCCAGACTCAGACCAGACTGGGAGGGCGAGTCAATGCAGTCTCACCAGACAGGTACACCCGAAGATGCATTCATCCAAAATTTGCGGGAGGCAATTAAAAAGGCGGAAACATCGAACTACCTGGCAAAGAAAGCCAAAGAGAAGAGGCAAGATGAGGATATGGGGTACTTCTTCGACCGACTCGTCGCGCGCCTCTTTACCATGAGGCCTTGACGAGCAGACTTCCTTTTTCTTATGCTGTCTTCCAATGAGTTCTCTATATTTCTTCGAAGTTATGATCAGATGGTTACCGGCGTTGAAAAGGTGCGATACCCAGCTTTATAGATCGACTGTATTTGTTCTTGGATTACTTGTTGGGGATGTTTGTATGACTGATGCGCCTATGAACATATTCTCATGATGGAACGGCTTCTCGACGACTCCAGTTCGCATTTTTTCCTCTTCCTTTGGTAGCTCTGGCACAGAGTTCCCATTCTCAGACAATTCCAAGAATCGATCAATACTTCATTGCGTTTCGTGCATTGTACGTATCATGGACAGGAAGGCAGTTGTCTCGCTCCAGTGGTCAGGCTTTTACACCATACATCCGCTGTGATGCTAAGACGATAACCCACCTAACACCCATCCACAGTATTGCACAAGCCAATCCCAATACTACAAGCATGACAACAATCATGCGGCCTCGCATCTCGAGCGCATCGCCTATCTCCAGCTTGGCCACTTTCCTGATCTTTCTATGCAGATGCCACGACTTTCTCTTCTTCCGTTTCTTCGGTTTCTCATCGTCTTGTTCGTCTGACCGGGGACCTATAGCGTCATGGGGCTCAACATGTCCAGTGGTCCCCCTTCTACCCCATTTCGAATCATCAGGATCTTGGTAGGGCTCTGGATCGAGCCAGCTGGATGGAGCGAGGTACGCGAGGAGGGAGAAGCTGAGTGAGTGTGCTTCTGTTCGGCGGGCGCGATTGCGGTAGTTGACGAGGAAGAGAGAGAGGAGGAAGGATGTGAACAAGACGGGCGTGAGTATAATCTTGAAGGAGTGTTAGGATCGCTCACACTGTGTTGACATCTCGATATGGCTTACTCGTTTCAGAAGGGGTTCTTGGTCGTCGTTAAGCTCATTTGCTGGAGAAGAGGGCAGCGAGGGTATTGGTGTAGTTGCGAGTTGTTCAAAAGGATCGGGCTTCTTCTTTTTTCTCTGCCGTGTAGATGGAGGCGACGGTGGTGGGCTCGGGGGAAGATGTTGCATATGACGATGGTTGTGTGCTGCAGACATGTTGCTCAAATGAACTTGTGGACTGCAGCAAGCGCATCTAGACTCCAGGAATAATCATTCAAGGTTGTCGATCAGACCATAATACCGAGAACCTGTACAGCAAGGTTGGTAGGTCTTTTTTGGTTAGGGCTTTGGATTTGGAGAGATGAACATCAAGATTGTGGTATTCTTAGGTATGATGCGGCTGAGCTCGGAATGACGATGCGTGCCCACTATCCGTTCATAGGGCTGCTAGCTCGCGTCGACCCGTGTTCCACGCAAGCACCCTGAAAACGATGTCATAATGGGTCCAGACTACGATGCTGATAGCGGGCCCATTTCCTCCCGAACAAAGGTCCCCATCATGAACGAGGGAACGAGGGTCGCGGGGCCTCCCGCGGGGTAGAATACGCGTATACGGGGCACCAGGCAGGTGTGCAATCCGTGGGCATCGCCAAGTCGTGTCATATCGGTATTATCCGCAAACTCCATGTTTCGAGATCAACACAAGCATTAGCACAGCCTCGGGCTAGCCTCCAATGTATCCCGGAATCCATTCGCACTCGTTTCTCGCATATTTGGCCGAATGGGGAACGGGATTTAGAGGAGCCCCGACTCGACCGAGTCGCCGAAAGTCCGCTCCAAAACACAGGATAAACTGCTGCCTGGAAAGCCTGGCTTTCTATAAGATTCTGTAGTCAGCAGTAGTGCTTTGACGGCCGTTGCGCGGCATTATTCAGCTTCCTTCGCTGACCTAATACACGGCCCTAACGGACGAAATCACCTCCGGACCTCCTCGTTCTGCTTTGAAACCCTATCACCACCAGAAGCCGACGTCTATCCTCTTGCTACTATTGACATCTTTTATCTCTTTCTCGTCGGCCTGATCCGTTTATTCCGCAGGAGGAATCGAGTTGCGGACGCGATTATATAACATCAAACTTCCGTGATCCGGTTTGCTCGTGCAGAGCCGAGTCCGGACGAATTTGTCGTAAGAGCTAGGTTCGCACGATCTGGGTGGTTGGAACACAACGAATCGAGATGCCAAAGGAGGAGACGTTGCCGACACGCAAAAAGATGCGTAAGGGTACGCATAGCTGCTTCGAATGTATGTGGATCCAGTTATTGCCTCGCGTTGAATGATTACTGTTCACCATACTGCTATCCATCACTGTTACTCTCGTCTCGCCTGTGCATCACTACGCCAACCTCAATCTCCACTCTACGTCTCATCATAAGCATAATGTGAGCCTTTCTGATGTAATACAGGTCGCCGCCGCAAGATCCGATGCATCTTCCAACCCGACAACCCGGATGTTTGCTCAGAATGCTTCGCGCGCGGCAGCAGGTGCATCGACCAAGAACATGCCAACCCAGAGGTCATTGTCGATCATAGGAAGAATCTTCGTGAACGAGTATCGCGACTGGAGGCCTTGGTTGATACGTTGCTTGAAGACAAAACTGTAAAGTCAGAAAGCCGCAGTCAAAGTCAGAGCGTAGCGGACACTTCATCACCAAAAGCGCCCACTATCTACCACAAGGATACATTTCCGCCCACTCCTCTTTCTTCAGAAGCTTCATCCAACGTATTCCGATTGCCGGATAATCAGCGTGCCGCTTCGGACCGAGGTCACCACATACCGATCCTCTCTGTATTCGAAGATGCAGTATGTATTTCCACTCTTTGAACCCGATCTGGAAGCTTATTATCTACAGTTGAACGATGCTGAGGCTCAAGCGAAAGCCCGCAATGGCCCTGCACAGAGCTCAACACCAAGGCCCGGCCAAGCGGCTGACGACCGGTACACTGTGGAAAACAGACACGATGACGACATCGCGGCTGGAAACACCATCGCGCATTCTGCCAAACGAGAGAAGTCCAAGCAAGCACTCATTGCCATGCTACCGCCTTACGATCAACTCACCAAACTTTTGAATTCCAACAGTGACTGGTGGCAGACATGGCGGAGGAAATGCAGCGGCACATCTGGTCCTGAGCAAACACTCCCTCAGTTTGCTGCTCAGGCTCTGACAACTGGAAACATCGGAGCTATTGCTACTGTTGTTTTGTCGGTTGGTATATGCTCATCGGAGAACGATGACGATGTCGAACGCTACATCGAGGCTGTGGACCGATGGTTCCTGTCTGACGACGAGTATGCCGCAAGCTTGGAGGGTCTAGAGTGTCTGATCCTGAAATCCAAGTGGTACGCGGATGTAGGCCAACCACGAAGAGCTTGGATCGCATACCGGAAAGGCTTAATGTATGCCCAGCTCATGGTAAGTTCATGCATTCCTAGATTGTCGTCCAGCATTGACTTATACGAAAAAGGGACTGCATCGCAAGCGCACATCCTCCGCTCCACACGAGAGCATCTGGTGGGCTATGTACCATGGTGACCGTTTCTTGTCCCTCTTGCTGGGTCTGCCGTACGGGATTAGCGATGCACACTGCGACTTGACCATGCCTGAGATTAGCGAAGGCCCTTACATTCATCCATTGATTGGCATCACAAAGCTCTCACAGCTCGCAGGCAGGGTCATCGATCGAAACCAGGGAGTTGCCGAGCAATCTTTTGCCTGGGCGCTACAGCTGGACCAAGAGCTCGAGGACTTGTGGAAGAGGTTCGATCCAGCGTGGCTCGACTACACGGAGTTACTTGCTGACGCGGAATCGAATGCGGCGGAATTGCGAGAGCGAATCATGGGTCAGATGATCTTCCATCAGATCCGTGTATACCTGCACTTGCCCTTCATGCTCAAGGCGGCGTCAAACTCGCGCTTCTCATACTCAAAAACTGCATGCTTGAACGGCTCGCGAGAAGTCCTACGGTTATATCAGTCTCTACGAACCGGACACATCCAGCCACTTTACGAGTGCAAGGCCATCGACTTTATCGGTTTCACGGCCGCAGTTCTTGTCATAATCGGTCTTCTCAACTTCGGCATGGTCTCACAGTCTTCGAGTAGCGGTCCCACGCCCAAGGATATCGAAGAAGACGTACGCCTCATCGAGGTCAGCATCGACATCTTCCATCGCGCGTCGAGCGAAAAGGGAGGCAAAGTAGCCGCGCAATCCGCACAGGTCCTCGAGAAGATGTTGGGCAAATTCAAAGGCACGAGCCTCGACCATGAGGGATGCGGCGACCAATCCGACTTTGTCATTCCATACTTTGGTACCATATCTATCAAGAGAGGGGGCCAGTTAGTCAAGAAGATGCCACCGGCTTGCTCCCCCAGCATGGTGAGCTCCAGGTCACCAGCTACATCAGCACAACTCTACACACCCACGTCAGAGAAGCCGTCGCAGTCTTCTGCATCAGACATCTTCTCGCAACCTACACAGTCCCTTAATGTCACGCCAAAGACGTCCATCTCCGCTGGCACCGGTACTTCGGCTTTCAATCTCACCGATGCGTCGCCCTTTGTCTCATATGATGGCTTCTACAATTGGAACAACATCAACGCAGACGACGCGTCGGCAACAGGCGCTGCTGCATCAGGCACGTTCAACTCACAGATCAACGACGATAGCATGAACAATTTCCCTCTCCCAACGAACAACTTCTCATGGCAACACATGCCCATGGATATCGATCAGGATTGGTCTTGGTTTTTGAACGATGCGCAAACGACGCAAGGGATGGGTACCGCCGGCGGTGCTCCAGCTCCCACTGTACCGCTTGACTTCAATGCGCAAGGTTTCCCTGGCTTTGGTTAAGCGAATTACATGAGGGCTGGCGTTTACTGGGATGCACGTACGTTTGCTATGAAAGACTAGCTGTGTGCGAGAAAAGTGTAGGGCAATGTAAGATATTAGAAGCATCTGGACGGGCGCGTCCATGAGATCAGTTGGGTCCAGGTGGTATGGTTATTCAAGGTGTTTTTGATATCCTGGCTACCTAGATGCCACTCCACTCTCGCTGACAGTGTGCGAGAGAATTGATTTTTTCTGTTTACAAAATGACTCGAGTCCATAAAGCTGTGCCTACAAAGTCCAGATGACAACCCTTCCGTCCACGCCAGTAGAACTGATCTTGGTGACACCGCTTCCACTCTCCTCAAAGCTACGGATAGTGTTGATGGTATTCTGGTGGACAGTCTTGAGCTTGGTGTCATCCGTGCCCGACTTGCCCTTGAGATCCATCTGCCTGAACATGTTCAGTGCGCTTTCCTCACGCTGGTCAGAAAGACCAGGTCGGCTCTTGGCCTCCAGGCTTCCAGCAAGCTTCCAGCCAGACTCGTCGCCCTGCAGACGATAGGCCTCGCAGTTGTATCCCGCAGCAATGATTTCAGCTTCAGAGGTCCAGACTAGGGACATGAAGGGCAGCACTTGAGTGCTGACACTAAGGATAGCACGGGGGGCCTCCTCAGGACCGCTAGGGTAGACGACGGTGAGGGTGCTGTCGTGGGATGCGAAAGCGAGGGCGTTACCCGACGGAGAGAAGGCAACGCTGTGGACCCAACCTGCAGTGTTGTTCAGGTACTCGCCGCACACGGTATTGAAGGGTAGACGCTCCCCCCATGCTGAGGGCTCTGGACGCTCGTCGACGCCCTTGACAAAGGAAGAGAGTACACGAGCATGTCCATCGGTCGATCCTGCAGCGAGCAAGACAGAGTTGGGGTGCCAGGATACACAGGTGATGGTGGAGCGGATGGGCTTCTTGATGTGCTTGGAGACCCACCAGTTGTCCTCCTCTTCGAAGTAGCAGACGGGGATCAGGCGAGCACCAGAACCGACTGCGAACTTGGTCTCGGAGGGAGCCCAGCGAACACAGGTAGCAGCGCGGTTGATGCGGAGAAGCACCAGTGTAGGCTTCCATCCCTGCGGTGACGGCTCCCAAACGTAGGCATTGCGATCTGTCCCATTGATTAGCTGCCTGTTGCAAGCCAGCCGATAGCTCCAAGCTTACCCTGCGAGCACGTCACAATCTTGCCAGAGTTGGGGGCAATGTCGACACCCGTGACTGTCTTGTCGTGGCCTGTCAGCTCATCCTTGAGCTTGTATCCGCTGCCCGTCTTCTGGAAGAGGTCGACGTTGTTCTCGCGGGCTACAGCGAGCGTCTGGCGGTCGGCGGAGAAGGAATGGTCCGCAATGGGGTGGTGGAAGAGGTGGTGGACTTCGGGGCCGGACATGGTGGAGGGGATGGTAGGCGTGCTGTAGGAGACTCTCTACTACTGCCAGTTGGTGTTTTGGGCTGTAAGCTTGTGGAGCTCTGGGAGACTTGGTGACGTGGGGCTGCTGGCCGCCGTGCTGCGGGTGTTTAGCGCCGTCTTGGCTTTCCCGAAAATCACGGCGACTGCAGCTTCGACATCAACGCGAATTGGGGGTTTTTGCTGCGCGACACGCAATTCCGCACACAGTATGTTGTATGCCAGTCCTTGATGTATGTATTGATGCTGAACATGTAGCAGCAGCCGCCATCATGATCCTCAGACGCCCTCTCCTCAATGCGACCTCCGCAGTGTCAGCATCCAAGACATGCGTGCGGAATCTCCAGCACTCAATCCCTATGCGCCCTGTCCCGAAGCCAATACCATTCATTCCCGACCATACCGCTTTTCTCAGCGCAATCGGTCGCGGCCTCTCCGCACACGCAACCAAGATACCGTCCTGGGAAGCCCTCTTCACACTCACATCACCGCAACTGAAGGAACTTGGTGTAGAGCCAGCACGCTCAAGACGCTACCTGTTACAGTGGCGAGAGAAGTACAGGAATGGTGAATATGGCATCGGAGGCGACTGCAAGCACGTTACAGATGGAGTGGCAGAACTCAAGGTTGTAGAAGCACCAGTACCGCCAAATCCACAACTCGGCAACACCATAAGTCCTCGCTCTGCGGCTGCAACAGCCACACATGACCCAGGAACGAGGAAACTGGTTGTCAATGTACCAGTCGGCGCCGAAGCGCCAGTCGAACCCGTTGAGACATTACCCAAGGTACAAGGCGTTATTGTAAAGGACGCCAAGACGATCAAGGGCAGCTTTGTGGAGCCAGTCAAGGGAAGTGGAGGTCTACGAGCACGGATACGACTGCAAGAGGGCATCTGGGAAGTAAGGAGGGGACACAAGGTCGATGGTGGAGAGAGAAGAAAGGCAGAAGTACGAGCCAAGAGAAGGGCGGCGGAAAACAAGGAGAAGCGGGGTTGATATGGTATGAGAATGTGAGCGAGTAAATACCGATTCTTGTACAATGAGTATTATTAAATGTGAAACTACATGTTCCATGTCAGAGGCCGTCGACGGCAGTTCAGGTACTCCATGACCTGTACAACCACGGCCCTGATAGTCCTAACTCACATCGTTCCATGATTTTATCCACTGCTCAAATAGGCTCACACCAGAACTTGATCAAGTGCTTGCTTCTCATTCGGAGTGCATACGTACCCTACTGGGAGCCGTGACTAAGAACAGAGAAGTTGTCAGACAATTTGACAAGGTGTCGAGAGAAAAGTAACGGGCTAGGATGATGTTGTCCAGGACGGCACCATCTCGTTGCAAGATACTCAAGGCAGTCTAGACTGAATTGAATTCATCTAGCAGGAAGACATTATCACACGCCGAAGTAACGCGGTGACACCACATCCTGCAAAACAGCTTGAGACAACAAAGCTCATAACAACGATCCTGCTTTCAAGTCAGCGAACTGATCCTCAACCTATAAAGACTATCGAAAATGCCCTGCAATAGCTCAGGGAGTAAGTTTTCGCACACCAAAACCACGTGTTCGGGTTATCTGCTGCGAAGTATCTGGGAAGGCGCACTCGTGGGAGATTAATCCATGAGGGACGTCGCATCATCTTTGCTAGTAAAAGGGCTTAGGGAACGTGTTCAACTATACTTACTAGCTTTTGGAATATACAGCAGTCATGTCTAGTCTTCACTGCCTACATGTATACATGTAATGTGAGCGAAGCTTCTCATGTACCTAGTTTATGAGACGCAAGCTTGGACTAACGAGCGTAGATGGAGCACCGTCAATTTTTGGATAGAGAAAGAAGTCGATTGTTGTCTCCCACGACCATCTGGTATGGAAAGGGGTACGTGTATACACGAAAAGACTTGTGGTTTGCGGGTGGATGTTGAGGTCGTGGTTGCCTATCCAGATATGTGACATCAAGCGGATACGACGCTAGTCCCAATCGCGAACAACGTTGTTCCTGTTCTTATCTCCCCCAAGACACAGCAAAGGGCTGAGCTGAGAAAGACAAGGACACCTAGACCCTTTAGCACGTCTCCGGAAATGGCTGCATACTATTGACTGCGCCCCTGCCGCACCGTTGTATACGAAGGCCAAAAAAACTAGCTCCCGTACTCCCTTTTCCACCTCAGCTGCGCCATGGCAAACGATAACGCCTCCCGTTCGTTGCCGTTGCCGTTGTCACTAAGACAGACTCACCCCACCATTAGGCCAATATGTCAGTGAGGGGTAAGTTGAGTTAGATATCCGGTTGCGTGTTTATATGAAAATAAACACATGGGAACTGGGCTTTGCTTGATGGTAATATATTCTCTACCTCATCTGCTCACCATTGGGCTTTCGCTTTCCTCCAAGATCTAAGAGTTACGTTGTATATACAAGATGGTTAGGAAATTGTTTGTATGGCGAACAGGCCTTTGATGCTGATAGCAAAACTCCATGTATGCAGAACGCAAGGAAATCGAGAACGCCATTGTATGCAAAGAAAGGGATTAACCAGTGATGTGTTCAGCTCAAAATCGCGCTGCATGAGTCTTCGTATATCATCGACCTTTTTCTGTCCTCTGTCTCTCTGTCCCGTCTCCTTTCCTTTCTGTTGATTATACCATTATTCCTTCAGCTGTACAATGCGATATTAATACTTTCTGATTGCTACTAGTGACCACTACAGCAACCAGCACTAGCGATGTTACACTACGAGCTCTTGCCCGCCTCGAAAACTTTGGTCATGAAGTCGTCGACATCAAGGTCAATCTTCTTTTCCCGCAGTATCTTCGCAACTTGCGCCGCGTCACCTTCCATACAGCTGCCTTCTAGTATACTAAGTATGGCGACTGCAGCCCGCGGAAGGTTCTTGTCGCCCTCGATCGTGTATATGTCCATGATGCGCGCAGCATGTTCGACACCCAGACGACCGCAGAACAAGGAGCCGAGTGTGTGGAAGAGGTAGTCTCTGGGTTCGACTCGCAGCGTCTCTAATCGTTGTGCCAAACTGGGTGCTTTCTTCGACAGAACGTGAAGGGTTGTGGAGTAGGCGGCATGTATGGCGTTTTGATCGTGGATGAGGAAAGACAGAGGTAAAGGACGGTTGAGCAGGTTGCACAGAGTGATGAAGGCTTGCGGCGCGCCTTGGTTCAACAGGAGCAATGCGGCGATGTGATGTATGTCGAACTTTGAGTGCGGGATGTCTGGGCGGTACATCGAGTAAGCTAGGCATACATCGACAAGGTCTCGATGTAGCGGTTGCTCGTCCTCTGCCTCCTGTGATGTCCGTGCGGAGAACATCTTGAGGACCGGGAACACGGCCTGGGTGCTTTCGACAATGTAGACATAACGGCCTCCGAGCGCTTCGTGACCATGCGTCTTGACTTCCTTGCGTGCTTTCTCCAAGGCAATGTTATACGTTGCTTCCGTGACCTCGAGATCATTTCCGATTGCCATCTGCCAAACCTGGCCTCGCAACCGTGGTGGGATTCCGTTCCACCACATCTTCCTGTGTGAGGCGCGAAGTTCTGGATTTGTCATCTCAGTGGCCCAATTTGGTAACAGTAAGCTCGACCAATACTCTGCCTTGATGCGAGAGGCCTTTTCACGAGCTATGGCCTCTTCTTGGGCGCGTTGAGCCTCGAGACGTTCTGCGACTGTTAGTCATGTGATTCTCTAGGTCTCAATTTGAAGGCATAAATGACTTACCAGCTTCCTCGATGCGAGCCAACATGCGCTGGTACTCCTTGAGGTGCTTCTTCTCTTCCTTGGGGTTCTTGGGAGGAAGCCATGAAGGTCGGGTCCGCGAGAGATACTTTTGCTTCTCAACCGATGGCTGAAAAGGATCGATCAGAGGATCGCTCTTGCGGACGGGTGGGAGTGCCGGCTTTTTGCTCTTGGGTTCTGGCTGACTTAAGGATGCTGATCGTGTAAGACCGGGCTGTTGTCTCGAAATTTCTTGCTTTCGCTCCTTCTCAGATTGGAATTCTTCCAGTTTTCCGGTGAGAAACTTGGCATCTGTGTCTAGTGCTGTGTACGTCTCTACCCACGTGTTCTGCTGTGTCGCCGACTGCGGAGATACGCCTCTACTGGAAACGTTTGGGGAAGGAGTCCTCTGGGAAACGCGCGATACAGAAGGCGCAGGAGAAGTCCTGGACGACCTTGAAGACGAGGACACCAAGGCATCAGGGTTGGGTGACGCCAAAGGCGGGCTCTCGCCAACCCAGGACTCGGGCGACCGATCCATGGTGGGACGTGGCGAGATGGGGATATTCCAAATGACAGCATCCTCGGGAAGCTCATCGTCTTCATCGTCGCACTCAGCCTCCCTTTCCTTTACAGTTTTTCTTTTTGAGTCCTGCCACGACGCCCTCCTCGAGCCCAAACCGGGCGACGGCAAAACCTCGTTCCGAGAGCTTTTGCGAGACAGGGTGCGCGGGGCTGAAGCAGATTTGTGCGTGTTGGATGGGGATGGTGATCGGGAGGAGCGTTGAGGGGCGGCGAGGCTCAGGCTCGAGAGGGATGGGACAGAGGGCGAAGTGAAGCCTCTCCTGGCCTGTTGCTTGCCTGGGGCGGAGAGCTGGGCCTGTTGTCGCACGGCATGGTTGACGGGGCCCTTCAAGCTCGGGTACTTTGGCTTGGTTGCGCCGGTCAGGTCGCGGAAGGAGTGGGCCGAGTGGGAATGCGGGAGGCTCCTGTTGGAAAGCGAGGCTCGCGGGGCTTCAAAGAGGATGCGATTAGACGGGCTCGCAGGCATGGGGAAGGAGGAGGGCCCACCTGATGCTTCGTCCAGGTTGATGTCCTCAAAGTGCGACAGGTTCTCCGTCGTGCCCATGAAGTCTAGGAGGGTGGACGAGTGGATGCTGGACGACTTGGACGACTTTGAGTTTGTGAGGTCCGGCGGGCTGCCAGGCGGAGCGCCAAACGTTTGCTGGGCATCTTGGGCGTAGGTGAGGGTGGCCATGAGCGGTCGGGGCGGTCTTCGCTGGGTGGAGAGGCGTAGTGGTATGCCAATGCGGTGAGGAAGTCGCTGTTGGGTTGCGCAGCTATCGTCGCGCTCGCAAGGGGCTTTGATCAAGGCAGGCACATAGCTTTGCCCGGAAATAATATACAGCGACTTGTCCTGCGAGATGTAGTGCACGTCGGCGTCGGAAAAGTCGTCGTCTCCAGCTTCGTAGACAGGAGGCAGTCGCTGTTGATGTTGCACCGCCGGCATCTTCGTCGATTTGGCGACGCAATTTGCGGAACTTGCGCTAACCCCTGATGTCGGGGGACAGGGATGGACTCCAATGGTGGGCCTCGCAGTGCTCTGGACCCGTCAGCGGCGCAGAGTGCCTTGGACGAGTTTAATTGCAAGCAGCGGACGAGTCTATGTTGGGAATGGGAACTGGCATGGGGACAAAGGGTGAGAATCTCTGGCGATATGCCAGATGTTGCTTGAAACCACAAAAACGAATACGGGGAGGACTGAGGCAAGTATGCTTCCCCAGCCGGCCCTTGTTCAATGCACCTAGCAACGCGTTTTACGAAGCTGTCCAGCTGTTGGAAGCCTGCATAGTTGACCCCGGCTTGATTGGGATGGGGGTTGGTGTCCCAGCCGTCGCATCTACGCTTGACATCACGATACCACTTCTTGCCGGCCAATCATCTGCTGGGCTCCATGCTTATCAGGCCCAAGTAACGACCCGTCTCTACACTACCGTGCTTTGCTTCAATAGCATAGCGTTCCAACATGCAAGAAAAGACGAATAACGACATCATCCTCTCTGCAGTCCATCCGTCACTCCCGAAGCTGCTGCAGCCAAGGCCCAAGGCTTGCAGTCGCGCCCACATGCCGCCGCTAAACGTGGGCGCTGCGTGGGCCCCCGGCACAGATCCTTAGGTTGCTTCTTCCCGAGTTCCTGATCCGTCACCTCTCCCAACATCGTCTTGAAAGCCTATCCTGCAACTTCTTTCTTCACTCCACTGGATTAGTGCATTAAGCTTTCAATGCCAAGTAATTGCCTCCTCCAGCATCTGTCTCTCTGCCATGTCAGAAATGCAACAAGCCGACAGAGACCCTTTCAGCCAGGCTAGTAGCGCGCGGTGCTGTGTCTGCCTGCGCTGAAACACCGTCTGAAAAGCTTTACAAGCCAGCCTATCCCTCTAAATTAGCCCTCGTTGGAAACAGGTAAATACGAGCCCCGCCATGTCATCCTCCAAACCGTGGAGTCGATCTAGCCAAATCGCAGATCGTGCATCCACCCGCATAACTTGTACGACATGGAAGCTTAGCCACACTTACCACTGAAGCTGCCGTCGCGAAATGACGCCCTGCGCAATCTCTGCCTCTCTGCTGCCGCGCCATCGCGAACGGCGCTGTAGCATCACATAGGCTAGCGCAATCATATTATCTACCGTCTCTGCAGTTCCCTTGTCAGCAATTTCCCTCGCTAGCGTAACCGAGCGCAATCACGATCGTCCGTGGCGCAAACTGTGCTCGCTTTTGTGTTATCTGACCATCATCCATTCCACGCGCTGCCTCTTACTGGGCAGCCCTGCATGCGCATCTTGATGGATTTGGACTTCAACACTTCAAATAGGAAAGTTTAGACGTACTGATAAGCAGATTCGAACACGTCGTCCGCACTTTGGATAATGCGCGTGCGTACTCGAGGCACCTCACCGCCGCTTCAACAAAGCTTTGATGCAGGTTCGCTAGTACCGTTGCCACGCTGTTCAACGATTGATCGATCAACATAGCTTTAAGCTGGATTTTAAAAGCGCTATCAAATATCAGCAAAATATTGGACTTTTATTTCCCGTCCCTAGCCTGATTGGCCGGACCTGTATACCGGGTATTGACTTACTTGAGAGCTTTGCGATGGAACGTTTGGCCGGGCATTTTGGTCAGATCTACAGTCAAAGAGTCCTCAACACCTGGACTAATTAGCCCTTGACGGTCATCAATCAAAAATATACATCCAATGCGACGTACCGGTCTTTGTAGGGCGCTCTGTCTTCTTGCTGATCTCCAACGTCGTTGTATCAATGCAGACGCCGCAATACGGGAATTTGCCATCTGAGCCGCTTGTTGATATCCGGGTCCCCTCCTCTGTCATCACGTCAAAGTTCGCCAATGACTTTGAAGGCTTGATTACTACGCCGTATTCTGGATGGTCATTGTGCATGACACGTACGAAGCGCCGCGCGTACTCTTCGTTGATACTGATCAGAAGAAAGTCATCAAGCAGACGAAGTAGCAAAGAGTCGTCATCAAGTGCGAATCCGAGGACATCGCGTTCTAGCTGAGCATAGAAGAAGTTGCACAGGATGCTCGACAGAACAGACCCTTGGGGTATGCCCGTCTTCTGGCGATAGAAGCGCTTCCCGATCTTGACAACATTTCTCTCTATGTGCTCCTGCAGGAGCTGCATCAAATCATCTTTAGTCTCATGCCGTTGTAAGTCGGTGTTGACAAAGATAGTGTTGGCCTTTTTGCCTGCCAGCCTATCTTGCACCAGTTGATTGAAAGGGGTTATATCCGTTGCTGCATCAGTGTGCGGAATGTACTTTTTCAGTGGCATTGGATCCACATGTTTACCATCAAGGCGTTGTAGAGGGGGAAGAGGAGATATCTCCACATGTTTGCCCGTCTTGTAAGCTTGGATCGACATGAGACTGTCGATCATACGCAGTAAGCGTGACTGCGGTATGGTATCGAAGCAAGCCTGCACGTCAACTTTGGCAAAATAAAGCCGAGTGTCGCCAAGTCCCCGTTGTCGCAATGAAGCCTTAAAAGATGCAAGCCTGGGAAACATATCCCCGACAGAGAACAGTGAGCAGCCAAATTGTTCGGGCCGTAGTGACTACATCTGGTTAGCGCCGACAATGTCGTCAACTTTAGCAATATACTGACCTTCTCATAAGTGATCGCATTGAAAGCCGGTGTCATCACCGCGTTTATACTTCGACCAAGCATCGTAGTCCCATACCGCATTACTTGCTGTCTTCTCTTCAGGTTCATGATAGTCCGGAAGCCTTGCCTCTTAGGAAGAAGACGAATGTTACTGAAGCCGAGCTGACGTGCAGATAGCAGTCTTTCCGTGCTTTCCGTTGGCATTTCTTCAAACATGTTCGTACGCAGCTCCAACAGAGCAGGCTCTGCCAATAGTCGCCAGACATCATGGCGGAAGTAGAAAAGCCTGTTCCGGTGTGCGTTGGATTCGGTTACATGGAAGTTCGTGCGAACCAGAGGGATGAGGAAAGAGTCAAAGAGCCAGTAGACGAACTCAAGAAACATCTCTGTGCGTTTGCTCATGTCGGAATTGGAAATTTTTGTGTCGTCGTTGTGGCCGGGTGGGCGCAGCCAGGCTATTTTCGTGATCTGGGATCCGTCAGCACAATTCAATATTCAGGTAGAAGAGTACAGACCTGTATGTTCTGTGTGACCTGATGCAAATTGACCGACTCAAATCTTCGAAGCTCTATGAACTGGTCTACCCAATACATGAGATTGCTTTTGTTGTGTTCGTTACCCCAGAAGCCTTCGGGTATGACCTTAGAGATGACTGCACGACAAAAAGCTGAGACGTGTGCCGCTGGACACGCAAGATCTGTGAAACATGTTTGCTGAACGGTGCGAGTTTCGGACGTATACTGACTCTTCTTTTCACAATTAGTTGTCTTTACGACCGGCTGAATAACGCTCTTCCTCCATTCTGGCTTCGTTGACAAAGGCATCCCCTGCCTGAGTTAGCATGATTTCTCAAAACACAGATCAGTCAGTACGTACCTCGATTGGAGCGTAATGACGAAGCATTTCCATGTACGAACACCGCTGGTTCCGCACTCGAAGTTTCTCAACCAACCTGACAGCGTCACCTCGGAGCCTCTTGGGCGTTCGCTGTTTCCATTTGACTATCTTCTCAGCATTGGTAGCTTCGCTACCCAACTCCCGGCACATTCTACTGTATATGTCTTTCTCGCGCAGTGTGTAGTCCATGAACGGCATGGCGGTCTCACGCGGATCTACCTTGGAGGTGAAGACATTGTGCAAGCCGAATTGACGGGGAAAGATATACCGCATGATGTGTATCGTCTGTTGCTTATCTTCCCGGCTAGGAAAACGATTGAGAACATCTACCAGCCAAGTCAGGTAATTGAAGCATCCGAAGGATAGTAGAGAACGCACGAATGTGGCGCATGCCAAACCTTACACCACCTTTGGCATTCAGGGCCGCTTTCGCATATAACATGCGACTCCGCACAAACGTGATTGTACCTGCTGTTTTACATTCGCTCTTGACACGTGAGGGATTATTGACGGCTTCGTAACCCACATCGACTCTTACGGTGTTGCTCTTCTGAAATCCATCCGATTTTATCTCAGAAATGGGCATTCCGGACAATTGGTAGTAGTTGCCCATATCTGCATTAAGAGGAATGAAGATAGAGGACTCCAGAAGCATGTCTATGATGATGCGATCGCCGCCCTGACCGAGTAATGCGTGCAATCGACACCATACTGGCTCTTTCAAAGTCTGCCTGTAGCTGTTGGGTTGACGCTCTTGCAGATTAGGAATTGAAGAACTCGGATTCCCATTATTACCCTGTTCACGGCGGGTGGTTCCAGTTCTTTGAAATCCATGACAGAGCAGGTGCGTTGGCTTGTGAGCTGTTGAGCGTTTGAATAAGCGCCATATCACGAAATCGACAATCTGTATTCACTCAGTAGTCATTCCATAAGCGCAATCCTGGAAGCATGTGATACATGCCACGACCTACCTCAGATTGCATATAGTATCCAGGATTGAAGGTGCTGCCAGGAGTACTCTGTGAGCGCTGTTGGGTAAATGCTCTGATGTCCTTTTCCCGCTCTTCTTTGAAACACGTATGAGCACCTGTGTCTGCGTTCACACTGGAAGTGCACACTAATGTTGAATCGAGCAACTGTACTACGGCGGTATCGAGATGATTCTGACTTATGCCCTGGGCGGATGTTGTACGTCCAAGCTGCGAGATCTTTCGCTGTCTATTTTTCGATGTGCTTGGTAGTTTAGATAGCAAATATTGGCGCAGGGTAAGCACCTCTGGATAGAGACGTTGTAGGACTGGATGAGTAGCGTTGGTGAAGGATCGGTCCACATCGCGTCTTGCTTTCTTGCAGGTTTCTCCACCGCTTTGAGCACTGCCTTTCCTCTTCATACTGAACTATGCGCATGTATTGCATGTCCGATCGCGTTGTTGGTGTTCGTGGCCCGAGGGTGGTGTTTGTGAGGTGTGGGATTGGGTTAGCCCTGACGCGACAGCACGCGCCATCGCGTGACTTGGACTGGCAGTTACAAAACCCCTCTTGCATGCTATCACTGTGCAACCCGTTGTTTCACGCTGACTCCAAGTAAGGAGTCTTTACAGCGACATTTAACCCAGCAACGAGACATACTCTGAAGCAGCACGGAATATATTGTTTTGGAGCTATGGTTTTATCTATACGCAGGCCTGAGAACCTCCCAGTCACCACCCATGCTACGCATATCTTCCGGCTCATCATCCATCAAGCTCCTGCCTCCTCGACCACCACTCCTAGTGCTTCCACCGGTACCGGTGCGTGGTGGCAAGGCTGGTTTCTCGAAATCATCATCGATAAGATTTTGTACCGGTTTCCTCGTTAAATTAGGTGGCGGCGCCATTGACCGTCTGGCTGTTGGTTGTAGGTGTGCTCTGGATTCTTCCGGAGGGTCGTCGCGATATCGTTGTGGAGGAGGTGCGTATGACGGCCCCGGCGAGGGACTCTTGGAGAGAAGTGAAGGTTTCTTGTTAGGAACTGGGGGTGGGGCTGGTTTCCGGAGGACTTGTGGTTTGTTTGAGGATTGAGCTGAGGGAAGCGTGTTTGATGCGCGGTACGGTAAGCTGGGCATGGAGTGTGTGGAAGCGTTTGATCCGCTGCGTCGAAGATCGCTGAGCGAGTCTCGCGCACCGTCTGAGCCAAGTATTTGATTGGCATGGCCTGGGTACAACGGCGCAATCATCTTGCGGGCTGCTGGCTTCTGCGTTGGCGGTAAACTTGTCGAGGGACCGTCAAAATCAACTGTGCGTGATCTTTGTGAGCCGCGTGCTGGTGGTGGCTCAGGTCTGCGACTGTTCGGCATGTGCTTGACATCTACCCATTCTGGTTCTGGGCTAGGAGTGAATGGGTTGCTCGGTCGGTTTGGATTTGGGAAGTGATTGTTAGATGGCGGTTCCACGCGTGCCTTCGCCGGTAAACCTATGGAAAATGAGCATCCAAGCTATAGCAGGAATTAAGATAGAAATACCGTTGTCAAGCCACCACTTCCTCCGGTCTGAGCTTGCAGGTGGTAGCCCTGGTTCAATACTATCATACCCTAAGAGATCTTCGTCGTCCGTTTCATCTTCGCCTAGACGTCCTGCTGCATGAGTATCGCCCACAACTTCTCTTCTTTGTCGATACAATGCCGCCTTCACAGCATCCTTCTTCTTTTCGTCGATTCGCTGTACCAATAACTGAAAGGTCGCGTAGACTGGACGGTGGTCGGAGAAACGAAGTGGGGCATCGTTGTAATGTATCTGCCGAATATTGTCACCCTTGCGAAGCACACGGTCGCACCAGGCGGGAATGCGTGCTTTCTCGGACGTATCGTATTGATTACTGTTAAGATCATACTTGTACGTTGGCGGGAAAGTTATGCGAGCCTCAGAATAATATGGGAAGGTTAAGCCGGCGACCATCTGGAGATTGAGCTGCAGGACGTTAGCTATGATTCTGGCGAGCAAAGCGTGAGTGCCTACCTGATCGTTGTCATACAGGGTCTCAAGATCACCGACATGACATAACCTTTGAACTTTTTCATTGCTCAGACCAATTCGGTAATTGAAATCGCCAAGCCATATCACAGTATCGTGGTCTTCGATTGATCGATTTCTCTGGAAGCGTAGACCATGGCTGATAGTCTTGTAATCACGATTACGCTCTTCGTAGTTGGCAAACCCAGCCGCAAGATGTGCTGTAACCAGACAGACCGAAGTGTTGGCGTACTCAAATCGAATAGCTACGGCTCCTTTGTTGCCAGCCATACCTGACATGCCAGTCTGGGATGCCAATTAGCCCAATACGTGGAAGAGCGAAACATGCTGACATACCTTCTTGAGAGCGCCCTCAACATTCTTGATATGCTTTAGGCAGTCTGACCGGACAAAGACCGACAAACTCGCACCTACTAGCTGACCACCTCTGAGGATGACATATTCATCTTTTCTATGCTTCTCAGCGTTGTTGTTCAAACATGCCCTAACGGCTTCCTCCCAAGCTTCGCGTCTATCTGGGTCCGTCGACATGATTTGCTGAGGGCTCAGTTCAACAATCTCTTGAAACCCTACAGCTACTATCTCGGGGCACTGCTGTGACGGATCGACGTCTGGGCATAGCCATGGCGAAAGATCGCTTTTAATACCACTTGTCTTTCCGTTTAAGTTGAATGTACCGACAAGGATGTTGATCATCTCGGTCTCCGAATACTCTGCGGACCGTCGCGCCAGCTCCGCAACCACGAAGTCGTTGAGGGGATCGTACAGATGCACTGGAACCTGGCCAATCAGTCTACCAAGTAACATATCGATCGTGTTCTGTCGCCCTTTGTCCGCGAAGTTGTTAATGTACATTCGAGTGGCGCTCTTACGAGCGTCTGCCAGAGCACCAGCAAGCGACATCTTTCCCGATCGCGTAAACGAGGACTTCAACGCTCCTGTACCTGCATAGATTTTCGAAAGAGCGTCACCACAGTCTGCCCACATACTTGAATGTCTGACCCAGAAGTCCTGGCTAGCTCGAAGGCCCTTGTGACTTAAGAAGATCTCCAACGCCATCTTGCTAATAATGGTTTGGACAAGATTCGTCCGGTCGAGGCAATCCAGGCAGTTTGTTCTGAAGACACCCTCCTGTTGTAATATGCTCATTGTCCGGCGGACAGCGTAGTTTTCTCCATTGTGTCTTGTGACTTCATCCACCTCTTCCGAGAGATAATATCCAAATCCTTCGGCAGAATCTTGGATCCATTGAGCGATCATACTAGCCATCTCATAGCCACCTGGTCCCCGTGTTTCAGCATGGAAATCGTATTCCGTGAGCTTGATGAGATCGTGCTGTTGGTCATTGATGTCGCTTCCTTGATTCAAAGGGCTGTTTCTGATGTGGCCGCGATATCTGTGCGTCAACTCTAGTTCGTTCTGCTTTTCGTTGCTCAGAAGATTGACGACATGAACTGTGCCATAGCTGAGCTCTAGATTGTCGAAGTGCTTGTCAAAGGCCGGCTGCGTGGCTTCCGGCGATCGAGTGATGGTGATCTTCTGCTGCCCTGGAAGCAAACCAGCCTGCTGTTCCCAGAATATGGGTACACTTCCTCGCACCTGCACGTAGGAGAAGCAGGCCCCGGACGGCGCCCAATAGATTGTTTCGCTTTCAACAAAGTTTGCGACGTTCCCGTCATCGTCGATACCTCGCGAATTGAACCTCGTTCCTGCCCTCTTGCACGACAATCTGGAGATCAGTGTCATGGAAGACGGCATGCCCGAGTCTTGTACCCTAATGGGAGCAGAGGATTTGGGGATGGTAATTGTAAGGGCGAAACCCCGGATCGCAGATGTCAGGATCCCCGAAGCATCCAGAGCCTCCTTCTCCTTGGGCGCAAGGCGACTTCTGAAGTCGACCAGCGGCTGGATCATGTATGAATTCCACAGAAAGCCAGCGTCTAGACTATCGATGGAAACGGTCGCGGCGTCGGTTGTACGGTCTTGCAATCGTCGGGTGAGGTCGAAGTCTGAGCTGTAGTAGAAGGTTCCGCTGCTGAGTATCTTCTTGAGCGCCAGACACGGGTGTTCCATGGGCGACTGCTCTTTCCTGCCGCCGAAGCCCATTTCGTATCCTTCGTCGTCGATGGTGTCGGTAGGGTAGGGATTGACTTCGTCGTTGAGCAGGGTATCGTAGCTCGTGCTGGTCAAGCAGTAGAAGCCGACCGAGTATATCCTCTGCACCGTCTCGCCAGGCCGTACCGTGGCCACCTTGCTCGCGCCATTGACGACGACCAGGAAAACGTCGCTGTTTACAGTGATCAGGCCCAATGTGCCGTGTACTTGGACTGAGTGTAGCGCCCGGTAATCGTCTAGGTCGATCTCCTCCAGCCGAGTGAATTCGACCATGCAGCGCGCGGCGGCGGCGCCATTGCTCCCCAGCGACGTCGACGAGGCATTGATGTTGCTACTCTGTTCGGTGGTGGATGTGCTGTGTCGGAGGACGAGTGCATGGGTCGAGGTAGCGAGGGCGATTGCGCGGTGTGGGTAGTCTTTGATTAGGACGCGGATAGACATGGTCGGCGGTAGAGAGCGGCGGAAGAGAGTTGCACGGGTGTTCCGATCATGTCCCGGGGTTTGCCATGGGCTAGAGCAGTCAAAGCGTTTGCGCGAGGTATGGCGGGCGCGGTATGTAAGCACGTGTGTGCCTTGATGGTTGTTCTCAGCTTGCAGAATAATGCTGGCCTGGATCAATGCTGATCACAACCCAGCATGTGAACCACTCGACTGGTGCCCGACCCTGCACAAGGCTTCCCTGACCACCGCTTACACCGGCAGCCGGAACTCGTCCTTTGGGCTGCTAAACATGTGGACCTTGTTCTCGACATCTCGGCAAGTGCGGCGCGGACGTGTACGCTGTTGCTCAACATCACGAATGACCTCATAGCCACCGAGCATTTGGCCAGCGGAATGCGAAATGCTAAATTAAATATGGAAATGAAAAAACTATAGGCGACCACACCACAGCTATTGACGGATGCTAAAAATCCTTCGAGATTAAATTGAGGACACGAGACGAACCGTACGCTATCAGAATAACAGTCCCTGCAAACATGACACATTTCTCTACTCGTATGCAGACGGTCACCGCCTGCTGTACGCAACCCTGGTATTAGTCTCTTCGTAGCCGCCACGGCTGCGACTGCGTTGTCTGCTCCTGTCCCGCCTTTGGTATCTCTCGTAGTGATCGCTCTCGCTCGATGCAGGCTCCACATATCTGTAGTGCTCGTAGCGAGGGTTCTCCGGACTGTAGTTGCGCTCGCGTTCGCGCCTAACCTCACGCTCAGTGTACACATACTCGCTGCGGCCAGGGCTAGAGGAGCGAGAGCTCATGCTGGATCGTGGAGAAACTTCGACATAGTGTGCGCCGCCGTGGTGAGAATGGGCCTGGGTATGGTGAGACGAGATGTGGCTAGGCGGTGGAGGTGGAGCCGGCATGGGCGCCGGGGGTGGTGGAGGCTGCACAAACATAGGCACAGGCTGTGGTGCGGGGATCTGGAGAGGCTTGGGTGAGGGCACCGCAACGTAGGATGCTGAAGGCCTAGGAGAAGAGTCGTGCACTATTTCGGTGCGCGAATAACGGCGCTCAATGTCGCGCGATTGACGTGAGGCGCGGCGACGGGGCGGAGAGCGGTTCCGCTGGACGACGCGGTACGGGACTACATGGTCCTCTTCCTGCTTGACTTTGACGAGACACATGGCGCCTTCACTCCCGGTATGAGACGCGGTAATGGCGAAGCCTCAAAAAGTGGGAAGCTTCGATTGCGATCGCGATGTGATTCGTGGGACGATCAACGTGGGGTTGGATCGAGGGCGGGACGAAGCGCACCACGAGGGAGTGCAAGAGGCTTCGCAACCGCAAGAGGGGCAAGAGCGAAGAGTAGATGGGCGGAAAGTGAGCGGCACCCAAGGAAGCCAACAGAGCGCATGTATATATTCCAGAGATCGGGCAGCCGATGCCCAGCCACACAGCTGACCCCCATGTCGATTCTATGCTGCTCCGCCTTGGAACTCAACATGCGAGTGTGACGATGGGGTCTGGGCTTTTCTGACAGCTGAGTACTAGCGTGCCGGTACCCTGGTTAGCCTCAGGTACGAGCCGCCATTGTCAACAAGCAGAGTAGCGTGAACAAACATCAGATTTCAATTGCCGTCTGCACTCGTAGTTATCATGCTGCATTCCACATACCACCATTAGGCATGCCGTCAAATCATTGGTCCCAGACTATGTATACAGCGTTCAAATACGCTATTCACTCCTCCACAGGTGCAGTACGACTGCCCGTCCTGCTACTCTCTTTCAGGGTCAGCCCTTGGCCAATTTCCCAGTACGTTACTTTCCAGTATACATGGGACTCTCTGGGCGGGGCGGGCGGTGTAGGCTGCCTTCTTTCACTTCCCGAAGGAAAATGCTTGCTGAAGTCTGAACCATGTCTACCACTAATCATCCATGGGCTTGTCTTCCAGCGTAACACCTCGTGGTGCTGCAGGTGTGTCTTCTAGCGTAACGCCTCTTGGTGCCGTGTCATCACTCCTCAAGCTACCGGTAGAGTCCCGGTTGCCCCTTGTCAAGCTGCCTGCATGCTTCCGTGGGAAAGGCACTCGCGTGCTTGATGGCGCTGGGTGCTCAACAGGGGCAGTAGCGGGAGCAGGAGCAGCCTCTGTTGTACCGTTCGTAGTTACAGGAGTTGTCTCGTGGGTGGGGCTATCATCACTTCCGGGTACTTCAAGCGAACCACGGTTTGTTCCGTTACTCCTCCGAGTCTCGGTGGGCGAGGATGTGTTCACCGGGAATCGAGTTTGACTTCTGTCACGGCGATGCGACCCAGAGATGCGTGAGCCAGGTGCTGGCGATGTTGCCCGTGGAGAACGCTGAGCCGCAATGGCACGCTGGCGCTCCTCCATGTTTGCTCGTCGGTTACTCTCATCTGTGGATATCGCGCGTGGACGCTGTGCGCCTGAAGATGAGTGAGTGAGCGTGCTTGCGCGCTTCAACTCCCCGAAAATCGCATCCTTGTGTGCGAAAAGGTCGCGGACGAGACGGTAGCTATAGCGCTCGTTCATTGTCAAACTCGATTCTTGCCTTGGCCTTAGAATGCATGGCGCAAGTGCATTGGCCAATGCTGCAACATAAGTCTCATCGGCAGAAGTCAGCTCAATGAGACGAGTGAAATGGGTACAGATGGCATCGAGCGTTGCGATGTTCGCGAGACGTAATTGGCCAAGAGTAGATTGAAGAACAGAGACCCGAGTCTCTTCGGACACATCTGTGGCAGTAGTGCTGTAGATAGTCTTGACGATCTCGTAAACGTGAGAAGAAACCAGTGAGTCTGATATGGTTAGCTAGCGAGTCAACAATTGAGGTTTGATACATACCAGGAAGTTCCAGAAGATAAAGCTTAAGGACACTAGCGACGATCGGTACATCATACTTCTCAAGCAGTTCGTCAGGGAATCTCTTGCCGGTGTTAATTTCAGCCCGGAGGTTGTGGGTCTGCGACAGAGGAACGTCAACAAGCCAGATGCCACGGCGGGCTTCGTCGCCTTCCAAGTCGGGATAATGGTTGTCCAGGAATGTGAGGACTGTTGTGATGAGCACCGGAACACGCTTCTTGTCTGAACGAGCCCGAGCCTCCAAGTCTACACCGAACGTTTGCTCGTCTACCGAGTTGTAGTAGTTCTCATAGGTCGTGACTCTAGGCACGAATGGTCCAGTCCTGTAGTTCTCGAGCATGTATCGGAGGTCGCCCAGGGGCTGGACTGTCTCCTGGAACAGCATCATCTTATCGACGGTGCTCTGAAGACTAGGAATGACGTTGCTAACGGCGCCGGAGAAATCCAAGATGACCGCCTTGATAGCCTTCAGCCTGTCTAGTTCACAACGTTCCATGAATTTGAGGTGATCAACCATAGCCTCTTCCAGGTTGCAGCGCAGCGAGTCAAGCTTCTTGACGGAGGCCTTGTATCGCTCGTCAGACTCGTGAGCTTCCCGTCGAAGCCTCTCTGCCGGTGTCTCGTTCGGGTACTGGTTGTTGAGTGGGTTCCATCCCTGGAGATACTCCTGAACAGTCGAGACGGGCGAGTCAACGGCGATGCTGTCGGCCGATGAAGTTGACATGGCGGTGGAAGAACGTGCCAGGGGCTGCTTCTTTTCAGGCAGTCCGGTAACCTGGAACGTCTTGGGCTTCCACTGGTAGTTCATTCGGGAGCTGTTTGCGAAAGTGTTGCCAACATTGCCGACCAAGCGCAGGAAGCCATGTGCTACGAGATCCTGACCAATGCGCTCCGCATAGCTCACGGTGGTTGCTGCCATGTGCTTTTGGATGTACTCAGTGATATCGGCACCGCTTGAGCAGTTCTGGTAGGTACCAAGGATGGGAACCTTGACCTCTGCGATCTTGATGTTGTCCAGCATGTGGGTGAGGATCTTCTTGACCTGGTCTGGCTGGTAGGTCTCGTCGCCAAGGTCGATAGGCTCTTCTTCCTCGTTCTCTGGCTCGGACATCTTGATGGTGGGCACCTTCATCTTGGGGCTCTGTGCGGCCTCGCTCTGGGGGTCCTGGAATGCCAGCTTGTCCTCCTCTTCCAAGTCCTCGACGAGCCGGCACTTGTTGTAATATTGCGATCGGTACTTGCGGACAGCATCGGCTTGTCGGTCGTGGATCTTGATGCGCGATTGAAGATCATCCTGGGAGTTTTGCACGCGGGCGGCATGCGCCTCGCACCAGCGGCCGAAGGGGTTGACTACTAGCTCTCGAATGTTGGATGCGATCTTCTTGTGGTTTGCGGCCGCTGCCTCCATCTCAGTGCGCACACCTTCGTAGGCCTGTTACCAGTTAGCGTGGAGCGGTGGCCGTGTCTCGTGGGGACGCACCTTGCGCACGCTTGCGCCCTCATCTCTGCTGAAGCCCCCGCCTATGCGATCGGTGGCTGGTGTAATTGCGGACAGACTGCTTCCATAGGCCTCCTCGGCATCAGCTCGCATGCGGGCCACAGTCAGAATCTGCTGGTTTTCCTGGACTCCCTGCTGCAGCTTCCCAAAAAGAACGCCCAGGCCTGGGAGAGTCAGCCAAAGTGGGGTGGTGTTGTGTGCGGCTGCAGCTCTTACCTCCGGCATAGTCGCTCGACCAGAAGGACGCCGCGAATCCGGTCGTCATGGTGCCGTGTGTTTGCAGAGTCGCCCAAGGAGCGGCGAATGTGGGGTATCAAAAAGAAACAACGAAGTTGGGTACGGGTATGGTCGTTCAACGGCCGTAGTGAGCGCGCGGAGAAGATAAGTCTGGGGAACACGCAAGCGCAGGCCCAGTGACAGACGGAGCGGCCTGTGTGACGTCGCACCAGCGAAGAGGGGACTCGGGGTGACTCGACGGTGCAGGTGGCGTCTGGGGAATTGGAGATAAGTCGAGTAGGGCGAGACTGAGGCACGTCAGGAGGGTGTTGCAGACCGCAGCTGGGTCAGAACTGGCAGAGCTGAATGATGTCTCATGTACCCCTGCATGTGGCCGTTTGTCGTGACAGCCCTGGCACCTTTAGGCAAGCCTACCAATCTTGCGAGCTTCCGACATTTCGCCTTTAGCGGTCGATATAAATACCAACGCAATTCACCGACCCCCAAGCGCGGCCCCTGCATACGAAGTAGACTAGAGCTAGAGCCACGCGCCTGCTACCGTCTACTGTATGCATCATCGCCGTGCTAATGCTGTCGCGCCGCCAAAGTGACAAGACCACCGACTGCACTCCCCATTACATACACAGGCAGAACGCTGCGGAGCGCCGTCATCACTGCCCGACCGCCCCTGCACGTGCTCGTAGCCCTGGTTTCCCAAAGTTTCGGGTGCAGGTGCATTCAGGAGACACTCCAAAGTCTGTTCGGCGTGGAGCCTGCCTCTGCTAACCATTCATCCGTCTTACTGTACGCATACGTCGCCTTGGCCCTCCAGGTCAGCCCCGCCATCAAAATCCAAGCTTCGCAGGGGAACCGAGATCTCGCTCGGTAAACGCTCCCGGGTCCACGCAGCACGCTTCCCTTTCCATCATGGCTCCAGCTGCGTTTGATGCCAACACACAACTCAACTATGCTCGTCACATCAAGTACTGGCGGCGCAACTTGAAGACGCTGCTGCCGCACTTCTACACCAGCAATGACTCCAACCGCATGCTTTTGGCCCTTTTCACTGTGTCTGCCCTCGACATTTTGGGAGATTTAGACGCCGCTTTGTCAGCTGAGGAGCGGCAAGGCCACATTGATTGGGTCTACAGTTGCCAGCTGCCTGAAGGAGGATTCCGCCCATGGCCAGGCTCCAACTACGGCCCTCTCAGAAATGAAGAGAACAAAAACTGGGATCCTGCCCACATCCCTGGAACTTTCTTTGCCCTCCTCACGCTGGTCGTGCTGGGCGACGATCTGGAGAAAGTGAAGAGAAAGGAGATCCTGACATGGCTGGTCAAGATGCAACGACCAGAAGGCAGCTTTGGAGAGACTCTAGGCGATGGCGACTTTGTTCATGGCGGAAACGACTCTAGGTTCGGCTACATGGCAACAGCCATCCGGTGGATACTTCGAGGCGACTTAGAGGGTCCTTGCGAAGGTGTACCGGACATCGATGTTGACAAGTTTGTCAACTGTGTTCGACAAGCAGAGTGCTACGACGGAGGTATATCAGAAGCACCCTTCCATGAGGCACACGCTGGCTTCACCTGCTGCGCCATCGCTGCTTTGCATTTCGTGGGTCGTCTGCCTTTACCACCATCCCAAAAACCGGACGGTCTCATCCGTGGAGTGACCGACGTCCCTAAAACCCTGCACTGGCTCGTCTCACGGCAGACTTTGACGCTAGACGAGGACGATGGTTTAGATACTTTGAACGACGAGACAGATACATCAGAAACGTGTCATGACGCGCATACTTTTGTCAAGTTGAGCTCCCGCCCGTCTGCACAAGCAAAATCAAATCTGAAAGGACGACCCCACATTCATTTTGAATTGGAGTGGGTGGGAGTGAATGGTAGATGCAACAAGGTAGCAGATACATGCTACGCCTACTGGACCTCGACGCCCCTACAACTTCTTGGTCATTTGGATATCATCGATCGGCAACCCATCAGAAAATGGTTGTTGGACAAAACGCAGCATCTCGTTGGGGGTTTTGGCAAGGTCACAGGAGATCCACCGGACATGTATCACTCTTTCCTGGGCCTCATGGTCTTGGCTATGTTTGGAGAGACTGGTCTTCAGGACGTTGACTCAGCGCTATGTATAACACACAAGGCAAAGAGACACCTGGAGTCGCTGTCGTGGAGGAGGAAGATCCTCGGCATGGACAGCCCGCACAATGGCACCCAAGCTCCGTCACAAGAGAGCATAGGCCTAACCGGCGATAAGACGCAGATAGATGCATAGATTGGTGGAAGTTGTAACGAGTAGCGCACATCGCTATTGAATATTGCACCAAACCTTACCGATCTTTATGATCCTTGAGACCATGATTTCCACTCCCTAGTCTCTTGGGAATGCAATCAGACATTAAGATCATGTCTTGATGTATCACAATCTTTGGTCCATGGTAATCCCTACACGGTGTAGCGCCAAAGTACCTCGGCCCCACCTAAATTCCCAAGATCCCTGCTCGCCCAGGTAATTTTCCTAAACTCCAACATCTGCTTTGCGAACATCTAGCAACAGCACCAGCCATACCACACCCCGCCCTACACTCAACATTACACTCTGCACACCCTGTAACTATGAGGAATTCGGCGCCACCATCAAAGAAACGCAAAATTGCGGTCACAGCCCCCGAAAAGATCGAGTTTGACTTCTCGGCGCGCGAAGAATATCTCACAGGCTTCCACAAGCGCAAACTTGCACGGATAAAGCATGCACAAGAGGAGAATGCCAAGAGAGAGAAAGAGGAAAAGCTGAGGTTCAGGCGTGAGGTACGCGAAGCTCCGATTCCATCTTCACCCAAAGTTACCGGATAGCAAGATCTATGCTATCGCATGCGCATACGTCCCAGACATTCATCCAATATTGAAGCTAACAAAAAGTTGAACTACAGCTCCGAGAACAGCGCAAAGTTGACCTAGAGAAACACGTCGAAGAAGTAAACCGACTCGTCAAACAAGCAAATGGGGATCTGGACGACATCATTGCGGGCGAGACATCCGGCGACGACGATGACGAGGAAGAATTCACAGGCTTCCAAGAACCCGAACCCATCAACCAGGAAGACGAGTACGTCGACGAAGACAAATACACAACCGTCACCATAGAAAGCGTAGGAATATCTAAAGCAGGCTTCTCGAGACCAGGAGAGGAGGACGAAGAGGCGGCGGCGAAGAGAAAGGCAGAAGAGGAAAGGAAAAAGGCGGAGGAGGAGGCAGCGAGCAAGAAAAAGGTATGGACAAAGGCGTGGCCGAAGAATAGCGAGAGGCCAAAGAAGAAGAAGAAGAAGTTTAGGTATGAAACCAAGACGGAGAGAAAGGCCGAGCGCATGAAGCAAGGCTTGAAGAAGAGGAAGCAGAAGGAGGCCAGGACGGCGAAGTAAACGGGCGGGGAATGCTTGGGAGTTGTGAAGCTACACAAGTTGAGATAATGATACCCCTTCATGAATGTCACAGCCGACATGGCGCATGCCGGCGCGTTCGTATGTAGTGATGCTGCATTCATCTCAGACAGCCCTATTCCATTATAGCACTGTGGGTCGTTAATGGTACACCGCTTTTTGGTCAAGGTTGTCGAACCTAACAGTCACATGTGAGTAACAGTATAAACCAGTTCATGTCAGGAACCGCCAATATATTCGCTCAGGGATTATCTAAAGCGAACAAGCCCGCCCAGCAAGCAGCCGCAGGAAAGAAAACAGATATGTAGGGGTAAGGTAGGGGGTACGGGGGAATGTGATATAAAATCTGCCTCTTCTTCAAGCTCCGCCGCATGCCGCAGTATCATCCTCCACCACTACCATCGCCGTTCATGTTGTCGCACGCACTCGAAATCGGGATCCGCAGAGGGACGATATCGAAGCTCGACTCAGAACTCGACTAAATACAGTCAACAAGCAAAAAAGAGAGACGACAGCGAGATCAGATGTTACCGATCTCCTTGACGAAGTCGTCGAGCTCCTTCTTGGTGTCGGCGTATTTCTTGGCCATCTCTTCGTACTTGGTTTCCCACTGGTCGCGGGACTGCTCGAGGGCTTGTACTTTGCGTTCGTAGTGACCGGACTTGACGTCGGTTTGGCGGAGCCTGGGGGGTGACGTGTCAGTGGATGCAGATCAGGGGTAGTAGATAGTGGATAGGAGCAGCGGTAAACGCGGTGAAAGAAGAAAGGGAACGTACTTCTCGTTGAGCTCGCGGATCGTCCTGTCCGATTCCTCAGCTTCTTCCTCGAGAACTTGGATCTTGCGCTGGAGGCTCTCGGCTTGGGTGCCAGCCTGAGCACCTGCACCAGCTTCGTCCTTGTGGATCTTGACTTGCCCCTCAAGCTTCTCAACCTCGCTCTCGAGCACAGAGTTCTTGTGCGTCAGCGAGGTAATCTCCTGCTCCTTCTGTGTGGTCTCGGCTTCGAGGCGCTTGACAGTCGCCTTGAGCTCCTCGGCGCGGGCGCTGCTCTCATCCGCCTCAACGCGGAGAGCTTCCATGCGCTGTACAAAGGGTCAGGTCAGCGTCTACCTTGGTACAGCAGGTGTGCATTGTGGCGTCGGGTACAGCTGGGTACCAAAGAAAGGGGATTTGGCGGGGTATGCGTGGACTCACCTTCTTGATCTGATCCATAGCTGCTGGACGTGTGTAGGGCGGGGTAAAGAAGGGTGTCTGTGGTGTGTTTACAAGTGACGAGAGGCGGACAGCTGCAGGCTATGTAGGGATGTGAAGCGGCGCAGTGTCGAGAGTAGTTGGTGTCTGAGAATTGTCTCCTGCAAGCGGGTGTGCAAGCTGATAATGCGGGCAGGCGCTGCCGAAAGGGACTACCTCCTCCGCCCGGACCCTTTCCAAAGCCCAGACCCTCTTTCCCGCCGCCCTAGCAACCATTGGTAAACACAGGCGCATCGCCGACCCTCATCGCCATTACGAGATAGGAATAACCACGCCGCCCACGACTCGCTCAATGCAACCCCCATAATGACTACGCTCGCAGCAAACGACCAGGAGAACGCCGTCCGCCATCTGCACGCCGCCGCTGCAGGAAAGTCGCTCAATGCCGGCCTCAAGGGCTTCAACGCCAAAACACCCGGAAACAAAGCCCCCAAGACGCCATTCAAGATCCCTCTCAACGACGAAAATGCCGTCGGCAGAGCAGGAAACACCAAGGGCAAGGGCAATGACCTCTTTACCACCAAGACGGGCGGCAAGATAGACGCAAATGCCTTTGTTACGCCAGCCGGTACGACTAGAGACGACAGGCTGCGCAAACCGACAGCTGACGTGTTTAGGTCCACGAACTCGCGCGCCGCTGGGCATGAAGACGACCAACGCCAAGTCTAGGGCCTTCGCAACTCCAGCGCCTCTTTCTTCCGCTGGGAAGACACAGAAACTGAGCCCTCGCATGCGCCGACCCAAAGTCAAGATCCACCAGCCTGAAGTCGCCCAAGAGGACGAAGATGACGTGCCTGAGGTTGAATACATGCCCCCCAAGGAGATTCCGCTCCAAGATGACATGGACGAATTCCTTCCCAAGGACTGGACCATGCCCAAGATCACCAACCAGGACATGGTCCGCGGTATCTGGCAAGCCTACCACAACCCAATCGAGGACGACGGAAGGACCCGTGAGCAGCGCAAGTTTGAGGAGGAGATACAGCAGGGTCGAAAAAAGCGTGATGAGCAAATGGAGAAGGTGCTCGCTGCCCAGATGGCAAAGGACGATGCTGAGACAAAGGAATACTATGGTATCAAGGAGCCAAAGAAGGAGGCGCCCAAGGCACCCGCTGCGCTCAGGACGAGAACGACTGGACCATCGACTATGCGAGCCAGATCTGCAGCTGCCGCTCTCTCTCCGCCATCGAAGCCCAGCTATGCTGCTCCAACCGCAGCTGCAAAGTCGCGTGTGCCCACTGGACTAGTCGCAAGCCGGAAGGGAGCAAAGACTCCTACCCAGCTCACAGCATCTCGTCAAGCATCCGCTGCAGCAGCTTCCAAGAGCACCATCGGCTACGCTCAAGGCCGCGCCGGACGCGCTGCTCCAGCTGCTCGAAAGCCTCTCTCCAACGTTACCAAGCCAGCTCCTTTCTCCGCTGCTTCCCGACCTGCCTCCTCCACCCACATCCGCAGTGCGAGCACCAACACGGGTACCATGCGATCTCGTGGTCCCATGTCTCGTTGCAGCTCTACCGCCACCGACGCTACACTCGTCACACCTCCAGAGGAGGAGGAGGAGCCGCGCCGCACAGCCGAGGATGTTGAGCGTGAGCTGGAGCTATTGCTTCTCTCCCGCTCAGACGACGAGGACGATGATGCGTGGATGAATAGCTTCAACACCCAACTACATGGTGCGGATCCTCTCGAGGAAGATCATGAGAACTTCCAGCTCCAGCTCCCTGAAGGACTTTAGGTTCTGAACTGTGGATGAGCTCAAAAGTTCGGCATGAGCCCTTGAGTCATGTCCGTGGTTGTATTGTATTGGGTTTGGAGTACCGGTATTGGATACCTCTTGTTTATTCGTGAATGATTATCTGGGTCTGCGTGCTATCAGAATCGATTACCATGCGTAATACGTAGTATAACTGTACTTTGTACCGCTACACATATCACTGTCACTACTGCAAATCACTTCTCAAATCACTTCTCGAATCACGTACAACGACATGTCATCAAGGACAGTTGACTAACTGCTTGAAAAAGAGCATTTCATTAAGGCATACCCAACGACTACCAAGGAAGCGACCATGCGTTCAGTCCAACCAACGGTTTGCGCTTGCCTGTATCATGCATAGCATTGCTCTCCGCTCCATTCTTCGTTCATCCAGATCGTTCGTAGCGAAAAACTGCGGAAGACAAGAAAATGGAAAGCCCCTAATATCCACACAGCCCGGGCCGAAAATGCACGCTTCTGGAAATTCCCAGCAGAGAAACACCGTGAATGCGCCATGCTGCTAAAATCAAGAGACACTAATGTGATATGATGAAACGAATTTGAGCGTCGAGGACCGCCGCGTATACGAGTGTTCGTGATATAGTCGTGAAAGAGGACGCAATTTATGGATGCAGTGTGTGGTTGTGTAGATTAGATTTACTTTCTTCATCGCTGCGATGATGCGTGAAGTATTGTGTAGGGAAGTTGGGGTAAACCGCAGTACGCTGTGGACTAGGACTATGTGGAGATGACTTCGTCGACGGCGTACAGATTCTGGTTGAGAATCTTGTTCATGGTGAACATGTGAACGCGGTCCTGTTTGAAGACTGCGCGCATGGCGTCGTCGCATCGAATCTGGCGCTTGTCGGCCGGGTCTTGCAAGTCGCGCTCTTTGACGTACTCCCAAATCTTCTTGACGGTTTGTGGACGCGAGAGCTGTGTTTCGCCTAGGAGTTCAGAAAGGGCTGGGGAAAGAGCCATAGGTTTCTGGGCAGTGGTTAGCTCAATTCGAAATGGTGATATATAGTCACGGAGAATAACTTACGTGGAATCCACCTTTCCGGCTTGGGCTCTTCTTCTCGCCCCCACTCCCTGATGCGATGTCGCTGTCATCCTCGTCTTTGATGCGGGTAGAGCTCTTCTTCTTGGTTTTGGTCTTCTTTGGCGCAGGTGCCTTCCGCTTTGTATTCCCACCGCGTGTCGCCCTACCCATGCGCGCGTTCTCCTCAGCCTGTAATCTCGCCGCGAAAGCTGCATCGTCATCCTCGTCTTTGACTTTGGTTTTCTTAACCTTCTTCTTGGGAGGTGCAACATCTTCAACCTCAGAGAGCACTGACTCGTCATCGCGCGGCGATCGCTTGTTGTGGGAGACGTCGGAGGTGTCGTCGTTGGAGGCCTTTGCGCCGTTCTCGACAGTAGGTATGGGTTCAGAAACCTCGGAGCCGCCGTTCTGCTCGTTGTTGAACTTGTCGAAGCGCTGCATAATGAGCGTGGTGATTTGCTCCTAGTTGTTCATGTCAGGTCATGCCGTCGTATGTCATGTCTAGCTTCAAACCTTCTGCTGCGAAAGGTCATCCTCGACTCTTTCCTGAAGACCCTTCCGTATGCGCTTTGCAGAAATGGTGTTGATGTCGCTGGCGCGTAGGATCTCGTCGATGATGACCGAGTAGGAAGCTTGCACTGCGGCGGGGAGGGGCTCTGCCGCGACACGTTAGAATATAAAGATACGCGTAGGAGGCTTCAAGTGAGTACCTACCTGCCATGGCTGCGATGTTTCCTTACTCCACAGCAAGAGCTCCCACAACTAGCGATGGCACGCTAGGGTAATGATCGCTGCGAGGACCACTCTCGAATCCACCAAGTACCGCGGAGCTCAGATCCAGCTCCGACCTCCGTGGTGGCTATGTCGTGCAAACAAACACAAGCTGGTACCAACGGCTTGGAACCAAAAGTGGGATGTGTGATGCAGGCGTAGGTGATGTATATCAAGTGTCGCGTATGGCGAGCGAGTGGCCAGTCTCTCACTTGGCGACTAGCAATAGTGGTTGCGGTATAACCTTCAAGAGGTGAGAGACAGCCAGCGAAGGTGCAGCCGAGTTGGGTCGGGCGCCTCAAAACGGTAGTTCCGACGTAGCGGGGTCCAGTCAGCGAGAAGCGACGCTAAATTGTGTCGGAAGGGACTCAAAGGTAGAGAAAGATGGCAGGGCAAGTTGGGCGCTGTCGCGGAGATGAACGGGGCAAGAGAACAGGCACTAAGGTTCATGGATGGTTGCAGTATGCGCGACGAGATGTGAAGTTGAATGCACGGGCGCGGTCTAGCTCCAGGTACGGCGCCGACCATGGAGGCTGGGGAACCACGACCATCTCCGTAGTTCGACCCGACAAGAAAACCGAACAAGCCACTCTTGTCCGTCTTCTCCAAGTCATACAAGCACGCACAAATGTCAAAGCCATGTTTTCTGTTCGTGCATCGCATCGTCTGCACCACCGGCGGGCTGCATACTCGCCGAAAGCGGTAATCTACGTATGCCACTAGTTGGGGATCCAACAGCCTCGTTTTCCAATCGTTCCAGTCGACGTCATTTGGACGATCTTGAACCTCTTCACATGACCAGACACCCCACTCCGTACATCTGCTTCTCCACAGCACTCTTGATCTGGTACCAATCCGCTCTTCGTTCTGCAAACTCGTATACTTCCTCTGCTCGAAATATCCCATGATATCGATCCGTGTCTGCGATAATCGTAGCAATCTCCTTAGCTTCCTTTGCGTCGATGAGATATATCTGAGAGAGTTCGCGAAGCGCGGCGAAGTATTGCATGAGAGGCTTGTTGCGTAGTGAGACGATGTAAGCATTGTAAGCGTTCATGTCGCTGTCCAAGTCGATTAGTGCCTGTAGGTCTTATAGAGTATGTGTCGTACCTGATGAGTTTGATAGCGCCATCCACACTAACTCTCTGGCGTTTCAAGTGCTTGCAGAGAGCAGTGAACAAGCGCACACCCACTTCTTGATTGAAAACATCCAGGACATTCTTGTCCGTGCTACCGATGAGCATGTTTGTATGTGACGACACCACCTCCACAATCTTTGTAGCCGTCTGGCTAGGTCCGATATCAGACATCTGCACCTGGCCATTGGGTCCAACAGGGGGATTGAAGTCGGACGGGTGTTGAGTAGTACCACAGAGATACTCCACTTCGTCCATTAGCACATCAATACCCTTGTTGAGACCTGCAGCAACCCGTTCATCCAACATGGCTTCGAACCGCTTTTTCTCCTTGGCAGCAAGACTGAGGAAGTCGTCGCGGTCCGTGAGGTTAGCTGCGACAAGCTCCTGGAGGTAGAATACTTCTACCATCTGCTGGATCAAGTCGCCAACGTTGACAAGCTCCAAGAAGGCTACTAGCGGTGCAACACCCTCTTTACTATGATCCGCTACCTCTCGCGGCTTGTAGTCAGCTAAATGGCTGACAGCCTTATCAAAGCCCAATTTCATATGACGGTTGCCTAGGATCTGGACAAGGTTGATGAAGATCTGCTCAGATTGCTCCTTTGCCTCTTCACCAGACTGACCACCAAGTCTCACAAATCGTGCAGCTCGTTCTAATCCAGACTTAGCCATGTGTGTCAGATTCAGAGCCACCTCAATGCTAAAAAGCGATCGGATGCCTTCCAGCCGAGAATTCATGATTGCTGCTTTGGCGGCAAGCTCGGTCGTCGGAGCTTCGATTCGCGGTGTAGGCGACCGATCGCCCGGAGCTGGGGTACCAATCCTTGAGGTCGGCTCCAGAGTAGTACTGCCATTCACTCCAGACATGTTTTCGGAGGGCTTGCTAGCACTCGACCCGCCAATAGTGGGGAGTACATTGACAGGCATCATGACCACCTTCTTGAACGACGACAAAAAGTCCTGTTTGACAGCTTTCCGGTTGACGTTCGCCATATACAGAGTTTCCGTGCTTTGCTCTTCCTCCATCAGCCGCTTCTCCCAAAGGTCGACCTCTGCAGCCGATTTTCGTTTAAAATAATCTAGTTCCTCCTGTAGATAAAGGTCGATGTGCTGCTCGAAGCAACGAGACACAATGCGCATTGCCTCTTCCCCAAAATCTGGCTTGGATGCTTTGGTAGGATGCAAGGAAACTGCTAGTTGCAATGCTTGCTCATAAACCCCCGCAACCGCTTTGAGATACGCTTCAATGCTTATATCGTGAGCCTCGTCGAACAAAGTTGTGATGTATTCGGCAATGACATCGTCCGCAACACGCTCGAAAAAGGTTTGCAGTACGTCGACCGCAGGAGGGAAGACACGGTCGATGATGCCCGCTTCTTCGTTGAGTGCACTCGCCAATCCTCTGAAGAACTCATGAGATGGTTCCAGCGTCAGAACCTCGTTGCGGAGGCAATCTGCAGGGTCACCGAGCTTCTCCTTTTCCAACATCAATGGGTGGTTGTGAATAAAAGAGTCTAAACATGCCGCGCCTCCGTTCAGAGCCACCAACACTGTAGCAAATCTCTTCATACGTCCATCGAAGTCTTTCTCTGCATAGCCTTGCTCGAATTCTCTGAGCACAGCGTTTTCAAAAATGCCAGTCATGGTGTCTAGCTTCTCCTCCCGCTGACTCCAACCTTGTGCGTAATCGCTCTTTGCAAAAATCTTGAGCTGCGCCAGCATTTGAGCCTGTTGTTCGGGATCGCGATAAGCCCGAAAGAGTACAGGATCCGTGTGGCTTCTTGACCGCTCCAAGTCATAATAAAATGGGGCCAGTGCGCCGTAGACCTTCCCATACTCTTGTCGTGCCATGCCTCTAATAGAACGCACATTTGACAGAACTTTCACAGCCGCCTGCGGGTCCACAGTGTACGAGCTTGGGGCCAACGTTCCGGAAGATGACAGGGTCATGTCATTGAAGCCCTTGTCCAATGTAGTAGATCGTGGTCTATTTCTGTGTTCTTGCGACTTCCGCAGCATGTCCTCCTCTATTGTGGCATCAAAAAGCGTCATGCTTGTCTTTCCGGGTATACCGTCACCTGGGGGCATCCCGTTGGTGCTACCGTTGAGCGCAACGCCAGATCTACGGGCCTCCTCTGCTCTTTGTGCCTCTAGTTTCTTGCGCATCGATTCATCAAATCTACGCTTTGCTTCGGCCTCATTCCAGCAGCCCATGCTTCTAAGTCTTTGTATCCACCTGGTGTCATCGTACACCATCTCGCGCATGCGTCTCGAGGTGCGTGCGAAGCTGAACATATCGGCGACAGGTAGGTAATCGAGGATGGCATTGATGAGCTCTGTGCTATCCAGTCAGACACACGATACCACACAGCACTGAGTTCATACCGGCTGGTAGTACAGCTTTCGAATCGTCGTTGACCAACTGCGTGGTTCTTAAAGACGCGAGGACGGACTGCTGCGTCTGGGGCACAGCCCGCTTGAAGTTGGACTTGGTTGTCATGGTTTGGATATTACGGTAACGACTGTGTTGGTTGTGTACGAGTGAGTGTATTTCCCATCATCGGGGTTCAGTGATGCTTCGCGTTGTTGCTGCGGGGCGAGGGCTATTCGAAGGGTGGAGCAATGACCGCTGGCGTTTGGCGGCAGGGTCTCGTAGATCTAACATGTCGCAACGATTGATCGCCCGGCAGCTAGAATCTGTCTACAACAACATGACGTAAACAAGTCGAAAATGAATCTATTCACTGCAGAGCTCTCAACTCTGCATGTTGAGAAGACCTTGGTGAGAGGCATAGCTGCACTTCATGACCTGGAGCATGGGCGCGCACGCGATCTCGAACCGGAGCGCAAAACAACACGTTGAAGGCATGGAAGAGACTAGGAGTCGGCTGCAGCCACCACCGCAGTAAGACCTGAGGATGCATAATTCTATGGAGATGGTCTGATAGGCAAGTAAAGCCGTCGAGATGGAGCTTCTCCTGAGGCGAGGCTCAGTGCACATGTGCAGTCAGCGGTTGTGTCAACCTGAACTGTGTATGCTTTGAACAGCACTCTGTCTCGTCGTATGTATGGCGGCCGTGCGCGTATAGGATGAGTTGCGCGATTTACGAGATGGGTGTCTCCGCGAATAGACATCAAGCTCTCTAATGTTTAACACTCAACATGCCTGGCTACAAGCGCAACGCAAATCATGAGTTACAGCCAAGCTGGCTGCCTCCTGGTCTGGAATTACTCAAACAGACTCAAAGTCTCCCCAGCCAAGCCTTCCGTAGTTGAGATCGTCGCAGATCTTGTTGCTATTGTAGGACAAGGCGCGCGTGGTACCCGAAAGGTTATAGCCCCTAGGCTTGGAGGACTACCACCACTGCACCGTCCTTTGTGCTCGACTCAGACTTTGTGAGCTCTGGCAGTGCAGCCGAGATGCTGAGTGGCAATCTGGGAGGACCTCGGAGGCTCTGTCCGTAACTTGGTATTACTTGCACGCAGAGGCGAAGAGGTCCTTCAGCAGGCAAAAGACGTCCTGCTTTCAGGGGCACTGCAGGGCGACCTGTAGGGCTTTCCCAGACATATTGCAACAGCAACTGAGTGGTTGAAGACTGTGTGTGCTGATTATTGGTGAAGGGCATCGGGGCGCAGTCGGCCAGTGAGGCAGTCGGGCACACTGGGAGGGCGCGCGACGGTCGCGACCACGGGCGACGCGACGACGCGTAAAGTTCCCTGTCTTGGCCTCGACCACTTGTGCAGTCTGTCATCCGCAAAAGGGATGAAACGGAGACCCTGGCTGGCTGTCTCTCTGGCTGACGAAGGCTCTTGAGACGTCAGTGTGAGCACACTCCAGGTGTGTACCTGCGTCTCCGAACGCGGGCCGACCGATCCAGACCTAGCGCGGACTGGCGGCGTGGCTCGAATGAACGTGACAGCGTGTCTGGGAGCCGCATCCGAGAGCCTCGTGATCTTGTGTGGCCAGCGCATGTGGCTCTGGTGGCCCGGGCATGGGCTGAGACGCGGTGACGCGCTGTCCCTATGACGGCATAACGGCTGTTCGGCGAAGCATGCAGAAGGCGTCTAGAAACCGCTTATGAAAGGTTGTGAAGGGTTGGTGCTGGGTTTCGGGCCTCGACGCGCAGGGATGTGGAGAGTGAAGCAGCGAATGGGTTCGGCTTCCGCAGCTTCTAGTCTCCCAGGACCTTCCTCACACACGCGCGACAGCTTATGTTATCAGGCACGGATGCCAGGCTTGTCGACGACTCTTTGAGACACCGGGTCGACGAGGCGGCGGCACGATTGGCTGTTTCACGTGGAATTGTGGGGATGACAGCTCTGTCTTGTTCCATCCCCTTTCAGACGCCGTCCAAGAGTCATCCCAGAGAAGCAATGTGCAATTGCTTCACTTCCAGTTGGTTGTGCTTGCAATACGTACCGAAGGGCCACGTACGGGGACTGGGTGCCCTTCTGGCCCGTCCGTTGCCCCGTGGATCATGGAGGACACGGCCAAGGTAGACGTCAGTATCATGAGTTACTGGAGGACCATGACTTCAGAAGTTAAATATATATGTCCCAGCATTCGGTCCACTGTCACAAGTACTGACACTCCTGTTGCACCGCTACCATACAAAGCCGCGTTTGTGAATCTTAAAGTCTCACACATAGTCTCACTTCTACCCACTCATAAGCACACCTGCACCAATCCGAACACCGCCCCCTACCACAATCAACACTACCACATCAATCCAAATCCAAATCCAGCAACATGTTGTTCGCCATCTCCAGACCCAAGATTCCTGGTGAGACCCAGCCTCTTGATGGTGGTCGTAAGTCATTCCCAAAAGTATGGTTATTGAGTTCCTTTGCTAACTGCCACAACAGGCAAGCCGCTACCCCAGTCCGACAAATGAAAGAAAGGCTGCGCCTTCTCAACCAATCAGCCACCACCAACGCCAATCTCCTGCATTTTGGGCACACCATACGTTCTGTTTCGGAAACCGATTTCGCATTCGTCACCACGATCGAAAAAAGCACCTCAGCATGTTGCAGTGCAACAGCGTCGCTTTTGTTTCGCAACCCGGCAGTTGTTCCCCTGGCCCCCGTCTGCCCTGTTAGCCGGTCCGAGATGCACCATCGTCAAGATGCGAGTGCGAGGCGCAGCACCACAGCGTCGACCGATTGGGAGAATGCTGCCACGGGCTGTGTTTACTCCGGTCAATGATAATGGGCACAAGAGTCACCAAAAACACGACCTGGGGCCGTTACTTATCGATGGGCTCAAACTTGCAAAAAGATGCCTGGAGTGCCTTGAGTGCGCCGTGCCGCGGTGTGGCTCTTCGACTGCGGCTGTGCAAGCACCATGTGCTCGCGAACTTCACCAGCCCAACTAGGCACCAAACATTGGTTCACCATTTACGGACCCCAATGGCCGCTTTTCTGCCTGGAGATTCTGCCCTAGCCCGCAATTCGAGTCCCTCACCGTGGCTCTGCTGCTAATCGGCGGTGACTAAAGGAGTCACCCTCGGGGTGGACAGGGCTGTTAGCCTTCTAGAAGGACGCTAGAACGAATTGCAGCCTGGTTGTCGCCTTGATCGTCAGGACACACCCAATGAGCTATTCAATCTCCAGCTCTCGTGGCGCAGTCATGGTTCTTTTGACATGGAATTGAATCACCGGAGCAGATTAATCTCAACCGTTTCTGCGTCATAGCCTGAAAGAAGGCAGTCATTGCCTGTTCCTGGAAAGAGTTGAGGCTACGACAGGCCTCAGGATGTAGATAGTTATATACTAGAGCGCCTCTCTGAGGTGTGAAACATCATCAATCACAATTCAACCTTCAGATCTGCCTGCATACCACATATCATTCACAGCCCGCAACCTTCAGCAACGCCCATCTATCACATATCTCGACCAACCCACATATACATCTATCCCACAACCACCATGAGACTTGTACAGAACAACGATCTCGCCTACTTCGAACCCCAACCCCGTGACGGTGGAGCGCCAAACCCAAGCGCAAGACTATCTTCCCCAATGATGCTTTTCAAGGCACCAAAAGATGGCAGTCAGCCACGCGATGGCGGCTAAGAGACTTCGAGTTGACTTCAGTGTGTAACCCGTCTCTTGACTAATACCACACTCAGTCTAACATAACCCAGATAACGACTCCAATTCTCCATTCAACTAGACGACTCGGTTCCATCCCATCATCCTTCTCCAAATGGGATCAGATCGAGTTGACGGACGCCTACGCCAACAACTCCTCTCGGCTTTGGGCACAGCCGACTATCATTACCGCATATTTTCACCTCCGCCTCAATTACTACCTCGAGGCCGACCTGTTACAATATTTCGTACTTTCAGCTGCATTTCAAGCGTTTGAGGCTTTCCTTTTTGTGTACAACAACAGACTGTACAATGGGCATGATAGCGATATCTTTTCTGGGATTCTAGACGGCGTTTTTCTTGAATACGGAGCAATCCTATAGCATTGGCCATCGCTTTGGTACCGTTCGAGCCAGGCAGATAGGGATTGCGTTGCAGCATTACTGGACTTTGTTCCGTACAACATGTATCATAGAATAGATAATGGGTGGCATAGTAGCGTGGCCTTTACGAATACAAACCACGAAGTTTGAAGAAGCTGAACCATCCAATATGGCGTATCGCGGACGTGATCGGAGTTTTGGAGATGAGTTCAAGTCGATGGGATTGTCGAGGAAGAAGATAGATGGGGCGTTTGCATTCGCGTATCTGCAACTTACCCCACGCTGCCGCCTGCCCTAAGCCTTGGCAAAGATAATGGGATTACATGCGTGGATGCACCTGCATGCTTGCTTCTTCCCCCATGGGTGCGAGCAAGATATATACGAGCGAACGCGTCGCAGGCAAGCCTCCAGGCAACCTTCAAATCTTCCGATGCGACACCTGACCCCCTCTTCACAGACTTGCAGAATTCGTCGTTGGATTCGAAGATGACGTTCTCCCGCCCATAGTGCTTCGATTTGCGGACCCCGCAGCAGCAACTAGACGTTAGTCACAGAAACCCAAAAACAGAGTCACGCACGCGCACAGCATGGAGTTTTTCACGGCTCAGAAAGCAACGTGCCGCCTAGTCGACCAGAAAGAGCACCGTCGGCGCGTCGTGCCCAGGCGCGAGTAGACTACTGGTGCTTAACCGCGATGGTGTTCAAGGGAACACGATCTGCTGGCGCGCAAAAACGGAGCACAGTCCTTGAAAGTCTTGCCCTTGCGCCTGGCTTGCTGCTCGCGGAAGAGCCAAGAGCACGGTCAATATAAGAAGTGTTGTGACTGCCATCGCGTCATCACTTGGGCCTTTGTTCAATCTCCTCCGCCTTGGCCAAGTGAACACCGCGACTTCACCACTGTTTGCGCCGCCGAACACGCTCCTGCAAAAGTAGCCTGCTGTCCTTCGTATTCCCAGAAACCTACCTCAAAGAAACTCGAGCACCATGACTACTCGGCCAAACGAATACCAGCGCGTTGCGTCGCATGGGCGCGGAGGTGCTGGTGAGTCCCTGCTTTCCTTCACATCTTGAACCGCAAATCCACAATACCTGGGTCATCAGCTAGGCCTGCACATCTTTGTAGCGCAAATGCGCGTCCAAGAACTACCGCATGTGGTCAGGCAGTCAACACTCCTCATGAAGCGCTCTACAAATATTTGCCAATTTCTGCTTTTGATCGACTACTAATGTACCAAGGCAACATCGCAAAAGACGACCCTACCAATTACCCAAAGCCTGAGGACCTCGTCACCCCAACGCTCAAGTCGGACAAATACACCACCGGCCGAGGTGGCACTGGCAACATGGCGAAGAACGATCCCCAGCACCCTGAACTTGCACGCGCTGCTCAGGACGTCGAAAGTAAACCTCATCCAGAGCCCCAAGGTCCCAAACACTACGGTCGTGGAGGTGCCGCAAACATTATCGGCGACGCACAACCTGCGCAACGAAAGAGTGCCGAGGCTAAGCGCAAGAGCGAGGACTCTAAGCGCGAGGATAACGGAAAGGGCCTGCTCGGCAAGGGCAAAGACTTGTTGAACAAGCTGGGCAAGAAATAGGCCTGATCAGACTCATGGTCGGCGAATGATGCTACATTGTGGAACATGGTTCACACGAGCTGCCCTGGAGCCGCTGACGGGGCTTTCGGTTTCTTTATATGGTTCATGATATCCCAGGAGGTGTAAAGCTTTCTAGTAGGCAGAGGAGTTGGTGGTATATCTTATTATAACGCGGGAAAATGTCCGACTGGCACATGTTAGTCAATCGCTTCATTGTCTTCTTGATGGCTATGCCTGACAGGCCGTTTCTTCGATGTGTAAGGCTCCTGTACTGATCTTCTTAGAAAGGCGCTCTTACCCGTGATATCATAGGATGCCAGTTGGGCTTCCATTCAAGCTAAACATGCTGCTGGAACTTCGTGGGTGGCTTGAGTATGCCGCATCATCACATTTCCCGATTACATCACTCTTACAGCATTTCCACCGTCGGCACACCAGAGCTCGCACACTACTACTTGCTTTTCTCACGAAAGCTAGCAATCCCGACAGTTTGTCTTTTCTCAAAAGGGATAATGCTCTGATAGGACAGTGCCGCTTATTATCCACGGAAGGCCCATAAAGGGTCCTCGGCAACAAGCAAGCGTCATGCGGGGGGATTTGCGACATCCACCCACAGCGGGTCCTCGTCCTCCCGTGGTTACATCAAGACCTCGCAAACCCGCGTGTAGCACACGTACAATCTCCAAGTATTCTTCTCAATCATTGCCATGTAATCTCCAGCGAAAAACGTCTGAACCCAATTGCCGAGATCAGCATATGCACGTACGAGCCGTCTCTGCAAACGTGGAATAAGAATAACCCACTCCACTCGCGCTCAACTCCGGTTCCCGATGGCTCGGTAAGCTACCAACGCAGTCCGCCGCTCATACACCACCTGTTAGGGTCTTGCCGTTATGGAGGGTCGTCCGATCGCTATGCTGTGGCTGCAGCTAATGCCTCACAGCAGCTCACATGAGGTACGCGCTTTGGTGGGGTGTAAGAAAGTGACGTAGAGCGGCCAGCATACTCCGAACACGAGGAAAGATTGTCGACAAGAATACTCATCATGGAATCTCTGGGATTGTGGTATCATATATGGAAGAGGCAGAAAAACACGCAGCACACAAGCCAGTTCGCATGGAGCATCCTTACTTACCCACCCTCCCGAGGTCTTCTGTATGCATAGCATCGGTACTATGCCAGCTCCAGGCCTTCTTCCGCTTCACACCGTCCATTCGTAGATAAGTGATCCCGGTGAGCGGCAATGGACCTACCTAGCATGCGCTCTTGTCCGAGAGCGTGAGCCTTGGAATCTTAGGGATGATGACACCCACTCCACCACACCGTATCTGCATAGGTAATGTGGTTCGTTCAGGCTGCGACAATTACGCCTGACTCCACGACGTGGTCTGTCACTATTGGTCTGGGAGAATCTTTGCGCAGCCTTCGCCTTCCAGACCGTTTTCTTTTTGTTAGCTAAACATGTCATTCGGCTCATGGCAGGCTGGGTGTCGGCTTATGTGTTAAAGTTGCGGCACGTCCCGCCGGTGTGGCTTACTGGCCCTATATACTTGCCTGCTTTCTGCAATTCTTTGTTGTTGTGTACAAACTCGACCCTCAGCACTAGTAGAACACCAGATTCGCCATCGCTCAGTAAAACATGTCAACTACTACAACGGAAATGGAAACAGAGACCTACGTGGATACCTGGGTTCACTACCACGATGGCGGTGTCCCTGGTCGAAGACCAGTCCTCAAAGGCATCGATGCCAAAGAAACTTTCAACGAACTACCTAAGATCGACTTTCAACGCATATACTCAGACGACCTTGAGGATAGGAAAGAGCTGGCCAGAGAAGTCGGCGCCGCGTGTCGAGATATTGGGTTCTTCTATGCAGTAAATCATGGAGTGGATGATGACATATTGGAGGGCACATTCGATGCATTGAAGGAGTACTTTGCACTACCGACAGACGTCAAGATGGAGACTCACAATCAAAAGACCGAGAAGTTTAGAGGTTACGAAGCTTTTCTCGAAGGAAAGCTTGATCCAAGTACACGAGGAGGTAACGTCTTTAGTGGCTTTATCTAAAACAGCTCGTCTCTCTAACAACAGCATCTAGATCTCAAGGAAGGCTTCCTAATGGGGGAAGACTTTACAGACGAAGAGCAACTATCCCTCGTCTCCTCCTTGCCCCCCTCTCCACAAACCTCACGCAACCAATGGCCCACCCATCCCTCAGCCCTCTTCTGGCGCCCCGCAATCTATCGCTACTACAAAGCCATGTTCGAATTCAGCAAACGCATGCTCCACATCTTTGCACTCGCTCTCGATCTCCCCGAAGACTACTTCGATACCATAACAACGCACCCCATGACCAACGTGCGCGCTGTCCACTACCCACCTCAAGAACGGCAGAGCGACGTGGGCATTGGCGCACATACAGACTTTTGCTGGTTCACGCTCGTCTGCCAGTCCAAAACCGCCTACCCGGCCCTCGAAGTGCTGAACGGAAATGGTATCTGGGTCCCCGTACACCCACAGCCCAACACATTTGTTGTCAACATTGCCGATTTCTTGAAGTTGGTCACGGGGGGCTCATGGCAGAGTACTGTGCATAGAGTAAGGAATATCGGTGGCGAGGAGAGATATAGCATGCCTTTCTTTTTTAGTCCGAACGAAGACGCAAAGGTCAGTGTTGTGCCGCATCTGAGGGAAGAGGGTGTACGGTATGATGAATTTGGTGTTGGCGAGTATTTTCAGAAGAGGTTGGATATTGATCGGAGGACCCATTTGGACGGTGATGTTGAGAAGACGGAGAAGAAAGAAGAGAAGAGACCAACGAGGGAGAGGAAGGACAGTGGACTTTAAATATGCGAGCGTCTATTGGGGGGTAACGAGATAATTTGTAAAGTGTATTTCGGCCTTTAGATATCCATGAACTAGTTATTTGCTTGAGAAATATTACGCTTCGTAAACACACGCGGTCATATCATCAGGCATGTCCATTTCGCCTTTTCGCTTCTTCTAATGCGGTTCGTAGCCGCTCTTCCTTCTCCGCGTCCTCACCACTCTTCCTCATCTTCTTTCGCGCCAACTCCGCAATTTCGCCCTCGTTGCTGTCTAGCACACGAATTCTCCTTTCGAATTCCTCCACTAACTCCTTCCTAGCTTCTTTTTTCTCTGCCTCCAATTCCCCTATACGTTCTGCGTCCGCCTTATCAGCTTTCACTTGTGCAATTTCGGCATCTATGTCAGCATTGTTAGATTCAATCTCCAGCGTATTGAAGAAGGAGAGAAGAGCTTTGGATGACTTTTTCAGGGCTTTGAGAGTCGATTGTGCGTGAGAGAGGACCTCCGGGTCGCCAGTACCGTCCTTGAGATCTTTGATAGCTTCAATGACGTAGTCGATTTCTTTTTGCTCATCGCTCACTGCATCGACGACGATCTCCCCAATAATTCGGACAAGCTCGCTTATACGCTCAGCCTTCTCGCGCTTAGCTCCAAATACGGCTTGTTTCTCAGCGTTCTCAAAGTGCTTCTCTACGATTTTCATCTGGCTGATGTTGCCAGCGGCATACAGAGGTTGCGTCTCGGTCTTTTTATAGCGTTTGTCGCGCTCTGCAACGAGCTGAGCAACGCTGTCGTGTCTCTTCTCGATCTGTTCGTGAACATCCCTTAGCAGTTCGAAGCAGTCTTTCGTGCTTGGATCATCTGTTCCCTCTAGACTCCTGAGTCCACGTACAGAGGAATGAAGTAGCTGCTTAGCTTCGACATACAGATCCATGAGGACCTTGATCTCGCCATGTAGGCCAGTGAAGACCGGGTCGAATACGGCGTCCACATAACTCTGATATTCGTCTCTGTCTTCTTGTGCTTTGAGCTCTGCTTCTTTCTGCTTGAACTCTTCTTCGAGCTGGTTCATCTCTGCGTACGAAATCTCATTGCTGTTGAATAAATCGTCATTGTGCTCCTCGTTCTCTTCTTGGCGCTTGCGACGAGCGTCATCCTTTTTGCGGCGGCTTAGAGATGCTGACTTCTCCCATGTCTTGGTAAGCTCTTCGACCTTGCTGGATTTTGACCCAACATCCGCTAGCTTAGCTCTAAGGTCCTGTATCCGGCGGTTTGGAAGGTCCGAATCGATTTGCTTCGACAACAGTCTTTTGAGAACTTGATTGGGATCTTCTTTCGATGGTGCAGCGGTGGACGTTGGGCGACGTGGAGTTAGAGTCAATGGCGCGGGCAAAGGAACATCTGCTTCGCTACTGGACGGTTGAGCAGCAGGCGCCTGCGCAGTTGCTCGATGAGCTTCAAAGAAGATCTCATCATGTCCCTTGCTGCTCCTACGCCCTGACGGTGAAGCCACAACTGGAGTATTGGAGAAAGACATTGTTTGTCTGTGCCTCAGCTGAGGAGGATCGACAGATATGCTAGCAGGAGGAACGTATGCCTTGTATTGAGGTTGCACCTGCTCTTCGGGCAACGACTGTACTGGCGTTTTGTTCGTGTCGTCGTCAATAGAGCTTGTCGGGGTTAGGATGGTTGTTGATACTACCGAAGGAGGTGCCTTTGGAGCACCCTGGTAATTCTCAATAGGCGGTATCGTACTCTGACGTGCCAGAATAGGTCTTCCACCAGGACTATATTCATAGTCGTCTTCATATGCAGACCTGTGCGGAACTTGTATGTTCAGGTCCTGCCTCCTGGTGGACATGTCTGAAGCTGCACGAGAGCGCGCAACTTGATCTGTCTCGTGCGGCACCTCTGGCACTACTGGAAGCGTTTGCGTTGAGGCGTCAAAAAAGTTGATTGCCCGCATGCTAGACTCTACCTTCATGAACGCTCTGAAAATCTTCATCTTCTCTTCAACTAGTGGTGCTGTTGCCTCACTACGAAGCATAGCTATGTATCGCTCTAATGAGCCAACGTACCATGGGTCGATATCCGAGATAAGATCAGAAGGGGTGGGTTTCGGCAACTCTCTCAGCTTTTCGGCTTCAAGTTGGCGTTTCAGCTCAGCGACAATATTGTCACGCTCCTCGATATTATGTTCTTTGCCTTCCACGTCTTCTTGCAGTCTTTCAATTGTCATGTTCTTTTCCTTCACTAAAGCCTCGGAATTGGCAGTGGCCTGGTCTGCTGCTGTTCTCATAGTCTCAATTTGCGCACGTAAGACGATCATCTCGCTCGTGCTGTGCGTCTTGTTGGCTTGATACTCAGATGAGAGTTTCTGATTCTCAGCTTGTAGTGCCTCAATCCTCGCGTGTAGTTCAGCACTTTCCCGTTCTGCATCTGCGCGCAGCTGATGGAGAAGGTCATCCTTCTCTTTCAACTTCACAGTATAATCATGACTGGGGATCTCTGCATCTTGAAATTCGTTGTTACTCTGTGATTTGAAATGATGCTTTGGTTGTGTCGGGGTGTGTTGTGATGGATTCCATCCGCCTTCGGTCATGGCAGACTCTGTTACGAACACAGCAGGTTGATGGGGAGGCTTCGTACCGTGCATAGGTTTTGGTGTAGTTCTCAAGGGCGCTACGATGGCATCTTCTACTGCGAACCCTTGGTTGGGCGACGGCGATCCTTGTTGCTCAGCAAGACTTGTCGTTACAGATGGCGGTGTGGGTGTATAGCCTTCGTCCCACTCGCTCGAACTCACGTGTGCGGGACCTACCGCAGGACTAGGAAATCCATGCGTGGAGGGAGGAGATGGACCGTGGGCAGGCAGCTCAACGCTTTCCGGTTGGATAGTCTCGCTCTTCTTTTCCTCTCTCTTTACTCCGAAGAGTTCTTCGTCGTCGATTTCCTCACTGCCGCCCAAGTGTTCCCAATCAGAAGGCGCTCCAGCAGCTAGCACACTAAACCTCGACTTGTCATCACGGGGTGGAGGTGGTATAGGTAGTTTGGATGCAGGAGGTTTTGGCGAGGATGTCTTATTCTCTGCTCGCTGTGCGTAGAGATTGGCAAGAGCTATGGAGCTCACGGAGTCGGTGCGCCCAGACACGTGCTGGTAACCAGACGCGGAGCTTACACTGGGACGATTCGATATCGGAGACACGGGTTGACTCGGTGGGCTTGGCTGATGGTAGAAATTAGACGTAGCGGTATCAATTCGATTGAATGGCTTTGGTTCTTGAACCTCTTGGTTTGTTGTCTGAGAGTACTGCTGTCCCGAGAAAGAACTTTGTGTCTGATTTCCTGATTGCGAGGGCTGCTGGTGCGGCTCATACGTCTGTGCTATATTGTGTTGATAATTGGGCCCAGGCGCTGGAGATGCAGACTGCCACGGTCTCTGGAAGTGCGAGTCTTGTGAAGGGGGCTGACCGTGCTGTTCATACAGTGAATATCTGTGTTGTTGCTGTACGGGCTGTTGATGCGATTGTGCTTGTGGATATACTGGTTGTCCGACGGGCTGTTGCTGAGCTGGTACCACACTCCCGAAATGACCTTGGTGTTGATGTTGCTGCTGCTGTTGTTGCTGCTGCTGCTGCGGGTATTGGCCTGCCGATTGCTGGAACTGGTGAGGTGTCTGCGATGGTGGTGGGTATTGATCAGGCGTTGGATATCCGTACTGAGGTTGGTGGTGCTCTGAATGTTGCGGGCTCTGTAGGCTATGTCGTGGAGGCAGAGGTGGTGCTTGTTGCTGCTGTGCACTATGATAACCTTGTGAGTAAATACCAGTGTCCACGATTGGCCTAGGTTGCGTGAAGCTGTTTGCGCCGCCCTGGTGGGGCGCATGTTGTGACTGGTGCCATGTTGGAGCTACTGGGGGAGGAGGAACGTATGCTGGTGCACCATGTCCATCAGAAGGCGGCTGTGTGTAGGCCGGCTGCTGCTCGTTCGGACTTGTAACCGTGGAGGGCTGTCCTGTACCGTAGACGGAGCTGGGCCGTCCTCCTTGTGAAGAAGGGAAATTTGGCCTGCCAGGTGTGGTAGAGGGCGGAGGAGGAGCTGCTTGATGATAGGGCTGTTGTGGCGCTCCCTGCACTGGATACCCTCCCTGTTGCGCATGAGGAGCGTACCCGGTGTTCTGTTGCGGTTGTTGCGACCAATTCTGCGTGCTCTGCTGCTGTTGCTCTTGCCGTTGGACTGCCGCTGCGAAGCCATAGGGTTTCGGCGGAGGCGGAGGAGGCTGATCCTGCTGAGGCGGGGGTTGGTATGAATGATGCTGCGCCCCTGGCATAGTGCCATATGTGCCTGGGTTGTATCCTCCAGTCCCTTGTTGTTGCGCTTGATTCCATGGGCCTGATGTGTGTGTTGGCGTCGGCGCAGCCCATTGACCGTGGGCTTGGGGAGCGGATGTTTGGTAAACCTGAGAAGCTTTGCCATCATGTCAGCGCCTCGCTACGTAGATATGCCCGATGCTGAACAGACATACCTCCATATCCAGGGGGCGGTGGTGGCACTGGTGGAGGGCCAGCCTGTCCGGTGAAGCTTGTCGTGCTTCCTGGCCGCTGATAGCCTGGAGCTTGCCCGTAGTTCTGCATCGCGAGTGCCGTCTCCTCGCGCTACCTGCCCGGTCTATGTGTGTCGCAAGGCGTGGCAGATGGTCTTGGTTGGGTGCGTGCTCTCGAGATACGAGCTGAAGTGCCTGTGTGTATTAATAGGCTCCCCAGAAGTGTGATATGCACATGTACGGCAAGTGCTAGAGTTGGATCACGAAGCGAATTGAGATAAATCGTATGGCATTGATGTAGATAGTAAGTACAAGAAGGCTATACCGAAATACGTCAAGCTGTGCTTCGCCTACACGGCACAAGGCTGAATGCTCGAGTCCAGGTGTGCAGGAAGTGGAGTGGTGTCACAGCCACGCGGTGATCTGCATGTGCTCTCGTCCCCGCTTCCCGTTACCTGGCTTCCTCCTGTCTTGGCCCTTGTCTTAGCAAAACCAACTCGCTTTCTTCTCAACATCGTCGTTGCACACCAAAAGGTGAAATCGAGTGAATTCTCGAGATAAGATCAAACCACAGTAGATTTGTAAACCAAAACAGCCGCCTTTACGTTCAAATCCTACTTCTCCGTCTTTGATCTGCGATATGCGCAAGGACATACTCCACGTCCATCGCAATCGCTTCCAGTGTTTCTTTTTGCTGGACACCTTTCGGAGCCTTACGTGTCATGCCTCCCGCCGTACTCAACGTCATCTGCGTCACGTCAACATACATCCACTAGCGTCTGAAACACGAGGCCTACCATATCCCAACGATGACGGTCGTTGTTCGCAGAGTCTGCTCCAATGAGCCTTTCCAATGAGACGTAGGTACCCTCTGTCAGCTTCTTCCCCTGCCGCTGCTTCTGGTTTGCATCAGGTGTTGACCCAGACTCCGCGCTGGAAGGGAAATGGTAGCATTGGGAAGAACCTCGCATCTTCATTCGACTCGTCTCTTGTACGATCTTGACATCGCCGAACGATGCATAATCAATCGGAAGCTGAACGGTGAATGATTTGCAGAGCTCAGAAGGAGCCTCCTTCTGGTATGTGTTTGCTGTGACGACCAACACATGGAATACACGGTCTTGTAGTAAGCTAAGACCAGCGACCTTGGGCATCATATGGAACATTTGAGATACTAAGATACTTCAGCAACAGTCTGGACAGACGCATGACTCTCTAGATGAGAGACTTACTAAACATTTCTACACTGTGAATTTCCTCATGGTGACCTGAGCGCTGTACAGCTTTTAATAGTTCTTCGTGGTCCCACTTCAAAAGTTCAATGGCGTCGAAAACGCTCGGCGTATAGGTAGCTTCATTGCGACTGTGGTCTTTTGCCAGCAGGTCGCCCAACTCGGAAAACTTGACATGGGTATTGCTATGAGTAGAAGTCCTGACTGCCCATTTGGCTTGGTTCAAGTCTTTGATGCGCTTCTCGACCGAGACTGGGACAGGAATCTCATCGTTGCTCTCCGTAGCGTTCAATGGAGGCATCATTACATTTCCACTGTCGGGGCTCCAGGTCCCGCGGTTCTCAAAACCTTCATCGAATTGAATTCTTCGTACTTCGCCAAAGAGGCTATCGAGAAAGTGCACTAAGCTTACATTATGATCTGAGGCAGCGTTGTTGTATGCCTGATGATGGGGCAAATCGAGCTTCTTCAGAGGATTCAGGTTGAGATATTGACGTTTTGGCGTCGCTGTGGTGATGGCCGTAGTGTCACCCGGCATGGAATTAGCATCAGCATCTTGCCCGACATTGTGCTGGGATCGTAGTGTCTCGGGCTGGACAGGATTCCTTGCATCGACAGGTTGTGCCATGCTTCTAGCGGAGCGGAGGTCCTGGAAATATGCAGCAGAATACAACAGGCCGTTAACGTAGATCCGCTGCAGTCGCTTGACAGGTGACAGGACAAGTGCGTTGAAGGTCTAGACCGCTGAGATGCAAAGAATCGTCTAGTACAGCGGGTAATCGTTGCGGCTACCAGCATATAGATCAGCTGCAACCCATCCCACTTGAGGCATTTTCTTACGTACATAACTAGGTGAGCCACAAGTTCGCACAAGGACTGTATGTGGCGGCAGGCGCGAATAGTGTGTAATGCGAGCGTGGTGACTAATAGGTAATACACCACCTGCGCATGTGCCGCGATGATCTAGAACGGACTGGAACTGCACAGGCTGTATATAGAGGAAGTGTTGTATGTATTGTAGAGGCGATTGGTAGATGCCAAGCAGAGACCTGATGGAAAACGCGACGATAGAGGACGAAGTTGTAACACTGAAACGGAAGATCGACAAGTACAAGTGCCCTTGATTGGCTCGTGTCTGTTTGTGTGACGCTACGATGTGCTAGCTGGAAAGCAGCCAGTGTTCGGTTTGAACTACATGCTACCTAGATGGAACACAAATACTGTCTTGTAGGCAACCTGCAACGATAGCGCTTGTTGGGTTTCGCGTTCTGAGATTTACAAGTCTTTGGCATGGAGATACTAGGTACAACACTTAGCTGGCAGGCAAGCTACCTAGCAAGCGCGACATAAGCTCTACTCTTTGCTGTGCTCTAGCGACATGACATAAATACTATTCTTTATCCCAGGACTACGCTCTTCATCCACCGAAGATTGCAGATACCCCTTGTAATGAAAATGGCAAAGTATGCGACTTAGGTAATGCAATTCCGTTCGCTAATAATTCTTTGGAAGCGTATTGAATAACAAACAGGTAGTGTCACAAGACTCACTCAACATGTGTTAAAGCGGAATTGGTCCATGAATTTGGAAGGCCCAAAAATATATGTGAGACTGCCACAGGTGCCTAGCATACTTAAGTACAGGGTGTGCGTGCAGAATTAAGCAACAGATCAGTAGGTGCCCTTCTGATCTATCGACTCCATCACCATTGGGTCATAGAGAGAACACGCAAATGCGGGCCGATATTCACTTTTGAATGCCGAGTCAGAAAAGCCGGTCGTCTAATCCCGAGATCGTCCTGCTGTCAGTACTTACGTTCCGCGGGCGTCAAACTGATAACACAATTGCTCCTCGGAGCTCACAGCCAATGTCTGCAGGACCCTCGCTCGCCGTCCCCACCCGGTAATGGCAGGATTCTTGTACCGGACGTCTGGCTCAACTGTGGTCTCGACCAACTCTCATTGGCAGTGAGCTGCGACTTGGGTACTCCACAGCACCTGCATAATGCATATATCCTTGCCTTTGCCCATCCGAAACGACATGCCGAAGTGCCAAATCTACTACCATAAGCTGCATGCCGATGCTAGAATCAAGCGACAATACGAAATCAGCTGTTTTTGTCATAATGAAGTCTTGCGGTAATCACCCTCTCTTTGCGTGGACTGTGAACGGGCCCGCGGGCCATATAAGCCACTGTCCGCGGTAGGCAGACAAGGGCCCTTATGGTCTATCCAAAATCCGAGTGCGCCGCGGATTAGAATTGACAAAGGCTATTGCCATTTTGTTGTAATTGCAAATTGGAGCGTCATTGCTTGCCATGTTGGGAGCTTTCAGGTATGGGTGGACCCGTTCGCTCTATTCTTTGAACGTGCCGTCGATCGGCAAGCACGGGCTCGGTATACAATGCCGACGATAGACATTGTCGTGCGGCGTGGAAGCATCTGCCACGTGATGCTGGTTATCGATTGAATCCCTGCCATGTGGTGCTGGATCAGCATGCCAAATCTTCGATGTTGACGGACATGGATAAATCTCTCAAAATCCACTCAGCACGCTATGCCAAGCGCATAAGCTCGATGTTGCTCGGGACGGCCGAATGAAATAAGTCCGCCCTAGCTGCTAGCATGACTTTTACTACAGTGGCAAGTTAGTTACTTCTCGGATGCATGCTCTCCGTTAGGCGCCATTGAACCCGCCTTGGGCAAGCATCGAGATCGCCTCGTACGATTTGTGGTCATGTCGATTCAAACGAGGCTGACTGCCTGCCACACTATACAACGAAGCTGGTGGAAGGGTCCAGACCATCGCCGTTGCCAACTTTCCAGCCCCCATTTGTACGAGAGAAATAGTCAAGCACATAGTGTTGTTCAAGCGAAAAGATCTAGATTTCCTATGTACAAACTCCGCGTGCTCCTGCAACTGCCCACATGCTCGCCATGCAGCAGTTCCGTATATTCTCACGGAATATCCCACGGGAACTAGGCTTCCCATACCTCTACTCCGAAATGGCAGGTCTCCTGCATGCAAACAACATCCATTCAAACGGCGCAGGCTTTGCGCATCTAGAAGGGCCCATCATCCAACTCCAACCCCTCATTCTGTCAGGCAGGGATCCGTCCTCGGTATAATCACTTGGTAATCGAAAGGTCGACTGATTGCGTTTGGGGTATCATCTCGAAATGGCAAATAACATATGAAAACGTAAAGCGTCTCCGCGTATGCTTACTGGGCTGATGTGCGATACACGCATGCCAAACGTGGCTTTACTGAGGTTGTGCAGCGATACAGCTGCTCGCATGTAGCACATGCTGTCCACTGGAACGAGCCATGTGGAATGCTCCTACCATATCGTGTACTGTAACATTGATGTAAATTCAAAAAATCAAGGCGAACCTTCGGTTTCCATCACGTCGTCATCCGCTGCTCTTGATGCTATTTCTCCTGCTCTTACAAGGACGGCGAGTGATCCCTGATTTCGATAATCGTGGGAATTATGTGAGAGGTGGGACGAAGGTATCGGTGGCATCGGCCGGTCCAATGGAGAAGCTAGTGGTCCCATGCTAGGCACCGGTTGGGGAAGCATGCGCATCGTTTTGCTCGGGTCTGCAGGTAATGTCTGCCCGGGGTAAACTGTCATAGGATACCCTGTGGATCCTTGCGTGCTATGACCACTCTCGGATGATAGTGTCGTGTCTTCGTGGCTGAGAGGGGGAAGACGCGCGGATTCCCGCGGAGTCCTACGAGAAAGCAGGTCGATGGGCGCCTGGTAGTGAGCTGAGTGAGGATATGAAGGCGGTGGTGTGGATGCGATTTTCTGGTGGAGATCCAGATTGTACGCAGAAGGTTGATGATATGGGTTGGCATCAAAAGGAATCCTTGGATCCCGAATGGGGTTGGGTACTGATGAATCAAAAGCACCATCTCTTTGCATGCCAGTGGTCCGTGGAGAGGCAGAAGTGGGGGAGAACTGTTCGCCTGAGCGCGGAGAGGTAAAGCCAGAAAGGGGGCGGTTGGCCGGCGACGTTGAGGTTGAGGAATAAACTGGACCAGCTGGAAGTCGTGAAGAGCCAATGAGCGGGATGGGATCCGATTTCTGCTGCGGTGTTGTTTGGGCATCTGACTGGATAGTACTTAATGCTCGATTTGTGGCTTGGTCGTTCTGTTCGTAGCTGCCTACTCGTGTTGAAGTACTGGTTTCGGACTCCAGTTTCGAACGTTTGCCTTCTGCACGTGTCAATACCTTGCGGGAGAGTTAAATGGAAATTGTAAACAGACCTTTAGTAGGCACCGAGTGCTTCGCCTTAAAGTCTTCAAGGTACTTCTGGTAAGCCTCGTAGTTTGGCGTCTTCTTGTACTCGGCCAGTTCCGCATAGTACTTCTCTTTTGCACCATTGGCTTGTCGTTCGCAGCCTTCGCGTTCCTCGGCGGGCAAGACCTGCCATTTCTCACCGACTACCTTGGCAATCTCGGTGAAGGAAAGATCTTGTCCCTTCAGTGACTCTCGCACCTCTGCTACGAGTTAGTTGACTTCACAGTGCACCAAGGCAAAACTCACGGTTTGAGAAGATGACGTAAGCCGATGGTGGGCGTTCGGGGGCATGTTCGTCAGGCTATGCCAAGTTAGCAAGGTTGCAGGACATGGCAGAAGTTGACATATGAGCTACCTTTGGGTGTCGCCGGTACTTTCGCTTTGCGCCTGTGCCACCGGGCGCAGTGTTGGTAGAGTCTGGCTGCTTGGCTTTGGCCTCTGGCCCTGAGTCGTCACTGCGGTATGAGCCGGCAGTGCTTCCAGCTCGTGCAAGACTGATGGGTAAGGGCCGATCAGAAGACTGTCCGCGCGATTCGGCGATGGCCCGTTGAAGTTTCTACAGGAACTTAGTTATTGGTAAGGCTTCAGGCAAAGGAAAGTGACCTACTCTACGATGTCCAAGCTTGACGTTTAGGGAACTTCTATACAAGAGTGAGCACAGATGTCTCCAGGTACGGGTGGGGTATGCACGCACAAGTCGGATTCTGTTATGTCGAGCACAGTCTCCCATGTGTCGAAGCCTTCGGCCGTGAACACTTCGTGGTATTGGGACAGTCCCAATCGCGCGAGACGTTCTCTCAGGTCGCTCATGTAGGAGGGCGTGAGCGCGACCGCTGGGGTGGTGTGGTGTAGCGACCAACTCTCGAAATGGGCTGGTCGTCGAGGGTTCGATATGTCTGGAATTATTAGAGCACTAGTGGCAATGGGTTGGGATCGAGCGTGATCGATAGGACTCGAGTATGGCGAGACTAGTGTACAGGGATAAAATAGGAAATGGTCGCGTCGTGGCCCAGGCGACGTGATTGGTGCGGCACGACGAGTGTGGCGGATCGACTCGTAACGAAAATCCGCGTAAGGGTCAAAGTGTTGCAGGGCGCTGGGCGCAGAGAAGAGCAAGTTGAAGGAGTAGTCAACGACTAAGATGCATCCATAAGTGGTGGCGCCTAACGTTGGGTTTGGGGTAGGTGGGTCCCGGACCGATCAGCAGAATTCTGTGATTATGCTGTGGTAGGGGCAGGGAGAGTCTCGGCTATTGTAGCAGTAAAGACAGCGGACGCAGCCTAGTGGAGGCGCGACCAGGACAACGGCCGTCGAGAGTCAGCAAGCGGCCGGAGCTCATTTGGCGCGTCCCAAGCGGTGCTGCGCGCTGAGCAGAGTCGCACGAGGCCTGGGTTGCGGTGAGAGTAGGCAGTTCCGGGTGAGGGCGGTGCAGGTGCAGACCCAGGGAGAAGGGACTGGACTAGTAGTGGGTAGGATTCGGCGCAATCATGGCGGGCGTTGCAATTGGCGCAGGAGACGAGTCAGAGCGAGTGGGCGTGAAGGCGGCAGCGGGAGTCGTGACGATGATGTTGGAGGAGGCGGTGGTGGTAAAGACGGGAGCAAAGGAAGCAGGAAAATAATAATGTGTGACTGTGCAGCAATACCTCCTAAGGGCCCGGCCCAGGGCTCTCGAGATCAGAGCAGGGCGATCGACGCAATGGACGGCCAGCGAGCGCGAACAGGGGACGATCAAGGGTGCGAGGGAACGCTCCAGCCACCTCATCCGCACGGGGAGCAGACTGATGCGGAATCTCTTCCTGGATGTGACGCCGACTGATAGGCTGCGAGGGCGTGCGGGCGGCGGGTGATGCTGTCAAGTCTACAGAACATCTCAGACAAAGGCACGATCGACGAAACGCCGGTACCTACAGTAGGGCCGGTTCACACGAGCCGGCGACGTCCCAGTCTGCCATGCATGCTGCCTGCGCTGACGGTGCTCCGTAATTGCAATTTCATAGCCCCTCGTCCACCAGCCCTGGCTAGCATGTCCATGGAGAAAGTGACGTTGAGCTGACACAAACGCATCTGTGTTTCGTCATCCATGGCCTTTTTCCTCCAACTAAGCGAACACCAGACATTCGATCTGCGATGCGACGCAGATGGCGGCGTCGTGTGCGAACGAACAACAAACCCCCGAAAAGCCCTAAAACGGGCTGCATCGGCGATTAACATTCCCATGCGTCAACACGCGACGACGCCTTGTAGTTCACGCTGTTGCACGTCGTCTCCTCTGCTTGATTACACTCACTGCACCCGTCACCTGTCGCCCTGACCCTGACCCTGACCTGGCCGTGGCTGATCAACGCGCTGCAAGGGGCGGGAAAGGACATCTGGGCACGCCCACTTCCGCCCAACTCGACATCACCAGCGGAGCGGAACGTTGCGTTGCTCATTTCCTCTTGAAGCAACGCCGTCCTTGGCTAGAGCACGCACGTGAGTATGACAGACGGCCGCATATCCATGAATACATTGCGCTATGTCTCATCTGAAGCTCCATGGTGATGGCATACTGGACCCTTGGGCGTCATTACAACCGCCTTGAATCTACCCCAGCGTGAGCATCGCGTCCGACGGCTCGTCAGCCTTTTCATCGACGTTGCCTCGTGACCTGTCCAACCTCGGCAGCAGACAATGCCGGGCTAGGCGCACCAACCGCACTGCTGGCCGTGTCGTCGTCGCAATGTGGTTTGAAATCATACGATGCTGCATTTGTTGGCTCGCATCGGCCCTACTCGTCCTCCAGAACTGTCTGCCCATCTCCTCCGGGCACCATCTGGAAATGTCAGTACTGGCGCACAAACTAGACAGGGCGTCCCATACCATGCAGATGTTGTTGCCGTTCAATAGAATTTTGGGCAGCTGCACATTTCCCTCTGCCGGGTCACTGCCGTCGTGTCAGTCGCACTTGTCCGTGTCGAACATGAAAGAACCTTGGAAGCTACGCACATCTCCGTCACGTTCTCCAAGACCATGTCTGTTCTTGTTAGAGTAGTTCCGTCCACGTTGTCTCACTCAACCTCACTTACTGACGTAGTCATCGAATCCAACCAGCTTCCCGGTGAATTCTTTCCCTCCGTTCATAATGACCCAAATCTGCGAACCTACACATTTGTCGATGAGTTCTACAGAGGTTAGTCGATAACCGATACTCGCTTGCGATCAAGGCCTACCTAGCGGAAGGAGGTTCTCGAGCGACATGGTGGCGTGTTTTTTTCGTGAGCTGAGTATCGGACGTTGAATATAGAGGTCGTGTTTGAGGTGCAGGTAAGACCAAGGTGGTGATTGGTTTCGATATCTTGGCGTTCAAGACCATCTTTCACAGGCGACACGCTAGCCAACCAGTGCTTGCGAAGCAACAGGCAGCAAACATCTTGTCCACACACGATCAACTCGCATCCGTGGCGACTATCCTCTTCTGTCGGCGCCTAGTGGGAGCACTACCATGGAGTGTTATGCTCTTCCGTCGACGCGCCTCTCTGCTGAGCGCGTCAGATGCCCCGCGGCGTGCTTGCCATGAGACATCCACCAACACCCTACCCTCTGTGAAGCGCCATACATTCGCCACGCATACGTTGCGTATTGGAGAGTGCAGGGCAATGCACACCACTTCACTATGCTCAACATCTGCTACTCCACCCGCCTCGACCTGCTGCTGGAAGCGAGGACGGCCTGCCACCAGACGCGACAACTTTCCTAGAAGACTCCATCAAACCCCTGCTGCGGGGCCACAACCTTCAGTGAGCCAGCCTATTTCCAAAGAGGCAGTACCCATGGCCGAAGACCCTCGTTGCAAAAGTCAAGCATCGGCTACGCTACACGTACGACCTGCTGAGACTCCCCCAGCACCAGGCGCTGACCGATTCCAGCGGGTGGGACTATGGAATCCAGCTCATGGACTACGTTTTGCGACGACAGCGGCGGCCGAAGCGTCTAAGTCGGACTCTATCCATGAAGCCGCCGAGACTGTGTCTTCACGTATAGATGAATCAGCTGCGACGATTCGCACTGACGAGTCCTCTCCGAACACTCGAAACGAAGCAAACGATGCTACCGGACACACCGAGGAAGTTGCTGTAGAGGGCACTTCAGAGAGCGACGATTCTAGCGGTGTTTCATCTCAGCCCGAGACCGAGACCGAATCCAAGGACGACGAAGAAGATAATGCAGATGAACACGTTTCTCTCACATATCAGATCCCAGAGGAAAGGTTGCGTGCTGCTATGCTTGCCGCTCCCAACACACGGGACAGTTATTGGAGTGCCAAACTCTATCAAGGACCTGATGGCGAATCTCTCTCCACCCATTACTGCAAGTCTTTCGATGTTGCTGAAAGGGTGGCTAAGTATTTTTTACAAGAGAAGGTAGTTGGCTTCGACATTGAATGGAAGCCTCGTGGAAATCCATATTCGATCAAGCAGAATGCTTCATTGATTCAGCTGGCTTGCGAAGATCGAATCGCACTCTTTCATGTGTCGCTTTTCTCCGGAAGCAAAGCGGAGCAACTAATGCCTCCCAGTCTGAAGGCTGTCCTCGAATCACCAGACATCTACAAAGTAGGTGTGTCTATCAAGGGCGACTTCAAGCGCCTAGAGAAGTACCTCAATGTTCAGCCTCAGGGGGTTTTCGAGCTGAGCCGCTTGCATAACCTAGTTGAGTGGTACGGGGTAGAGCCTAGCAAAGTCTCAAAGAGGGTTGTGAACCTCGCTTCCCAAGTGCTGCAGCATCTGCAGCTGCCCTTGTATAAAGGCGAGCAGTTAGCCGACGACTCCGAAACAACACCTAGCGTTCGGGAAAGTGACTGGAGTCTTCCTTTAGATGTGCAGCAGATACACTACGCAGCTGCTGACGCGTATGCTGGATTTCGCCTGTATCATATGCTCGAATGGAAAAGGACACGGATGAAGCCGGCCCCTCCTCCAGTAGCTCTTTGCGATTTTGATAACAAGCCTTCACCAAGGCCCAAGGAATCCCGCAAGAGAATCAAGAAGTCCAAGGACGTAGCAGACACAACTGTAAAGTCCGCAGTTGACGTGGCTGAAGACCAACAAGAAGACGAAGGAGACACCGAAGGTTACGAGACAGCGACAGAGGAATTTGCTGACAGCCATCAACTCGAAGAATCACTGTATGCAACATCGACAATTGTCTCTGCAGGTGGCGCGGACAAGACCCACGTGTCCCAATCCACCCGAAGCAGTGATCTAGAAAAGACGGAGAGAATGGGAGCTGAAAGCATAATTTCTCCTGAAAAGCGGGTTGGTCGAGTGAACCTCTCCCGGCTCGACCATACTAATTTTGGATACCCTAAACTGCCTGAGACATCACAAGAGGAAGACACAGAAACACTACCCTCTGCACTGTCTAAAGAAGATGTTGGTGTGCAGCTAGAGGGTCAAGACAAGGGTGTTTCCTTTCAGAGGCAAAAAGCTGATGATGACGAATTTGCAGACCCAGAACTTGAAGATGCACTCAGACGTATGACTCTAGACGACAGTGGAAGGTTGACAGAAGATGCGAACGGCCTAGCATTGGAGCATACTTCCCCTGACCTTCACGAACCTAACGGGCCTATCCCAGCACCACAACCGGACATTGGTCTCCTGGACGAGCCATCACGAACACCCGAATACAACTTGGCGACAACATGGGCACAAGAGCATCTTCAACTTACCATCCCATCGCCTTCCTCGACAGCACCCTCGCGTATACGTGCAACCGTGACGCACCTTCGCGCTTATCATATGTGGTATTACCAGAAGCTTTCGATTGATAGGATGACCCAAATTTTGCGAGATCCGCCGCTCTCAAGTAATACGGTCGCAAGCTATATCTTGCAGGCAATTACGTTGGAGCGACTCGAATACGAGAAAGAGTCCCTTAGAGACGTATTGATGGTGATGCCTTCCGGGGTGCGAAAGGGACGATGGAGGGCGCTAGCAGAGGAAGTCGATGCGCTGGAATGAGTAACATGAGCTATGCAATGGAATACCTATTCTTAGAATTCGTTCAACATGAAGAGGACATGCATGTCCATAAGGCATGTATGGCTTGTTCAGCACTATGTGTTCTCTTCGTATTCATGTAGTGTCCACTTGCATGTAGAGATTCTGACACGCGCTTGAGCGGAAGCCATTCCGCTTCTGTCAACACAAGGCGGCTCAGCATTGCACGTTCATGACTTAACAGCGTCCAAGTGGACACAGTGTCGATACAGATAGAACAGCATGCTAATGTAACGCAAATCCTGAGATTTAGTGAAGACGTGTCAATATTGCCATGGAGTCGTACGCGTTCAGGTACCAAACTAAGTCAGGGACCAGGCACCGCTAGCTCAACCCCACGCGCGTGCCAACGCGAAACTGCGGTGAGGATCAGCCATCCCTGCAGGAACCCCTCCAAAACATATACTCTCCTGCTGTACCTGCGAACAACTGCTGTTCTCGGGTTACTCCAATTGACTGTCTTTCGTTTGCACATCCGCCCCATCGTAGCTCACTTTACGACCACAAAACAACATCTGCACCATGGCCGCCGCAGCTGCTGTCTACCCTCCGCTTGACCAGCGTCCGGTCAAGAACACTGTTCTTCTCTTCGATGTCGACGACACACTCACAAAGCCGCGCCAGCTCGTCACCCCCCAGATGCTGCAATTGCTCTCAGAACTCCGTCACAAGTGCGCCATCGGCTTCGTTGGCGGTTCCAACCTCGTCAAACAGCAAGAACAACTTGGAGGACCCGTGGATGTCACCTCGCTGTTCGACTTTTGCTTCGCCGAGAACGGTCTCACGGCCATCCGTATGGGCGAGGTTCTGGCTAGCCAGAGCTTCATCTCATGGATTGGTGAAGACAGATACAAGGCTCTTGCCAAGTGGTATGTGACTTGAAAATGCTGCAGAGTATTGCTGATGTAGGTTTGTAGGATCCTCCACTACATCGCTGACCTCGACATCCCCATCAAGCGCGGTACCTTTATCGAGTTCCGCAACGGCATGATCAACGTCTCTCCTATCGGCCGTAACGCATCCACTGAAGAGCGCAACGAATACCAAAAGTACGATCTCCAACATAAGGTCAGGGAAACCATGGTTGCGAAGCTCAAGGAAGCGTTCCCTGACTACGGCCTTACATACTCCATTGGTGGTCAGATTTCCTTCGACGTCTTCCCTACTGGCTGGGACAAGACCTACTGCCTACGTCACATTGAGGCAGAGAAGGGTCTCTCTGGTGTTGTCTACGACAAGATCCACTTCTTTGGTGACAAGGCTTACGAGGGCGGAAATGACTGGGAGATCTACAGCGATGAGCGGACTATCGGACATAAGGTCAAGAACCCAGACGACACCTATGCGCAGCTTCAGGAGCTGTTGAAGAGCTTCTAGTAGGATGAACCGAAGGCATATGGGGCGATATTGTTGAGTTGGAGACGGCATGGCAGCTTTGTTCTCTTTGAGATCAATTCCACCGGCGATGGAGCGACACGATAAATAATGCGAACAAGATTTATATCAGTCCATTAACCCTAGGATCTATGAACTGTAGCTTTTATGGGCCGAGTCTTGTTTGTTCGCATCTCTGCATCGGCAGATTTCAATCCCGTGTCTTTCAGTCAGACTATACGATCTATAACTTGAAAGAGGAGATAGTCGCTGCTGACACGACAGTAATTTGTTGACAACGAACCAGGAAGAATTGTTCCAAGGACATTAGCCAGACCGCTTATCGAAACCTTAAACCACTGGAGCCTGCATGTGGTAGATTGACAAGATGTTAGTCAGACAACGCCTTGCTTCACGGCCAGCAGCTTCAATCCCGAATGGCATTCTCTCCGTCCACAACAGCGAGCTTGCAATGTACCAATCAAGTGTTTACCAAATATTGTCCAAACACAGTTTTGAGATCCACATCCACCTCGCCAAACCATGCCCCGAACGTCAAAAACGCCGCCTGGCGCCATGATACCGTCACTACTCGGGTGCGGGGGCAGATTGAGGACCTGCATACGCCCTGTAGCCTCGTAGCCAATTGGAATTAGCCTCCCTACTTTCGACCTGTTTCTAAGACGGTTTCGGAAAGTCGTTCATGCCGGGTAAAAGGTATGGGCCGAACTTCACAAAACCAAGACGCTAGATGCTTTGCACCTCACCAAGGAAGGGAAAAGAGGAGGAGGGGTTGAGATCTTTCGAATGTCTGAAAGACTACAAATATTGGTCTCTGTGCCTAGACGCCTCCAAAACGTATCGTCGAAGTTGATGTGTTCTCCATCATGAAAATCCCTGCAATTCCACTGCTCGGTCTGCTTCCCACTCTAACTTCAACCTCTCCTCTTCACCACGCTTCTTGTGTTTCACCACAATCTATCTCCAATTCCTCAAACACATACGATTACATCGTCACGGGCAGTGGCCCGGGCGGCGGCACTATCGCTTCAAATCTAGCTCGCGCTAGCTACTCTGTTCTGCTGATTGAAGCGGGATCTGATGCTTCGTCCGACATTCGTACTCAGGTACTTGCTTTGAATGACTTCTCGAATGCGAATGTAGCTTGGCACTTTTTTGTGAAGCACGGTGATGATGAAGAGAGGCTGAAAAGGTATAATTTGTTGGTTTGGAGATTGGAGAATGGGGAATGTGAGTTTGGTCTTGAGTGTAGAGCGCATACGAACTCATTGCTGACGTCGTTGATAGATTGGGTTGGGAAAGATCCCAGTGCTGAAGGACACGTAAATGCTGAGAGGTTGGGTATTTTCTACCCAAGGGGTGTAAGTAATGTCGTGAGAAACCCGTGCAGGATAGATACACTGACTTGAGTTACCGAGTCTAGGCTACGCTGGGTGGAAGCGCAATAATCAATGCCGCCGCGACATTCCTGCCGAGTGATAGCGACTGGGATTTTTTTGACAAAGGAGTTGAAGATGGTATCTGGAGGTGAGTTGTTGAGAATCCCAATCATTGCAGACGGTGCTAATATCCCTATAGCGCCAAACTGATGCGCGAATATTTTGAGAAGATTGAGCACAACAACTACCTTGACAAAGACACTCCCGGCCACGGCTTCACAGGCTGGCTGCAGACCAATATTGCCGATCGTGCCACTCATGCAGCTTCAACACTTCGCTTCAAGGTCTTCGAAGCATGCTTGAGGTTGGTGGGAAAGGATCCAGAAAAGGTTTTGGACTATCTCACTAGCGACGGTAACTACCTGGATCTAATGCGTGACCAGTCAGAGGGTTTATGGTCACTGCCTTATCACGTTACACCGAACTGGAGGCGCTTCAGTCCACGCGATCGTGTTCTGGAAACGCGTAATCTGACGAATGCGACGCTGCATCTCCAACTCGAGTCTTTGACCACGAAGGTGCTGTTCGATAGCTGCAGTGGTAATGACACGAAGCCGCGAGCAGTTGGAGTCGAATATCTTCAAGGCAAGTCGGTATACAAGGCCGATCCGCGCCGCAACGCTTCCAGCACAGGCACTCTACATCAAGCTTTCGCTCGAAAAGAGGTCATTGTGTCTGGCGGTACCTTCAACTCCCCACAGATTCTGCAACTCTCTGGCATCGGGCCCAAAGCCCTCCTCGATAAATACGACATTCCCGTAGTCTCTGACTTACCAGGAGTGGGACGCAATCTCCAGGACAATTACGAGATACCCGTCTACGGAAACGCTCAGGTCAGCTTGGCGGCAGCGCCTGATCCCGATGCTCCACAATGTACATACGGTGCTCCAGGCGATCGTAAGTGTCTCTACACGGACTGCGCATGAGATAAATGCTGATTTCAGACGCATATGTTTAGCATGTCTTGATCTCTGGTACAAGGGGGAAGGGCCCTACTCGCGAGGTGACTCAAACTCAAACGCCTTCCTCATCAAGACGCCCCACGCAGTCGAAGGCGAAAGAGATATGCTTATGTTCGCCGGCATAGGCAGGGCTTTCGCCGGTTTCATGCCCACGGAATTTCTCAACCGTACATCCTATCCTCCCTCCACGTTCTCCTGGTCAACAGTCAAAATCCACCCCCAGAATACCGCCGGCTACGTACAGATCCAGTCAGCAAACGCAATCGATACACCAGAAGTGAATCTGAACTATTTTGCCGAGGGTGCGGAAACAGATCTCAATGCCATGCTCGACACAGTTGCTTTTGCGCGTAGAGCCTTTGCTTCTACCGAAGCACCAGTTGGTCCTGTAACCTCTGTTTCTCCCCCTTGCCCACCTGAAGACATTCTCGACACAGGCTATTGTCGAGACACGCAAATTGACAAAGACTGGATACAAGACCAGGCTTTCAGTCACCACCCTACAAGCACCAATAAGGTTGGGCCAGACTCTGATCCTTTGGCTGTACTAGATACGAGGTTGAGAGTTAGAGGAGTTCAGGGATTGCGTGTTGTAGACGCCAGTGCGTTTCCCAGATGTCCCGGGGCATTCCCGGCGGTTAGTACATTTTTGTTGAGTGAGAGGGCGACAGACTTGGTGTTGGAGGATGTGGGGAAGTGGTAGGCTAGGTATTGGTGTCGTATCGTGGATAGAGAATGCCGTCCTAGGAAGAGAATATGGGTAAAAAGACTGCCATCGCTGTCACGCAAACCGAATACAATCTTGTGTGTCTTTAGTACAGACGAATGACAACAATAAAAAAAGTTCGATGGAAGCAATAGGAAAGCGACACGACGATCCAGATGGGAACTTAAGCATAAACTTAAGCCCTGCATTAGCGTGTTTACCCCACCAATAACCCGACCTTCGAATTCGCGCCAAAAATTGTTTGTCGCAAAGCTCGCTGGCCAAAACTTGCCCGCCAACCAGTTCCACTCCAGGACAGTACACGAAACGCTCAGAGCGATACGACTCTCAAACAGTCCGGTACCCATAATCGAAAGCCACAACATGAAGCTCCTCACCTTGAACTTCCTCACCTGCGCCATAAAAACCTGCAAAACAAACCCCGCATCCTTCCCCCTACACCCGCGCGACGCCGAACTCGAAATTGTAGAAGCAGACGTCAACCTAGCCTTTCTCAAAAACATCTTGCCGAGGTTGATGTGGAATGAGTTGAGGGGGATATGCAGTGAGGTATGCGAAACCCTCAAGTTCTACAATTAAAAGAACGACGACCGCAAGGCTTGCAAAACAGAGGCTAATGTATATACACTATAGCTCGGTCTCCCTGAACTTCCACCAACAGCACCCACACCCGCCGACCTTGTCGAGCCTTCTTCTACCTCTGCCTCTGCGTTAGATACCACGGATACGACACCGGCAACAGCAACTGAACAAGTAGAAGAGGAGCCTAGCCAGACAGCGAAGGATCTACACAGGATATTACTCGAGACATGTATACAAGAGGGCAAGCTAGTATGTGGAGCATGTGAGCATGAGTATGCGGTCAAGGAGGGGGTCGCGAACTTCCTGTTGCCGGGACACCTGGTATGAGCTTGGAACGTTGTGCATGAGATTTTTGGTTGGACGGTTGAGCGTGGTGGAAATTGAGTTTTCAGGCTGGAGCTTGCGAGCGCAATAACAGTCTACCACGATAAGCCTAGGCTGAGCACAGAGTGTAGGACTACGAGGCCATGGGCACTGCTACACACGCAGGGCATCAGCAGAGAGGCATGTAGGGAGAGGCATGAATGCGGCTGGACGACGGAGGCTGCTATGTGATACCCGTCTGATGATTTCTATACACATGGGAAAAACAGTGTTTTGCACAAGAGCATGGAAGTCAGTGCGACTCGTCTCGACTGCAGAAGTATCACTAGAGTCAAATCAGAGTTGACAAAGGGCAACGCGCTTAAGAATTGGAGCTACACTTTTCCCTGGCCAGAATGGTATCTACGATATGCGCCTGAACACCCTTGTAACGGCACTTCCACCGGCGAGGACTTCCAACCCTTATGAGCCAAGAGCGCGGTTGATCTGCACCCGCTTATCCTCACCACCCGACACAATGCCCACAGCACGATCCCACCGTACGCTGAAGACCTTGGCACCTTCACCATGACTCTTTGCAGCATCGCGTCCTTGCCTGTAAATAGTGTACACGCTTTCACCAGTCATTCCCTCTCCAACCTGTCCGCCTGTACTAACATTCCTGAGGTCCCAAATTTGAACTGTGCCGTCGTGCGAAGCAGAAGCCAGATTGTATTCAGAAGAAGGATCCGTGTCCAGGGAAACAACACCGTTCTTGTGGCCTCGGAGCGTCATGACACTGATCTGGGTAGCTGACGCGCGGGGGTCGATCAACGTGATGTGTCGTGCCGAGGTACCAGTTGCAAGTAGATTTCGGGAGGGAATCGCGCAGAGGGAAAGAAGCGAGTGACCAGTCGTTCGAGTGTCAACGCACGACTGGGTAGGCAGATCCCATGTCTTGAGCGTATGGTCGTGAGATGCCGAGTATGCGACTGTAGCATCATCCGGCTTGAATATGACGCTCGATACCGGTGAATTGTGACCGCTAAACGTAGCGAGAGCGCCACGAGCGGGAACCGTGCGATCGGGCTTTGAGAGCTTTTGTCGCTTGTTGGAGGCAGCATTTGAGCTCGGCAGGAAGTTTGGCGGTGCGACTGGGTTCTCTTTTGCATTGCTCGAGAAGAGCGAAATAGTGGTATCCGAAGAAGCAGAAAGGATTCGGCTAGACGGGCCATGAACCGCGACGTCTTCTACACCCCATCGATGATTGAACAACTCGAGAGCCGTTGTAATGGTTCGCGCGTCATCATCGTACTTGTAGACACGGACCGTGTTGTCCAAACCTGCAGCCACCATCTTCTTCTCCGACAGCCACTTGGCCGTCTTTAGGCTTGTGATGCGACCACCGTTGTTGGGAGCCTCGGAAGTCGCCAAAACATCGCCTGAAGTGTTCCACACTCTTACTAGCCCGTCGTAACTCGCGCTCAATATTCTCTCTTGCCCACTTTGTACCCCCGATAGAACATCCACAGCAGAAACCCAATCGTCATGCTCAAAGCTTGTGACGTTCAGTGGTGGGACCAAAGCCCTCGTGTATTCAACGTCCAGCGTCGATTCGGCATTGATACCATTCTTCGTGAGAAACTCGTCGATTGTGGTCCGGAGAAATTCGCCATTGATCAAGATGTCGAACGGTATGCGACTGTCGTCATCGCGATGTAAAAGTTCGTTCACAAGTGTTGAAAGCTTGTGTCGTGTAAGGGCTAGAGGCGCATTTGCGTTAGCTACAGTATCAAAGAAGCGGCGAAGGTAATGCGACGATAGAAATACGCTGATATAGTCGCGACGGCTCACAATGTGTGCGCGACTGTATCGCAGCGGATAACACAAAGCCGCGACAAGCGAGTAGGCTTGCGATAGTTCTACTTACATGTCTGAACTAACAGGATGTTCGGCTCCTCCGAAATCTGTAGGCTAGCATCGCGTGTCGTAAGGCGAATCTGCACCTTGGTTTCTGTTGCGTCGATATCCATGGCGTCGGCGGGTTCGGAGATATATGTTGGTTGGTGTTGAAGTTGTGAAGCTTTGGAAATTTTGGGATCTCGAACTTTTTTTCGAATGCGGTTAGCGCGGCGAGAATCAGCCAGTCGGCGTTCGTAGACCTCCGCTCACGTACGACTTCACAGTTGCAATTACCGAATTTACTCAAGTTTAATTGTAGTTACTTACAAGGTCATACGTTGTTTGAGTTTTATGCAGAACACTTGTTGCAGACTTGGGTCATCTCATATCTAGAACAATATGAACTCGCTCACGAGAGCATAGCTGTGCTCCCTTCAAGGGTATATCATTTCATCAAGTCATACTAGTCCTCCTAATCTCAGCAATAGCTCTCCTCCGATGATCGCTAGGCGCGAACAGCGCCTCGATCAGGCCCACAACCTCGTCAGCCTCCATCTCCAACTTCAGCTCACCATCTGTCCAGAAGTATTTGATATCTGCAAGGCTGCTGTCCAATATCTCGCTCAGGTATTGGAACTTAAACCAATTGGGCGTGTAAATACCGGCCATATCTCTCGTCTCTCCATTACCATCTTCTGTTTGGAAATGCTGGGACAGGGTAGCAAGTGACACGCAGTATCCGTGCAGTTTTCTTGACTCGTCTTCTGCGATATCTGACATGTCCTCGACGTCGGTGACAAATTTGGTAAGGGCAGCTGATACCAGTGAGCCAAGTGATTGGAGTAGGGCGCTGTGAGAGAGGACATTCTGCCATTGTCGCTTCACATCACCTATGCGGTCGATAGTCGTGGCGATAGCATCATCACAGACCGTAGCAAAGGGAACGTTAGTACATCCTTGAAAGCCCTGCGCGTCTTCAAGATGATCCCTGATGATTTGTCTTTGTGACTCCATCTCGCGTCCATACGCACGCTTTCCAAATCCGTCAACTGACTTGATATCAGACTCGAGCATCGGCTTGAGACGTTTAGATGGTTGCAAATGCTGTGGTAATGCTGATGTTTGATCTTTCTCAGCCTGGTCTTGAAGAAAAAGTCGCAAACGATCTGACAGCCGCTGACAATCGTTGTAGATGAGCATGTTACTTGCGACGTCTTTAGAGTAATGCATCACAGCAGTAGCTCGGTACATTGCAAGGAGGAGGCTAGGAATGGCGTATAGGCCTCCGCTTGCGGGTGCGATTGCGGACTTGACGAGCTCGGGGGAATTCAGTGTGTCTACCTCTGCAATGACCTGCAAGATGATTTCCATGATAGCATCCGGAATCGCCGTTACTGTGTATGTTTCTCGAAGTGTGACCTCCTGATTCGCGGGCTGTTTTTGAGATGCAGGTTTTCCGTTTGTTTTCGGTTGCTCTGGTATGGTTCTTGCAGGCTTTGGCGATGCAGCAGGTTTGGTGTCAGTCTCATCGTCCCAATCTGCACCCCAATCATCTGCATCCTCTGCATCAGCTGGCTTTTCCTTGGTCTCCTGCTCTTTCAACTCATCATCGACCACATCATCATCCTCACCCCAAGCGCTCATATCTTCTTCTTCATCTTCGACAGTCTGTTTTTTCTCTTCTGTGACTTCTCCTTCCTCGTCCCAGTCAGCAGCCCAGTCGTCTTCCTGTTCATCTCCGGCATGCAATGCATCGCCTTTTGAGATGACTTGCGTCTCGACCCTTTCAACCGTTTTCTTCTCTCGCACAGTCTTTGGGAACATGGCCTGCACTCGGGAAATCGCATGCTCTTTCTGTTTAGCAAGCCATATCTCGGCAGACTTATCCACCCATTCGGCTAGACGATTCTGGCCAGACCAGCCTAGCTCATCAAGATACTCGACCAAGCCCAAGACATAAGAGAGCGACTCTTGAAAGTGCGGGATTCCTTCTGTGGATAATGGCACGGCAGGCAAAAGCAGGTTCGAGATCAGACGAGAAGCGACGATCGGAATAACTTTGGATGATAGTGGAACAGCAATGCTAGGCGGTAGGCGCGTGCTCAGAAACTCGACGAGCAAGTGGATATCCTCTAAGGTAGCTTTTATCCTACCATCGTTGACCGGACCAGCACGTTGGATGACGTCCTCTTGGATTTCAAATGCGGACACGACGCGGTCGGTACCCATGGCAAGGCGGGGGAAGATTATGACTCTGTCAAGATCACGGCTTAGGCGGGTGACGAAGCTATCAAGAAGCCCCAGTTTTGTAAGCGCTTCGATGGTTGTATTGATATCGACCTTGGCCTCGCGTTCGATGGACTGATGCAGTGCGATTCTGTGGCTGGTATTGTCAACCGAAATCAGCCCGTTCCATGACTCTGTCACGGTTTCCACGATAGCTTTCTTCAGCAGCTCTTCCTTGTTCTTCAACACACCCACTACTCTCGTGGTGGTGAAAGGCCCCAGTCTTTGAAAGGCGCCATCTGCGTCCTCCAATATTTGTATAGCGTGTATGACATGGCCATGTACAGCAGCATTCTGGGCGGAGTCCAGCAGAGTCGAGATATCTCTCAGCTGCTCCACCGCTTGTGCCAAGCTCTCATTATATGCAATCTCGGTATGCAACAGGCTGACCTTGCTTGCAGCATCCTGGACGCGAGCGGTGTTTTCTTTGCCAGCTTCGGCTTGTTTTACGATATCCTTGGCCGTTTCTTGCGAGCGTTTGATGTCGTCCTGCAGCTTGCGTGCCTGTGCTATCCAGCCATCGACGTCCGGCGCGGCTTCTGTTGAGAGTTTGCGTACTTCGTTCTGGCAACACAGTCAGCGCCGCCAAAGCTACATGGTAGCTTCACGCACCTTTGTGTCTTCTCGTGCCTTGGCGACCACCTCGAGCAGCTTGGGAAGTGCGCTGGAAGGTACGGTTGCAGACGCGACATGTTCATCCTGGGGAAACGCTCCGTGTGCGGCTGACTGGAGCAGCGCGTCGCCTAGCTGATGATCCGAAACTTGCGAAGGCATCTGTAATTACGGGGCGGTTGACATGTCGATATCAAGAAGAGCACAAGGGTAGGCTAATTCGCAGCGAGGGCAGCCGCAACGTTGCAGGACCAACATTGAAGCTGCACGGACACCCAAGCGACGTCAACGCATGCGTCCCCTGCCCCGCCACACTTACCCCGCCACGCTCAAGGCGTGTGGTCGATTGAAGAACCTGGCACATATGCGTTTGATGACAATCACAGGAGACAAATCTGGATCAGGGCTACTTAGTATATTCGCCATAGCACTATCTTCGTGACGTCGCAGTACTATCGCTCGGTAACTCGCCTCTTCCAAACCCTGCTTTCGATTATTCCCTTCTTCCTTGGCCGGGCTGGCTTTCTGCTACTCGCACTTCTTCTTATCCTCTCGTGAGTCTTGCATTTTCCCATTACACTAGACATCTGGTTTCAAGCGCTAGTATCGCATATCAAATGCAAGCATGCATCGGCTATGTACGACAAGTCAGCTAACACAACAATAGTAGTACCAATTCGGACAAAGCGGCCTGCGCCTGCAGCCTGCACAACGGAGAAAGATACTTCAGCAGCCTCGCTTTGCAGTACCCCCTCTCCTTCAAATTCGACATCATGGGGTCAATACAGCACGAGTCGCATTTCAAGAAGCTGCAGCAATTCAAAGCAAACTACGCTGATGCCACTTTCACTCAGTATGAATCGCAGCGAACAGGTCTCCGGGTAGTCGTAGTCGATCGCAAGGGGCCGAAAGTATACGGAAACTTCGCAGTGGCCACCGAGATCCACGATGATTCGGGCGCACGTGAGTATTCTCACTCGTGTTCTACAAATGTTTACTAAATGACGTAGCGCATACCCTTGAGCACCTCTGTTTCATGGGTTCACGGAGATATCCTTTCAAAGGTGTACTAGACAAGATTGCCACCCGATCATACTCCGACACAAATGCATGGACGGACGTCTCCGAAACAGTGTATACTCTGTCAACGGCAGGTTGGGAAGGTTTCGCTCAGCTACTGCCTATTTACCTGGATCATCTTATTGTACCTACACTCACCGATGCCGGTTGCTACACTGAGGTTCATCACGTTGATGGCAAAGGAGAAGATGCAGGGTAAGTATTTCTTGACGCTTGTGCGTTGTTTGCTAACAACACAAGTGTTGTCTACTCTGAAATGCAAGGACGTCAAAACTTACAGGGCGACCTGATGGATCTCCAGATGCGCCGTCTACTCTATCCTGAAGGCGATGGTTTCCGCATGGAGACAGGCGGCCTGATGGAGAACCTACGAGTTTCTACCGCAGAGCGCATCCGCCAATTTCATCGAGACATGTACCAACCTAAAAACATAAGACTTGTGCTGATCGGAGAGGTGGATCATCCAAATCTTCTGGATGTACTGGACAAGTTCGAGGACCAGATCGTTGACCGCGTACCGGCTTATAGTGCGCCCTTCAAGCGTCCGTGGGTCGAGTCGAAGCAGACTCCACCACTAAGCAAAACAATCGTTGACACGGTCGAGTTCCCAGAAGAGGACGAATCAACGGGCGAGGTTCAAATCGCCTTCCTAGGGCCCAAAACCATCGACGATCTCGGAGAGACTGCCATCAACACACTGCTCAACTACCTTGCTGGTTCATCTGTTTCGGTCTTAGTAAACACGCTTGTGGAGAAGGAACATCTTGCAAGTATGGTCTACTTTTGGTGCAAAGGACATACCGACATGATAATTTGGTGGACCCTGTCATCTGTAGAGACAGATAAGCTGGCAGATGCAGAGAAACGTTTCTTCGAAGTCCTCAAAGAACACGCTTCCAAGCCGCTTGATATGAGCTATCTTAAAGACTGTCTCCATCGTTTCAAGCGTCAAACTCGCTATATGTCTGAGATTGGTATGGATGAGTACAAAGATCCGATTATCAAAGATCACGTCTTCGGTGACCGAAATGGGACTCATCTTGAAGACGCCATGGCCACCCTCGACGTATTCGATACCTTGGACAGCTGGACCGAAGAGGAATGGCGAGCGTATCTGAACAAGTGGATGGTAGATGCTCATCACGTTTCCATTCTCGGTAAACCCTCAAAGGCTCTGTCAGATAAGATCAAAGCAGACGAGATTGCACGAGTCAAGGCACAACAAGAAAAGCTAGGTGAAGAGGGACTGAAGAACTTGGCACAGAAACTCAAGGAAGCCCAAGAGGAGAACGACAAGCCCATTCCAGAAGAGATCATTGCTGGTGTTCAGGTTCCAAGCACCGAGTCTATCCACTTCTACGAGACTACAACAGCACGCTCTGGACTAGCAAAGAAGCTAGGTACATCAAAGAACAATATCCAGCAGATTGTGGACAAGGATGAGAATGGTCTCCCATTATTCATCCACTTCGAACACATTCCAACTTCTTTCGTGCACTTCGGTTTAGCGCTCGGAACCGCGTCGCTACCAACGGAACTTAAGCCTCTGCTCGGTGTGTATCTCACCAACTTCTTCGCTACTCCTATCATGAAGGATGGAAAGCGCATCGAGTTTGAAGAGGTCATCACCAAGCTTGAGCAGGATACGATTGAATACTCCATGGACCGTGGTACTGATATCGGAAGCTCGGAAATGATTTATATTCCCTTCATTGCTGAGGCTGACAAGTTTGAGACGGTCGTCTTATGGCTCAGATCAATGCTTGTTGACTCAGTGTTCGACACTGAGCGCATCATCTCTGCAGTCAAGAAGATGCTTGCGGATGTGCCCGAAGAGAAGCGTGACGGCAACTCGATGAGCTTTGCAGTTGATCGTATGATACACTACGATGCCGCTTCCGCTGTTCGCGCTACTGGAACATTAGTCAAAGGTCTCTACCTAAAGCGCATCCTGAAATTGCTCAAGACGGAACCCCAACAGGTTCTCGACAAGCTCGAAGCCTTGCGAAAGCACCTACTGACCTTTGCCAACATGCGCATTCTCGTGACCGCCAATCTCGAGACTTTGCCAAACCCAGTATCCACCTTCAAACATCTCACCGACGCTTTCAAGCCCGGCCCGGAGCCGACTGTGAACCCAATCGATGATCGCAATGCACTCCTATCAGATATCGGCCGTAACCCAGGTGGCACACACTACATAATCCCCATGCCCATCGACTCTTCCTTCGCAGTACTCACATCCAAAGGACCAAAGGGGTATACAAACGCCCAACTTCCGCCACTCATGGTCGCACTGGCCTACCTCGATGCCGTCGAAGGCCCCATGTGGCAATCAATCCGTGGCACAGGTCTTGCATACGGCAGCAACTTTTTCCGCGACCCCGAGACAGGCCTACTCAAGTTCCGCATTTCCAAATCCCCCAATGTATTTGCCGCGTACAACAAAGCGAAGACAGTCATCAAGGAATACGGCGACGGTACACAGAAGTTTGAGAAGCTGGCTCTCGAAGGTGCCATCTCTAGTATCGTGCGCGACTTTGTCGATGAGCGCGCTACTATTGTCGACGCTGCTAGGAGTTCCTTCATTGATCTTGTTACGCGTGGTGTTGGAAAGGATTGGCAAGATTGGGCGCTTCGCGAGGTGCGCAAGGTGACTGAAGAAGACGTCAAAAACATCTTGAACGAGGTTGTAGCTGGTGTGTTCGTGCCAGAAAAGACGGATCTAGTCGTAACATGCGGTGGTATCATGACTGACGTAAGTTCCTCGTTATTCACCTCTAGTTCTTGCTCTGAAACGCTGCTTACTTTTCTATATAGGGCCTTAAGAAGGACTTTGAAGACGCAGGCTTCAAGATCGAGATCAAGCAGCTAGCTGATTTCCAAGACGCATACGGTCTTGAGGGTGAAGAGGATGATGAGGACGATGACGAAGATATGTCAGGTAGCGAAGACGACTCTGAAAGTGGATCAGAAATGGAGGAGTAGGGTTTAGATACCACCGTGAAACCCATGCTCACCACCAGATGAATAAAGATTTCTGTGTCGCCTGCTCTCTATACAAACACCCTTTCTTTATAAGTAGTACGAAATGCTCTTGGTAGGAGTACACATAGACTTTTATTTACTTGGCTTATCGCAGAGAATACACAGTAAATACGTTTAGAGTAGCTTTAACTTTACGTCTAGTGCGACAAAGTTTTGTGCTACCTCCTCTGCTAGATAATCCGTTTGATATATCACTAAAAGGTATTCAATGTGTGGGTCGAGTAGTTGCAACAACACAGAACGATAGTCCATTCAAGATCTTCTCAACAGTCATATTTATACACTAATGCGACGGAAATTCCTTCCCCAAACAAGAAACGAGAAAAACCGCATTGCCAAATACAACCAAAGTCTGACATCAATCGTGCCAGATTGAACAAGTCCCTCAAAAAGTGGTGTAAATCATCTCTCTCGTAAATACATACAAGGAAGTTAGGTCTCAAAAGGGTAGACGCCAGCAATGCCTCCCGCCCTCAGCAGCCGCGGTCGTAGATTTTGCATATTCGGAGAATGCCAATGTAAAAGTGAGTTCGGTCGAAATTCGAATGGTAAGAAGGTGGGGTTTGGGGAATCACATAAAGAAAAAAACCAGAACGGATAAGGAACGTACACACGCAACGCCGCTAGGTTGGTGGCATATTCGCCGAAAACGCCCCCAACAAAACCTGAGTTGAGCAAATTCTGATCCTCGTGGTGAGACAACTGCTGGAAGCCGAACTATGCATCTTCGGGTAAGATACGCGCAAAGTGCTTTTCCCAAATCCATCCTACTGTTTTTGTTTGATCGTCTTGATTCCGCGCAAGCCATAGCTCACCCTTCATACCAATAACATCGAAAATCTCGCCCGGTACATACACGAGATATGGTATCCCGCCTTCACGCCGATCATGAGCAATGTTGAACTCGAAGAGACTGGCTGCTAAGAAGAGTACTTCTGGCTCGTCGGTGTCCGCAGGTGTAGTAGGAAGATCCTCAACACTACCACGGGCAGGAGAATCCGACATTGGCAGAGCTGAGTTAAAGACACCAGATGCACGAGTAGATCCCGGTAATGATGCTGGCTGAGAGGTAGGCGCAGAGAAAGTGTGGATGGTGGGTTGCGAAGGTGAGAGGAAGGATGGACCAAGTTGAGGTGGGAAATCAAATGCGTTGACGCTCAGCGGTGAGTGCTCGATGTCTACTGCGCCGTCCAGATTCATGTAGTTATGGTTGTTGCGAGAGGGACCAGTATTGCGCCGCTCTTTGCGAACTACAGTGGCGTCACTGTTGTCAGATGTAGGGCTGAGTGCACGGGCTTCCCGTAATGAAGTAGGTCCCGGACCAGCCCGACCTGATGTGTTAGGTGGGTAGAGAGAAGGATACGCTGGTCCTGCAGGGGAAGAGCGCGGCGGGTTGTCGAGACTTCGTGGATGTGATCGAGGTGCATATCCACCACTGTTGCGGGTCTTTGAGTCGAGCATTGATGCCTCGCTCCCAATGGACTCAGTACGACGCGACGATGAGTTGCGTGACGACGCACCACCGTCGGAAGAGAGCGTTGGAACGGGAGACGTCATATTGGAGATGTCAACCAGGAGGTTCCGGTTGATGATGCCTAGTCTGTTTGCAAGATCCTGCATCGGTTTGTAGTCTCCGTGGAAGCGTTCGACGTACGATTCTAGGTCATAACGAAGGGATGTCGTGTGCTGGGGTTCGCTTTCAAGGAGCGGAAGGATCTTTTTCGAGCAAGTCTTGTACCAATCCTTCTGCAAACACATGAACAGAGTCATGAGCGTGCGCATGAGGCCTTTTGTTCTTTCGTAGAGAAGAGGTAACTCATGTTTGAGAGTGTCGTTGATCGTACTGAACTTTTTGGACGACTCCTCTATGTCGGGGTCGATCTTTTCCCCACGGTCGAGTGCTTGCTTGTGCTTAACGTAGTACAGCAGGTACTTCTTGCGTTGCTCGATAGTTTTCTGATAAGAGACCCACATCTCCCAGAGGTCGCCCACAGGCTTCAAAACCCGGCTTCGAACAGCAGCTTTCTGTGAGATGATTAGCTGAATGTTAATGGCTCGATCTTCTGGTACTTACGTGCTCTTCCAATGCCTTGTTCTGCAGCTCGAAATGGGCCATTGCCCACTTTCGCCACGTACTCTCAATTTCTGGGTACACAGATGGCGCCACCTCGCAGACGGTGATAAAACCCAAGAACACGATATTGAGCTGGAGGTAATGCTCCGTAATCGAATCAAGATACTGTTCGAAATCACGAATAACAATCTGAAGTTGGAAAAAGTGCCCTCCGAACTTCTGCTCTTTAGACTTGTAGTCCTGATCCTTGAAGGTCTTGTCGGCCTCGTCATATGCCTTGCTCTTATCGACCTTGGGAATGAAAGCCTTGACAAAAGTCTTGCCCAGTCCGCTTTTCTTCTCCTTCTTGCCTTCAGAGGCGGCAGCGCGGAAGGTATCGGAACGTGCCTTGGCCTGGTTGATACGCTGACTCATTGCTCTCAATTCCTCATGAGCCTCTTTGATTTTCGGTAGATCGGGATGGTCTGGATCTGTAATTTCTTGCAAGGACTGGAGGATCAATGGATACTTCAACAAGCGCTGGCATGGCTTCAACAACAAAGAGTCCAAGTCCCAGGCCTGAGTCATGTTCTCTACTTGCTCGAAGCAAGCAGTGACCCATCCAGATAGAGTTTCGTTGCCGTGGTTCTTCTTGATATAAGCACTAGCATTATCTTGATTAAGGAAATATGTCGTGTAGAGCCGCTCCATCTTTTCCTTGTTATCGAGAAAAACTTGGCCAATGGTGGTCAATCGATCATTTTCCAGAGTGCAATTCTCGAACTGATCCGGGGAATCCTCAGATGGTCGCCGAGCATGCATTGGTGATTCTCCGGAGTCATAGGATTTACCGTCGGAGGAATCACGGTTCCAGGGTCCACTTGGGGGTGATATCTCGTAGTTGACAATAGGCTTCGCAGCCTTCTTGAAGGCACGAAATAGCGACAGAGAGAACTTCTCTAATTCCTTGCAATTGCTGAACAGCAATCTCTTTTCCTTCTCGCTCATCAGATTCGACGCGGTTGCTTCAAAAATGTTGTGCGCGATCATCATGTCTATGCAGAACTGATGCTCAGTGTGAAGCAGCTCTTGTAAGGTGCGATATCGCTTTATAAGAGCTTGCTTGGCAGGGTCAGGCTGACCGTTTTCGCCTTGCTCGGCTTCACATGGCACATCTACAGTAGATTCGATAGGTTGTGGGGTACCATATCGATCCTCGAGACTTTGTTCGTGAACGTGAAGAACAGGAGTGCGTGACCGAGCGGGGTGCATTTCGAATTTGTCGTCGTTGAGCATGGGTCGTGAGAGCTGTTGATGTTGTGGCGTAGAGTTGTACGGATTGGATCGAGAGGAGAGTTGCTGATCAATGGATGGATTCACAGGGGGAGGCGGTGGTGAGTAGTTGGGACGGGGAGGCGCTGGAAGTGAATGCGGCATACTGTGTTGTAAGTCAAGTCCAAGTCCACCATTGGTCCATGCAAGTTGTGGAAGTTCAATGCGGTTAGCTGCAACTGACTTATGCTCATCCGTTGACGTTCGTGATAGTGCATTGTGAGAAGGGTCACCAGAAGAGCTGCCAGAATGAGACGCATCTTCCTGTATGGTTGTGGTGGTAGAGCCTGCCGATTCCCGTGAATAGCGTCGCGAGGACGAAGTATAAATGATCGCCGTGCCGCCGACATGTGATTCTGGTGTGCCTTGCTGCAGCTGCGGCGTATATGAGTCTGGACGCGATGGGGATGCTACTCTCTCGGGCTCAGGCCTCTCCTTATCGTGTTTTGAACCATTAGCGTCGCTCAGCAACCGAGCGAGATATGATTCTGTGGACTCTTTCGATGCCCAATCTTTGTGCTGTGCAATGACGGGTGAGACCTGCTGCACCCTTTCTCTGGATATCGATGCTAACTCAGGGGAAATAACTGGCGATTGATGGTACATGTTCAAAACTGAGTTCACAACACTGTAAGTTTCATTGTTCAGCGTCAGTGATCCAAGTGTTCGGTAGGGAGCGACGCTGGCGGAGTCATCCGGATAAAGGGTGTCCCGCTTAGGAAGCGAATCTCCTGGCGATCCTTTTGTATCGTGTCGAGACATGGACGGCATGTCTCTAGTGTCGTGTGCTTGGTCGGACGTGTACCCGTATGACAAAGCCTTGAGGCCGGCGCTGAAGCTCTCCGAGTCGGCCTCCCATGGTTCTGATGGCGGCTCCTCGCTAAGCATAATTGGTATTGATTCTCTGACACCTAGCTCCGACTTCTCCATCTCAGGCGATTGCGGAGCAGGCCTCTGCGGCGGAGGATGGAAAACGTGTGGCTGCAAGAGCTGTTGCTCCGGCTCGGGATGCGCGGTAGGCGGCGTAAGAATGAAGCTTCCTGGTAGACCCAACACAGGCGATTCGTCAAAGTCGGTCACGGCTGACGCTGGTTGCCCGAGAACTGGTACGGACAAGCTAGATGTCTGAAGGCTCAGGTGCTGTTGCTCTGACGAGGGTGACGAATGCTCATCCCGTGGAATGCGCTGCGTCTGCGCACGGATATCATGGGGTTGCTCGATCTCAGCAACGTCGGGTAGCCCCGCAGGTTGCTCTTGTGGGGGATCGAAGCTGCTCGCAAGTGGAAAATATTCCTGCTCACCATGGGGGCCGGTACTTGTCGAGCGGGATGCGGGTGAAGGCTGGAGCGGCTGTCTTTCTCTTGAGTTGCGCAAGCGAGGCGACGTTGGTGGAGGCGGGGCGTTAACGACGGCAGAAACACTTGGTCCGCTTCTCGCACCCAAGGGCGACTTCCCTCTCTCGCGATATCCACGGTAAGCTAATGCGGGGAGCGTTGACTGGTCTGTGCCTCGGGAGGAGACTGGAGCGACGGCGGCCGCAGCCAGAACCCTGTCCATTCTCGTCGGCGAGGCGCGGTTGCTGTGGTTCATTGCGCGGGTTGGCGTGTATTTGACGGACCGTGTCGACGAGTTGGAGTCTGAGCCGGCGCTCAAACGCCGTGTCGCTACTGGAATCCTCGAACGTGGCGTGTGCCGTTGGGGCGACCGTGCTGTAGTTTGTTCTTGCGCATGTGCCTGTGGACGTGTGGTG